GGCCAGCTCACAGATCACGGATGATCTCCACCCTGCAAGCATAGCGATACAGATACGGAGAAAACACCCTAGACGCTTGAGAGAGGGAGAGAGAGAGGGGAAAAAAGCGGGCGCATCTCACAACCGTCGTGGACTCAACGGATCGCGCTCAACCCCAGCGATTCACACCCCACGGGGAACTTCAGTCTTCCCGTTCGCATAATCTTCACCTTTTCTCTTATCGTATTCAATGCACTCCGCGTCCGAGGGCAAAGGGCCCTAAGGGATGGAGAATGGAGAAGCGGAGTTTTTGATCTAGGGATCCCGTTGTTCCCTCTCCCTTCCTACCTACCTACTCCGTAGAGGTAGCGGGCGCAGGTGTCCTTGACGGCCAATATTTCCGCACTCATCGATTGCGACCGTCTAGATCCCCTGTCCATCCAGCCATATGTGATTAGAGACTCTGATCTTCCGCTTCCAGCTCAACTAGAAACTTTCCCCGATCACCCCAGAGCCCTAGCTAGGACCACTAGCTAGCCAGAGAGTAAGATTAACACTCGATTGCACCTGCATAGACAGAACAAGCAATACAGCAAGCCCATCAACACCAGAAAGACAGGGAACAAAGTATTCAGACTGCATTATATCCAAAACCACCTGACGTCCTACATGCAACTGCGTACAGCACGCGCGTTGCCAATAATACATATCAATACCTGCATCACCGATCCTCTCGCTCATGGACCTTCCCTCGAAACCTCACGTGTGCCCTACGGTAATTAAATGATCTTTTGAATCTCCACTTATCTCCTATCTCCCTGTCTAGGCCTGCATACCCCCTCCGTACCAAAGTAAACATAGAAAGATAGGCGCTTCAGGTAGCCAAGCCACCCCCCCCCCCCATCTAAACCCGTCCTGTCATATCAGCACCAAGCCCACCTTTCCTATCTAGGAACGTAGTAAACAAGTGCCTCACCTAAAACCAAAACCCCAACCATGTAAATAGTTACATACAGGGTTTGAATAAACGCACGTCCGTCACGGCGCGAGTCCGCGCAAGCCGATGGGAGCTGATCAATGTAGCGGAAGCGGGGAGGGCCCGCAGCTTAGGTGCGTCGGCGGGTGGAGAACTTGACTACCTAGTAAAGATAGAAGAGAGAATGAGGTCTAAGCCTCAAGGGGACCGGTTTGGTTTGGGTTGGTTCGTATGACTTACTCCTAGGAGGATTTGCTTTTTGTTGTTGGCTATTCGAAACAAGCTTAATATTGTTGTTGACGAGATACGCGGTTAGGTAGGTAGGAAGGGTTCGGAGTCGGAACGATTCGTCACGCCATCGATGGGGATCGGAAGAAAAGGAAGGTCATCTGAGCTCTTGCAGATTGGATTGAGTTGTTATTGTTATCTTAGGGTTTCTTGGGGGTTGGTCGGCGTTGACTCGGGCTCCTGTCGTTTGATCTTACTGTTGTTGGTTTCGATGTTATCGACGCGAGAGACTTTTCCTCTCTACTCTCTCCCCCTCTCTGACTGGGGTCAATATACTGGATGTCTAAGTAGGTGGTACAAGTCTTTCCTTCTTACACTCAAGGATTCGTGTTATTGTCTGTTGGATTGTAACTAATGGGAGTAGTCCCGTGGCTGACCGATATAGAAATTTTCCAGAAACCTAGTTCATTCACTCCATATCTACCAACTTATCTAATAACCTAGGACATAGCCTTAACCCCGTGAATTATGATATCTATGATACTCTGTGAGAATAGTTGAAGCTCTAGGTCGGGTAGGCCTTTCAATTGAGTGGAGAATAGAACTTTTTATGCACCGTCATAGGCTTTTGAAAGACAACGAAGATGAACATCTTATCGTGAGTTAGATGGAGAATCATGAAATCATGGTCTTGGTGATTTCTAGCAGCTTTCATATTCCAAAACATCTAATCAATGAAGTACACTGACGGTTTTCCTTGAAAGTCAGGCTCCTATAACCATCAGACACGAGCGACCCTTGTCCCGATCAATCGTCATATAATCAGACATTAAATCCACGATTTATGTTTGATGAATGCGACCCGCGTCTCTTGAAACTAGACAGAGAGAGAGAGAAAAAAAAAAAAAAAAAAAGATACAAATATGGCTGAAAGTTGCTGGAGTCTATAATTCTGTCCTCTATTTTCGGACCCAAATCCAAGGAGAGAGAGTATTGCCTTGATGTTTAGACTTTGGATATTGCAATGAAGATGAAAAGACTCCGCAAAAACTAGCATCCATTGTATCCCTCGATTGAATCTTCATACCCCAGACCCGTAGGGCTATAACGCATCAAAATATCAAACCCCCAGGATGCACCACCCAATCCAGCGCCCTAGCGAGCGAAGACACTGCATGTATACAAACCTTCAACCTCGGATATTCTTTGTTCACAAAACCCCAACACCGAGCTAGCAGCTCTCCCATGAAAAGATCGTAAACGAGACAAAAGGGTAAGGCTGAATCGATTGGACGACAAAACACACGATTACGAGCCCCTAAGCCACGGTACTGCTGCACCCATCCGCTGGCAGCGACAGCTAGCTAACACCATCGGTCGACCCATACCCATGAAATCCCGAATGCACCAAAACAGACAAGGGAAGCGGATCAACCGGATGGCCTTTCCTCTTCGTCCAGTAGTGCATAGCTCCCGCAATTATCAGCAAGTATTTAATTGCCATCCCTCAGATGACCAAGCAAACACACTTGCCATTCCGATCAGTCCGGATAGCAAGCGACCCAAATCCATTGAGTGGACAGTATCACCATCAAGCCGGGGAGTTATGCATCGTGACTTATGAGGTGAAACGGACATATTATGAAATGATATGAGGTGATATGATCTGATTCGACCCCAGACCTAGCGGAGATCCGAGCGCGATAAGCCTGGCCGATGGTGTTTCCCCTCCCTTGTTTGCCCCCCTCGCGCGGAAACGGGTGGCACAGAGCTCGTAGACAGGAGATAGGCTGGAGCTGTATTCTTTCCTCTATCTGGAAACATTTAGTCAGGATTGCGGGGTGCAGTTGACAGCTCAGACGTTGCTTGTATCAGGTACACTTTTCTGTGACTACGCCTACCATCCATGGATACCAAGGGAGGAGGAAGGAGGATGGCGTTGTGGATAGCGGATGCAGTGGGCCGTTTGGTGCGGGGTCGCAGGTTGACACCTTGTGGTTCAGGCTTGTCATTTGTCAACTGATAAGGTACTGTACATACCTCGACATGGTTACTTGTCTTCTCAACCTTCCAATCTACTCCAATTCTCACCATCATAGCCACCTCCTTCGTCATCACCATGCATCAAAGCAGTGCCTCGACGCACCCCATACTCCTTGCCCCCATACTTCATTACGAAGACCTCTGCCCGGCGCTAAAACTTTCATCATTACACAGGCCGATGTTGAGCACGGTCGTTGGTGGCTGGTGCCTAGCTCGTGGCGTGCGGCCGCTTTGTTGGCGTGGTGGGGGGGAGGGGGCTGGAGGGCGCCAATGATGTTATGATAGACGCGGGTTACTGCTCATCTCTTTGTCCGTGGCAAGGGAGGTAGGTTGGGAGATGTGGATGCGTCGATACAGACACTCAGTTGAGGTATGCATTGTTGTGGCAATTGCGGGAGCTCTCTGCTCCGAGCAACTGGATGCCTTCTAAACCGAGGAGGACTATGATGAAAGGTGAGTTTAGACATCGCCCGGGAGGCAGAAAGGCAGAGAACCTTCTAGGACTCACGCATAGATCCGATTATCGGAGCGAACCTTGATGGGTGATATCCAGTTCCTTCGATGACGAGGTAAGGTCATTCGACTGGATCCCACAATCTTCGGTGTGTTTGCAACGAGATGCCTCAGACCAGACGTTGGCATGTTTCGGCCGGAATCCCCCCACGCGCAGAGACGAACCGATAACGTGGATACACAGCGTAATTGCATGATCGGTGAATAAGTCTTCTGGATGGGCTGATGTTTCCATGAATCATGATATCCCCCGACCCTGGATGACCATAGGGCTAATGGGAGGGATCAGGAGAAGGCGTCCTTTGATGTCGACTAATGGATTGCGACCAGGATCCACGATCTAATCGGATCCGCCACGTTGTCAGCAATTCCACACTTCTCAATCTTGTCGACTTGTGAAGTCGTACAGAGCTTGTGAATGTGAAACGCTGCTGGCTTACGGCGTTCCAGAGCACGTTGAGCTCTATCTAACTAACGATTTCAGCCTCGGTGACTATCGGTCTTGAACTTTCGGCCGGGTCGGATTATTGGCGTTCTCAGTTAATAAGCTCTGGATGACCCTTATGACTGTTTCGTATGGGGTAATTTCCAGGGTTGACCGCCATTTCCCGCGTTAAATAGACCGAAACTTCCTGTCAGGGTGGAAGAAATGTCAGATGACGGTCATTCAAACTCTACATCTAGTCATGGATCAAAAAATCGACCGCAAAAGCATGGCTGAAATTGCGATGTTCGTTGGGGCCCGATATGGTTTATTGGTATCAGCTGAGGCCTTCTATCTTAGAGGTCCTGGAGGATTCCTCTGCTGGAGAGCAGATTAGTTGTCTCCATACCCAAAGTTAACCCGGAAAAAGATGGCTGATCAGATATGCAACAGATGAAATAGGGAAACCCCAAACACGCTTAGGAACTTCGTTCCCTACCGGACTGATCACGCCTTCCATTTGGCCGGAACACACTAGCTTGGTACACCAACAGGATCTCTTTATACCGGCAGATAGGAAGTCGTGGGAAAGGAATAGAGATCAACAAGAGGTACCTCATCGCTCTGCCAGAGCCGCCAGGTCATTCATAGCCAATTTGATAGATAACCGTTCTTGAAGAGCTACCGGATAAAGTATCTTTATCATCGACTTCAAAGCCATTCCTATGATACCTCGTTCTCTCATTCAACATACTTAGACTAAATAACTAGACGACTGGGCCTACGAACCGAGTCTCCCCCAGAGCCAACCCTCTATCTCTACCTAAAACCTCACTATCACAACTTCCCCTTCTCCCTCTTTCCATTGCCGATACCACCCCCCTCTGAAAACCAATATACAACATCCCCAAAACTCCCCGTCGGAAAGACATAAAACCACCGTAAATCACCCCCACCAACATTAGCAATCCCATGCTCCGCATCCCCGGGGATAAACACCGTGCTTCCCTTCCCGACGACGAATTTCCTCCCCTCAATGATCATCTCGCCCTCCCCGTCCAGGATATGGTATATCTCCGCCTGGGTGTGTCGGTGGGCACAGAGATGACCTGTCCGAGGCGGGCAGACGGCGATTCCGGCGCTGAGATCGGAGGTCTGAGTCTGCGGGGCGGAGATCAGGGTGTGCCAGGTGATGTCGCCGTGGTTTTCTGGAGGGGGGAAGGATTCGGGTGGTGTGTTTGTTGTGTGGGAGGCGGGAATGTGTGTGGGGAGGGTGTTTGATTCTGGCTTGGGTTTTGGATTGGAGGGAGGAGGCATTTTGGAGGGGTTGTGAACGGGTGAGTTTGTCGGTGGTTGGTGGGGAGTAAGGATTCGATTAAATGGTGATTATTGCAGATGATGAGATGGAAGAGAGATAGATGGCAGAGAAAGATGGGAAGAAGCCGTGGGAAATCGGTTAATTATAGTCTAGCCCGCTGGGAGGTATTTAGACAAGGGAAATGTTTTTGCCATATCAGGAAGGACGCTGCGATGAGGGATGGGTGATGTAAATGGGTGGATTGATAATAATTCGTGATGGTCTCTGATGTATGATGTCGTCGTTGATAGGCCCATGACACAAGGAGCTGCTCCTATACCGTTGACCCCAATTGGATCTATAGACCTGTAGCCATAAGATCAAAACCTCTAGCTACCCGTGGAAGTTTTCATGAAACTTGTCCAGAACATAAACGCTTCCAACTGAGAACATTGTTATCTTTTCAGGGCCAAAGATAAGGGAATGAATAAATAAATATATATATACATATAATAGAATAAAATAAAACACTCCCCACCGCCAATTTGATGTCAATACTGATCGAGATCTTGTCTCGTCAGTCAGGGTTGTTCGAGATAGGAAGGCAGTTTTACCGGACGCGGCACCGAGGTGGGCAGAATTGCGAACCTCCCTTGCAAACGTGGCAGTCAGCGCGTGCCCACTGGAGAATGAACATCATCAACCAAATCGGCTTGATCTTCTCTCTCGCCCTAACTGGCCCCGAGTAACTTCCACAACTGGTCATTCTCCCTACGCAACAGCTCGCACTCCACCTGGGCAGTTTGGAGGTCCAACTGTGCGATCGCGGCGTCGAGCACGGATTCAGAGAGCTGCCGTTGTCGCAGCGTTTCACCACTCACTTGATCGTATGAGTGATGCAGCGCCCACAGTCGCTCGATCAATTTGAACTGAGTCTCTGTCTGCACACGAAAGACACAGTGAATGGGAGGTCCCACGCAGGGCCCCTTATAATCCATGAGAACCGCGCCATAGGGCCAAGGGCAAGGCAAGGTTCAAGGAAGTTTTTCCCCCTTCTTTCCTTCCTTCTTTTCTTCCTTTTCCTTTCTTTTCTTTTCTTCTACAATTGAGTGAGGGCTACATAATCCACCGAACCATACTCAGATATGCAAGAGCTGGTCAACTAACAGCGCCCTACGCACCAGACCTACCCTCGTTGAACGATTCTCTCCTGGTGGAATTGGTCGACCCGGTGCCGAAACGTCCTGCGCGGGAGAAAGAGACCTTGCAAGCCTGTGTCAAATGGCGGCTACCTGTCCGGTTCCTCCGACTCCCTACAAGCAGTGGGACGTGTGGAGGATGCACTTCACACGATTCTCCATTGCAAATGTGCGCCTCGGCTTTATGAGGGCCACTGCAAATATCCAATACGACTGACAGGGCATGGTTGATCGCCAGTTGAGCACGAAACTGGGGCAGGCAACGACAGACACGCCTCGCCCGCTGCAGCAAATGCCCTGCCTACCATGACCATGAAACCTCTGCCCTTACGCGAGCCCAGCGAGGGACATCGACAGGTTTAAAGAGTCCTGGTGTCTAGTGCGAATGCCTGGAAATCCAAGCATTCACTTGATCGACTCCATCGACTCCATCGCCTGTCCCCACGGGTGCCGACATCGCTGAGATCGACACAGACGATCGACGGATTAGTATATCATGGCCTCCTCGCAGGTTATGGAACCCACCCCCCTGGATGGCGCCCCCGAGCGTCCCTGGCGACCTTCCCATGAACAACAACCCGGGACCACGGAACATCGGCCTGGGGCTGAATCGGGGCTACGCCGCCGACTGGACGGTCCAGGACGCCTTGCGGGAGCTCTATCAGAATTGGTAACCCGCCCCCCGTCCCTTCCGCCCCCCCAAGTCTTTTCTTCCCTCTTCCCCGCATGGGTGCGATCTGGGCTCGAGGCGTGATTGCTGAAGTGGACCTGCAGGAAAGATGCAACCCTGCAGACCACTCCGATGGATTTACTCAATTTTCTGCCCCGCGTGACGGTTTCGCCCAACGAAGATGAAATCATCATCACGGTGGAGCAGAGACCCTCCCCGGCCTCAAGTGGGGACGGGCCGCCCACCTAGAAAGTGCTGGGATATATTCGATTCAATCGGATCCAGGGGAGCGCCTCGTTCACTAATTTTGGCTCGCGCCTCGATCCCCAGTGCCTGGAGATGGGACACACCATCAAGCGGGATGATGGTCGGCTGGCGGGCGGCCACGGCGAGGGTCTCAAGATCGCGGCCCTGGTGCTGACCCACGAGAACTGCCACGTCCGGATCCCCACCAACGGCTCGTACTGGAACTTCAACTTCAGCGGCCAGTCCAAAGCCTACTTCTCCTGCCGGCTCACGACCGTCCAGGGCCGGCCAGTTTCTCGCCCTCCCCGTTGAAAGTCCGCCTCCGGGACAATGTGTCGGTGCAGATGGGGGGACCGAAGGGCCGATTGCCACTGGAGGCATTCCACGCGTGGATGGCGGACACGGTCGACTTGCATGCCGCTACTGGACGGGTCCGTACCCCATTTGGCGACCTGCTATTGGAGCCGGTCTACCGGGGTCGTCTGTACCTGAAAGGCATCCGAGTCCCCGAGCCCAGCCTGGACGGCAAGGCAGTCAAATTCGGCTATAACCTGTTTCACGGCCGCGTGGGCCGCGACCGGCAGCGACTGCTGGACCCTGACCAGGTGACGAAGGACCTCCACCGGATCTGGAGCCACGCGATTGTTATAGCCCAATCCGACGCGCTGCCATGATATCTGCAGCTCTTTCGTGACCGCCCTACTTCCGTTGACGTGTGGGATGCGGACCGGGCCGTGACCGAAGCTACGGCCCAGCGGCTGTGGGCCGTCCTGCGCCAGGAGTCGGAGGCGGCCGGGGTCTTCTAGGTATTGCCCAAAGCACAATCAGCCAAAGGTAGATCCATCCTAGATCCGTCTCCCCTTCCCACCCTCAGGCCCTTCGTCGCTCCGATAGAAAAATGTGACGAGCCATGCTGACCGCCGTCCGTGGCACCTCCCCAGGACTCGCCCATGATCCAGCTGGAGCTGAAGCAGGAACCCTGCGAGCTCCCGGATGTTCTGTGGCGCATCCTCCGGAAGTACCACCTGGTGCGGAGCCCGATGGAGGAGCTGCACCGGCGGTTCGAGCGTTCTCAGGTGGTGGAGGTTCCGGAGATAGCGTATGCGTAGGAAATTATCCATCTTCTTCGCGGCCTATTAGCGTCGGATTCGAGTACCGAAGCGATTTGGGTCTTCTTCGTCTGCTCCGCCACCTACGCCGTGGACGCGACCAGAACCTCGTCTAAGCCCACGCGAAATGGCTCCACCCTGCAACCGACCCCTCATATGCCATCATATGACGGGGGAGCTCTACTCCCGCGCGTTAACCCTGATCTTCAGCCCGTCGGATGGTGCATGGCTGAGCCCGAGAGCGCGAGCTCTCCTCGCCGCGGCTCATCGGAAACTTCATCAGGTACCGTATATACTACAGATCTCGCCGGCCGCAGCCGATCGGGGGCTACAGGTTTCTTTCTACACTGGCCACACCCTCGTCTTTATGGCCCTGCGAGGGGCCCATGTGCATTACCTCGTGGTGCTGCACCGGGCGGACTGTGCGTCCCGTGCCATGGGCCTGATGTACCGGGCTGCGGCCGATGTCTGCCGCTGTCCCCGGAGGGTCGTCCCGTTGGACTCGCGAACGGCCATCTTTTCTGACATTGGTGACGGACCGTGGGTTCCGATGGCCGTGCAGATGGCTGACGATGGCGGACAGGCCGCAGACCACTCCTCGCTGCTTTTGGTGAAAGGGGAGGATGGTGCGCTCGTAGGAGTGGTTCAGCCGGTGGTGCCCTCGGCCAGCGCGGGCATGGACCCTGGGCCGGTTCCTGCTCGCGGGGGTGCGCCAGTGCCCGCCACGATATCTTTGCTGGCGTCAGATCCTACGCCTGCGTCCCGTACACCTGCACCTGAGGCTCGATCCACATCCGTGCCACCGATTCCCGCGGAGCGCTTCATCCCCCTCATCGATGATAGCCCAGAATTACGCGTACGTGACGACGGTGCGGTCGAGCCGGGGGAGGGCCTGAGCCAGGAAATGGTAACATTCTATCCTCACCCCGACCACCCTATCGCAGATAACTATCTCCCCGACCACCGCACGCCGTGCTCCACCCCCGGGGCTCCGGACGAGGCGCCACCCCTTGTGGACCGACCTTTCAACTCGAGCCGTCCTGGGCTATCGCCCATCGCACCCGTCGCCACTACTCTTCTTCCCAGCCCCTTGGTGACGGCGAGTCATGTGGTAGAGACCGAGGCGGAGGCTCGTCCATCCGATGCTGCGGACCCCCCAACAGAGGTAAGACCGGATGCTGCTTGGCCGGCTGCGACGCACGCCACGCCCACCGAGACCACCCTGTCGGGTCGCCCGTCAGAGCAAAACGGCGGGACAGGTGGCCTCGACGATGCTGGGTTTTCTCCGGTAAGTGTCGGCGCTTCCCCAGGCCCTGACGGTGGGCCTCTCACCGTCCGCGTCACGCTACCCGTATCGCCCGTCGTTCCCCCCTCCCCTTTGTTCTGCTGTCCTCCCGGGGAGACCAACCATTGTAAGGCACTGAACTCAAGAAACGTAGGTATTCATTGACGAAGAATAAGTTGCATGGAGTGCAGCTTGATCCGCGTGAAGGAACTATTTGATGAGATGTAATTAGCTCGGAGGCCGGGGACATCATTAGTCCGTCCGAGGCTCATATTTTGCAGAGGCCACAATCCTCTTCAAATACTCAAGCACTCAAGTATCTCTGTACTCTAGGCTATGTTTTAGATAAGAGCATTACTTCATTCATTTGCTTTCTCCTTATGGCTTAGGCCTCGTACAGCTCGGACCGATCGAACTCCACTATTCCTCTGAGCTTAACCACTTCATTCCTGACACAAGCTGGCCATATTTACAGAATCATCTAGAAATCACTAGAAAGTTCTTATTTGTAGGAAAGGTTGTATATAACCCTCAGCTACCCCAGGCCATCCTTTTGAATAGGGGTTAGAAAATAAGAGACTGGAGGAGAATACAAAGAATATCAATCTACCGTATATGGAATCCTATAAAAAAGACCCGACCATTTGCATACCCAAGAGCAAGTGTGCCGTCTTTGACAGCACGACAATCAAATGAACGATACTCAGCAGGCAGCCACAGTATATTTTCACCAGCTGATGCAATCCAGGGGTTTGCTAAAGATATCTGGTAATTTGAGTTCTGGTTGTTCAGAAGTAAACTAATTGGATCTGAATGGCCCTCGAGCGTCTGCCGCTGTGTACCAGTAGTCGTATCCCAGAGCTTGATAGTCCTGTCATCCGAGCCTGACGCCAGGGTAAGCCCGTCGGGAGAGAAAGCCACTGAAGTAACTCCATCTGAATGGCCCTTTAGCGTCTGCCGCTGCGTACCGGTAGTCATATCCCAGAGCTTGATGGTCTTGTCCCACGAGCCTGACGCTAGGGTGAGCCCGTCGGGAGAGAAGGCCACTGATATGACACAAGCTGAATGGCCCTCGAGCGTCTGCCGCTGTGTACCGGTAGTCGTATTCCAGAGCTTGATGGTCTTGTCCCACGAGCCTGACGCCAGGGTGAGCCCGTCGGGAGAGAAGGCCACTGAATTAACCCTATCTGAATGGCCCTCGAGCGTTTGTAGACTCGGGCTCCATGAGTCTTCGACCACTGGAATTGTTTGTATCTGCTTCAATATTTCACCAGAAAAAGTCTTTTTAATAATACTTTGTACAGGTGCAAATACTAGTCCAGAACTGTAGAGTTGGAGTGGAGCAATACCGACCATGTAAATATTTTGAAGAGTAAACCTCCTTGCATCATACAGAAAGTTGGACAGCTCAGTGTCTGTACTCTTTAAATACATATCAGTAACTGCTCAACTGAAAGAACCCTAAACTTACCTGTTTACCTGTCTTCAAAGTATCTATAAGCCCTACTGATTCAGATGTTCTTCCCATTAAAGCTAGTGCCTCCAACCAGTGAAGGAAATGCTTTTGAAGAAAAGAGAGAATCTTGGATTCAGGAATAAGACTTTTGCTCTGCTTAAGGTGATGCACCCAGTACTGACAGGAGTATTGAAGATCAGCCGTAAGATAGTAGTTAATGATCTGTGGGTCGATCTCCGTGCGCTGTGTTCCGTAACTTGGCAGATTGCAGATATTGTGTTTCAGCTGATTTTCCATAACCCGAAGACAATGTAACGCGATATTTCTATGTGTCTCTTGTTCATGAACACGGAAATGGCTTTCTGTTGTCAGGAGATAATCTCGGAATGACAAATGCAGAATGCGAACTGGTGAATCCATATTCTCTGGCACACTAAGAACTGAATAAAATCCATCCAGGCGATTGCTAATATCACCAATTGGCAAATTTATCAGTCGGGCGACAGCATTAACTGAAAGCGGTATAGCCAGAAGAATGATAACTCCAATTATGTTCTGGAACTCTTGCTTCAATTCTTGAATCTCTTCTTCATTGGCATCTTTCACCATTTGATTCAGGACTGGCAGGTATGTCTTATCCATTTGGGTTCCTGAGGATGCTGTCTGGTCTTGGAGGATTGCTTCTAGGCGCTTTTCCGGGCGCCATTTCATCTCCCCAATAAAGCGGCAAATGGTAGATGCAGAGATGAACAAAGGAACAGCTATCCTCACAAGTCTTTCCCTATTTTCATTTCCAGGCCAACCTTGGGGAAGTGATCGCTCATCCTGTATTTTAGAAAGCTTGTATTCCAGGAACTTGCGAATATCGTGTTCAATCACTGGCTCAGGAAGCTCATGGAGAACCAGATCCTGATGGCTCTTACTCTCCTTAAATCCAAGACGGATTGGAAGCTCGGGTCTGCTGGTCAGAAATATTCCAACTTGCACGTATTTAAGCTCCTGTACTCGTAGGAAAAGTTTGATTATTAGTTTCATTTGATCTTCCCGATCGCATTCATCCAATGCATCAATCACAATTACGACAGTTGGAGGATATGCTTGATTCAGGGTAACCAGTGGCTGAAGAAGCAACTGATTGAATTGTTGGCTGAGGGATTTGGTTGAAATGTCCGGGTCTTTCTCCACCGCTTCCAATACGGCTGGTGCTAGCTTTGGATAACGTATTACCATTTGTTTTGCGATTGTTGATATCAGGTACTTTGCATCAGCACGATCTGCTTCACCTCGTTTGAAGAAAAACGAAGCACCAAGTTGCTCTTTATCGTGGAAGATTCGTGCCACTGTTCGAGCAATTGTTGATTTGCCTGTTCCTGCCATACCTTTCAACCAGAATATACATTTGCTCTGTGCTGATTTACCCCACTCTTCAACTTCACTGAGTAGTTCTTTTCGGGTTCCTAGAAGACATTCATCATGCTGATTGTCAAAAGAGTCAAATGCCGCTCCTTCAACAATCCTCAGTTGTTGCCAGCCAACTGTTTGATTGAATTGAGACTGAAAACCCCTAATACTGTCAGTGGTCTTTCCTGACTATACTATATTTCATCATACCTCTGTGCATCTCTTATGTCTAGCGTATTTCTTTCAACTAGGAAACGTCATTACACGCCTGGTTGTAAATAATAGCCCAAGGATTTCAAGGAGGCCAGGGGGGGTGGATAGTATAAAAGGGAGAGGAAAGATATATTTCTTTGATAGACAAAATCTAATCAAGCTTCCTTACCTTGTTGCAATTGATTTGTAATCTGGTCAGCCCATGGTGGCATGTTATCCACTCTTTGCGACCGCAGAACACAAAGTAACTCTCGTGCATAGGCAGCAGCAGTCAGTGCAGCAAAGTTGTGCCAATCATCGTTTTTATGAGAGTCGCAATAGTCGCAGATTCCACGAATAACAAGACATGGAAGATTATTCATCAGACCTGCAGCTTCCATCTCAAAACACAACACCTGATCGAGATTATTCGCATAGATGTCACGTATAGCAGCGTCTTCAAGAACAGTATTGCCTGATGCAATAGTTCCATAGTGAATCCGAATGACGCGGTGGTGTAGACGCTCTGGACGGTTGACTAGAAAGCCTGAGTCACATTGCTGACAGCTCGATCTACCTGAATGCAGGTAATCAGCCTGGTATAACTGGTCAACCGTTGGCCGATGATACCCTTCCATATCATCCATGCGTTGAATATGTTCCGCGATTCTGTCTGGCTTCCGCTTGTCGTTGTATAGCCTCCTTAGCTCGGGAATAACGCCGAGTAATTTATCAGGAGGTGCGTTTAATTGACCTGTTCGTTGGAATTGACCATTCTGCAGCCTTTTCCCAAGATCATATTGTACTACACCCCCGAATTCATCTTTGGGCTGGCTGACAACAACATCACCAAGTCTGATATCATGTCTCGCTGTCGGCACACCGCCTCCAATCCCAACCATTAATGCGAATCGTAGGTTTGGAAAGGTCCGGACCATATCTCGCGCAACACGGCTAGCAGAATTGGTACCATACCGGCCTGCTGGAAGACAGCCAATCACCACGTAATGGTCCATAATACGACCATAGGCATATGTGTTGTCATCGCCATCCTCCACCAGATCTGGGCTTGAGAAATCCTCATCGAGCATTCGACACGCACATTCGTACTCTTCCTGCAGGGCACAGATCCATCCGACTGTATAGTAATTTACTGATGGCAAGTCATTCCTTTGGGGCTCATAATTAACTGTCGGATAGCGTTTGGCAAAATTGGGAGATAGAGAAGTACTCGGCGAAACCTTTCGCTTCATTATAAGGGCTTTTAAGGTAAATCTGTATCACATAATATTAGCGGCCTAGAAAAAGCGAAGCAGACAAGAATCATGATTCAGCAGAATTATTGAATTACCAAAATGTTTTGGCGGGACTGGGACTTGAAAACCCACTAGAATACGACATATGGATGTTTGAAAAGGCTGAAAAAGATACTTTGTGAGAAGGCTGTCAAGTTGACCCGAGCTGGCGCGGGGTACGGCGGTAAAAGTCGATGTGTCATTGGATAATTTAACAGTCCAGTATTTAGCTACCTTTTTGTTATTTACAATGCGTCAAGTTTATTCCAGTAATAGCTCCAGTTTCGATAAGTGTATATCTGACTTTTTAGATGAAGTCAACCTGATACCAAAAAAGTGTGGTCGGAGTACCGCTAACTACCCCATCCTGGACAGCGAATGACTAATCTCGGATCCGCCAGACCTCAGCTAGATTCGTCCTGGGTTGCTCCCGGATTACTCTGGGAGCGATCCGCCGGCAATCAGCACACGCACCAGATCGCTCCTGCCACGATCCGGAGCTGATCCCGGATCAGAAAGCAGTGCTGATTTAAGCCCAGTCCGGAAAGAGAAAGCCCTCGAGCTTAGTTACTCGCTATGACGTGTTAGTATTAGCCCATCCGACAGCTACCGCCTCCCTTTCAAACTCCTACCTACCAAAAACTCACCCCTCCTTATTCTCCAATATCTAATACCAGTGTGAAAAAAATTAAGAAAAAAAAAAAAAAATTTTCAAATGACTCAAATTTACTACACGCGCCCAACACCCCTCCTCACGACATTCACAATCATCACAATCCTATTCGGCCTCGGTGCATTAACAGCCTGGATAATACTCGGTCTCCAGAACACCGCCGGAACGGCGCTATTCGCTATCAGTTGTTTAGCGCATTGCATGAACTTACTGTTTGATTCGGAGACGACGTACAAGATGACGCGCGTACTAGACGATGGGACGACCGTACGGGTGAAGAGGCCGTTGGTCGGGTTCAAGGCGAATGAGACGGAGGTGGGAGTGACCGGGGGGTATGAGGTGAGGGTGGTGGATGGGTGGAGGTATGAGTATGCGCTTGTGAGATTGTGATTGCTTTTTAATAGAGGGGCTGGATAGAGTGGGGAGTTTTGGTGGCTCTTTGATTTCGAATTGGGTCGTTATCTGGTTTAGCGATGTTCATAGAGGATGGTTGCATATTACAAATTGAAATCTAGTATTTCATGAGACTTTGATCGGATTACTGCTCTCGCGGTAGGCTGAGCTGATGACTTGGAAGAGCAAATATTCACTCACGATCATTTCCTATTTTACCATCGCTGCCATTGTTGGAAACCACATTTGATTAACAGACTGGTGCGCTATATACATGCTTTTGTCGGTATGTCGTGCCGTGGTTGAATCACAATCTCACCAGATCTTCAAACTCAGTCAAGAAACTGCCCACAGCCCGAAGGAAAGTTTGCATATCTTCCACCGTTGTGCCTAACATCACGCTAACCATTCCGCGTCGAGCAATCCAGATTCCATGCTCGAGTAGATGGAACCAGAAAAGATTCTTCAGAAGGTACTCGGTACTATCGTGACTTACCGTCACATCTCGTACATCTTTCACCTTCAATGCTGGAGACTCAGGATCAGGCTGCGGAAGGAAATGGAAATTCAAAACGGCTCCAACGCCAGTGACCACCATTTTTGTACCGCGGGCCAGTTCCTGCAGGCCGTGGCGGAGCTCATCGCCTAGCGCATTGAGTGCAACGCAGACATCGGGAGTATAGATAGATGAGAGAGCAACATGTCCAACGTTCATGGCCAGCGAGTTGTTGTTGAATGTTCCCGAGTGATTGATTTGAGGCTTCCTCGGATCATAAACGGCGAGCAAGTCTCGTCGGCCCCCGAACGCGCCGATCGTCATGCCTCCTGCGACGGATTTTCCCAGCGTCGTGAGATCGGGTCGGAGGGGATCGCCGTGCACGGGATGGAGGATACGCGATTGTAGGCCCCCAGGCGCCAGTCGGAACGTGACGACCTCGTCCAGAATGAAGAGGAGGCCGTTCTCTCTCGCTGCGTCTTGCACGCTATGCAGGAACCCCGCGCTCCCTGGGATGCAGCCCCCGGAGCCCTGCATCGTCTCGACAAGAACAGCCGCGGCAGTCCCTTTTTGCTCTGCAATCAACCTCCTGGCGCCTTCGGGATCGTTGTACTGACCCAAGATCCAATCCTGCTTGTCAACGTTGTTGGCTGCAATGCCGTCGCCGAAATACAACAGGCCGCCATGGTATCCACCCTCAAAGACAATGACCTTGGACAGGCCCGTTATCTGGCGCGCCACACTGAGTGCATAGAGATTCGCCTCTGTTCCTGAGTTGCAGAAGCGCACTTGCTCGATGGAAGCAATGCGCTCGCAGATCGTCTTGGCCAGACGCACCTCAGCCGTTGTTGACGCCCCGAGGTTCAACCCGACTTCGTTGGTTGTCGATATGATCGCTTCGCGTATCTTTGGATGAGAATGGCCATACAAGCCGGCGGTCATCTCGCCTAGGAAGTCCAGATACCTGAGTGCTCGTTAGTATGCATTGGAGGTTGTCGACTTGATGAATGAGAGCTCGGCTCACTCGTGTCCATCGTGGTCGAGGAGGCGATTGCCGTGTCCCGATCGCATGCAGATTGGAAATGGACTGGTGTGCAGCACTGAACGCGTATTCCCGCCAGGGAGATATTGGGTGGCCTCTTGGTGCAGCCGAGCTGATTCCGGGTTGCGATCCTCGTAACGCTGCTGGGCCGACAGGAGAAGATCCCTGGCTTTTTGCGCTGAGCTGTCAGGGTCCAGCGGTGCGGTCATATTCAGTTCTTAGGTTTTAATACGGGTCGTTTTAGGTAGTTGTGGATTCTGCAATATTAAGGGCAGTGGGATGTGTTGATTTGGAGTGAAGTCATTTCCCCGCCCGATAAAAACCCCGTCGATATCGGGAAGGCCGATACCGGGAATGCCGATGCGATGGAACCACCCAGTCCGTCGGTTTCTCTTTTGATTTGCAGATTCTAATGACCCGGTGGCTTCTATCTGATGGGTTTTATCTGACGATGTATAGCTTTCCGCGTTCCATATGGAGGGGTTATACATACACTTCTGGCATACTCCGCGCTCTCTGCTACAGGCAAGTGGACAACCGAAATGGCCATTCAAAAAGGCAGCAATTTAACGGAAATGATAGTTCAAAGCCTGGGAATAGAATACCCACCCATCTAAACCCAAGATGAATCGCCGTGCCATGTCCTGAGTGGCTGGAACGTGAGGAAGCTCGTATTCTACCGAAAGGTGCTGCCTTAACGATCGGTCGTGGCTCAGCCACGTTGCTGCTGCTGCCAGGAATACAAGCACCTAGCGATGGGTCATGGTTTCTTTTCTCCTTTATCGAGAGTCTCAAACGCGGTGAATCTGAGATTTCAGTCAAGCTATTCCCGCTGTGCCATGGATTGCATATCTACTAAACAACCTCTTCCTCGCATTACACGAGGCTTCGTTGAAATTTGTCCTCCTGCATCAGATGGAGGCGTTCGAATAGTCCCTCAAGATCAACATGATTCATCAGACAAGCAGAACAGACTGAAAAGGCCCCATAAAAAATCCCGACGGGGCTGCCTTAATTGCAAGGCGCGTAAAGTCAAGGTACGCCTCTATTCATTCACCATTCATATGCCTGTCTCCAGCTAAGGTCACGAAGTGTCAAGAGACTAGGCCAGCATGTGCGAACTGTATCACCAGAGACATGGACTGCAAGTATGCAGGCAGATCAGAGAAACAACGGACTCGGAAAGAGTTGACGAGCGCGAGAACCGACTTTCAAGAGCCTCTGCCATCTCCAACGTCGACGAAGCAAATATTTGGAGCAAAATTCACAGGGAATGATCTCAGGTTCTTTCATCACTTTTTGCTGGTCGCGCGGCCACACCTCCCGTTCGGAAGCGAGGGATCCTGGACCACGCAGGTGCCTACTTACGCTCACGAGGTTGGTTCATACCGGGGAACTTATTGGCATAGCTAAATCTATCTAGTGCCCTCACCTAATGCATGCGATTCTCTCTCTCGGTGCAACTCACTACGCATTGATCGCACCTCGCGGATCTCAATACACCCCAATGGCCATCGCTCATCGCGGAAAGGCCCTCCAGCTGCTCAGCACAGCGCTATCCAACGGAGACAGCTGCACGAATACCGAGATGGATGGTATACTAGCTACATGCTACACGCTTGTATTTCAAGCATACTACATGAGTGACGGTCTCGTAGATTTCGCCATCATGGTTCGGGGATGTGCCACGGTGACGAACCAAATCCGGGCGCGATATAATAAGAGCCGAATGTTCGCTCTACAATCACAAGAGGAGGTTTCGGCTATGGTCGGTACATGGCTACCTACCGAGCCTTTGTCGATTGAAAATACCCTCGTATCTTGCGTCGAGGATCTAGAAGAACTAAGACCCCTCCTTCAGAGCCCGGCCCATCATGCTTTCTTTCAGGTAATTCGCAAAACGTACATCGCGCTTCAGTACTCGCCTCAGGAAGCTTTCTTTGGTTTGACAGAAATTTATGCCGTTTGGTATGACATGAAGAACCTTGAGTTCATGGCTTTTATTCGCCCGGGCAATCACGTCTCCTATGCTTTGTTCATGCATTATATCGCCGTCGAGATCCTGATGCTACCGCTTCTTGTCTATACCGGTCGAGGTCGTGATATGAGTTATCCTTTTGGTACGGTACTTTTGCATCAATGGGCAGATGCGATCTACCATAAGCTGCCGGTATCGATGCGTCGGTTGGTGAAAGGACAGGCTGAATTGATTGCTTCAGATAGAGATAGCGTGGGTGGGTTTTCCCGGAGGTTAAGTAGATGACGACTAGTCTTTGCATTGTTATCGTCATTGCTATTATGGTCGTTGCGATGGCTGTTCAGACCAGAGAACAGATCCATATCCAGCTACCTCTCGAATATACTATAAATCCGGGAATAGATTTTGATGTCTTTGTCTCCTTCTATCCTAACATCTAATGACTTTAAATCAACAGACCAAAACCCCCACAACCGCACTACGAAATGAAAACGCAATCAAAGCATCTGAAATATCACTCTCACCCATCTCCACACCCAACTCAGCTCCTCTGTCTTCTATCCGTTTCCACATCATTTCTCCTGTCACCCTGCAACCATCGCGCCGGATGATACCACCCCAAAACACTAATCGCAACCAACATCGGTACGGCCTCGAGCACATACAGCGGCCATTCATGATTGAACGCATAAGCATCGATGCCCATAGCGAATTCAACAACCCGGTAAATAGACCGGACCTACGTAGTCATAGCAAGTCAGCCAATACACATTATCCAGCACGCCCCGAAATCAAGCCCCCAATACAATCACGCAACCAAAGAAAAGAAAAGCAGAGAACTCACCATGATAAAGAAGCCCGCAATATAAACCCCCTTCAACATCATCCTCACTCCCCCATCCACCTCCTTGCCTTGCACCTTCATCCCACCGTGAAACGATCCCACGATGACCAAAAACCCACTAAACGTAACGAGTTGCAACACCAGTCCGCCGATCAGCACGCCCACGCCCGTATCTTTCTCGTCGCCTTCCCAGTCCCCCGCGGATGCGATCCCGCTTCCAGATCCCTGCGTTAGACAGCTAATTATGTCCAATGTGATGAAGATCCGGGGAAGCCAGGATAATGGAACGCAGATGGGGAGACAGCTGGAGCGGGGCTTTTCGCCAACGGGGCTGCTCTGGATCAGTCGGTTTGTGAGGACGTAGAGACTGGCGCAGACGAAGACGGGGGCGATCACAATTAATGTCGCGGAGGTGGCGTAGAGGGGGATGTTGGTGGGTTGCTTGATGCTGGCGCATCGGATCGCGTAACCGGCGACTTCGAGGAGGGCGCCGATGAGAATTGGGATGAAGGAGCCCGGTCGGTGGGACTTGTTGGCTCGGGGAACAAGAAAGGTCATGTAAATGTGGTAGAGGAGGGGGAGGAAGTAGAGGATCGTGAAGAGAATGGAGGCAGCGAGGGATGGGTTGTAGAAGTAGATGTTTTCGGTGGAGGACATGTTGGATTGGCTTATGAGTGTGGTTTGATATGGTAATAAGCTTGAGAGGATACGTATGCAGGATGAATTGATGAATTGGTATAGATGGAATGCAATTGACCATTTCATGGTCATCTTTATATACTCGAATGTTTATGTATGGCGAGTCTCGAAAGCCGATGGTAATGCTGATGCCTTCGATATACATCGGTCAATCGCACGGCTTGCCCGATTCGTGTTCGCACTTCGCACTGCGAGCCCTGACGAGAGCCAAGCCCCAGATACGAGGGAATAAGAACCTTCGTGATTTTGACAAAAATGCGAGCAATGCGAGCAATACGAGCACGAAGAAGGTAATATTTCCCTCCGATCTTTAACGTAATCTCGGAAGCTTACCAGCGGTCATTTGATCTGCAGCACGATGTACCTGATGTTATCTAGAATATATGAGAGGACCCAAGACACAAAGCCCAAGAGAATATATTTTCAAATGTATAAAAATAACCAACCCTTCTAGAGCGAACAAAGAAACGATCCCGCAAACTGAATAAAGGTATCCCGCTGTCAAAGCACATCCCGTCCACCCGCACCAAGTTATCTTCCAATTTACTGCTTCTTCTTCCCACTTGTTCCTTCCGCCTTGACAAACGCCCCCTTGAGCTCCTTATAAGCCTCCCAGAGCACCCACCCAGGAACAAACACCCACAGGGTATTGAAAAAGAACAGATAAAACCACAAATAGACCGGGTTACCCGTCGCCAATTGCGAGCTCGCCGTCAACCACTCCGGTCCAAAGGTCATGAACCCGCCGTAGAGCTCCGCAGTCGCCAACGCGGGCGCCACGAGCCACAATTTGCCCTTGGCCGCGCCGCGCACCGCCGCGCTAGATTTGGCGCTGGATGACTGCCACAACAGATAACAGGTGTAGACCGCTGCCGGTCCACCCAGAACCACAGTCAGGATCTCCAGCGCGATGACGCACGGGTCCGCCACGGCCCAGCGGCCGTCGGCTTTCGCGTATTCCTGCCACAGCCGCGCGCTGGGCCCCGTGCCGTGGGCGGCGCCATAGACGCGGTCCTTGTAGCCGAGGAAGTAGGGCTCGCGGTTGAAACCGACGGGGACGGCGGTCCAGCTGAAGAAGCACTGGTAGAGGAAGGAGCCCTCGATGAAGATATGTGTGAGGGCGTCGTAGGCGTGCCAGAAGAAGAGAAGGCGATTGCGCGCGTGTGTGGAGGGGATCAGCGTTCGGCCTAGAATGTAGGCGATGGGCATGAATGACAGCGCGAAGCCGATGCAGAGGAGGGTCGGCGTGTCGAGGACGAAGGGTGCGCTGGTGGAGGCCATTTTGGGGAGGTTAGGGGATGTGAGCGCCCCTGTTTGATTGACTGAGTTGAGGTTAGGAGCGAGGTCTGGATTGGAGGTGGGTATAGCAGTGAAGGCAGGAATGGAGTTACCTGTGGAATTGACAAGGACGGCCAGGAATTTATGTGGGCGGCAGTGCACGGCGGTGTTGATCTGTTGAAAGAAAAGTTGGGACGCGTTGATCGGATCGGCGCGTTGGTGGCCTGAGGCAACCAGGGCCTGAGGATAAAGAAGCGCCGGTCTTGGCGTCGATCGTCTCAAAGAACAGCGTTTCGACATCCATGGATGACCTGCGCTCAAAGAAACGGATCTTTGTTTGACACACAGTAATTGGCTCCAGTCCATCGAGTATTAACTTTCTAGCACGTTCTGGGTCTCGAGATCAAGAGCGCTCATTTCAAGGCTGAATCTGTAACGGCAGACAAAGCAATCCCCAGCCTCGATCATTGAAGATAGGATGAAGGTCGCAAGGTCAATGGATCCCATACCTAGTAACGCCATTATCCTTTGGCCTTGAAAGCCTTATATGTATTTTTGGATTGTGCTTCAAAGTAACCCGATTCGCATGGCCGCTCTTCTGATAGGCCTGTCTTTACCCATGTGGAGCAAGAAACAAGCTCTTTCACATATCTACCTATCTTTACCTACAGCGCAGCCAGTTCGATGGTCGCTCTGTTTGATGCCATGGCACTGGTTCGATACAGAGGGTCAGCTTGTACAGCATTGACGCCAGAGAACGGGGATTCTGCATTTGTGTGAACCATCCATCTGCGATCCATCCTGCGAATGCAGAGGACCAAATTATAGAGATATTACTGATCAAATCGCCCTGCGAGGTGCCTTGTGTCCTTGCCCTGTACCCTGCGCCCGGTGCCCACTTTTATATATATCAGTATCCTTGTCTGAAACGGCGCTCGTCTTTTCTCCACCGGCCCTGAAGAGATCGATAGGCTTCTTTCGTGCAACTTTATCGCGGGCGTCTATCTTACGTTTCTCAACCCAGGGACTCCGCTATTCACGAGTGTGCTATCGTCGTATGCGAGTCACCAGCAGCGTGAGCGTGAGATGGCGAGAAAAGAATGAACTCTCGGGTACGAATTGCAGAAGCGACAGCAGGCGCGAACTACAATTCTGCTGCGGGGATTTTGTGTTATGAAGAATCAAGAAAGATTCATCCTGATGCTCCTGAAGACAGAAAAATTTTAGCTCTGCTCGATTTGATAGCTCATGAGCCTTTTCTTGGGCCGTTGGGGGATCAGGAGAAAGAGCGAGAGTGGAGAATAGCATGAATCTTGATCTTGTACGGTATCTACTGAGTACCTTCCGATTCTCCAACTAAAACGGACTCTCGAGTGACGCCGGAGGTTATACTGAGAACGCATTCAGAGGCTCTTAACGGAATTAAAGAAGCTGCATATTCTAGTCTACAATCGCAAACAATACCATCCATATCAATTCATGGCTATCAGAAGTGAGATAATACAGTAATATCATCCAACCAATTCTCGAATCATCTAATTTCCAACAGGCATAACCGAGCCACCTAGTCAGCAAATCTCTAGACAGCGAGATCGTAGTGCTCTTCTTTGATCCCGTCATTTTGATCCACAGCCCAATGTGGTGCCATTAAATTGTTATTTACCTCATCCAGGTCAACCCGCAGCTGACTGCGCTCGGCAAATTCATCGACTCCACTGTAGGGTTTATAAAGCACTGTAGCGCATTCTCGTGTGTTCTAAGGCTATTGAGCCTTGGTATTTGATTTGCCAAAACAATCAATGGGATGTTAGCGAGGGTAGAGATGCTTGGAGCAATCCCGTCTAAAAGCTTCCGGATGGCTTCGCATTTTTTTCCCGACAATCGTTAACAACCAGCACCAACTACTGGAAACAGACCTCCAACTATTGCTAGAATGGGCGGTAGATATTGTGATGCCCCGAGGAATGATTATGGAGATAGAACTAATCCTCTCGTGAGAATGATTACACATTTCGTAGATATTCCGAAATGGTTGATTAATAATGGCTTTCATTTCCTACTAACACTTTGGTTATTCCTAAACCCCACTTTGCCAATTGTAGACGTCAAGGTTCTTCAGTATACACTCCACCTTCTGGCGGGACATAGGAGTTGTGTGTTGTTTAGCAACATTGATACTACAACGGGAATCTAATATTACTGCTAGAGGTTAGAATATGGAATATCCGTAGTGATGACACGGCTCAAAACAAACATCTTCCTGCTACAGGTGAGATACACCACTGTAGTTAGTCTGTTCAAACAATTGTTGATCATAGGAGATGCAATATTGATAGAATCCGTAAAGTATATTAGGAGACTGGTTTACCTATTTCAACATGTATTCGACTGACAGCGTTTCGCATTCAATCGACACGATGGTTCCTATAGTCGGATAGCAACGCTTCCAAAGATAGAGGGTATCCAGCAACGAGAAGACAATCTTAACTATCCTGTACATCTCATCGATAATACAAATAAACAGAAGGATGTTACTAGATGTTGGTGAAAGAAAGATACGTGGAAGGTTGCTAAGGACCTTCTTGACAGAATCAAATGATGGGCGGATCTTAGTATAGAGGACATCATGTGAGGTACTTGACAAGGATAGGACCTGGTAACCAAAGACGTGTGAGCGCGAGAATGGACCCGAAAACGAGATGATTGATGGGGAACATCATGTGATCGAACAATTCCAGTCACTTGAATTGTTGCGTTGCTTCGTATTAAACCGTGCTGGGCGGAAGGTGAAAGACAGGGTAGGTATGAGACCAGCTCTTGCTAAGCAGACCAACCATCAAGAATATATAAAGTAGAAAAGAAAAAAGTATAAGTAAACAAAGAATCCAGATCGGAAGAGATAATATACCCTAAGAAGACGGCCCTCGCAACCTCCGTCGACTCTTCGGGGCCACGTAAAAACAAAGAAGCTGTTCGTGCGCACAGTACGAACAACTCGGCACCAGCCCGTCACAGTCCACATTATCTTCTCGACAACACCGACAGGGGAACTGGCTTGAGGGTGCTTGCGTCGTGTCCTCTTCGCTGGTCGAATCTTTCCGGTCCGTCGCGTCTATCGAGGGATTCGAGGGTTCGGGCAGACAGTCCGCATGGTGCCCCGTGTTGCTTATGTTTTGTAACCATTCCTGGACGCGGGTTATTCGTAGTCTGGTGGTCATTGTCATTCCGTTTGTCAATAGCTAGTGGGGAATGGTAAGTTTGGATGACAGGTAGGATGAGTAGGCAGGTTAGGGGAATAGACACCTACTTACTGGTACTGGTTGCCTTTTCAACTTTCGTTTTCTCTCAGAATGCCGTCTCGGATTTTGAATGAGGAGGTTGTGCGACTTTGATGATTGAATGCACAAGCGGAGAGCCAGTTTAATAAAAAAAAAACCCCCCATCGCTAAAACAAAGGTATCCTAGAAAATTCCTCCATCGACAAATGAAGAATTCTAGGTAGACGCTTTATACCTGCCGATGACAAGTTCCCCGGGCTCGCTCATTCGTGTAATTCAGCCACTCCCCCGCGGACGACGATCGATTCTATGAAGTTGGAACACCAGCTGAGTCCAGGATACAATACGGAATCAGAATGCGACACTTGTCTGACATCATCGGAGTGGATCGTTCTCCGTGGGCCGCGCGGATTCTGTTAGTCTCGGGCAGGGATCGTGCCAGGGTTTGCAGTTCCATGGAAGCCGGAGGGGCGGCAGGAAGATTGATGCGACGAATCGCCGGCCATCGTGCAGTGGTGGATCCAGCCTGTCGATATGACACTCGGGATTTGGTTCTTATCTAAAATCTATATACGTGGCGTCCTGGAGTGGAAGGGGGCGATGTGTAGATCATTAATACTCAACTAATAGGCTATACTTCGTAGATGATATGTGCATGGTTGTAGAAAGGCATCTCGTGGTATTATTGAGACAAATGAAAAGAAACTGCCTGCCTCCAGGGTGGATACGCATGAAAAAGGAGATCGTGACAACAGTAGGCTAATAGAACAAGGTGACTCGAAACCGCGGTGGTGACCCAACGGTGTCATCACCATCCTTCGAGATTTCTGCAATCATGTCCTGGCCCGAGGGAATCTCTCGAACGACGTCGTCGATCACGATGCGCAGGCCACCCGCGTTGACGCGAATCGCATGGCTGATATGACTGATTTCTGTTTGATACATCTGCGAGAGGTGGCAGAGTAGATCCGACAGGGTCCGTTCGTTGAGATACAGCGCATGGTAGTAGTCCTCAACCTGTCCGTCAATGCGTCGAAGGATGTAAAAGCACGCAACTAGAATGGATGATCGCGTTAATAAGAGTCTGACTTGATCGTAGGCACGGGTCTGCTAAACTCACCGGCATGGGTATGGTCCTGGGTTGAGGTGCTCATGGGCGAGAAAGACCCCGTTGTTTCCCTGCCGAGCCTATGTTTCACCAACTGCTCATCGATACTGGTCGGAGAGCCTTGCAAAGGGTTCGATAACACGACAGGGGACCGATCCGGATCGTCTTGAGCATCGCCCCGAAGCGAAAGCGTACTCCGCGGTCGGGACGACGACAGCACGGCTTCCAGTTCGGAGATTACTGTTTGGAGTTCATCGCGGGCGGAGAAATCATGGGTCATGGTTAGGAAGGGCTCTACTTTTTTTCGTGCTGTTGCCGGAGGCTTTCCCTTTCCCCGTTTCCTTTTGCCGGTGGTCAATCGGCCTTGTGCGGCACCCGAATCCAAGGTATCGAGCCGTTGGTGAACCTTGTCGATGGTCTTCTTGAGTTTCACGGCGTCATTCGATAGCTTCCTCTCCGACCCGTGGTCTCGGAACAGTTTGACTTTACAGTAGCATATCTCCGCTGTGGACAGCGGTGGCTGGGCTGAGGCGTCGGGCGCGAATAACTCCGTCTTCGCATACAGTCGGAGCGGTGCCCCTTGTACCCCCTTGGACAAGGTGAAGTCGGTGGAGAGGAAATTGAAAAGAATGTAAGCCTCGCACCCGGCGTGGCCCGATTGCGGGTCAGCCAGCCACACGATGCTGAAGCCGTCCACCGACGAGCTTTCCAGAGCCACCTGAGACCCCGGCGGCCGGCCACGGATGACGTTCGACATCACGTCGACAAACTCGACGGCTCGCAGCTGCCCGTCGCCCCGGCTGGCCTCGTTCAGTCCGCGATTGTCTCGCCACAGCCTCCAGGCAGCCACGGGGTCAGCTCGCTGGTGGTCGTTGTCGAACCCGATGCGAAAATGCGTGCGGTATCGCACCGGGTGGAGGAGTGTAACCGGGGGTGCCGTATCGATGATGGAGATCTTGTACCCCTGACGACGGTTGAGATAGGTGACGGGGTTCTGGCGGGTAGGATTGTAGGTCGCCGTGGGGGCATGCAGGGTAACCTGAAATCGGAGCGGCTGTTGGCCATCGTACACGGATTGCGTCTCATCCAATGCACTCGACTGTCCGAGTTGCGAATCGGGCGGGGAAATCTCTCGCGGGTGCTGAGCAGACAGATCGGAGAAGTCACCAAGATGGTCCTGGTATTGGACCGCCGGGCCTTGGAGCCCGCACGGATCTTGCGGCAGGTTATACGCCGGGGCCAGCAGCATCGGCTGGGCGCCAACGTTGCATGGTACAGCCTGCGAGAGAGATGCGTCGACCGGCTGATCGGGCAGCGCCGTACACATTGGAACATTGAAGGCGCTGTACGAACAGTTGGTTCGACCGGGCGGAGACAACGAGTACCGGGGGCTCGGTAGGAGGGTCGGATTGGACACCAGACCCGGCAGGGCTTGGACGAGCTGGTCGGGCATGATGCCGGCTCCGGTGGTGTAGGGCGTGGCGGCGACCCCGGAGAACTTGCGCTGGAAGTCGCGAAGAAAAGCATCGCTGGGCTTGTGAGCGCTCCTGCAAAGACAACGACGTAGGTCAACACCGTTCCGTGGCCTTTCATAGCAGAATTCCTTACCTTTTGTGCAACATGATGGACTATGGAAGGTCTTTCTATTTCTGTCTCGTTCGCGATGTTTTTTTTTTATTTCTTATTTTTTATTTTTTATTTATTTATTTATTTTTTTTTTTTCCTTCGTCTTGTTTTATTTTCCGAGGGCGAGGGAAATCGTTCGTGTCCATCGGCAACGGTTTGTGCGCATGGCGGCTTTATCTAGTTCCAGGAGTAGGGAGCAGGTCCAAAGGCCCGATCCGCAGCGACCCACGTTACATCATAAATCCGCGGGGTCACGATTGGTCAATTGGCACAATGGCCAGAAGTACGAATCGACGAAACTTGAAATATATTGCGCTAGGCCAATGGGGATGGTCGCATCTCACTAGGTTACGGAGCCAACGGGCAGTGATTTCCTCGCACAGAACGCGGGCGGAGTCGCCACTATGAATGACTCAAGGCGTGGTCCATAGTTTTCAGGTCAAATGGTTGATAGGAGACCGTAGACGGGCGAATCCCTACCAAGCAAGCGAATTGGAGTCGATGGCAGCCTCTAGACGAGAAGCCTTGTAGAGTGATGCAAGAATGAGATCACGACCGAACGTTGTTGAGTAATGCATAATGCATCAGGTCAGCTCCCAAAATGTGGTCGTCGGTCGAAATAGAGCTGGTGGAACCGCCCGATCGTGCTGGCGCGGAGAAAGCGGCAACACACGGAAATTATATCCCCGGCAAATCATTGAGCGTGATGCGTCAGGAAATCTATAATCGATCATGGCGGATGATTTCTGCTTCTCCGAGGGACTGGATTGTCCACTCGCTTGACATCATCTGTACACGGCATGACGAGACGATCGACGTCAGTCCGTCCACGCGTATCCCGATGGACAATGGACGAGTTACATTATACAAATGGGCCATCGATCCCATGCACCTTGAGAAAGTAAATGATCCGCATCGGACAGTGACATTCGTCTTAACGCATGATGGATGCCGGTGCAGGAACTGCTACGGATACGACGCGCCTACACTACACCCCCAGACAGCACCACAAACGGGCCTCCCGTCCCCGCGTGCAGGCAGCATGCGACGAGTGTAGGGCGAGAAAGATTAAGGTACGGACTCATCCCACTCAGACGAACTCGTACTGACTCTCGCAGTGCGACAGCGTCAAGCCCTGTCAACATTGCCGCGCGTCGAATCTTCCATGCCGGTCTGGCCCCAAACGGCGCACCAAGACCCCTACGATTGCGAAAAGGTGAATGCCAGCTGCGATCGCTTCCCCCAAACCACGGCGGCTGACTCTACGAGAACACTCTCAGAAACGTGCCGTTGCTGGAAAGGCAGCAGCAGAGCCTAGTGAAGGGACTCCGGGAACTATATCGACGAGTGCACCAGGACCGCAACTGGGTGTGTCCGACGCAGCTGCCGGGGCGAAGACCTCTGACGCACGAGATTCTGGCTCAATTAGGCGTGCTGGACGAGACTGGTGAATGCGGACACTCTGCGGGGCCGGAGATAGCAGTCGAACAATTGAGGGTGGATTGATGAACCCATCCGACATCCTCTCTCTGGCAGGATCCAGCGAGCGGACTGACAGCACGTTCGGGGTGGGCGTGGTAGAAGAAGAGTACTGGCGATAGGATTTAATGCAGCGATTGTATAGGTATAGCTACAGATCAAACTACTCCGTAATAGATGGGGCAATCCATACTCCATACTTACCCAGTGACGAGTAATAGTCCCTACTCCGTACGGAGTAGTCATAGTCGACTCTGACTTCACCTGTCTGCGAACATTGGCTGGAAGAGAGTGCCGGGTGGAGCTGCCCGGGTGGACGCCCCAGGCCGTTCTTCCCGGGAGCCACCCACGTCAAAAAAGGTCGATTCATTCTCCTCCGTGCTTTCACCAGACGGGCCGGGATCGGCGTCAACTTGGCGGAATCTCGTCGAATCTTGGAACCTGTGCTGTGAACCCTGAACTTCGACTTTCGAACCCTGAGCGAACGCTGAACCGGCCGCAATGGAGTCCGTCAGTCTGACTTCAGGATGTAACTTTCACCAATCATCGAATCCGTGGGTCTTTTCCGGCCCATCCAGACTTGAGACTCGATGGGTACATGCATCGATGCATTCTGTCCGACAGGCTCTGGAAGCTTCATGGACTTTCCCAGATGCGCATGGTGGTATCCCTGTTTTAACCCTCCCATCGACTCGCGATGACCCTGCTCCAGCTGTCCGCCCGGTCGCATCGTAGGTAGTATTTATTTACGCGACGGATTCTTCTTTCAGATGGTCAACTCACCGACTCGACTGGATCCTCTTAATCTAACGATCCTCCACCTCGTCAGCACTATTAGTTAATCAATCAATCATGTCCGCCGAGGTCACCCATCTCCCTCCGCAGTTGACCGATCTCTCCGCCTCCCTGTCGAATCCGGCACCTCCTACCAACTCCCTTCCTCCCTTCGCGGCGCTGAACTCGCCCTCGCTCTCATTTCTCCCATACCTAACGGACGAGTCCTGGCTCAACATCAATGCCCTCCTATCCCAGCCCCCGACTGCCAATCCTTCCTCTCTGCCGGGAATCCAGGGCCCAAAACAGAACCCCCCGCCGTCCCCACCGGCGTCGCAGATCGGAAACGACGAAACAACTACTCTAGCTACTCGGCACGCTGCCCCACTCGCCCCGAACAAAGACCGAGAGGAGGCAGATCGTCGGAAGCGCGAGAATTTCCTGGCGCGCAACCGTCGCGCCGCCACCAAATGCCGCGAGAGGAAGCGCCAGTTCACCAAGAAACTCCAGGACCAGTTCAAGGACGTCGCGCAGCGGAAACAATCCCTGGAGTCTGAGTTCGCTAAGCTGCAGGGGGAAGTGCTCGACTTGAAAAATGAGTTACTGCGTCACTCGCAGTGCGCCGATCCTGCTATCCAGAATCATTTGGCCGGGATGGTCAAGAACGTGACGGTCGCGAAATCGCCCATCCTGGCCCGGTCGGGTCCTGCGCCGGAGGAGGCCTCGTCCACCGCGCTGTCGGTCGATGAGGACGGTCCTGGTAGTAGTGGTAGCAGTACGCTGCCGGTCGCCAGTTGCGAGACGGACCGGACGCGTCGGGACTCGGTGCTGAGCGTCAGTACCGACGCCAGCCTGGACAGTTTCATCGATGAAGGGTTATTCCAGGAGTTGTTGAACTATGGCGGAGAGCCCGCTTTATAATCTAGCGTTGTCGTATCTGTCATCTTGTACCATTAACTAGCCAGCGTTCGTCATGATGAAGCATTTCTTTCTATACTTCTTTCACTCGGTGGCAATAGCCTCGTTCGCAAAGGCCCATTCAAAAGGATTCTTACACCGTACCCAGTATAGACTTCTCGGTTCCCTCGTCTTCAACGGCCTTAGTCACAGGCCCCAGCAGGCCACTCAGTATGCCGGTGGACACTAGAAGTGGGTAATCTGACGTCACAGGTCAGGCACCGTCGTCTGCCTCTAGATTGGCCGGAAGAAACATCCATAAATGATCGCGAACCGTGCCAGCTATGTTCCCATTTCCTTGACACCAGCTAAAACGGCGCAAAGGGGACCGGCAAAAAGTACCACACCCGGAGACCTGGCAGCCAAGTGGCCGGATATGGAACCCCATAGTGCATTAAAAGGGCCACCTGTCCGTTTCGCAGGCCACACATGAAGATATACGCCTGCACTGTATGTATAGAGCATCAATTGTGGTTGTCTTAAGGTCTCGGACGTCCACCGTGCAGCGTATGATCATAACTCTGCAAGTTCCTCGATCGGAGATTTTTTTTCTGACCCTCCGTTCAGACACAAGGGTCGCGGCCCTCCCAGCTTGACCGCTATTCTATTATCCGATCGGCGGACTTTCCGGATGATATTGTGGACCGGTTGGCGTTGTTCGTTCTTTGCGATGGACAGTATGCGATTGATTTCTCTTTATGCTCTCCCCGTAACCTCTCCCTCTCGAGCATCTATCGCCAAAAGTGCTGATACACCCCCCGAAATACCAGTGCATCACGGGAAGTCGGTGGCCACACCAAATACAACCTGCCGCGTCTGCTCCTGCAAAGCAACCATCTCCGGCAGGGGGACTACGACGAAGCGATCCGATCCGCGATCAAGGACGAAGAACGCCTGCTATTTGAGGAATTTATGAACGGAAAACAGGCACTCCTCTACTCCGGTTCCACGCTGGCAGTATGCTTGGTGAATCTGACGCGAGGTTCCTGGTCGTGGCCAACTTGGGCGATTCCCATGTTATGCTCGGTGAGCTGTATGACCCGGCAAGCAGCCTGGGGACGGTGGTAAAATCGTCTACTGATGGATGGGAGGGCATAATTACAGTTTCAGCTAACTTGGTTGCAGCGACGTTTGACTAAGGCCCATAAGCCAGGGAGTCCGGAATAACGACAGCGCATTGAAGCCGCCGGCGGCAGTGTTGTCCAAAGACATGGCGCATTGAGAGTGGGTGAGCCGTTCTGACCGAGAAACCCATCGCCTGAAATGAGAGTTTCCATACTGAGCGATGCTTATTACTATTAGGTGGCCTGAACATGTCGCGAGCGCTGGGCGATCTCGCATATAAGACCCTCTCCAAGGACCATTCGTCGATCGGATGTCCGGAGAGCGATAGTAGTGAGGTACCGGACGCACCTGGGGTGCAAGATGGTCTTCTCTCGAGCGAGCCATTCATCACGAGGATGTCCCTTACAGAGCATGGGACGTACATCCTGGCGCCGACCTCGGGCGGAGTCACGGACCGGCTAGAGGATACGGAGATTCTGAATCGGCTCTCGGATTCCTGGTATGCGGACCCAAGGACTCAGCGAGTGGCTCGCATTCTGGTGTCCGAGGTGGGCCAGAGACCGGGGAGTGACAATGCCAGCTGCATCGCGGTGTTTATGAAAGGGCGTAGCTTCTAGTAGTCGTTGGGTGTTGCTCGCAACTGGGCCAAGGACAATGGACTTTGGACAAAGGAACATACCACAGTGTACTGATCTCCTGCGCCACTTGTAAATAGTTGCATCAGACATCGTACGAGGACTGAGCCCCGCATCACGAGATATGATCAAGTAGAAACAATGAAGATCGCCGTCTGCATGCCACCTCCGTCATACGTGTGTCAGATTTCCCGGGGTGATCGGTTAACAATATATTGCGTCGAATTCCCAGCATCATCATGGATTGAATCTAGTAGGATCCACTCTGAAATACGAAATCTCAATATTGCACGAGACAAGAATCATGTCATCTAATATTCGTATAACACGTTGGTCCTCAACCGAGGAAGTGGTGAATGCCGTTCGTGAATACAAAGAGTCAGCCTATCATAGAACCCCGTCTCCACATCTCTGACTAACGCGAATCAAGTACTCTAAACGACCCAAATGCACCCGACGAATCCAGGCAGGAGGCACGACAGATGCTGGACCGACTGGGGGACGATGGGTCTCCGTCCGACCCTGACGACAGGGGCAAATTTATCAGCAGAGCTTCCGGAGGCTCGAATTTGTCAGTACTTGGACCCTAATGGGCGGCCAGGACGATGCTAACGATCGATGTTCTAATCCAGCGATCAAGGTCTTCATGTGAAAGATGAGGCTCGGGCGAGCCGGGTGGACAAACCGGGGATCTAGCACTAGGAACTTTAAATTTCATCGAATAAGAGCACGGTGTATTAGCCATTTCACACTCCAATGTAGCTCATGCTTATAGAGCTTGTATTCTGGTTATCCGTATGGGTCAGGATGTGGTTGATGACGTCCATTAGGCTGACACAATGGCAATCACCGGCTTAGCTTGTCTTTGACCCGGACAGCTCCTACCACCGGGTGCGGGTCCTTGTATTGTACAATTTCCGATCTCGTTGAGGGATGGAGCTCATGGAATCATCATGGGTGATGTTTGGGTGACATCATACACCCCAGCATGAAGAATACTTATACTGTGCCAGTCGACCGATCAATCACCGCGACAAGTATTCTCTACATCTCTATCATCTGTACTTGATTCTGAAAGGCTACTACACAGACGCCCACCATATCTATTAAAATGACTTCCAACCCGAACCCCGGAAACTTTGCCAACCGTCCCCACGAGGAGGTTGAGAATATCGCCAGCAAAGGTGGCCAGTCCAGTCATCAGGGCGGATTCCACAACATGGATCCCAGTAAGCAGGTAAGAGCCCCAAAAAGCCCCAAAACATCTGTCATGCGTCGACTAATTCAATTAGCGAGACATTGCCTCCCAGGGTGGCCATGCTTCCAGCGGGAGCTTCGAACCTGGCGATCCCAAGGCCAGAGAGGCTGGAAGGAAGGGCGGTTCCAAGAATTATCAGGGTGACCAGCCAGAGGAATAAGCTATTCTACTAGCTGAGCTTTGGGAACCTGGAAGCTTGGTATGAATTGATGCGGAATGACTCTGGGATGTTTCATGTTTTGTAAAAGTAGGACGGACGCTTTGATGAGTTTGGTAACTCGAATAATGTGACCATTCCCTAACTCCGGAAATTGTGATTGATGAATATGATGACAATTCGTGATATCTACTTTCCTTTTTACCGGATAGTAGGCTTAGCATGGTCTTTGATGTACGTGGAAGCGCTCTCGGGCCTACCAGTGCCCTAAACTGTGGTAGCCGTGAGCCTTTAATTATAGTATACCTAGTTACAGCACTGAATAAAGTAAATCTACTATGTTCGTGCCATTTACATGATTCCTTAAGACCCAGAACCATTCGGTTCATCCCCAGCGCACTCGGCAGCTCGTAAATTGACCAAGATCTTGCAATGACGATCCCGTTCATCCACCAATACCTTGAAGCCCTTCTCCACAGCCTCCTCCAGTGATATCTTCGACGTAATCATACCACGGGGGTCTAATTGGCCTAGCCTATGTAAGCACAATACATCGGTCATCACAGCCGGCTTCCACTCACCATAACTCAAGGCCTCAAGTGTGTGTTGAAACGGCATTTCATCGTACAACGCCGCTTGCATATTCTGAACCTCCCGATACATCAGCTCGTTGACATGCAGCGCCGGATCTTTCTCCCACACCGCGATGTTCACGATCGTCCCGTGCGTCCGACACGCCGAGATCACACTATTCAGCCCCCCCTCGACTCCCGCCGTGTCATCTCCTGCACTCGCATTGACACGTCCTCGCTGCCCGGGTCCAGTATCTCCGTCGCGCCGTATTGACGCGCCAGCTTCTGCCGGCCCTCCATTGGCTCCGCCACGATGATCTCCTTCGCCCCTTGCATCTTCAGCACCTGCAGGACGCAAATGCCAATGGGTCCACCTCCGACGATCACCGTCGTGTCGCCAAATTTGAACGGCGATACGTTGACGGCGTGCCAGGCCACTGCTAACGGTTCGATCGGGGCCGCCGTGTCTAGCTAGACGTTGTCAGGTGGGACGTAGAAATGAGAGGCTGGCGCAACGATGCTTTCGGCGAAGCCGCCGCCGTAGCCTATTGGATGCTCGTTAGCCCTGGGAGTCGGGAATAAGGACTCAGGCCAGATTCCACACTCCGTAATTGATGTCACGCTTCAGCTGGAGCAGGCAAGGGCGCAAGGCCCTCAAAAATACAAATTATCCGTTCATATTAGTTTAATATTAAACTTTGCGCCAAGACTAGTAAGCAAATTAGCTACCGTCACTAAACAATCTACTAATAGTCTGCACTGCTAACCGGCCCTAACAGCGGACCGGCCCCTCTAGCAATCTGAGGGCTGATGCTGGTCAGTGGACCCTCTGAGACGCCAATGGGGGTGCATTGGGCTGTTTTATTTGCTCGTGCATCTCGCGGATGTAGAGCCGGGTGATGTAACCTCGACTGTGCGTTAGTTTCGTATTTGGGACTAAATCTTGGTCTATAGAGTGGAGTGATATCTATGGTGTACTGCTACTACGGTGTACGGAGTAGTATATATTTCACTTTCGTTAATTTATCGTGGATTCTAGCTGTATAATACCTTATTATGGAGTAGAGTCAGTGTATTATAATCAAGCAAACAAAGAACTTCTTACTCCGTATTCTGTAGGCAGATCCACCCAGAGGGTTTCTGAAGAAAGTAAAATATTGTGTTTTCTCGTTGTGGCCGCCGCTAGGTACTACCTTCCGTAAATACCTGTGGTTAGGGGTGGATATATTTTTAGGGTCGTGTTAGACCGATACCCCCCCCCTCCCCCCAACCGGGGTTATCCCGACACCCATTTCCTATTCGGTTTAGCGTGGCCATGTGATATGGAAATTTGGCACTTGGAATAAACGCCAAAGATCATTATCTTGAAACCTTGTAATGATCTTAAATGGGCAGTTAGTCTTGATTGTGCTAGTTTTGCGTTTCCGCTGGCCTTCCTCAAGACGACAGTCATATCGACTTCCTCGGTCACATTTAATCCATACTGTTACGGACCCTTGCAACACTAAGAGCCGCGAGGCAGAAACGATAGGACAACAGCGGCCCGAGGCTGATGACGCTACGGAGGAAACATGGGTCACGTGATATGGTATGCCGCAGACCTATAAGGTATACGGGATGGCATACTCTAGGAGGACTATATAAGGACGCTCATTCACCCACCTGTTAGATAGTTCTTGTTTAGTTCTTCGTGTTCAATAACAACTACATCTTTGATAGTAACTTGTTACTGCTATTAGATTCGCCTATCACTATCACAGGGAGGTATACGTACCAACCTGGCCTTACTTCTATCTTCGCTGCATTCAGGACCTTCAGGGAGGGTCACCGAGTCATACACGCCAGTCTCAGTCAGAGAGCCACGGGGCTCCAGGTTAAGTATCGCCCATTCAGAACTCAGGATCAACCAGTTGATCACCAGTGCTTGAACTTATCTACGGTAGCAGACCAGCGCAGCTTAGACGGATCCTAGGGTTTGACACATACATTCTTTATATGGGAGCCAGATTTGACCTTTTTAACGCGCTTTTTATTGACTGCATAGCCATAATCATGTCCATGAGCGTTGAGAATTTCAATGACTTCATCATATGAATCGAATCGTTGAGTTTGTAGTCCGGGGGGAAGAGGGATACGATCTTGAAGTTGCTCATTCAATTCCTCTTCTTCGAATTGCTCATTCCACTGCTCGTTGGGAGGATCGTCGCTTCCGTAGCCTTGAAGATAGCCATTTAATGAAGCCATTATTACTGTATACAGCAATGTGCTGCAGTAATAATGACGGCGCCGGCGATAGCAACATACAATATTCAGCATACGCACTTGGTGGCGAATATACAGCTTACCCTAACTATGATAAGAACCCAATAGTACAGCCAAAAAAGGAAATTCGCGCGGGGTCTAAGCCTGAATAGGACTAGTACATCACGTTGGGGTGTCGGGGTGTTAAGGTGATGTGTTGTTCTATTGGTCATCTAATCCTCAGCGGAGTATATGACCCCCTGAATGATCACGTGACTCGAGGACTATAGTTGATCCACGCCGGAGGAAGATCCTCGGATGCTGCACGCTGGCACGGGGTAACCGGGGGGGTGTACCCTATTTTTAATTCCATTTATCTTTCCAGTCTCTGGAGCCAACTGTCTGCCCAGTTTCTATTGGGTCATCTTACGGTCTAGCTACAGGCACAAGTAGTTGTCTAAAACACAATATAATTGTTTAAATCCATCTTTTACTGTCCATCTGACCTGAGTATTCCGTGTTTATTCGGCGTTGGCGGTTGATCGGAGCGCTGGGGTTAGCCCGTACCCAATACTGATCCGAAGGTTGTTGCGGGGCCCTCTACATAAACCAGTGCAGTGGATGGGTCGAGCAGCCATAGATAGGTGAGTGTTTTTCAGGTCTGCTAATAGGAACGAGTATCCAATGAGATTTGATGGTTATGGGCTGTTGTTCGGAGAATGAGAAAGTCCCTGAGTGGGGTCAATAACCCTTGTGCTGATATCCCCGATGTCCCTCAACAATTTTTGCTCTCTTGCTGAACATGACAATGTCTTACTCCTGATCCCAATAACACAGTAGTGGAAATCTACGCATCTCAGATCTTTGGGCTATATAAGGAAGAGGATTTTATCAATCAGGAATTTTCTCCAATGCCTACCTTTGAAAGCTTCTACGATTTCTATGTTCAAACCCTTCCAACGATTCTTTTGTATAGTCTCATTATCCTCGACTCCCTTTACTACTATGTTATCCCTACAGAAACTATTGATCGCGATCACCTTATTTTTACCAATCTCAGTACTTGCATCTTCATTGTCGCAGTCAATTCAAGGAAAGCCTCTTCTAGACGGATGGCTCAGATCAACCTCACCGAGCTCCTGGACGCTGAGATGGCCACCATCAGTGCGAGAGACAGCGCCGTCAATCTGGCGGAGCGCACTCCCATGAATGTTTGTCAAGCCACAATTGTGGCCCAAGCCTGTCTCGGTATTTTAGACCATGTGATCAACTATTCTCAGGCGCTCGGGGCCGCGATCAAGAGCCTCTCCGATCAGCATAATTGTCGTTGCATGACTGGCACATTCGACAATATAAAGTGGTCATTCCATGCCACGGGTCAACACTGCGATAGTACCACACAGCAAAAGACCATTGCCGGTGCTATTGCCAAATACATTCGCAATGCTGAGCACGGAAAAATCTGCGGTACTTAGTGCTTGTGTTTGAACCATGGTGGCACCTGGGATGGATGGCTGAAGCTGGGGTCAGTCAGCAGTTTCAACGAGCATGCGTACTGTGGCGCCGGTCTTTCTTTCGACAAGTGTATCTCCGTTGGGAACAACGATATATAGAGGGCGTCCACGGCCTCCTGTTGAGTATCGACTGCAAAAATATCAACCGATGCGGCGGAAGACGGAACTTTGGGGCTTTTGCTTCTCGATCTTCTTGCCTTGCTACTTTGCCTTCAAATTGAACGCGTTGTGACTCGATGGGTTTGTTTACTAGGTAAGAGGTCCCCAGCTCTATCGCCGCAGACTATGCTCATCCATATAGCAGGCCATGGTAGCTTGGAGTGGGGGGCGATAATTCGGGATGAAGAAAAGCTTTTGTATTAGAGGTGTGAAGAAGGATCGTAGAGATTGTGAGGGGAAATTAAAAAAATGACGATCGCCGGTGATTGGCTGCATCGGCACTATGACTCTATTGGGACTAGCGTAGTATGAGAGCCTTAGTCATCCACAGTCGTTCTCGCGACAACGAAGTGCCCTTCTCTCCGTACTTTCCATCAACTCAATCGGTCTTTCAGGTTTATCAACTGTATCACCTCAATGTTCGTCGCATGGTTAAGATTTCCAACTGGTCCTCATGGTGAATTTTGTATCAGTTAATCAATTTCCCGATCAATCCCGAACACCTTCCGTCCAAACTCAGAGGCGGCGAGATGGATGCTCAGAGTGTAGGAGAAAAAAAATCAAGGTATTCAAGCCTGCATAGACATCAGGCTTCGTCGAACTAATTCAGCCTATAGTGCGACTTGCGGCGACCAGTCTGCTCCCGCTGCACCCGATTTCCTAGGGAATGTGTCTATGACCTGAGTATCATTAGGCAGATTCGGCCCCAAGAGTCAACCCTTCGACGTCCTGTAGTATTCTGTCCGGAGATATCAATCCAACCAACAGAGCCGAATGCGCCGGCCCTTGTTCAACAACCGGTGTTGAGGCTGTCCCCTTTGCTATCGTCGGAGCAGTCGAAATTCTTCCTGCACATCCTGAGCACCGAGACGGCTCCGTCGCTTTTCCCCGCCGCTCCAAAGCTCTTCATCGACAGGCTGATCAGCTCGGCAATAGAAACTCCCCATCTTCTACATGCACTGCTTGCCTCTGCCGCTAGCCACCATAGTCGACTGATAGGGGATGCGACCACTGAATCACGGGTGATGTGCTTGAAATTCACCAACTTATCCATTTCCGGTCTTCGTACTGCTATGAACGAGGCGAAGGATGTCCTCCGAGCGGAAACGGCCATGACGGCAATGACACTCTGCACGAATGATGTTTGCAATGGTAACATGCACATATGGAGGTCTCATTTGTCGGGGGTCATGCACCTACTGAAAGTCATGCTCAACGTCCCGCGTGGGTCCTTTGACAACAGCGATCCTTTCGTCTTGTGTCTAGTGAAGTGGTTTGCCACCCTCGATATTTTAGCTTGTGTTTCCGGGGTCAATACGGGGGACACGCTTGAAGGTCAGGATACAATCTTGAATAAGCTTCCCAGTTCTATCACAGGTTATGTAGATGACATCTGCGGTTATTCATTGGAGTTAGTACCCTTACTTGCGCGAACTGCGCAACTTGCTTGTCAAACCGGTATGCATGCCGCTTCCGGGCCCTGGCTACTAGACCTATCTGTACAAGACGTTGTGAGCGAGGCCAAATATCTAGAAAATGCCATCCTTGCCGTCACTGAGCGAGCGGCTTCCGAGGCGACATTGAAGGCCCATGGGCATGAGCTCTATAGCGAGTTGCGATACACACACCTTGCTTTTGTTCACTCCGCTCTTTTATATCTTCATCGACGTGTGCGGCTCTTCTCCAAAGAACATCCGATGGTCCGCAACGATATTATAAACATCCTGGACGCTGTTGACAATATTTCGCCCTTGTCATCTTCTAACATTTTGATTCTTTGGCCGATATTTAATGCTGGTTGTGAAACGGATATGATCAGCGACCGGGAACAAATCCAAGATCGTATGGCTTATATGCAAGATCGTGGCTTGGGCAATTTCACTCGCGCTCGAGAGTTGATGAAGGAATTCTGGGCATCAGATACATCTTTGCCATGGGATGTATACTTCACCCTGCATGGCCGAGAGCTCGTCTTATTCTGAGTGCCCAGCCATGTTCGTCGTGAATCAGATTTTACAGTACAGGAAATCTCCGGAGGATTGGAAATGACTTCCGTGTCGTCAATTGGAACGCGTTTCAAAATTTTCAATATATACATTGGAGAATCCGGACGACTTCTTGCTCTACCCAAGGCTCCAAAGTCACTCCTTGGAAACGGGAATTTGTTCATATCCATCTTGCAAAAACATCCTGAGTGCTTGAAGGCCGTCTACCAGAACCTGGGTTTCCTGAACATACCCCAACCGAACATATCCTTTGAAGTCGGTTCCACCTCCAAAGCAGTCACTTCCCGGGGCCAGCATAGCCCCGGTTGTATCTTGGAGTTGCTCACAGAATGCAACATCATCAATAGGATGTCCTTGCTTATTAGTGATCTTCAGAAAGCCAGTTGTTCCGGCTTGTGGCCGTACCCACTCGATAATTCCTTCATATTCCTTGACAAAGGCTTCCAGGATATCCGCATTCTCTCGAGCCAGGGAGAGATTCCGCTGCAGCAGCCGATCCACAACCGGCGCCGACAAAGCATAAGATGCTACAGCGTCGTCAAGTTGACTGACCGAAATTGTGGTGTAGTGGCGAGTCGCTGCGCACGATTCGATGATGTCCCGGCTGCAAGACGCAATCCAGCCTAATCGAATCCCTGCCAAGCTGAATGCCTTCGACATTGATCCCGTGGAAATGGTTTTTTCATAGCCAAATGACAGGATGGACGGAGGGTACTCCGGGCTGTCTGGCTGGATTCCATGGAAAAGAGGCCGGTAGACCTCATCACTGTGGATGATTATATCATGCTCCCGAGCGAGATTAACAATCGCCTGCAGCTTCTCACGCTTCAGGACTGCCCCGGTCGGGTTTTGTGGATTGCTACAACTCGTCAGCCATCTCCATGTTCTTACTCTTGAGTGCACCTACTTGATAATAATGACCCTGGTGTTTTCCTTGATCAACTCTCTCAGCTCGTTCACATCTACGTCCCAACCCTGCTCCTCGCGCGACTTCCACAGACTCACTTCTGCGCCCAAAGACTCGGGCACGGAGTACAGCTGCTGATACGTTGGATACTGACAGATCACATGGTCGCCCGGTCCAACAATCGTATACAGGGCCAGGAAGTTCGCCTGAATCGCCCCGTTTGTCACGAGGACTTGATCAGCCGAGATGGATTGGTCTGTTCCAGAATCATAGCGCTTGGCGATGTTGGATCGCAGGCCGGAAGTTCCGCGGATCGCGCCGTAGGTTTGCTTCTTGGAGAAATCGAGGATAGTGGAATTGGGGTTGTCGGAGAAGGAGAGAAGGTCCTTGAGAGAGATGGACGCGCAGCATGTTTCAGCGAGATTGTACTTTGCATTGTTCTCGTGGTCGTCCATCCACTATAGTTGGTTAGAATATTCTACATAAATGGGGTTGGGATGTACGCGAGTAGATGTAGAAGAGACATACCCGCTCCACAGCGAATTCATTGATTTTGACCATATTGCCTGTATTTGCGAACTTAATAGGTTTTGACTTGATTCAATAAGGAGAAGTTCGTTTGGAATTCGGGCTCCTGGCACTTCAATATATAGACCCCGGTGGAGTTTTTCCTCACGATTCCCAGCGATGGATCTGGCCGGGCAAGCGCCGTGATTGGTCGAATCGCGTGTACTTCCCAATTCGGAAGCCCTCAGCCGGGTCAACGTGACTCTTCCACCGCTTTCTTCTCCTTCTCCTTCTTCTTCCTGAGGTACGGAGGTCATTGGAACCCTTTGATTTCCTATATACTCCGCCCACTATAGAAGACACGCTTTCATTACTTCACACCCCACGGATTTTCGGGTGGGGCTTTGCCTTGGTAGCCGGACCGTTCGTTGATTGGCCATTTGCTCATTTTGCACTTGGCTGTTAACTATGACTTCGAGCAAATGCCGATATGCTAAACACTGCCAGTTAAAAGGGGCAGGAATGAGTACGAGAGGCGAAGCTTGCTCGCTCACGCTAGAATCCGTCTTCATCTAGCCATTGCTGGAACCCTCACTTTTGTGAGTACAATCTCATCGATCAATCAATGATTTATCAACTGGTTCGTGTCCGGCTATGTTGGTATCCATCTATTCATGGACTTCAATCATCCCAGCCACAAGAAGTCATCAGAGTCAAAAAAGGGAACTCCTGCACTCTCCCCGAGAAGCCGCTAATCTCCGTAAAGGATTCCCAGAGCCAGATGTTGTCGGTCTTACCGAGAGAAACACTCTCCGAAAGAACCTTGAGGGCAGCTTTACCCCTTTTCGCAGAATCGGCAATCACGCTGTAGGATTCGAGCACGTGCATTGCGGCATCCCAGGTACGAGAGGTCGTAGATTTCTTCGAGCTGTTGTCTCGGCCTTCGAGGAACCGCTCGATTAGGATTACCGTGGCAGCTGTAAATACGTCTAATCATTGAGCAAGACAGGTTGTTAGTCGGTGCTGCTGAGAGAGAGGGGACAAAGTCGTCACAGGACAGATTATCTGGGGGACCCACATAGAACGGAATACCACCATGATGGAAGGGGGCTTAGATTAGGTGCCCTGGGGTCGAGTTTGCTGTTGAATATGTCGATCAATTCGTGCGCAAGTAGGAAGCACATGCGCGAACATTGGGAGAGCATCACTTCAGAGAGACTGGTGTCGGTGGAATCCAGTGCCCTCTCCGTAGATACTGGGTTGCTGCGCTGACAATAGTTGATCTAGACAGGTCGGAATAGTAGTATACGAATGTGTAGAGACCTGTTAGGATATTGGTCGATCGATTTTTCTTTCGATTGGCGTGGCTTCAAAAGACTGACCGAATTCTCAAGACTGTTGCTTGTCGGTACACAATAGACTCGTCGTCGCTGGCAGCAGGGTCAAATTGCAAATGATCGAGAAGAGACTGTCTCCAGGTATGTATCCTCCTGTCTATCTTAAGTACATTAGGAAGATTTGCCTCGAATCCCGCCTCCTTCTTCGAGGTGAGATAAATTTCTAGAAGGATATCATCCAGAATTTGATAGAGCTCAAAGGCCTTTCCAGCGAAAGCCAATGTATAGGGGTTTCCATCCGGTCGCTTTTCGGAGCCCTCTAGCTGTGTTTCAAAGAACTCATCATCAATCATGGATAGGAAGGGGATCGAGTTGAAAAGCCACTTGGGAATCATTCCCGGACGGCCGAGCGTAGCAGACAACACTCTGTGGGTAGACATCAGCAACCCAGATAATGAAACCTGTCACTCTTGACTCACCGATCTAACCAAACACACCGGTGCCATGTACGTCGCGTATATTCTCGATAGCCGACAGTATTACATGGGACATGCTGGTCAAGGTATAGGCCCAAACTCTGAGCCATCCGGATGGCTTCGCCCACGGTCATCCAACATCGCAGGATGTGGTTCGTGCTCTGCAGATAGATGCCAAATAGCAGCAGGCACTGCACTTTATCCAAGGATGGGGTATACTGCGACCGCTGGAATAACCGCATGCGCAAAGAAATCCTGACTAAGAGAGCTAAGCTGCTGTGGTGGTAGCAACGCGCAATACTGAGATCAAGCCTCAGTCAGCCGCAGAATGGTACGTCGGTTTTCCCTCACAGATTTCAGGAGACAAAGAAAGTATGTTAAATTTGTTTCTTAGACAATGGCGGTATACTGTCCGAGAGTATGTTAGCCACTATACAGACAGAAAAACCACCGCCCTGCGTGGTGCAGTGGGAGGAATATGATGCCCATGTCAACCCTCGCCAATATAGTGTCTGGCGAAAATCGGCAATGACAGCTTTGGTATCCTTGATTGGACTTTCGTGCACTGCAGCTTCCGCTATAGGCTCTGCCGGTGTGTCTCAATATAGTGAGTACTGGGGTGTCTCCACGGTTGTTGTATCTTTGGCGACCAGTATGCCTCCCGATCTACTTCATCTTTCTTCAACATGTTCGATGGTACTCATGCTAGGCTGGACAGGTCTTTTTATGATAGGATTCGGAATCGGGTCCTTCATCTCCGGGCCCTTCTCGGAGACCTTCGGTCGCAATATTGTCTATATCGTAACCATGGTGGTCTTTCTGATCTTTATCATGGGTGCGGGCCTTGCACCCAACATCCAGAGTCACCTTATCTTCCGATTTCTGGCAGGTCTATTCTCTGCAACGCCACTAACTTGCGTTAGGGGAACGGTTGCGGACCCATGGGACCCTATGCAGAAATAATATGGCTTTATCATATACACTATTCCCGCATTCAACGAGCCGATGATCGGACAAGTTATTGGAAGCTACATCCCGACCACGCTGGGATGGCGCTGGTTGGAGTGGATCATGCTCATCTTTGGTGGATTTATGTTCATTATCATGCTTCTCTTTCAGCAGGAAACCCATCAGGATCTTCTTCTAACCTGGAAGGCGGCCGCCGTTAGGAAGTATTCTGGTCAACAATATTGGAGAGGGCCGGCCGAGGTCCGCGAAACGTCTCTATGGCAGCGGTTGAAGATCGCCGTGTCCAGACCATTCGTCTGGATTATCACAGAGCCAATCATCATTCTCACCTCCCTCTACCTCATCGTCATTTACGTCGTCCTCTTTCTTTTCCTCGAGGGATACCGGTTCATCTTCGAAGGCACGTACCACTTTTCCCAGGGCTTAAACAATGTCACTTAGGTCTCCATGTTTATTGGCTCAACCATGATTTCCCTCCAAGCTCCCTTCATCTGGCGAATCACACGCGATCAACAAGCTCGCATCGGCCGAATTGACCCCGAGACTCGACTATAGTACGCATCAGCCTGTTCTAAATGGCCTGGACCAGCTATGTAAGTGTCATCCCTCCAGGCACGAACTTAGTGCTAATACCTCATTCCCCTAGCCACACATCAGCGTCTGGTCGCCCATCATCGCGTCCGCGGTCTTTGGATTTGGCATCACGACTGTCTTCGTTAGCGCCCATCTATATGTGATCGACGCCTACGAGAAGGGCGCGGCGTCCGCCTTTGCCATGCTCGTTATGCCCCGATATCTCGCGTCTGGTCGGATCACATGCGGTTGTCCATGATTAGAGAGTTTAACGCTCATGAGAAAGGGGAGATACTTTGGTCTACGGACCTCGAACGCATCGCTCTATTGGCCATGGCTTCCTGGACAATAGATATCTCGGTTCTTAGTATAGATTAAATCGGCTGGCTTTGCTTTGACTTCATAACATCGCACGAGCAAAGCATCTCACAAGACTGAAGATTTCAAATTTGCCACCATGGACAGACATGAATTCTTTTCGAAGTGTGACATCCCCGGGAATGCTGTCTTCTCCACAAAAAGTGATTTCTTTATCCTCCCCGCCAAACAATGGAGTCCCCGCAACCCCCAACACATATCGAGAGAACCGCAACCAAATGCATCATAAAGATCGAGGATCATCTTCTAGCATCGGAAATGTAGTTGCAGGGCAGATTTCAGAACCGTGCCAAGGTGCGCCCAAACTTTCCTCCCGTCTATTGGGCGTCTTTGTCTGCAGACTTGGCGGAGCTCAGTGGCGCAAGGCGGTTGAAAGACTTCCTCGTACGAAGGCGCTGAGGCGATGCTCGTCCTATTGGTGCCTACGGATGACTGGTGACGCTCTACCTCTTGAGTCTTGGAGAATCCTGAGCAGTGTTGTCTTGTCAATTGATTCTTCAGTGATCCTTGTGCAGGATATTCCCTGCCTAATCATATAAATTTAAGTAAAACGCGCACCCCTGTAAGGGAAATCTCCTGGGAGAAAGATTTTCTTCCCCACTTGTGTTCTTCACATTGTCATATGTAACTCATTCTGTCTGCAGGCCATCGTGTCTATATCACTGGTGGTTGGCTTCTGTTCCAGCTGGCACTTCCCTAGTCGCTTGCAGACCTACCCTACTGCTTGCTGGTACTTGCTGGTGCTAGCGCAATTCACGTGGGTGTTGCTGTGCAGACGCTAGTGAGCGACATTCACGAGACTCTCCCTTTCATTCACGTTCTAGTGTGCACTCGCGCCCTTCTCCAACCCCCTCTTCGAAGATCTGAACATGAGTCAGCCCAAAAGTCGGCTTTTTATCGGGTCATCTCATTCTCCAGCCGCCTCGCTCTGATCGATTATCTTGCACAACTTGACTAAATCTGCTCTGACATACTCTGACAACATGGTGTCGGATTTCGCTGCGGGGGATATCGTGACCCTCACAAAGACAGTCTGGGACCTCTACCACAGCTGCTACCTCGTGGCCAGGGATGCTCCCGACGGATTTCGAAAGCTTGTTGACGAACTTGCATCTCTACAAGGCGTCCTCTGTACGCTACGAGATGATGTCCAGTCGAATACCATGTTCTTTGAAGATCTAGGAATCGATCGCAAGAGTACCTTGCAACGATGTCTGACCGGCTGCTTCAAGACCCTGCAGCGCCTCAAGGGCCTGATCACACGATATAGGAACATGGGTGTCGGCGACGGCACGCAGTTCTGGCAGAAGGTTAAATGGGCGACGCAACGGTGCCAGATCGATGAACTCAAATCAAAGATCATGGTCCACGCGTGCAACCTTAGTCTGTGTATGAGCTCCATAGGCAAGTGAGTATTTCCTCCCCTCCTTCATCAAGCGAACTACCTTCTCACCCACCCAGTTCGTCCTTAGAAAGGATCGAAAAGTCTATGATGAATGCGCTAGACCAAGACCGCGTTATTTCTGCCTCCGAGGCTCCTCCGCAGGTTGAAGAGCAGCTTCCATCCTCAACAATGAGGCGATCTGGCTCTATTCACAGCGATGAGGGGATTGAAATTGATCTGAAATCTGTCAACTACACAACATGCAACCCCCCCACCACTTTGACAATGCGCTCTCGCAGTTCGACCTCTTCCGGCTCCCTTACGTCGACTCTTTCCGATAGCTCTGGCTGTACCGGATCTTCAAAGTCGCAGTCGGTTCACTCAACAAAACCGTCTTTGAAGCGAAGCAGAACCGGAACAAGCTCGAGCTTTTCATTTTCAACGCACGATACAGGCCTGTTCGAGGCTCGCACTTTGGAATCTGGGAGCATGGAATTTTATCAAACACCTCAGGATACCTTCGTGTCCGAGATCTATGAGCCTTCTCTGACCAAGAGCCCCGATCAATCCGCCGTCATGGATGCCGTCTCGCATGCGATGCAGCAGCTTCAGCAAATTCGACTGCGTGATCAACTGCATCGACCGCTTCGCTACGAGCCGCGCGACAAGTTTCACCAACCTTCTGATGAGCTGGTCATGAAGTTTGATAGCTTAGCCCATGATGAGCTGAAGGTTCGCAGACTCAATACGAATGATTGGCTTCGTATTGCTGTTTGGTGGTTGTTAAAGGTATACAACTTCCCCCTCGATCGCCGTATTCGCTTGACCCGCTGACAATTTTCAAGGCGCGGACTACGCTGGCAAACTGTGAAAAACCCTGTCTTACCAATTCCAGAGGCAGTGTCAGCCCTCCGATTGAATCAGAAACTACCAGCCATCAAGCATACGTCGACCTTTTGAAGGCCGACTACATCCTGTACGACATAGTTCTGGTAGATGACACCTGTGAAGCAGTCTTGTCCGATGAAAATAGGAAGCTTATCTTTGATCTGTCCGAGGTACCTTTCACATCTCCCGAGACCTCATTCTGCATCATCCTAACACACAAACAGGGAATCAAGAGCGAATTCTCGCAGTTCACCTCCGTCGATATTCCCGAGTATTCGACCATCTATTCCCAGAATCTCGATATATGGGAGCCCTTGCAGCCTGAAGAAGGGCTAGGGAATGATGGTTATACTCTACTCGGGTTGGAAAATGTGCGATGGATTGCGGTAGATCAAGATGACGCCGGGAATGAAGAGGAGAAGGTTCTCTTCCGAACATTTGTTAATGCCGGCATCGGGAGCAAAAGACTTCGCATGCGCACCAAAGGTGCTCCGTACATGCTATTGCTGTCGACGAGGGATGGTGAAAGCGAGCCAAAAATAACACTTTTTAACCAGAGTGGCACTCTCTGCTTACAGCGAGATTGTGAGTTTCTCTCATGAGCGGCACGTCTATGCTCAATGTTTTCTAACAAGTTCGTTGCAGTCGTCCCCGACGATGTAGCTCAGCTTGTACGGATCTCTCAGGCATCCATCAATGGTGTCCCGGGTGCGAGGGTATCAGAGCCCGTGATCCTGAAATTCGAGTCACGGAGTGTCTCCATATCCTTCCAGTACATGGCAGATCTCATGCAGTTTATTGGCCTGCCAAGGGCCTACTTCGACGCGGTTTGGCAGCGAGAGCCCATCGACTCGCCCGAGTTTTCAGAGGCTGTCCTCTTCAAGAGCTCGCTGGAACTGTTTGAGCAACTCAAAGCTGCCACTATGAAACCCATGAATCCCCCTATGGTCCATGGATCATGCGAAGTACGTATCTTGGAGCGTTCCTTCGGCAAAGCCTGGCGATCGGTTCGACGACTCGTCATCAGCTCCTCGGCGGCGGAGAAGAACCCACGGTGCATGGAGCTCTTCCTGCCCCTGAGCCGTGTTCAGGTCTGTCGAGTGCAGGACTCGCGCCAGGTGCTGATCAAATGGTCAGACACCCGCCAGGAAAGGTCCACCAAGACGGACGGCAGCTACCATCCGATTTTCTCATACGTCTACGATCCCAACAGTCCCAATGTCGGGCTGAGCTTGCATTTCCGGACCCAGCAGCAGGCCGAGCAATTCGAGAGGGTCGTCTTGACTGTGTCGCTCAAGCCCATCTTCTGGTGGTCTCAGGCCGGTACTCCCGGGCAAGTGTACGACGTGGTGGACCACACCATCGACCAAAAGCAGTACAAAGCGGTTTCGGTCCTTCACACTCGGCTGTCCTGGAAGTACACCAATCTGTACTATCTCTATCGCGACGCAGATTATGCCTACGAGCATGCGAATCGCCGCGTCCATTTCCCCCGCTTGTTCTCCGCTGATTACGTCTCCTCGCACGTGGACAAGCTTTACCAGCCCGACCGACCGGTGCATTTCTCTCACTGCGAAAAGCGCATGGGAAATTTCACGGTCGTGTTCAAGGAGGAGCAATCTCTTCGCGGATTCATGACCGCACTCGCATCGGCATACGAGCTTGCATTCTCCCGTCGCGCCGTCTCCCTGACCACAAAAGGGAAGAGCCTGTTTGGATCGAAACGGTCCAGCAAAGGCGATACAGAGGTCCAGCTCTGGAGGAAAGGGAATACCATTCAATTTGCCTCGCGCTGGAACAACCGGGTCACGGATAAATGGCTCACGATGTCCGTGTTGCCGGGGACTCTTCCGTCATCGGATGGCAACCGAGTAGTTTTCCCTGCCGTTACTTATTCGCGAGGAACGGTTTTGAATATGGCTACAATCATGGCGGGGGCACCGAAGGATCCAAATAAGTTGAGGATGAATGGGCCTATCGCTGTCATGTTTCCAACCGTTGAAGGTGTGCATTCCTCATGTATATATCTCCCCGGCAGTGGACGATGATCACTAACAACATACGTGATGATAGATCGAGAAGAGTTTGTGGATATTCTGAACGGCATGTCGATTTGATCATATGATCCAGAGGATTGAGAAAAAGAAAGGAAGAAGGAATTAACGAATGAATGCCCTTGCAGTTGTGGTGTTGCATCGTCTGCTTTCATTGCGCCTTGAGGGTGTACGGGTGAAGCTTAATGAGGGATGGCAAAAACGGCCTCTTTCTATTGTTCACTAGATGTGATAGACCAATGAATCACTGCTTTCAATGGGAACCAAATAAATAAATAAATAAATAAAGAGAAGAGAGAAATACATAATGAATGTGGTTTGGGTCAAGCGTGTGGGTTCGGCCGAGGACAAAAAAGTTAAAACCACCAAAAAGTTAGTCACGCCCGGGATCGAACCGGGAACCTTCTCGGAACTGCTTGGAGAACCAGGCGTCGCTCACTTGAGTGTGAACGAGAAATCATAACCATTAGACCACGTGACTGTTGCTTGTCTATTCAGAGTTGGAAGTGGTTATATGACCTTCACTTTCTTCATGTTCCACCAGCGTTGCACTGCAGCAGGAACTGATCGCGGACTGATCGCAGCACAACAACTCGACAACGACACCCTCATGCTCGTGCCAAGGGATAGACCCCACGACCAAGCAACTTGTGATGGAGTCTACCGCTGCAGACCACCCGCTGACTGTTGCCCCGCTTGGTCATTTCGAGCTAATGCTGTCCGGCAGGTTTACTAGATATCTGCAGGTGGCCGTGAAGAATCACCCCCAGGGCGACTGTCGGAGACAAACTCTATCCAACTAGAGTTGATGATGAGGTTGACTCCGCCACTCTGCTCTGGAAACGCAAGCTCTTTCTTCTTCAGCCATTATTTGTCACTAACTAGTCAACAGGATTTAGAGCCCCGGTCAACGTAACCTTCACCCCCAGCTCCTCCCTGTATGACTCAATCTAGGTCGATCCCGTTCACGGCCCCTGTGATCGTACGAGAGAAGCCAGGCAGAGAAGTCCATGACCGTTTCTCCAGGCCCTAGATTTGACGCACTCGACCAGTCATCCGCGCGATCTTCTGTTGCGCCTTTTCTTACGCGTGCGCCTTGCACGTGCCGGCCGCATGACCTTGTTTCCCGGAGGGCGGAGTGCTTTATAATCTCGATGCGTCTGCCGGCAAATCCCCCACGATTTTATTATAGAGATATGCCTTTCGTTTCACCCCGTTATGACTGGAGAGTGCCCGTTTGGCGAGATTCGGGTCTTTCGTTGCGGAGGACGTCATCTATCCTTTGCCACGAGGGTTTATTTTGCCCCGGGCTTGGTCTGTCTTTTCCATCTCACATTCTGTCTATCGCTCTGCTTCGCTTTGTTCCGCACTCGCGCTGGAGCTGGCTCATATAAACCTCCCTATCTCTTCTCATCGTTGGTAGAAGCTCTCAGATTACACCATCTTCATCCCATCCTCGTCTCCAGATTCGTTGACATGCCACACCTAGTCCACCACAGAAGACGCCACTCCTGGCCCTACTGCGGAGGGACGAACTCGCGTGAGCGACGAACCCTGCCCGTTCTCACGGCCCCTTTTGAGCCCTCGAACTCCTTCGAACGACCCTTCCCTACCCCCTTGGTCCCGGGAGAGCTTCCCGAAGACGACGCTGCGTGGGCGGGGATCGCCCGTGCCAAAACTTCCCGGTCCCGTCGTTTCTGGCTCTCCTCTAGACACGCGGTCTCCGAACAGCAGTACTCAACTACTGCCGCGGGATCTGGTAGCGGCGGCTCGCTGCGACGCATGATCCGCCCCCCGCTGGACAAGGCTCGTTCGCTCTTCGTGCTGCCGACGACCACCACGGCCGGCGACAATGTTTTTGTATCTTTTTGGGTTCCGCAGCGGCCTGAGCTTGGCGCTCCGGCTGGTCGGCTTCCTGACCGGGGTCGGACGCTGGGGGATGGTCTGGGCCATCTGTCGCCTGGTCGGAACCATCGTCGGTGTCATTCAGAACAGCCGCGCGCGTGGCGACGACCCAGTGCGACCTTGTGGACCTTGAAGGAGGAATGATTGTCCTGGGAGATTGGATGTACTTGCATGTCCTACCTTGATATCTATCGCGTTTTTGGTGTTATATTATCATCATTTCTTGGTTTGGCCTTTTGTGTTAATTTAATGCATTGCGAGCATGGTAGCATGATGATATTACGGATGGCGTTTGTTTAAACCGGAGGTGACCTTTTCAAGATCTTGGGTAAACACAATTGGAAAGAAGGAATAAAAAAGAAAAAAGAAAAGATCGGCTAAAACCTACCGTCTCTTGTTTTGGGGTTTCCTGTTGCCTATGACTCGATGGATAGAGAATGACAAAGAGAAATGACAGGAATAGAAACATGACCAAGGATCCAGAATGATCATCCGCGATGGTCATCCGTCCGGACGGTGGCACGGCGTAGGGCGAGCTCAGTAAGAACCGTAAACATGGTGTACCTCTTGACCCAGACAGATCCCTGATAGTTGCTGGTTCCTCTTTCTTTCCTGCCTGTGCCTGCAAATGAGTTCTCACTTCCCAGTTCCCCGCGTTCCTGATGATCTAATCTGCCGGGATCTAATCATCTTCTCCGTCAGTTACTGCGATCTCCGTATCTCCACGGAACCCCCGTGCCGACGAGTCTTGGCAAACAACGCTAAGGGCAACTACAGGACCTAGTGGGCACGCTATGATATCACCGGGCAAAGTAGAGCCTCAAACGGGCAAATTTTGCGGAATTCGGCACCGGGGAGTTTGCCCTGTCTCTCTGGCATTCTGTTTGCGCGGATAGAGATATTTTTCTTCACGGATGTGTCAGGAAGAGTCAGAGGGCCCGACTTCAAAATTGTTTGGGCAACATTCCACGGGAAGGAATGTACCGGTGTTATTGTAAGATGAAGAACGGAGCACGGAGCACGGAGTACGGAGGGAACCCTCAGTTCATCTCTCGACTGCTCCGTGGAAATTGAGAAGTGGAAATGCAAGCCGTAAGCACCAAGCATGCCGCTAAAACCGAGCCGGGGAATCATCCATGCCAATCTGGGTCGTGGCCTCATGGGGGCCAAGACTGGCTCCGTCGGATTGATTCACAATGACCGGAATGGGGCTAGTTTGAATTCTAGAATGGCGCTAGAAGGGACGGTTCGGTCGGGCACCTCTTTCGTGCAAGTGGCCCTACATGATGATTGTGAACTGTGAAGCAACGGAATGGACTGCGAGGGATGCTGGCTTCGAAGAGGGAAAGGGCGAGAGAAAGAAGGAAAGACGGAACGGAGAGTCGGAGTCCGAGACACGGGCGTGGGCATCCTCAGGCAGCTGCATTCGAGTGAATGACTGAGGCCACCAGGCAGCGGTCAATTTGGAGCTTCTCGACGGGTCGGACTGGGGGCTAGGCGGGTGTCATTGGCCATGACCCCTCGTAGGGCAGGGCTAACTTACCGGACTAACTGTTACAGTGTTAGTAGTACTCCGTACTTGCAACTCCCTCACCGACTGCCCACTCCACCCTGCCCTATCGGTGGGGTCACTGGGGGTCGTGCCCGCCCCGTTGGCAGCCTCTCATTCGTAGAGGCCTCGTTGATCAGTGATCACCTGCGAGTCCGAGATGGCATAAATACTCCCCTTTTCCCCGGTCTTTTCTCTCTGAACCATCGTTTGCCTCTCCTCTCGTACTTATCTGGCTTGTGTTACCTAGCTTCCTACCTTCCTTTCTTATTCACCCCGATCAATGAGTGATCAGCACCCTCGTCTCTCGCAGGAAGGAGTGCCTCTGTCTTATACCACGACCTCCAACACAATCACCTCTGCTTCCTCTCCTCCACCCAAAAAACACAAACTCTCTCTCAGCGCCAGCGGCAAATTCTTCCCCTCGCGTTCGTTCTCTCGCTCACGCGCTCGCTCAGAATCTCCCACTCCAACAGATCTGTCTCTCGACGTCCCTCGATCAAGGACTCGTCATCGCGCCGGAACTCTCGATATTCCGCGCAGTCATCCCCCTACTGAATACTCTGCTCGACGATCCACCAGTCCTCGCCCAATGTCTCCCTCCGTGAGCCAGGACCCGTCCGTGACCGCCCAGAAGCGCGTCTCCGGATCATCAGACACCTACTCCCCGCGTCGCAGCGGCGACGATTATCGTCGCTACAGCGGCACCGTCAATCATTACGGTCGTCACTCCAACGATTGGCTGTTCGGTGGCTTCAGCTTGAGGGACACCGTTCGCGATGGTGTCGAGAAGCTGCGCGGGTTTAGCGATAAGAGTTGAATCGTCGTGGACGGCCGCTCGAATTGATCGAGTACATCTTTTTCTTCCTTGATTTGCTTGGGATTTTAAGAACTATTCCACCGGAATTTTCGACTGCTTGTCTGAACTATCGGACAGCACTTATTCATCCACCTCATACTGGGAATGCGTCTGCAGGCACCACCCATTGACGCGATCAGACATTGTCGTCGTCGCGCGTCCTAAGGTTTACCCTCGACGGAGCTCATGTGGTCACACCTACTTGTGCGCGCAGTTTTGCCGTTCTGGATGCGCACCCGCTACTTCGCCTGAGATGACTATCTATCGGCACAGTTGCCGACCGGAAACAGATACTCGGGGTCATCGGTGGAGGGGTAATTTATGATTTACGACATTGCGTTTCTTGATGAAGCTCTACCGTTCATGTCTGCTATGATATTATTTTCATTTTTCACAAGTATTTAGGTCTCAATGCCACAGATGCTTGATGCATATTTTACATTTCTTCTGGTGCCAGAGTAGAGAAGGTAGAATTATTAACATTGAAATTGGCCGAAAGATCTCCACTGCACATATGCAAAGCCATAGGTATGCAGTCGAGAATTGCTAAGCAACTGCCAGATCCTGTCAGCATGTAAGGTTATGAGTTCGAATTGGTGCCTGAACCATCAGGCACCATAGCTGTCAGGCGTAGATGTAGCAACATTATAACAAGTCTTATGGCTTTATGATCCTGTTGTCGGTGTTACAGATTTAATTAGACTCTCGTAGCATTGAAGACGTACTGTTTTTCATTTCAACCCACTAACTCGCCAACCTCCCACAAGTTGCCTCCCCAAGAGAATCGCTTATATACAATATCTGGGCGCCCAGGGCACCGCAGTGGTGAAATTCGATGGAACGAATAGACGGAGGGATACTTTGTGCCTCAGGCATCAAGACACCCATTGCTACCTGTTGACGCAGGAACATTGGTGTTCTACAAACCGCAAGAAATTCTCAAATATTGGGACGGAAGTCGATGTGAAAGTATTAAACATTATATTCGGATGAAAGATGAGGGACGATGAAGGAGTAGGCCATACTATAGATAGTGTTTACTATGAATTGGCTGCATGACACCCGAGTCTCCTGGATCGCTTCCATGAGATAAATAAGGTTCATGGAGACTAGACCTAGCCCCTGTAAAAAAAAAAAAAAAAAGCAATGCAAATTAATCGGTTAAAACTGAAAATTTGTAGTATCCAGACTAACAGGACAGCCTGGTCCCTTGACCCTATTATCTATTCACCTGTCTTCTCCCTCCCTCTGACTCCATCGGGCCGTGAAGCAAAGTCTATCGTTTCCTTCTTCGCAGTCATGTCATCGTGGCCTCGCTGAGGTCAACCGTAATAATAGAATCCCCAAAGAATACCTATGCGCGCTGCCAGGCCGCAATGTCCGTAGCTGAGATGCCTATGTTTTCGGGGATCAGGCTTTGAAGTTTTGACACTTGTGACGGTGCTGTGGCATTTTCAGTCAGTTACTCTCTCAAACATTCCTGAAGCTTATGTATGGTGTACCTGGACGCTGAGAGGGGGAAGCTCCTCCGTGCACGTGGATGACTCCCGAGTCTACGTATTCTCGCGTGGTAACTCCACTGGCCGTAGCAGCTCCTAACATCACTCGTAGCCGGTACCGTCCAGGTTGCGTGATAGTTAGAGGGCTGAATTGGCCGTAGCCGTTGTTCGTGTTCCCATTGCGACTGCGCACGCTGGAAGTCAGCGTGCCCATCAGCCCCGGAATTGCCGCTGTCCCGGCCTCGTTTCGCAGCGAGATGTTCAAGACTAATTGCTGAGTCGGGCTTGCTCTTGTGCTGCCGACGGGTCTGACTGCGACAATCACTGGTAGTGTGAACGGTGTCCCCGGATGTGCGGCACCTGGGGGTGCGATCTCGAAGGCCATGCCGTATTCGCGACTTGAACTGCCAGAGTCCGCTCTCGAAGCAACTTGAACCATGATGATATTTTTGAATGTCAGAAAACAAGCGAAGACAGAACGATGAGAATTAAATATTAAGGCGAGTAGGGCAAGGTCCTTGCGAAATTTGGCTTATGAGAGATTAGGGCCTCCAACGGGGAGAGAGGGGGTAGCAACCAATGTTAACCTTGAGAAACTGGAGTTGAGAGACTGAACAACATCAACGGTGCTCCCTCGTGTCTTCATATACCTGGACTCCGAAAGTCACCGCATCATGAGAAGCTTGATGTGGTAGTCGTAAACTGAACCAAAATAGCACTCAGGTAGGTAACAGATTTTTGGAATTTTCTTTTTTTCGCCACCACCAAAACAAAAACTATCATCGATAGATCCAGAACGGCAAAATTCTACAGATCTGCATCCATCGTACTTCTGTCGCGAACATGACGGTCATTGCAGGGTCTCCTGACGTTGGGTACTGATAGGAGCTGCACGATCCTGCAACAAGGGCGTTTGCATGGGAGGTACCCGCAAGTGGGTTTGATTAGTTGGAAAGTTTCAACTTGTTTTTGTGTTTACTTTATTTGCTTTTCCCGTTCGTCTGTCTTTGAACTGCTCGTTTTTATACGTAGCAATTAGGGCTATGTGGGGAACTATCCTGCAACTCGATGGCGTCCAAGAGATCGCGTTTGCAATTTCCGAAAGTTAAATTTGGATTCCAAAGTGAGACGTCAATCATGTCTTGGGGACACTGCGTTCTGGACGAACCTGACTGGGAAGCTTAACCTAGCAGCCCTGTCTCTCGCACCTATGAGATAACTTTGACAGCTCCCTCTGGTTGCTCTCTTTTTCGCTTTTTCTGCCATTACAAGTCTGTTTCCCCCTGGCAACTTACCAGGGACCCTTCGCCCGTAGGAAAACTAGGTTGGGCGGAGGAGTGGTAGAGTTTCCTAGAATTCCTTGGATAAAATCAGGAATGGGTCGTGCGCCGCCTCTCTTCCCCTCAATTCATCCCCTTGCATGCAGAGATCTGCTCCCAAGATCGAGCTTGAGGTCTGGAGAGGGGTGACATGAGAACGCACCCACTCGCGCATTCCTTCTTCGCAGTCTATTCCCAGTCGAGACACCCGGGCTTATGGTTCAATCCCGAGAGCAGACGCCGATTAGACTAGGACCCCAGTCCTGATCGTGAAATGCTGGGCACCACGTTTTCCCCGATCCGAAACGTGCTTTCCGCCATGGTAGTAGGCAGTTCCCTGTCAGGGTCACAGATCCCGTCAGAGAGAAACTAGTGGGCGGGTTTACGAGATGATCCGAGTCACATTTGCAGTCACTTGCGGCAGTCCTTCTGGGCCAGGTAAGGTGGTCAGTACTGCAGGATGGAGATGCGGTCGAACGGATGCTTCCGGATTCAGAGGGGGGATTGTCTGGCGACAGAGGGCCAGATCCACCGATAATGCGTTCCGAAAAGGATTGAGGAAGTTTTGAGAGTCGATCGCCCGGGAGAGAAAGAGGAAGGGGAGTGCGAAGAGGGCGAAGAAGGAAAAGACGCAGCGGGGCGGACTGGCCTAGCCGCGCACGAACTTCGCCACAGTCTCCCTGGAATCAGCCACACTTGTCAATCACGCTGGCGTCTCCACCCTCAGCCTCTCCTTCTCCTCCTTCTTCCTTCCCTTCCATCTCCCCTCCTCGGGGCCATCGTTCCTCTGGCGAAACCAGAATCCCGGGTTTCGCATTCTTTGGTACAACGCTGTTGCCTGGAACGGCAAAAAAAAGTCTTCTTTCTTTGATTTCTGACCTGTTCCTTTCGTCCCTTTTCGGTGCCATCGGCTGGTGGATCTACCGAATCCTTCCCTCTGGGTCTCCACGAGCTTGATACGGTGGGTCGATTCTAAACAATTATTGTAAAGTTCAACCTCGATCATATTGTCTCATCGCAATCACACTCGAGCATCCCAATGCGCCTAGATCCTGGTATTATTGACCGGGTTTCCGTTCTACCGTCGGTAGGGCTATGGTCCCCGATATCCTTCCCATCCACGCGAGGCACGATCTCGCAGCAGCCACCGTCGATCATTCCAGCGGAAGGGGCAAGGTCACTGACAGGGCCGATGGGGATATCTGTTCGGCGGAAAGGATGCGAGCAGAGTCAATAGCCTTCTGCGGCCATATTCCCAAGGGGAAGGAGATAAGCCGACAGCGTGAGAAAACCACACCGATCTTTCCATTTTGACTTTGGATCGTGTCTACTATCCCAAGATGATCCCGAATTGGGTAGGACGCCGTACTAGTAGGTACTACCTACAAGGAGCCGTGGGCCCCGGTATTTGGAAAGCGGGTACTGAATTTCCTGGAATCGCGATGTCGTACCTAGGGCTGCTGGGTAATTCTGATTTGATTTTGATTGTGTTTGCAGCGGACCTTCCTATTGCTTCTGCCTGCAATGCAAATGCAAGATCGATCGGATCTATACTCTAGCTTCGGTATGTGGTCATGGGGACCCCCTCTGATTGGCCCTACGAGCCACACTAAGTGGCTGAGGCAAATAGTCAACGGTGCCGGTTGTGGCGGTGAAACTATCAGGGTCTCCTTCGGTCTTGTCCTTACTTCCTTTTCCTCTCCCTCTCGGGGGATGGTCATGGTCCAAGTGATTGTTAGCCACAGGAGTTGATTGACGATCGCATTGCGTCAACTGAATCTGGCATTCCCTGTCATCCGACTTGTTGAGACTCAACCCACCGTCTCCACTTGATGAATCCTGCCTCTACTATTCACCTAGTTGCTAATCCCGTCACCAAATTAAACACATTACTTCGGATCTGGCATGGATACACCGCTTAATGCTTGTATATCCGCTATGCATCTTTGGTTGCAGGAATGACGGCGCGGAAGGATCCCTGGATTGGCACCTAGGATTGTCGAAACATCTGTGGAATATCCACATGCGGACCCCTAGTATTGCCCGTGGCTACAACGAAGTCCATAGATTTAACACGAATTTAGCCTATTCACACCGTCATTTACAGCCATGCTAAACGCAGTTACGATGTGAAACCCGAGAATCCATATTAACTAACAAGACATGCAGATTCGTCAAAGCTGGGTGCCACCACGTCCGTCCTGCTTCCTTCCGGTCCATCCGCAAAGTTTACCAAATACAGGTTAGAGGGAGAGCATCCTGGCTCCAGCGGATTAGTTCCTAGTCACTCAGCACTTCATCTAATTTGTGGCAAAAACATCCAGCCGCCAGTGCCTTTCACTTCCCAAACCCGGCCATCCAGCTGAGAAAGGTCAGGCTAAACACCGACGGGAATTGAACTTTCTTCTTGATCCAATCTGTCCTGCCAGCAGATTCATGGGGCTTAATTGTGGCGCCTCCTCGGCGCAAGCTATATGGTCCATCGACCGAGTGGATCTTGAACAGAACAGAAGTTGAAAAGTCCATATTCAGCTGTCGCAGAGCATATTTCCCGATTCTGACTGTCCATTAGCATCATCGAGATGTCTACCCTTGTCAAATCCAGCCAGATGCATGGATGTCCTATAGCGGTACAAAATGTATACGAAGTATCCAATCAGACAGAATCTGCCGCCTCTTCATTGCAAACAGGACTAAATAGACTGGCTTCACATTCCCCTGGTTTTCGATTAATCAAATTCAATGGCGTGAACGTTGCAATTGCAGCTGGAAACTCGCATTAGTGACCTGGTTTGGTTTTTGTGTAACCAGCCAGGCTCCAGATCTCAGTTCCGTTCGAAGCTATGCATTCTAGACCTTAACCGCAAACCTAGCATCCAGGAAATCACCAGCTCATTTCGTAGAACGAGCTGATTAATTGGAAAATAGAGACTAACAAGGCCGCCAGAATCACAAAAAGCAAATTCGTCGCACCATGCCAATTGTAGCCCTAGCCCTGACATTGGGTCTTCAGGATTGGGCAGAAACGACTCAGTGAAGAATCTAGCCAAGCCTGAATTTCATTTGAAGGGGCCAAACATCCCATGTCACGGTTGGTTCTTCTGCTTACTATTTCAAGGGGTATCTTTCTTTATCTATCTCTCCTTCTTTTTTAACATTTTTGGCTTTTTTCCCTTGTCTCTTGCACCCTTTCTTTGTTCGTATTTCCAATTCCCGGACTTCATACTAATCCCGACTCCTTTCTTTCTCTTTCCCTATGTATCCAGTCTCGGGCCGTGCCACGGATCAAGCCATGATTGATAATAATGAATGGGAAAAGAACATCAGGCTTTCTGATGGCAAGGCTGTGGCTTGCACCCAGAACCTTCAGTGCATGTCTCGAATATTCCTCATTGCCCGGCGCTAGGAATTAAAACCAGCCCAACCTTGTGTTATCGCAGTCCGATCGACATGTTTTGTGGCGTTATGGGATTTGGACGTCCCTCGCGTGAGGAAAGCCTCGTTTCCCCTGGCGTGGTTGACAGTGTCCCCTTGATTGGTCGGCTTTGTGATATCACCTCGGTCCTCATTATTTACTATTACGGTCATTGCTTTCTGGACAGGGATATGATATGGATTCAATTTCAACCTGACTATAATTGCGTGTAGTTGACGGAAAATCGGGGAATTGATTGAATGCCAAAATAAGGGAGAAGGGCATGTCAAAAACAGTGAGGCGAAAGAGTGAGGCGACACAACTCAAAACTGCCATCTCTTCTGAGTCGAATCGAACCAGGGGATAAATTATCACCTGCACCAAAATAACAGGACCACGGCCACTGTGGGGACTTATCTGTGACTGAAACAATAACCCAATAAATCGATGCTGTCTCGTAGCTACCTGCCCAGTTGGTCCATTCAAAACTGACAAGTAGATCTTCCAAGCGTAGGCCGCGAAGAAGAGTGCTCGAAACAAGCAGTATAATGGCAATAGACACATGTTTCTGCACACTATCACTGATGCACCGGAGTCAATTTCACATTCAATGGTTTCTTTTCCCACACGTTGTAAGCCTTTTGATCATCCCATCCCTCACATTCTTCTTCAAACGCCAGGTCGAAGTTCCACAGTAGCTTTGCGGCAATCAGACGCATTTCAGCATAAGCAAGACTATATAGAACCGTCAGTACATGAGGTGTAACAAGATAGAGAGATGGGAAACCTACTTTCTTCCGAGACAATTCCGTGGCCCGTAGGAAAACGGCTGTTGGGCCTCCTTCTTGTCCGACGCAAACCGTGGATTCTTGTTATCGAGAAGCCAACGCTCTGGAAGGAAGGATTCTGGCTCAGCGAAATTCGTTTTCGAGCGAAGTGACGAGTACCACGCGATTGATACAGACGTCTAGAGATCGAATTAGTTAACATATTTCGATAGAAACTGCCTCAATAAAACACCCTTACTTGCTCCGGAACAAACTCTCCATTGATCAAAGCTCCTCCCTCTGGAACTCGCCTGGGCGCAATGGCGGGGACAGGAGGATACATCCGGAGACTTTCCTCGAGAACGGCATGTATATAAGAGAGTTTGCCAATAGAAATAAGATTGATGTCTTCATCTTTCTCAAACGCCCCTCTGATCTCATTAAGCAGTTTCTGGTAAATGATCGGATTCTTTAAGAGATAGTAGACACAGCCTGAGAGCACGGATGCAGTGGTCTCACTCCCGGCGAGGATCAGAAGATCTGCGTTGGCCTCCATCTCTTTTACAGTCATTCCTTTCTCGTCGTTGTGTCTGAGAACATAGGTCCAGAAATCAGGCCGAGTGGTCTGCCGATTCAAACGCTCTTGGACCTTTTCTCTGCTAAGATTATGATGCTTCTGGCGCATTTGTAGTAGCTTTGCCGGCATAAGAATGCTTAAAAGCGACGGCGGTAACAGGGTCCGAAAGGGCCGCATCAGTGTGCCGCCCTTCACGTTTTGGAAGACGCTTGTCACCCACGAGTGGTAGCCTTTGTTCTTCAGGCAGCCAAAGGGCTCACCGAAGGCCAGATCACCAATGATATCGAAAGTGATGTAATTGAACCATTTTGTCAAGTCCACGGTCTCTTTAGACGCCACTGAATTATTGAGCTGCTGTATAAGCAAGTCCACATATGATTGCAAGATAGGTTCCTGCTCTCTTAAGGCGCGATCGGAGAACGCATGGGCTAAGAGACGCCTCTGTCTTGAATGATTGGCATCGTCGGCTGCTAATAGCATAGGACCGCTTGGCGTGGGTGGGTAGAAATTTTGATCTTTGAGAAAAGACCCCTCGCCAGACTTACGATGGCCGAAGATATCCTTCCATGCCTGTGCATTGCGGTACACGAGCATGTTCGGACCTATGCGTACCACATCACCATACTGGCCGTGAAGATCTTTGAGCTTTGAATGTAAAACTCCGGTAAAGGTCCAGTAAGATTGAGTAAGATCCGAAATAGCCGCCAATTTAGGACCGGGATATTTGCTAAGGGGATGTAAATAAATATTGAAAATAATTTTCCACACTATGAAGGTGGTAGCCTGTTATCGTGTCTCTGTTAAGAACTTTTGCAAGAACCAAGTTGTGGAGATCAGCGATAAATCAGAACCTACCAGCACTGAAACCCAGAGTAAAGGGGACCCAAGGTCTGGAGAGCTCAAGTTTGAAATCGAAGTCATAACTATGACAAAATGTGAACCACGGTTTGTAAGCAAGTTATTTGGGGGAGAAGCCTGAGGGGTTCAAGTCCAAGTACAGAGGCGATCTTTATATCTCCGTCTCGTGCACTGGCATAAGTCTAATCCACTGAAGACCGACATATCGACAGCTGGGTGCGAGGCAATTGTGTTTAATTTCCTACTTGGCACTTCAAAAACCCATGCAATGCCCAGGCACTTCATAGAAGTGGCTTGGAGACAACTATGAAGACCAATGCACCTTCTGGATGATCGGGGCTACTCAGAGACACATACCCCGCCCGGTACGCGTGAAGTTGTATCACGGGACAGATGATGATTTGAATGGCACGAATTATCATTTGCAGAAGTTCTGAAGGTCAGGGATTCATGGTGGGCCGACATTATTCAATTTCATATTAAATGCAGCATGGCGGGGAATTCTGCGAGACTTCCCGCTCCATCGACTAGCTTCCCTGGCTTCACATTGGACCACTGAGAGGGGTAGAGGCGTCTCTAGCTCGGTCGATCACCGTTGACGAGACCTCGAAGGAGCGGGATGGAGCAGAACTTGTGTCGATCTCGGAGGTAACTAGTATTACTATCAGCATGAGTTAACATGATGCTGGCTGGGCCAACACCACCCCATGGCCCCCCGGTTCTGCGACGCGGAATGATGTCAAGTCAAAAGTACGACTTCATTGGATGCGATTGAGTGATTATCATCGAAAAACTAGTTTTCAGGTGGGGTCAGTCGAGGAGAGTCTCCATCGTGCACGGGTCAAGTACCGGACAGTGCAACCTTCGATGCCAATGTACCATACCTCACTCTGCTGCTGGCCTTGAATGAGAACGGGTATCGATATGGGTGTCCAAACTAAACCAAATGAATGGGGTGCGAGCAGAGCGAATGTGATGGGTATCCAATGACAGTGCACAATCATCTGACATGGGCCTCTGTTCTGCCACGAAGCGGGCAGGAGGAGATAACATATCTCGTTAACAGAGCGATGCAAGAATGATGAATGAAGATGGAGTGACATGAACCAGAGACGGAAGGAACGGCAGTGTCGCACGTGCCGAGTGGCCTGGCCTGCCTGGTACGGATGGAAGTCCAGCAACAACATCTCGACTCCGCTTCCCACCGGCCCTGCATGCTCACTCCAGGGCCCCTATTGTTATCAGAATGATTATTATCCGGCCACAGCTTTTGGCATTCATCAGATGGCACCCGTCTTTGCCCGACAGTCCCACAATCCCACTCTTGCTGTTCCCCGACCACAGGAAGTCCTCCCTAACATCCCCTTACCGGGCACAAAGTATATCGGTCTCAAGGTATTTCTGCAGCTCTTTGCAGGTACGATCTGTATATTCTTTCTTGCAGTCTTGTTTTGGAGGCTGGGAAGGTTCGTTCGGCGTTTCACCAGGGATCGAGTCCTCGGAGGAGGAAACATTACCGCCTCACGATATGCGAGGACATGGTATGGTTGGATACCATTGCAGCAGCATGAACACAATAAAGCACGACTCAAAAGATGTTTTCGCTGGATTCGGAATTGGACCTCCTGGAAATCATCCAAGGATGACTACAGCTGGGTGTGGTGGGACCCAAGGGAGAAGGAAACGAAAAGCCGCCGCAAGAAACAAGGACCGCTGCGATTGCTACCAGCCTGCTTCGAGGATTACGAGTACCCCACAGCCGATACGATTTGGGGGCCTTGTTCGCGCATGTCCCCCCTCTCTAACACGGGGCCATGTGTGCCATTCGCGATGTCGGGCGCTCTCCCGACTCGCGAGACCGCCAGGGTAACAACCAGAGAATCATACAGTGTATCCCGATGGAAACATAGGGAGAATGCCCCGACAATCCACGAGGAATCTATAGTGCTGGAAACAAACGGAGTCACATTAGAAATCGATGCTCGCAGAATTCTCAGCTGCAGTGCCTCAATCCAAAGCAGACTTCCGGCCGATGAAACCCCCGCAGCTTACATGAATAGACGCTTTCTTTCATTGGACCAAGGATCTCGATTCATGAGAGGCAACTGCCCTGTGGATATGTTCGCCGACTACGAGCAGTCACTAAGATATTGGCAGTCTCTCCCATGCCTTTTGACCCCGGAGCTGGTCTTGCAGAAGATGAAAGAGTGGTCACAAGTCTCACAGAATAGTGTGGAAAAAAACCACCTTAAGGCAATGCCCGACACAATCGAATTCCTCCGACGCTCTCGCAAATACCAGGTTTGGTCGGCCCGGATGGAGGTCAAAACAGCAGCCGATGTACGGTACGGCATGGGCAGGTTTTCCGCGCCTCCAGGAAGCCCTTGTTCAGAAATGTTAAGGAGCATCTCCTCTCAGCAAACCTTTTGCCTGGAATCCGTACGGAGAGCAAAAGGAATGATCGCTATGAGCGTTTCTTCTGAGTCAAGCGAGTTTCTTCGGGTCAGCGTTGGGCGGAAATCCCATCCTCGAGAAAGAGCTCGGTTAATACACCCCCAGAACGATGGCCCCGATGATGGAAGCTGGTCCTCCGTGCACATCCTCACTAGCCCCCAACCCTCGCGTTACTCAAGGGCCGGTACAGCCCCTTGGAAATTTCACGAAAAGGCTGCAAAACGTCTGGGGTCGCAAGCTCTCTCTGCGCCAGTTAAAAGGCCTGCCCAGACTGAAAAGCAAGCAGGCGAGAGACTGCAGACAGTGCGCACGCAAAGAGTCTCCGAAAATACCAAGAGGTATACGTTTCCGCAAGTAACGATACCTATTAGGTGTTTGAGTGACTGGGAAATCCGACTGATAGACGGTCTGGATCGACGCCTTGACTGGCTTTCTAATCAACTTAGTCCGGGACGGAGAGCGTTTCATTTCGCCATGCTTGCCAATCACTGGCTGAATAAGAAGACGTGGGTTGTCTATGACCCCATATCACGGGTTCCAATCGAAGCGAGACGACTACTAGGCGACCCACGATTTAACGTACCATATCCGCTTCCCGACTGGGGGGCGAAGCCGAAGTATCCGCAAGTGCATCGCAAGGTCGTTCATAAGCCCCGAATAGATTCCTGGAGGATCGCGATGAACAAAAACCGGCAGCATATGGGCCTCAAGGATTTCATAAAGGTTGTCGAATTACCTGATGGCTCAACTGAGGACCCACCTGACGGAGATGTCGACCCGGCGTGTTGGATCCTCCGCAAGCCCCCGCAGGGTTTCGGCACATCAAAAAAGCAGAAAGAGACCTACTATGAAGGGGGCGCGGGGTGGCAAGAAACGTTCGGTGACTGGCAGAGGGTCCGTCGGGGCTATCGCATTCACAAGGCAATCCATGAGGGTCGAGTTAACCGGGGCCGAGTTAAAGAAATTGGCCATGGCATCGCACGATATTCTAGAAGGATACAATCGGATGTCTTCTCACGGTCGCTCAAGTCGAATCAAGGACCACAATGAGCTGTCGCAACTGGAAACTGTCAGCGGTAAATAGCCAGGCTCTGGGGATTTAATCCATGTTGGGAACAGGTAATGCATCTGATATTCTTATTTCATGTCGCCGTCAGGTCGCGCTCATTCCCTTGCCACTTCTATCGCATTGAATTCGCCATATTATCTTAGCAGTTGCCCGACCGAACCGGATAGATTACTTTTGATGTTTCTGTTTTCGTCTGAGGGGCAAAAAGGCTCTGTGATATGGCATAAAGCCTCAAAGATGAACATTATAGATAACGTCACATTAACCAAATGCAATCATGGGCGATTTCCCCTATTGCCAAAAAAAAACTCCAATAACCCTGCCTACATCCCTTTTCGAATTTCAGACACTCCTTGATAGGAGATGCGTTCAACATGCGCTGTGTAGTGTATCGTACAGTAACAATCCAAATATTTACTCGCAGGGTCGATTTCGCCAGTAGTCGCCCGTAGGAAAGAAGGTTTCTCATCCGTAGCAGTCGCTTAGAAACCCGGGGGGTTCACCCGCTGGCTGACTCGGGTCCATTTCGGCAGCTCTGTGTAGAGAATCGGTCAGTTTCCATCGCAAGAACAGATTGCATCAATCGGTCTCATCAGGGACTAGACACTAAGATGAACGTACTGTGAATGCCCTTGCGGTATTTCTTCTCCTTCTTGTCGAAGATCGTGTATTTGTCCTTGGGCAGCATTTCCTCCTCACGCGGCATTTCCTTGTACCAGCGCTCGACCATCTTAGTGGTCTCTCCGTTTCGTTGGAGGGCGGCGCTGACGGTGTCGACCACGCGATCGACCGATCGCAAACGCTTCCTTTGGCGAGCCTTCTGGGGGGTGGAGATACGCCATGGGATCTTCCTGTTGCGGGTGAAGGGATGATTAGCACGGGTTCTGTTAGTCCGGCTGGCCAGCTGTTGTAGCTATCGGCAGGCTGCGCGAGAGGGAGTCAGGAGAAGAACATTGACACCAGGGACATACCACAGAAGACCCGAAAAGAGGGGTGACGACGGCTTGAACATCATTGTGGGCGACAAGATGGGGAAGCAGAGGGGAGGCTGAGAGGGAGGGAAGCGGAGGTCCGGAGAGTCGAAGTGAAGAGAAAATCCCGTCGAGCCGGCGGTGGTCCGTGCACCTCCGCGGCCAAAATTCCCTCCCGCGTCGGTGCTTCATTGTATTTCTTTTTCATTCTTGTCTCTCGTCCATTCTTTGGTTGCTAATCTGCTTGCCCTCCCCCTGCCGGAGGTGCTGCGGCGTGCTTTCTTCTAGCGTATTTTGTCTACTTTAATGGATTTCCTATAGATCGAACCATGTCCCGCGCTACGGATTCCGGCGCAACGGGGGAGTCGCCCTCGCTGCCCTGGAAGGCAATGTCCGCCACGACCATCTTCGGCGTGGCGGGCTTGTGTCGCTCGTTTCTCTACATGTGCAGTCGTCCCGAGGTCCACGGGTTGGATTCGTTTTTGGAGGTATTAGATTCTCGGCAGGATCCGTCGCAACGGACGAGGGGGTTGCTGACAGGTATGGCCCAGTTCTTGTGAAGCACAGGGATAGGAGCTGACCGTGAATCGTCGTCTATAGTTTCAAATCACACCAGCGTGTACGTACATGCGATATGCCTTACTTCCAACTCAGGGCGACCCTATTACCTGCGACGCAAGAGAGTGCATTGACCGTGGTCGCTGACTCGAGCAGTATGGACGACCCGCTCATGTGGGGGTTTCTTCCATTGCGATATAACTTTGGGCTACAAAACCAAACCAAGCGTTGGGGATTTGGAAGTCATGACATCTGTTATCAGACTCGGTATATTCGCCCTCTCTTCCCTTGGTTCGCGCGTGGTATGACTGGGGCTGATCATTGGCTGTCGGAAGACCACTAGCATTGTTCTTCACCATGGGCCAGGTCCTCCCTACGCACCGACTCGCCCACTCCCCCTACGGTGGCCTCGCGCAGCCCGCCGTCACACAGGCCATCCGACTACTGTCCAAGGGCCCCTTCCCCGTCGAACCGCACCCTGCGATCCCCGAACGCCAGCACTGGAGCATACAAAACGTCTGCGTCGATCCTTTTTCTGATCTTCCCACGGCGTATACCACGGACGGCCATGATTCCCACCTCGCGCCATCCGCTTACGCCTGCAACTCGTACTCCTGGTTTCACATTTTCCCCGAGGGCAAGATTCACCAGGCGCCGAACAAGACGATGCGCTATTTCAAATGGGGAGTCGCTCGACTCATCCTGGAGGCCAGCGAATGTCCGGACGTCGTACCGATTTGGTTAGAGGGGTTCGATCAGGTCATGCACGAGAGTCGCGAATTTCCGCGTTTTCTCCCGCGGCCAGGAAAAGAGGTCAGCGTGACATTCGGCAAGAAGGTCGACACCGACGCTATATTTGGGGAATCGAGGAAGCGATGGCAGGAATTGAAAGAAAAGGCTGAATTGGCCGCTCCCGACACCCGCGATCAACCGATTGGGGTCCTGAGCGATGAGTTATTATACGGAAAGGAAGCCGTCGAGCTGCGCAAGGAGGTGACGAAGAAAGTGCGAGATCTCGTGCTAGACGTCAGACGCTCGAGAGGACTCTCCGATGAGGATCCCAAGGAAGGCCTGGTGGAAACTTGGATCCAGGAAGGTCCCAAGCGGGAAGGCAAGATGAAGGACGACTCCTGGGTGCGGGATGTATAACGGCAGAACTCCGACTGAAAAAATTACTGTATATTATTATTATCTAGCCATAGGCCGACCCATTTTGTACACAGACCATCCAACCGTGTCAGTTCAGTGACTCATTGATCCGCTTATTAGTTACTGGTGGCGGGGGCTAAAACTCGCCTTTATTACTGTCCGACCCGCCGACCTCCGCCTGCTCCCAATTCTTTCTCCTCTTCACACCATCCTCGATGCCCAAAAAGCATCACAACCACTCATTTTCAAAACCTGCCAGCACTGCCCATCATACCTTAGCGTCGTCCGGCCCTCGCGGTAGCAATGATCGTTTTCGACCGTCCCAGGCGTCATCTAACGCCGAGTCATCCTCCGTCAACGATCTGATCAACCACCTTCGTCGCACTCAAGTGTCCCCCCGGACTGCTGAAGATGGACAGGAAAGCCCGTTCAGGCAGATTGCTTCTCGTTCCGTGCATCCGTCCCTGCGAAACCTACTAGAGCTACCAGAAATCCCCCCTCCTCGACCTCGTCCGGGTGCTCGGCGCGTTGGAATCGGCGGGCGACCGTCGAGAAGAACGGCTGGCCCTCCACCGCCGGAAAGCTGGCTTCTGGGGAACGCTGCCGGGGATAATTCCGAAGACAATGAGGCCGCGGGTCTGGGGAATTCACAAACGGAAAGAATCATCTATCGTCTAGATCGTCTGCCGGGCAAAACTATGCCTGAACGACACACCCTCCTACACACGGTGCTCAAGTCGATGGCTTCCCACTGGGTGTGGCATGTACATTATGATGGACAATTTTTGGACACGTTACCGAGTCATATTAAAATGCTCCTGCTGAGTTACATAGGCATCTATGCGCGAGACCAGGCGATAGCGGGGGTAATGCAAGGCCTACGTCCACTGTTTGAGAAACAGCAGTTGGATAGCCAGGATGAAGAGGATGGATTCGACCGGCTTCGGCATGAATCGGAGGTTGTACGGCTTGATTTGGGCAGTGCCATCGGACGGTGGATTAGTGTCAACCAACTTTCCCATGAGCTGGTAGCGTCGCGAGGGTCAACCCCCGCACAACACAAGCAGGAACTCGTTCCTTCTTCTTGGGATGCCGAGGCTGACGAGGACGGTGACAAGCCCACCAGCGCCGATCACAGTGCGCCTCTTCCGCAGACACTCAGTCAAGGGCCCCGCTTCCACAATCTACGTTATCTCTCCCTCGCACATCCAACTGCTGCAAATTGGAACTCGCTCATCAACCTCTTATCGCGTCTATCAACCCTCACTCATCTATCATTGGCCTACTGGCCAGTCCCGGCCGTTACGCCAAACGCCATGGCCCCGACCGCCAGGGCATGGACTTTCTCACACACCGCGGATGATGACTGGGCTGAGGCCGCAGGGGTGCTTCGGAGACTCGCACGCGCAACTTACTGTCTGAAGTGGATCGACCTAGAGGGCTGTGGGGACTGGCTTGATGCTCTGAACTGCAATAGTATCGGACCAAATGGCGAGACATATACCTCGGGCCCGGAGTGGAATGGATCGTGGCGGAATATTGAGTTCGTTCGGTTGGGACCTGGCTGGCTTCCGCCAATTGATGATAGCGAGCTGCTTCCAGCCTATTCATCCTCCCGGTCACTGGCCACATCCATTCATTCCCCGGTGCGAGATGGCTCCGAAGAGACCGATCTACCTTGGGATGTCGAACTGGAGCGGATCAAATATCGGCGGAGCAAAGAAATCGAGCGGTTCCGAGAGATCTTACAAAGGGCGAAGGAGGTGCAGCAGCGTGTGCAACGGGTTCGAAGAGAGGGTAAAGGCAAATGGGCGCAGTTCTCCTTTGGGCTCGAAGGACTTGATGAGGCTGTTCTCAAGACGCTTATTGGCGCCGATTGCTTACAGTTTCTTCCCTGATAGTTATACAATAAAAATGTGATCGCAATTCGACCGTTAGCTAGATAAAAATGATAAGTTGATGCGTCACATGCATGAATGAGTCGAGATATCTTGATCGTTCTCGTGATGCCCTGGATAAAGTTCCTCCACCCGGATGACATCTTCAACAAACGTGGCGCCATATTGTCTCATAATCTGGATCTTCTCCATATTCATCGCCAGCCTCAGTCTCCCAAAATCATCAGGCCAGTCCCATTTACTCACAAACCTCAACACCCACACACCCACTACATCCGTCGGCCAACTAAACACCACCACCTTTTTTTCTTCCTCCGTCAACTCCCTCGTTCCCAACTCCGCCTCCATCTGATCATCCCTACTCGGCCACCACTTTGCACCAGTCCGTCGCAGGAGATCATAGAACCGGTCTTCTTCCTCGGCACTGGGGGAGCGCTTCACTCCAGAGAGCGGGGGAGCGATAGGAAAAGCATGTCGAGAGGGTCGGCGAGTTTTGCGAGAACCCCTCCAGTTGAGGGGTAGCCGTAGATACGGCATCCTCGGGTGCCGAACTCGGTCCGTTCAGTCGTCGGTAGAGGAGGGTCCACGTCGCATGAGACCCAATGTGAGTCTTCTTCGTCCATGATCATATATCGTCGACGATACCAAGAGAGACTTTCGACGGGGATAGGAAGGAAGCGGCCAAGGGTTTGTTCCCAGACAGTCGAGAGACAGTTCATGGTGACGGGACTACCCCGTAAAGTTGACGGGTTTACTACAGCTTTCGCCTACCCGTATGAATATAACAGCCAAGTGTCGACTTGGATAGAGGCCCTGGGCTCGACAGAGGGAGGGGACGAACTGTAGATGAGATCAATGGGAGTAGTTAGGTAACTAACTACAGTTGGCGCTGTGTCAGGAATTAGTGCGGCGGTGTTAGAATTAGGTAAATCTGACCTGATAGGTACTAAATCAGTATAATATCGCCCCGAAACTCTTTCCTCCTTTCTTCTCTACCCTCATCTCCTTGATGATCCGCCCTCGTGTTCTACGTGGCCCACAATTTGGCCCCACGACTAGTGGCACTTGGGGTGTCGCCCGGAAAACTTCTCGGCCTTCTGTCAAGGGATCATCATCATCATCAGTATTATCATCACTATCTTCGTTTATCTTGACCCGTCCACTGTCAGTGCGGCCGGTCACGATGGATGCCAGTCGCCCACCACCACAACGTAATGGGTAAGATAAGCTCGATGCTGGCTCGATGTCCTGCTAATACTCCACCATGTCTAGTCCCTTTTCCCAGCTGCCCCAGGACTGCTTGGCGAATATCCTGGACCATCTCAGCTTGGATGATGCCTTGTCGCTATCGACCAGCTGCAACGCCCTGCAGGCGTCATCCATGCCGTTTGCATTGCGGGACGTCAGAATGGATTGGACCAACCGACCGCGACGGCAGGTGTTGCAATTGCTGCAGATCATCTTCGAGAACCCCGAATACGCATCAGACATCCAGCATGTAAGCATGATGGCGTCCAATTACCCGTGGGAAGACGTGGACCCGGCCACAGACTGGGAAAATGAGCGGCACGAATTCAAGGACGTGCCGGACCAGGCGATGGATTTGGTGCGACGAGCCGGTCTTCGAAATGTCGATGAATGGCATTTGGCCATTCACGGAGGAAACATCTACGCGTTAGCCACCGTGTTTCTCTCGCAGCTGCGAAACCTCAAGTCGCTGCGCCTGGATTATTCGTTCGTCTGGTGGGACGGATATCCAGGTATCATGCTGAAACATGCCTTACTGCACCCCAATGGAGTGTTTTCAACGTTCGATCAGCTTGAAACGGTCGAGTACGGTGCAAATGTCCCTCTCGCGGAGACCGAGCGGCCCGATGACGACGAAGTGCCCGACGGATATCCTCCTTACAACCCGAACCAGTTTATGGGCTGGTTCTGCCTGCCTTCCCTCTGTTACCTGAACATATGGCTGCGGGATCTGAAGGGCCTCGAGGAAGCCAAGCCAGATCTAGATCTAAGCAACCTGGAGACTCTCGTTATAGCGAGAAGCACTGCTACAGAACATCATATGCTTTACCTTCTTTCGCGGACGTCGAATCTAAAAAGTCTTCATGTGGCACTTGCCTTTGCGTGGAGAGGTGAGCCCATTTTGCAGGACGCTCCTACCTTTGCGCAGGCATTGGAGGCTGTTAGTCCGACGTTGGAGAAGCTCTCGCTAGGAGTGGAATATTATCCCTCTACCCTCGGCGATCGCGAGTGGAACGAGGCGGATGATGGGGCCTTCGGCCCATTTCACCAGTTTTTTACCGGCTTTACGAACCTTCAATCGGCCGAGATCCCGTTGGCCATCCTCCTAGGATGGTACTGGGACGACTCAATCCAACTTGGTCCCCTTTTGCCCAAGTCTCTCTCTCATTTATGCTTGCGAGACGATCTAGAGGGCTTCTACGATTTTGAATGGACGGAAGATCGGGCAATTTTGTTGCTTGAATCCTTTCTCCAAAATGGGAAGTGGAAGGCTTATACGCCATCCTTGAAGAGCATCACGCTGCGTCTCTGGAATCAGAATTATACTCATTATAGACGCGACTCGGAAGAACGCTTGCGAAAAATGGCTGAAAACTTCAACATTGAATTACATATTGTGGTGGATGATCTCGGTTCAGGCTTGTGGGCTTTGGATCCTTCTTCGGGTTGAGATCAGCCAATCATTCCTATCTTATCTTTTACCCCCTTTTTCTTTTCTTGGGTCAGCGTTTAGAGCAAGCTTATACGGGTCAGATTTGGTTAAAGAATTCACGCCATGCACACCAACACTAGCCGAGTCCTGTCAGCTGGTATGAGGCCATGCTTGAACCGCGGAATTGGGAGAATTGGAATCTACAAATCGAAACATAAGTCTGAGAGAATCTAAAATATGAGCCTTTAGATTTTGTGCTGATCTCAATTAGATAGCAGATCAGCCTCCCACGGCCAATCGATAGACTGTTCTGAATTGATATAACTACAAATCAAACAGGATTTTACACCATACACTGAACCCGACTGCCAACTCTCCTATCTCTACAGCTTAGCGTGATGCTCCGATGATGCTCCTTAGTTCTTCTTTCCTTTCTTGGGATCTTTTTTGGGATCTTTCTTGGTGTCAGGTTGCTGAGTAGCGGGTTTCTTGGGCTGCTGAGTAGAGGGCCCAGGCTGACCATTGTTGTTGTTGTTGTTGTTGTTGTTGTTGTTGTTGTTGTTGTTGTTTTTGCCGCCGTTGTTGTTGTTTGGTCTGGTGGTCTGCTTCTTGATTGTGGGAGACGGCAGATCGGCCTGTCCGGACTGGAACTGGGGAAAGGCCTGGTCGGTCACATCGATAGGCTTCGTGTTGACGGGGACCACATTGAAGTTCATACCCTGGGGACCGGTAAATGCACCGCATCCCCAGCTGAGTCCGCATGCGTTGTCGCCGTCCAGAGTGCGGAGCTTCTCGCAGGGCTCTCTGATGGCGGCAACCTCCTTGCCGTTCTTCTCCATAACACTCCAGGCGACGATGGTAGGCTGGGGCGTTCTGTTCCTGAGCACCTCATTTGTGTGCTTCATGCGGTAGCGGATGGAGGCCATGACCTCGCCGCAGTTGGCGTCGTTCTTGTGCTGGAAGGTAGTCTGGCGATCTTTCTTCAGGTCCTGGGACGCCTGGTTCGGGGTTTTCGAGGAATTACTTTGGCTGTTCTGGCTGCCCTTGCCGTTGCCCTTGCCGTTGCCGGTGCTGGTGCGAGAAGGCTGCTGTGTCTGGGGCTTGTTGTTTTCGAGCTCACGCGATTTGGTGCGCAGCGCGTCCAGGGCGTCCTTGACATCGCGCGCGTTTTTCTCTAGCACGTCGGTGAATGCGCCGTATCCGTCCTCCACGACGGATTCGTCCTGGTCCTTGTTCTGGAGAGGTTGTTCCTGCATGTTGTAGATGTAGACGCCGCCGCCACCCTTCATGTTCGAGGACAGGAAGACCTCGTTATCCACCTTGATGGCAGTCATGACGTTGGGAAGTTTCTTCTTGTCGGCCTCCATGGCATACATCTCGTTGTAGGCCGCTTTCGCGATGCCGACGAGGTGCGAGTTCTCGATCTCGGCATTTTTATCAAAGGTCAGATAGGAACCAAACGCGGTCCAGGGGTTTTTAGTTCCGGATTGAATGGTCTGCTTCTTGATTCCCAGGGATGGCAGATCCGTGCGTTCCTGGAGAGCAACCGGAGAGCCGACGACAAGGCTCAGGAAGAAGTAAAAGAACAGATAGCAAACTTTGGGAATCATCTTGGCGACACCCTATGCCAGCAGAAAACTAATGGAAAACAATATTATAGTATAAATTCAGGCTGAATGAGGGACTGAAGTGAGTGATAGAAAATAACGAAGGAAAGGAAAAGAAATGGGTGACTGATTGCAAAGAATGACTGCTCTGGGAAAGGAACTTCTACTATACAGAAAGACAGTTGTATTTATACCCTACTCGCTTCATTTGAGATCATACAAGCTCAAATTCCATCGCATGCAAAGGCAAATTGGCCCCCGTAGACCATGACTGACACCCTTGACTAGTTGACTAGTTCGCGTAGGATCTGGGGGCCGTTAGCTGCCACAAAGCTCCCTAACACGAACCTTGCGACGAGAATCAGGGGCCTGACTGGAGATCCTCAGGATCTTTCCCCACATGGTGCAGATGTGATTCAACTCATGGTCTAAGCGATAATATTTCTTGCGCTAACAAGGCCCTGAGTTCGCTGCGAGCCTACTGGGTGCCCTCGGAATGAGAGATTTTCACATTCGGCCCCTTAGAATGGGACCAGCAGAGACATCATTGGATATCTTGTCGTATTTTTTTTCGCTTTGATCGAGGCTGTGCTGGATGGAACGGGTCTTGAAGGTTAAATTGCGACAAATCCAGCATGTGCATACACCGTACAGACCACGAGTGAGCATTAGTTTGGGATAGAATGATTGGAAGGACTCGGCCCTTGGATGCATGTGAGCGAGTCCGCTCATTATCGGTCCTTTGGATGAGGCGTGGTCTCTGGGCAGTTTCACGCAGACTAAGTGCTTCGCAAACATCACAAAACACACCTTAATCAGAACCCTCCACCGTCCTGATGGACACTCCCTTGGTACCAGAATGAAATGCGTCTTCAAAGTTATCTTCTCTCCCACGGGGTGACCACCCAAAGGTGAATATACTATCGCTTGTTCCTCGAAATGACCTCTGTTAGGGGCGTGGGACCTAAATATTTTGCTGCCTCATGAGCATGAGTCGGTTTCTTATATAAGGTACTCACACACTTGCCTACATCACGCAATGATAGCTTCTATTAGTTCAATCCGACCATATAGATCTTTCATATTAGAATTGTAACTGGCCACAAGCAGCGATTTTACTACCTCCCTTGAGTTGACTTTAAAGTCCATCACCAAAGAAATTGGTGTAGATTCTCCATCCCCAATGCCAGGATCTGCTCCCCGTTGGAGTAACAATAGAGGTCGCAAGAGCTGACGCATCCCTTCCTGCCTGCAGTCTCATCATCATTCATTGACAGCGTCAAAAGACGATAATATATTCGCTATGCTTATGTGTGATTCCCTGCAGCCTCATAGACCCTTGTATCCTGCAGCCCCAACTCGACAGGGAAAGCCGTTCTCCTTGTCTCAGAATCAATTAGACAAGATTCATATGGCTGTACGTCTGTCGAGCTCTGCCCATTGATCATCACATCCTTATTTTGCATATTCTTGGTATTGCATGAGTATTGTAATCAATGCAATTAAGAGACATGTGCCCAGCTCGGCCCCTACACCAGCTGCGACAGCTGTAGTCCTCTTAGGGTTCGAAAAGTTGATCTCTGAAGTGCATGTGGCTGATTCTGAAGGTTCCGAGCCGTCGGATAAGGTGGCAGATGGGGAGGAGGAGATTGATCCCGATAACGATGTGACGGTCACGTTCACCATTTGTCCCATATCCAGTCTAGCAGCATTGCGGCAGCAGTCAGTCCCGTTACTGGTGCACCAGAACCCACGACCCTGGACTGGACAGGGTAAAATATATAGTGTAGCATCGGAGGCTGTGTGTTAAGCCAAGGTGGGCAGGATCAAACATCAGCTGCAAGCCTTCTAAATCCATTGCAAATGTCTATCACCAGGTTGAATTAACCTGTGTGGCTGAGACTAGGGCATTGACTACTTTTCCATGTCGAGTCGGTACAGGCTTCTTGTCTCAAAAGGCCCCTGTAATATGGATCTTGAACATAACAAACCCCTCCAGTTAAACATATTTCGTTGGGTACTTCATTATCTTTTGCAATGGAGCAGCAGAAACTTTCATCCTGGTTTAGGGAAGCATGGCTGAAAACTCGAGTCTGCCTACTTCCCGTTTGTGAGATAACATGTTTGAGCCTGGGTTGCAGCCAATAAAGCTGACAGTAAGATGAAGAATCGGAGGAGAACCCGAGCGGCGAATGTACAACGCATTTCTTGAGAAGCACTCTATCGATAAAAGTGGTATTAGATGCTGGATGGAGAGGCAGATCATAAAATGGAAGGTAATGGGGTCTCCAAGGCACCCCCTTAAATTGCGCGCCATCAGCCTCACAGACCCCGCATCAGCCTCGCCAAATGGGGGAAATATTAACCCAACCTGTTGCTATAGCAAACAATATGTGCGATTTTCCCTGGCATTCTGTCTTGGCACTGCCAGACAACCGCATAGTGTAGGAACTTTTGAGGATGGTGCGCTTGCTCGTGTTTTGAAGGGACTAGAATAGGCGTTACCTTGGTGAGACAACGAAATCGATTCCCAGTAGACTGAACTGACCATTTGATAATACCATGTATATAGACCCCCTGTGGAGGCCGAGCCAAAGCTGCCACAGCTTAGGAACACTTAGCACAAAGTTTACTTAATGCCTACTAAAATCTGTACATAGCCTAATAAGTGATTGAGATAGGATGGAAAGATACGATAAACTCACTGTATAGAGTATACATGATAGAATAATTTACCAAATCTTATATTCGGTAGATTACCTTTCGTAGGATGATTAGGGTTGTGATTAGTGCATTGCAGATCACGCAATAGAAAGCTAGGTAGGTATGCGGGATTAGGCCTTTTATATAAAGTGGTTCCAAGTTCCAGAACAGCCATATTTGCCTGTCTTGAATTCATATCACAGTATTAATTTCAGTTTCCTACAGTTTCATTCTTGTATCAAAGTTGAAATTGGGAATCAAGACAAAAATCTCAAACCAATCAGATGCTCTATAAGACCTTCATCATACTCTAGAGTGATGATTCGGCATATTTGAATAGTAAATCCGCTTAAAGATGCTTCAGGGTTCCTAGAGTGCTTTTCCTCAAAAGGCGCTGGACATGAGGCGCATGTTAAGAAATACGGCTCATTCTTGGACATAGCATCCCGCAAGATGAGAAAGTTGGCCTACCAATAGGACAGGATACTAGAAGGGATAACTATTACATTAGAGTCCTGACATGAATTTGAGAGTTCTTAATTATAGCTCCGTTTGTTATATTAAATAGAACGGAATGCAAACTACTAATAGCAATATCAACGGTCTAGCCTGCCGGGTGAGGTTTGTTTGGGGATAATCCGACTCAGGAGGGCTTTCAGTACCTTAAGCATTATAGTTACGCATTTTCTTGTACTACTATAGCCGTGGACAGAGAAGACGACCCAGAAAAATATCTCGTCAGGGGTGCATACGGGGATTAGGTGCAACCGAGCTGGCTGCGTGGCTATCAGAAACTCTTTTCTTTGAGGATATATGCATACGGCATCCACTCCCTCAGCTAGACTGAGATACCAAAAAAAAAAAAAAAAAAAGAGATAGAGGTGGTAGGATAGGTCATGGAGTTTAAGAGGACCTCTGCAGCTGGCATTAACTTCTGCCTGATCCACAGGCTCTCCTTCTTGACTGCAGCAGCTATTTAATGCGCTAAAGTCCCTTGTTTGTACATAGAACTAGAACTAGAACTAGTTAGCGACGCCCAGGGCTTACCCCCTGGCGGCCTTTGCCCCAGCAGGGGACGGCGGGACACATGCTTAGGCGGTGAACTGCAGCCAAAAAAAAATATACCTAACTATTTAAATTGCTGGAGAAGCCCCCGTCCAGTCCAAGATCCTTCTCTTATTTACATCCCTCGCCATGTCCATCCTGCGCCTGTATGACATCGCCACGCGCCCCCCCGTGGAGAAGAGCTGCTGCTCCCCCAACCCGTGGAAGGCCCGACTGGCCCTCAACTTCAAAGGTCTTGCATACTCGACCTCATGGGTGGGCCTACCCGACATCGCTCAAGTTCGCAGCACTCTGAAGGTTCCGCCCTGTCGCAAATTTGCCGACGGCACCGACTTCTTCACCCTGCCGATCGTCGAGGATCCCGCTACCGACTCGCGCGTCGGCGACTCCTTCGACATCGCCGTTTACCTGCAGACCACATATCCGAACTCGGGCGCCGGCGATCTTTTCCCCCCTCAGACCCTGGACTATGACTTTGCCCACGACTCTGCCCTTCTGATACCGCTCTCCGACTGTGACCAGTCCAGATTTCCCGAATACGCCCGGTTCAATATGAACGTTGACGCGGCCTTCACCGCACACGTACAGCTCGCACTGCAAGACTTTCCTTTCGACCCGGCCACCGCGGAGCTCACAAAGGCTGAGTTTGTCCGTCGCGCGGGCGTTACGTGTTGGGAGGACTTTACCTTGGCTGGTGCCGACCGAGACAAGGTCAAGGATTCGTTCCGGAATATGCTAGGCGGCCTGGCGAGGCTATTTGGGAGAGACCCAACCGGACCCTTCCTACTCGGAGCGAGAGCCAGCTATGCGGACTTGATCGTCGGTGCGTGGCTGCGCATGATGCACGCGAGCCTGCCAGCCAGCGAATGGCACGAGGTAAGCAGTTGGCACGGAGGCCTTTTTGGGCAGTTGCATGATGCGTTGGGGCTATACGCGGAGGTCAAATAGCATGGTAGCAGGAACGTTATGGAATTCGTACGAGGAGGATCCTTGAAAATTGCAATTGTGATTGTATCTGAAATGTCTACCCGGAAGATCAACATGGCAAGAATCCATTCAGTACTCCACTCAACGGTCAAACCATCATGATCATTATCAGTTCCCGCCCCTGGTGAATCATTGAAGCTTTACCGGTTCAACTCTGCTGTGAACCGGAATAAACCCTATACAATGGGATGCCCCGGGAAACAGCTTGGATGGTAGAACTCGTCTGTGATCCACTGCAACCGGTAGAATCCTTGAGATACAAGTTATGGCAAACGCGGCTGGCTTAAAATTGGCGTAGACCATGTCGAGTTGCCCATACTCGGCCTCATGGTTCAGGATCTCAATCTAGACAATTCGCTACTATGACTACGACATATTATGACCAGAATCATGATAACCCCGTTTATCACGAGCAATATCGCATGGGGTCTTTTTATTGGGATGAATATGGCAGGTACCTGTGGAACAGGACCAGGCGTTTCAATGGCTCACTCACGAAGCACCCCGACGGGTACTGGAGAGAACGCCCCAATCATTACACCTACTTCATCTTCGATGTTCCCGTGCCGTCAGATCGCTATTTTCGCCGGGTTGACCGGGCCGTTGACGAGACCATTGCCCAGCTTCAGGCCGGGCAATGGGCAATTGCTGATGATCGGGTGAGACGCCGCAGTAACACGGTTCGTTTGGGGGTAAGATTCTACACGGGTAGAAACTATTCGAACCGTGGACAGGCTGCTTCGGACCATAGCCGGCTATTGCGAACGCTTCGGGACCTTCGTCGGTCTGGGCCTTGAGCAAAGTCTCCATGGCCCGTATGAGCAGCCAGGATCCGTGCCAGAAGCGGCCTTGGGAGCTTTAGCTCTGCAGGGCATCTAGGGAAATTGGTAATCCAGAGATCTTGATAGGATTGAGGGGCCGTGGACTGCCAGTATTTTTGAAGAACAGTCATGACATCTGTCTTAGCCCGCCGCCTTAGCGAGGCGTATGAGTGCTTACTTGAAGGGGGAAGATCTATGGCAGCACCCTTCTTTGCAGCTTGATCAGCTGCCTCATTCTCGGGTATTTGTGTATGACCAGGGATCCAGCAGACTCGCACAGAGCCGCCATTAATATACGAGAATCTCTCCCGTGCCAGCTAGGTCTGGGCTAGGGTTTGGAAGGATTCGAAGACCCCTTGAGATAAGCCCGCGAAGGGTGAAAGGAGGCGTGTGGCCACCTCCAGGTTATCTAGACAGACCCAGAGGTTAATGGCAAAGCGAGCAGTGTCTAGTTTAAGGATTGCTTTAATTTCCACTAGGGCTGCTTCAGCTTCAGCATCAAAGACCTCTTTGTTTGGTCCCAGGGAGAAAGAGGACTATTAAAACAGCTTTTTAGATTAATATAGAGCATATCTACCGCCTGCCATCCTGATTTCTAGTTTCGAACCATCTGGGAAGACCTTTATATCAGTCTGTAGAAGAGAGGCATAAAATTTTTGAAATCTATCAGCTGCCTGCTTCTTAGATATGCCTGCAGGGGCTCTGATTCGCTGTTTAACTGCTTCGCGTGCATCTTGTGGGAGCTAGGGGATATTTTGCAGTGGATTCAGTTGTTCTGACTCAGGGAGGGCTAGCACGCTGCACGCGACGTGCAAAGCGGCTAGTTTGAAGGCCTGTTTAGGTTGCTCCTTCTGCCCTCCTGCGGAGAGGGTGATAGGGGTTAAGGCGGCGGAAACGGACTGTGATAGTGGCAACTATATAGTCTAGCTTAATATCTGCTGGCAGAAGCCCTGGCTCCCGATAAGGTGCAGGGATTGAGGTCGTACGGTAAACTGGGAGAATCGCTCTGGCCCCGGCTAGTATCACCCAGGTTATCTTATCAAGGTGGCCCTGGACTTTGTTTGAGATTATCCTCGTATGGGGGGCCAGGGCGTAAACGGCTTGGCCACTAGGTTTCCGCACCATAATAGACTGCGGAATACGCAGGTCTTAATAGCTTGTTGTGTAAAGTAAGGGTTGACTCCGCGCACTATATTTCCAAGGGAACGTAGTGTATTCGCAACTATTATAGCTTTCGAAATCATTTCTTTAATATGATATTTAAAGCTGAGCTTCTTGTCGAAGAGGATTCCTAGCCAGCGTAGATACGGGCGTGTTATATTCTCTGAGATTGTGACAGGTCCTGCTGCCACTGATAGTGTGCTGTTAGGGTCTTGATCAGCTGTGCGTCGCGAGAAGTGTATCAGCTCATATTTATCTGGTGCAAAGGTAATTTATGCAATATTTTTGGAGTGCTTCCTTGCATTCTAGATTCCACTAAGGTTGGCCTCCCCCTTGAGGTCGGGATCTGAGTGCTGAGGCTTCGTACGCATTGTAGACAACTAAAGTAATCTTACTCGCAAAGCAATGTAGTTCTTCTTTTGTCTTTGTAATAGTTAGAAGGTTGCTTGTGTTCAGGACCAAGAGGCTGCGAAAGCAGGAAAAGTCTAAGGTACTGAACTTTAACCTTTATTGGGCCTTAGGATTGTGACGGTCTACAAAGGAGCTTGGTAAAAGACAAGTTTGTTTATAGCTCGTAGTCAAGGAATTTTCCCATGGTAAGGAAAGGCTATCTAGGAGCGAGGATATTGCCTTTGTCATGTGTAGGGGTATCTATCTCGGAGATAAATATTAGTCTAAATCTATCGAGCCATTCGGATACTGGCTCGGCTGAGATAGAGGGACCTCGCTGGAGCGAGGGCTGCCATCTATTGTGTAATAGATTAAAGTTACCTGCTAGTAAGATTGGTTGGATAAAGTAAGAGTCAAGAAATTTAATCAATTTCTGTACGGCCCTGCCAGGCCTGATCGAGGATGCAGCACTGGGAGCATTATAAATGTTAAAAATCAGCGTAGATTGCCCTGAGCATGCAGAGATTTAGAAGGAAAAAAAAGTCTGATAGTGCTTCTTAATCGGTTATATTAGAGCGGAGTTGAGAGGACTGTATACCCTTCTTTTTTCGGATATAGATAAAGACTCTAAATCGGCCGCTTATCACTCAAATATTAGTTGGGGAGAAGCATTCATACGAGAGGTATCTTTTGATGATCTTGCGAGTAAGATCCTTATATACATAAGATTCCTGTATCAAGATAATGTCAATATTATTGGAGTATGCCTGGGATAAGATAATTTCGTAAGCTGTAACGCCGCGGCCTACATTCAGCTGGAGTATTAAAAGAGAGTAGCTGAGCGGAATGGAAAGATTATAGGATAGCTCTCGATAGTCATATCTTGATCTTGCGAGGCTCCCGGGGTTATAGAGGCTGCGGGGGGCTGGGAGTAGCATTTACTCTCAATATGTGCTTTAGAAATGGTCAAGGAGCAGGTCTTACGGATCTCAACCTGCTGGGCCTTTGTAAAGCGAGAACCTGGCTTGCTGGGCCGGAGAAGGCAGAGGTCATAGTCTAATAGGTGAGGGCCATAGCAGTGTAGCCATCTTGGGGGGCAGGCATAAGGAGCTGCAACAGTGCAATAGTTAATGTGACCTTCCTCAATATGTTGTGTAAAACCGCAGAAGCGGCAGCAGGGGTTGCGTGCGCAAGATCTAAGATTATGTCACTTCTAGCAGCGGTTATATTGCAAGATCTTAACCCTTCTAGATAAGGGTTGGGCGTTGGTAATCATGCCAAATAAAGATAGTTGTATAGGTAACTTGGCCTTACATTCTTCGGGGAAGTCGATAAACCAGCTTGAAGAGATTGTATTTATATTAGAAGCACTAGCAGCAGTTTCGGTTACAGCAACTAGGGTGAGGCCATTAGCTTCGGCTACTTCAGCTGATAGTATCTCCGGGTTAACAGGGACCATAGAGTATTGACTTGCATTAAGCTGGCCGACCTTTCTTGGTATATTTATCATCCGGTAAGAGATCCAGCGGGAGCTGCGCTCGATCTAGCAGGTATCAAAGAAAATGGAAATAATCTCTTTCTGTGCCTCTAGGGCTGCAAGAGTTTCAGAGGGTGAAAGCAAGAGGGCAAATCCTGTCTTAATAGACTGGACACCCTTGAGTACCTTGTTATTGGCACCCAGATAAGAGCGGAGGCTAGTATAAATAGCGTATGCATCTATATTTTTTAACAAAGTCTTGGACTCCATGAAATCGGAGTAGGCCTGGATCTGACGCGGGATTTCATCGCTCGCGTAGGCTGTGAAGCCGCCCCAGATCTGGCGGTATGGATGGGCTCTCATGCTGAAATGCGTGACGACGCCAAAATTGTTGGATCCGCCCTTAAACGCCACAAAAAGATCGGGATGGTAGGGTTCGGTGACGACGGTGATCTCGCCGTTTGCCAACACAATCTCATACTCGAGCATCTCGTCGCAGCCCCAACCAACGGCGGGACTGAGCGCGGATATGCCTCCGCTCGTGAGGAATCCGCCGGCGCCGATGGAGGCGTCTCGTCCGCCCGCGACAGTGAGATGCAGCGGATCCAGGATCTGGTACACCTGCAGCCACGAGGCACCGGACCCGATTCGCACGGTCAACCGGTCGTCACTGACGGTGGCTTGGTGGAGAGGCCGGAGGTCGACCGTCACTCCGTCCTGGATATTGGCCGCTTCGGCGGAGAGCATGTGGCCATGACTGCGGATAGCAAACCGGTCGCCCGACTCACGATACGTGTGACGATTGCAGCCACATCTTGAGCATCGGTCGGGCGGACCATGCAGGCGGGTCGCAAGCTCTGATCCTGAAAGCTGAAGTACGAGCCGACGGATTCATTGTAGGAGGACGAACTGGGAGCGAAGACCTTGCCCTCGAGGACAGAAGCTAGCTGAGCGCAGGATGATGTACGTTAACCATGTCTGCTAGCCCTAAGAGACCTAGGGTACCGAGGTCGTAGAGAACGTATGATGACATAACGGAGGGGAGAGAATACTTGGGGACTACAGTCAAAAGAGAGCGGTCACATTAGGGGAGTCCGGGATTTAAGTGTCTTTTGGAACCCCCCGGGTGGATCTATGGGTTGATATCTCGAATTTCTGGGCACAAAGACTCGCCACAAGGATGAGATTTTTGTGCTATTATTTGATCCTGGTCGGGCATAAGCCCTAGTCACAGTGACCTACGTGAGCAGAGGCCCACTACTTGGTCAAACAAAGAAAACTGCCAAGGGTACGTACATGCATCGGTCCAGTGAAAGATCCTAGACTCCGTTGGGACAGCCACGTTGGCACACCCAGAACCCCCGAGGCTGGCCTACTAAAGCCCGCTCGAGGGAACGAGGCCGAATCTACTGTCGCGTCAAGTCGGTATTGGAACAATGCCAGGCCAAAGACTGCCATTTGGGCCAGATGCCGATTTGGACGCAAAAGAAACACCGCCCCCTACGGACCTAAATCATCAGAATGACCGACTTTTCTTTGAGGCGATAGAGAGTTTACCTAGGATGTCTATGTTGCCAGCAATATTCAATCATTATGCCAGTCAAAGAACGGGATCAAATAACCTAAGACAGTCTGTGTCAGTCTCCGCAGAGAAATTGCATTCACGTAACTGAGCACCGAAGTGTAGGGACATTTGTCGGTATATACAAGCCTTGTCTCCGAGAGACTCTGAACGAGGCAATGGTTCTCTTCTCTCCTCAGATCTAGTTCCGCCATTGGTCCCAGTCGTAAAGGTCATCCGCATTTTATTTGAGTTGCCCTTCAGTGGGGCATAAATATCCTCTAGCTGCGGATTGCCACTCTGCTTCCTCAGGAAAGCGCCCACTATCCTCAAGTAGATCTACCTGGTTCCTGGTTTGAGCAGCAGCCATTCATGCAAGGGACTTTTTCGCCTACAAGTTATAGGTCTGTCACTGTAGATTCGGTTCAAATCCCCAGTTGAAACGTTAGCCTTTCGCTTATATATACCTTCCTTTCTGTTTTTCATGTTCTTCCTTGTAGAGCAAAATCAAGTCATGCGCTCAACGAGGTGGATGAACGAGGCGGCATTGAGTCATTGAGGAATCAGCGGTCGGTCGAATGAATAGTAAGAGCATTTATCATCGTTTAGATCCATTAAGCTATATGTTTCGTATTTCAACAGTATTTTCAGTGGATTTAAGTCTGAAAAAAGATGGACCAGAAGACAGAGGGACGTCAGATCAAAGCCGCGGTTAAGAATAAGTATCGGTTCTATAGGGGCTCCCGGAAGGCGTCATGTTCCTGGCTCAAAGATGTGGGATCATTTAATTCGTAGGCAAAGTTCCATAGATCTGTAATACCCTGCTTCGGTTTTGTACTGTTCCAATCTGCTTCCTTGGAACTCCTCCGCCCTACATGCTGCAGGACGCTTGGAGTGATCGCATATCGAATCTCGTCATTGGCATTCGCAAAGTCTTCCGTGAGCATGTCGACGTAACCGGCTTTCTTTTCCTCATAGAGCTGAATGAGATCGGGGACTCGCGATTGCGGGAACACAAAGCCTTGTGAGCAACATCCAAATCGAGGCATCTCATGCACGCCAGGTAAAATAGGGCGCATGGTCACCCGTCCGGCGGCAAAGTAGAGTCCGATAAGTAGGGGGGTGCATACGAAGCTGAGAAGCAGGATCGTATTGTCGGGAAGCATTGGGCGAATTTTAGGCTGGTAGCGACGCATTCCCAGTAGGGCGCAACCAACGATGCCGACCGTGACGACGGACCCGAAGAGGTAGGCGGGCCATTCCTCGGAGTTCCAGCCGAGTAGCTGTTCGGTGTAGAAGAGACGCAGGTAAAGCCCTGCTCCTGTTAGCTTTGTCTTGTGTCATGGGTAAGCCCTCGCGACACTCACAGTTAGACGCACCCTTGTCGAGCGTCATTTGATCTGCCTCATCGACGGCGAAGAGCGTCCGATGGAACCATCCATCCAGAGCGAGGACATCATCTTCCACCATGGCGACGAAGGAAGTATTGGCCGCCTGGCATGCCTTAAGCAAATACGTGTAGTCAAACAAGGCTTTTTCTCGGGCAAAGAATTTCGCCGAATCTGTCTCAAGGTCGTGAATGTGGTCGATGTCAACCTCCGTTTCGTTATACAGCAGGACTTGATCGGCCACGTTGTGAAGCCATGGCTCGGAATATGCAGGATGCTCCGATGCATTGGTGTGTGCGATGAAAAGAATCAGATGCATATTTGCGCGCTCGGCCTCGTTCAACCCTTCCAAGATCGAGCCCACTGCGCTCCTGAAGTACCGAGCGCCTTTTCGAGCAACCGAGGCGACACCCAGACACATGCGAGGGCTTTCGGAAGCCCTCCATTGCGTGTAAGCGACACCCTGGTTGGCATCTTCAATATAGCGATCAGACTGCTGGAATCGCACCGTCGAATAGGCGGGCAAGTACCCGGTAGAAGGATCGAAGAAAACCGATGTTGGGTCACGGAAAGTGTGCCATCGGGTAAACAGGATGAGGAAGAAGTAGACCAGTGCAAAGATCAACAGCATGCGACGAGCATACGAATGGGAAGGGACGAGGACCGTCCCCGGGTTGGGCAGACGCCCTTTGGACCACAACATGGCCAACAAGGTATGGATAACGCCCACCGAAGAGGGGGATTATCAAGACTGGGATGTCCCGAGTCGAGTGTGAATATGGATCGAGATCGAGAAAAGGACCGATCAAAAGCCCCTTCTACCAGGGCGTGGCGAGATTGATTCAACAAAAGCAGCGCATTTCATCGTCCATGTGCGGTAGAAAAGACTGACACAAAAGTTGGTGACGCAGTTGCAACCTGTCAGGAGATGGGAGTTCGTTCGCTGATTCAAGGCACGCTTGCAAAACGCGGTTCCAAAGAGTTAGTCAAAAAGGGACAGGCTAGGAGGGAGAGAGGTGGCCGATTATAACAGTGATCGTCCTGCTCCGTGGGAGGGTCTGTCAAACACTGCCTATTTCGGCACCGACGCTCCCCACACGACACCATGGTGACCGGTCATAGCGTTCAGACCTTGACCTGGATGATTGAGCCCCGATGCTGCGTCTCGTGCCGACGGGGTACCACGTGCAACCAGGCGAATGAGAAGTCCTGCGCCTGGATATTTGTTGGGAGGCCGCCGAGTCAGCGATGCTACCATAATCTCAAGGGCGGATGTAAGCGACAGAGGAAAGGGAGGAAAAATCAAGACCGCAGGAAGGGCTTACGTACCAAGACGGATAGGTAAGCCCTGGAGGGGACGATCAGGGCCTTGTTGGGCGACAGGGCCAGGGTACTGGGGGCCACTTGAGGGGGGCCAAATAAGCTAAAGTAGGCCGAGGAAGTGGATGCCTTCGCCAGTCATCGGTCGAGAACTGGAGATGAAAGACTCCTTGGCGGAACAAGGAGTCTCGATAGATCCGTAGGGCGAGGAGCCTAGAATATTGGAAGTGCTCCTACGCCGCAGGAGGGCGCATCGCAGGGGACTGATGGGCGACTAAATAAGATGCCCTCTGCCCTGGGCGATGTGTATGCAGTGGAGGAAGGAAGAATGTGGACGTGAAACATGCCGAATCCACAGCTCCCAAGTCGACGCGCAACGGCATCACGTGGAGAGCCCGTGCCTGGCCGCGCGACCGTGGATTCCTGAGGCCAGCAACGGCCGGGCTTGGCGTGTTGTGCCTGGCGTCTTTGTGCACATAACGCCCGGCTATGTAGTCCGTGGCAGGCATAGCCTGGCCTCGTCTCCGGTCAGCATTTAATACTTAGTTATGGTGTATTTCCCTCCCTCCCCCTTTCTCCGGACTGATTGCAATTTACGCAATCTTTACGTTCGTGACAATTTCCTCAGGGCTTGCCCTACTGCGATTGTCGTGGAAGAGCCGTCTTTGCATCCTGGGGTCGGTGGGTGCGATTAGGGTATCATATTTCTATGCGGATACATCGTCAAGTATTCTAAACAGTTTCTACAGTTAACGCCTGAATTCCCTGGCCCTGATCAGCGACACTCCGCAGCAAGGCGCTTGGCGCGAGGCACGTTGATCCCCGAGGTCTTGCCCTTGGCCGTCCCGCCTACTATCATCCACGGACTCAGATGACAGGCCTGCTGCCGTGAATCCCACGTCCAAGCCAGACAGAAGCTTGAGCGCCCCTGGCAGATCCGGCGGCAATTGTCGGCCGATATCACATCGCTAATGCTCATCGTGTGCTCATCCAAGCGTCCCACGTAATCCCAATTTGCGTGTCCGGTTCCGAGCACGGGCGCGTCGAAGGACGGCGCACGATACAGATCCCACAAGTCAATCCACAGAACGGGATCGGCGAAGCGTTCGAACGTTTCTCCAACGCTGAGCATGTCCGATGCAGCCGCCAATCCGTGGAAGGAGGCAATCGGGGCGCAGAATCGCTCCGCCGAGATTTTCGTGATCGGCGGTTGCTCTCCGTTGAAGAAAATGGCATGCCGTTCGTCGAGGTAAATTCCAATCTTAATTAATACGGTAGCGACGAGCTTGTCGCCCCATTTTTCTTCGAGCGCCTCCATATGCGCGTCCCACACGGCGGCGCGGTCGGTGAAAAGGGTGCGCATGGTCGCTTGAGAGAGGATCAAGGAGGACCCTCCGTGCGCGAAACGGGCTTTGTAGTCGCCTACCGCGTTTCCGACGTAGTACGGCACGGTCGGGTCCAGGTGTTCGAGCAGACGCAGCACCGATGGCTGCACAAGATAGGTATCGTCGTCCGCCATTACGTACCACTTCTTGTCTGGCATTTGTTGATAGCATAGCTCCAGGCCAGCGATGAACTATCGACGGTCAGTTTCCTAGATGAGACACCGCAGTGACCAGCCAAGTGGAAAGCAAGCTAGAGAAAAAAAGAAGACGAAGAAGAAAAGACAACATAAAATCAAAGCCGGCCACCATACCTTCAAAGCATCAAGTTCCCATCCAAAAGACCTCGAGAGGCCACGGGCGGTGTCGTCGTCTCCGCTGGCGATGGCTGCAGTCAGATTCGAATACTTGAGAAGCCGTGGATGCACCAGATGAGCGGGTAGCGATCCGTTCTGCAGCATTTGGGCGACGACGTCGTGCACCGGAACTGGGCGGCCATGATAGTCGTAGGGGCGTCCCGGCGGCGTTGAAAAGTCTCCGACGAGCAACAGGTTGTCAAACTCCGCCGCCTCGTGCGCTTGCAGCCACGGCGCTATGCGACCTTTGGTGCCGTAGCCGGACTTGATCACTAGGGCGACCTCGTCGCGCAGATTTACTGGGAAGGCGACTTTCTTCTCGGCGAGCCACCAGCGGTTCGAGAAGGGCGTGGGAAGAGCGGCGACAGCGGCGTTCAGGTTGAAGCGGACAGACAACCGCAAGTCATGGTCATAGGGGAGAAGGGAGTACAGCACGAGCAGAATGAGTGGGGCCAAGATGAGCATCCGCCAGCGCCGAAGGGGCGTACATTGTCGCCATTTTATCATGATTGCATTGTTCGAGGACTTTGAATTTCTCGCGCGTGCCGACAAGAAGGGGGAAAAAAGGTTGGCTTTGTGCTTAATAAGGGAGACAAATGGCTTGGCGGCTGCCCCCCACTTGGATCTTCGCTTTCCACCTGAGCAAGAGAGAGTTCACGTTGATAGAAATTTAGAGCTTGTCAAAGGGGCTCCCACCAAATATCGGGTTCAAGTTTTCTTGTCGGGTTGCCCTCGTCAGGCATTGCGTTGTACAGCGGACAGCCGCGAGTTACACTTCATTTACAGGATTACCACCCTGCAGCTTGGCGGTAGCTTCCACCATAGGTCAGGTAGTAGGCCTCGCGATCTTTTCCAGATCTTTCAGAACCTCTCGGCTGTCTTCTGTCACTCGCGCGCAACCTCTACTGCGTCGAAGTAGCAGGAATAGTAGTACAGAAGAATCAACAATTATCCCAAATCGGACGCGGCTCCCCAAAGAGTCGGAAGTGGCGCCCCCGGGGGTTTGACCCTAAGCCATCCCGGGACTAGCGCCGTCTAGACTGGCCCTGCTTCTCCTCTTCCTTTTCCCTTCTTCTTTCTCCCCTCGGCACGGTAGGGACTAGGGACTAGTAACTAGAGACATTCTAGATTCTAGATTCTAGGGTTTTTCCTTAGTGCTCCGTGCCTGGCATGATACCAAGGTGATCTTATCTTGACCAGGGTTCTCCCCTCTACGGAGTAGGCAGACGCATTCCGCAGACAAGCCAGTTCCTGGTTAAAAGCAACAAGGCCAGCACTCACTATGTGGGCCCGACTTCTCCAAGCCATGCTAGGGGTTACACCGGAGTATGGACGGTGGACATGCCGGGGTGCTGACGGAGTACTGCTTAGATATCCGGGCAATCAACGATGAAATCATCGTGGGTCTACGGGCGTTGCGCCAATCAATCGGGCGGAAGAAAACAAGGTACGTCCGTACTCCGTAGACCGACTGACATCGAGCAGGAGGCATTTGTTTACATCCTATCCTTGTTCTTCTTCCTCTCCTGCTTCTTCTAGTCCAACAAACTAATGACCGATTGACTTAGCCCCGTCTCTAGAGCCTCGCCCCCTCTCCGGCTGTTTATAAGCACGCCACTTCCCCCGCAGTGTCTCGCGGTTCAACGCTGCTACCCCGATTTCGTACTCCCCCAGACCGCATCACGCCACATTCTTCGCAAGGCCAGAGCAAGAGAGGAGGGGGAATAGTTATGTCCACGGCCACCACTACTACGAAGCTCCGCCGTAACTCGCGCATCCGGCGTGCCTTGAAAGCGCCCGACCGGCCTGTCGCCATCCGGAGGGAATACGTCACCGACCGGAAGACCACCCTCGTGCTAAGACCCGTGGGCGACTCCAGCTCCGAGATCTCCTACAGCATCGCCGACCTCGACGGGATCCCCCAGTTCACCGTCACCGGTCGCAAGTTCAGCGACCGGCCCTGCCGAGAGTTCCGCGACGCCTCCGGACTTCCGCTCTTCGAACTCCACCGCAAATTTTCCTTTCGACAGGCGTGGAACGTCTGCCTGCCCGGGAGCAAGAAGGCAACTATTGCCAGCGCGGTGCCCCGGAGGTCTTTTTTGACTACCCAGTTCGGGAGCTTTGATCTCGCGTTCGAGAACTTCGCCGCCTTTGAGTGCAAGGGCGCCGAGGATAAGAAGGTCAACTTGGAGATCGAGAAGCACGGCAATGTCTTGAAGACCTTTGACGTCGTGGACGGGGACCGTAAGATCGCTGAGATCCGAGAGAGTATTCCACACAATCGAACCCTGGCTTTAATGCCGGAGTCGAGGAGAGGCTGGCGACCGATCATGGATATTGATATCATGCCAGAGGTAGACATTTCGCTGGTGAGTAGCTCGTCCGTCCCTGCGAAAGTCCGGATGGCCTAACATTATTCCTTCACAGGCGACGGTCGTTGCGGTCATTGCATCGGACTATTGTTTCAGCGCCAACTACTGTTAAGTGTTAACCCGTCGATGGCCGGGAGACGAAGATCGGGCCCACTTCGGTGTGGCCTGTTAATGGGACATGATGATATGATACCTAACGAGCGGCTGCCATTTTGTATTCCTAGATAATGGATTGCATATATGCACTGAATCACCTTTTTTTCGATCCTATACCTCAATAAATTTAATACGAGCCTCGCAATTAGTAGTTATCATGCTACGCAGGCAGATATCGGACTACAATCGAGGCTGTACTTTTAAAAACCAGCCAGACCGAGGTGCCCCCCACATCTAAACGTAGAGGTTGGGATAGAATATCATCGAAAATATCTACAAGATTGATCTAAGACTCAAGGGTAGTTCGATACATAACATTAACAACGCCATTATCCAATCAATTAAATTCACTTTTTCCCCCGATTGAATGTCTTCAGCGGGTCCACCCTCTTCTTCACGCCGGCGTAATTCCGACCCTTGTTGCCCTTGCCCTTGCTCCGATTCTTCTCCCTGGCGTTGCGAATCCGGTTGTTGCTGGTTTTCTTGAAAGACACGTAGCCCACGTTCTCGCTCGAGATTCCCTTTCGACCCTTTGAAGGCATTAGGTAGTCGGGGATGTGCTTCAAGTGCGGCTGCACGCGAGCGGAGCGCACTTCATCGTCGTGGCGCAGCTGGCGCAGCTCCTCGGGGTTTTCCTCGAAGTGGCGCTTCAGCTTCTCGCTTTTGATCAGCTCCTGGCGGATCTCCCGCGCACGAGCTTCCTGCACCGCGAGACGGGTGATGGCGCGCAGGGCGTCGGTCATACGGTATCGGAATGCATCCACCTGGGACATTTCGAAGTGGTACGGCTTCACCTCGTGTCCGAGTTTAGCCTGCCGCTTCACGATCTTGGCTAGGACGGTCTCGTCATGCTTTGCTGACGATATGCTTGTAGGCTTGTGTTTGCCGTACTGATCCGAGGGAACCACGAATGACAGTGCCATACCCGCTTTGCCGGCTCTTCCAGTACGGCCAATGCGGTGAGTGTATGATTTGGAAGTGCTAGGAAGATCAAAGTTCAGCACACATGCCACGTTTTGGAAGTCAATGCCTCGGGAGATGCCGTAGTCCTTCTCTTTTCCTGTCAACTTCTTGCGCTTGTCGGAACGGGACTTGGTCTCCTCCTCGTCCTCATCACTTGAGCCCACCCCCTCGTCCCCTTCCTTGGCTTTCTTGGAAGACTTTCGGGCTCCCATGACCTCCTGCTCGTCGGCAGCGATTATAATGTCGTAGACACCCTTATTGAATTCCTGGACGACGTGTATCCGAGAGTTGATGGGTAGCTCTGAATTGAGCACACAACTCTTCAGGCCGAACTGCTCAAGGAACAGCTTGAGACGATAGCAGCGGTCCACATCTCCAACGAAGATAATCACCTTTCCCTTGATCAACTGCAGCTTGAAGATGACGTAGGTAAGCAGGAACTTTTCGTCTTCCGCACATCTGAAAGTGAAGATTAGCCATCAGTCGCAAGACCCCAATACGTTTAAATTGGGGGTGGGGCGAGGAAATTCACTCACTTCACGACAAACTGACTAACACCGGCACCTTGATCGTCCTTGTCCTCCAGCTTCAGAATCACGGGGCTTCGACAGAACAAGCCCTTCAGAGTGTCCACCTCTGAGGTTAGAGTAGCACTCATCAAGAATGTCTGCACGCCGCGAGGGATTGCTTTGGCCAGACTATTGATATCCTCATCGTATCCGTACGAAAGTACCAGGTCTGCTTCATCAATCACAAGATGTGTCAGGTTTTCGAGGGAGAGGGCGGAGTTGCCGAGATTGGCGATAATGCGAGACGGCGTCGAAACCACCAGGTCCGGGTAATCGGCCAGCATCGTTCGTTGGACCGCATCCGACACCTTTTGCGTCAGATTTACGGAGCGGACATCTCTTCCGCAAAAGGCAGCGAACGCGGCGATGACTTTCTGGACTTGATCCGCCAGCTCTCGTGTAGGGACGAGGATGAGACCGGTGGTGGCTTTGAGAGACGGATCGGCCTAGCAAGAGAATATGAGTTATCCAACCACGATACTAGATATTAACATGGACGCGACAGAGCAGCACGAACCGTCTTTTTCTGGAGAATAGTCTGCAGGATCGGAAGCACATAGGCCGCGGTCTTACCGGAGCCAGTCTTTGCGCGAGCTGTTCTCGTTAGCTTTTCCGTTTCCTGATCAAGATGCCCAGAGAGTCTGGCACATACCCAGAACATCCTTCCCCTCGAGAGCCAGGGGGATTGCCTTGGCCTGAACCAACGTGGGTTTGGTGAATTTCTCTTTGATCAAGGCTTGGCGCAGTCGGGGATCCAGGTTGAGACTTTCAAAGTCGGCGTCGGGCAAATCCTTGGTTTTCTTCCCTTCGACCGCTTCCGGCGAGGGAACATCATTGGCATCAAGCTTCCTCTTCATGATTGATTGTCAGAAAGAAATGGGGAGGAATGGGTTGGTGAACTAGAGGGACCGGAGAGTTTGATGCCGCTAGAAAGTTTTCCTCCGGGTCTGAAAATCTGTCGGGCGGTGAAGACTTTCCGCGGCAGTATTTAGCGCGGCTCCACCGACGGTTCTTATCGGCTTATCTACTAGGCTGCCTGAGGCATCACAGACATACGGTATAGTACGTAATAACTAGTTAATAGTTCTAGACAAGCGGGAGATCGTTCCTAGGGCCCATTCATCGTATACAATAATGACAACGCGTGATGACAAGCAGGATATCAAAAGACCAAATGCAAAAAGGTAGAAAGAGCGCAAGCAGGTACCCGTGGGTCGTATATAAATATATGGATTAAAAGCTCAAGGCAACGAACGCATTTGCCTTGAGAAACGTATGGAGAATCAACATCATGACATGACATTGAATTCGCTTTTCGCATAATTCTGGAAGCGCGGCATCGATCGCTCGGTGATTTTCCCAACCGGCAACACTTTCACATTGTGTTCGACCGTATAAATCTTTCCAAAATTCAGCCGGGACATATAATCTAATTTCTGGTCGGGTGAAGCCGGGGCGACCTCCAACGGTTCCTTCATCATTTGAGGCTCGCCGGAGCCACGCTGGGGCTCGGTGCCCTGCATGTAGATAATGGCATGCTTGGATGCGTCCACCCCTGTTTTCGCGACCCCCTTGCGACTGTATGTGCTCACGGGGCTATGGTAAAGAGGATTAGCATACCGCGACGCCGGTCTACCTGATAGAACATCTAGATAACTCACAAACACCAAGCACACTGATCCAGTGCCTTCACGACTACCATGCGTCGGATCCCACTATGAACCGGTTCGTTGAACCGGCCTATATACACGGGACCTACGCTTATATAACTCTGCGTACCTCGGCCGCTCGAGCCCTCGTTTTCGTGCCAAAGAATTGCAAAGACCTAGGTAGACAGTGAGCCAGGGATAACAGCACAACCAGACCGTGCTTCGCAATAGAGACACGTACCCGTCCGACCCTAAAGAAGCTCTTGGGGCTCTTTTGTACCGTATAGCCTAGATATTGTCAGGACAACTCTTTTCTGAACCAAGACCGAAGCAGCGGGTACGTACGCGGGTCCAGTGTGGTGTTATGAGTACTGCTGGTCCCCGAAATTACATTCTGGGACACATTGCTCCCCCGTGACATGGGTTGGACGGACTTGATCAAATATTTTCATTAGAGGAGGCCTTGACCGTGGGATGGTCCGGGCAACGTACATGAGAAATTCCCGCATCATGACCGGGAAGGCCTGGGCCGGGTGTGGTCGACCATTGGGCTCCGGTTGGACTTGTCGTCAGGCTTCCGATGCCATCCGTTATAGCATCGATTCCCGGTGACTGCGAGAAAGAAGGAGACCGATATCCATGACCAGTGCCCGGGGCGGTATTCGAAGCCGACCGTTGGTCGTATGAGTTTGAAAATTCACCGTGAACGGGGCTAGCAGGTTGACTGGACCTGAGGGTGTAGTTCCCCTGGTCATACAAGGAAGAAGGTTGTGGCGGCGACTGATGTAAAGAGGACGACGTTGAATTGCGCGGCTGGGTCGAGTAAAGCGAGATGTTGTGCTGATAGATGGCCCCGGACGGGTCTCCGTAGGGTGTAGAAGTACCCCCGTACGGCGAAACCGGTGCTGGATGCGATCGAGGGACCAGGCTCGGAGGAGGTGAGCGAAAATGAGGTTCACAGCGGAGGGATTCCATGTCCTACCTGGTCGGGTCGGTTGCGCCAGATGCCACAACGCTTGCCTCGTTGCCCGCTCTGCGCGAGTCACCATGATGGGCTCCTAGGGTCGTACGGTGCATCGATCAGCATGAGAGTCGGAGAGTCGACGAGTTTAGATGTGAATCCCCCTACCGGACATGCGGTGGGTCACCCGCTGGCTGTTGGCGTTGTAATGAGCGCTCATGATGGCAGCATTTCCCCTTTAGCCTCCCTTTGATGTTGTCAGATGCTGCCTCATCCAGGGTTGTACACGAAAGATCAGTTGGGTCGACGCATGGTCGGGAACTGTCCCGTTGGGCTGGGAAGAGGGACTTTTAAAGAGCGAGTCTACCATTTTTCTGCCTGCGCTGTGGAGAGGGGAGCAGATGAGGCTCTTCTGCTCTTATCCACCTCGCCATTTTCCTCGTTGCTTTGCGTTGTCGAACGCTGACTCGCAGATGGCCCCGGCAGCTGACGCTCGGCCCAGCCGCCATCCGGGTACGAGGGTCGGCTCGTCGCTTGATTGCTGATCTGAACGCTTTTCGTCGCGCACGTTGCACCTCGTCCGGAGGGGGATGGGTGGCCAGTCAGACGGCCACTGGGCTCGTTTCCTGGCTTCCCCGACCATCCATCACGCTCTCCACCCAGTCGACGTGGTTGGTCCAACGAGTCCGGGTTTATATATTGGACCAAGAAGCCCTTCCCCGACCGGATCAGCAGGCATGGACCTTGAAACGACAGTGGAGGACCAAGAGACGTTACACAGAACGGCGATTCTCCATCAAGACCCGTCAATGCGACGTGTCAAGCCCAAGGAATTCCCCCCAAAGGAAAAAGTAAATGCAAATGGAAAAGAAAGAAAGAAAGAGACATCAGCTCTCTCTCTCTCCCATGCCGTCGAGTTCCCCAAAGGTCAACAAGTATTACTGATCAATCAATAAACGATGAACAGAGAGTGACTAATAATAATTATCTCCAGCCTGTCATCCACCCTTTCTTTCTCTTATTCGCTTCCTCTTTTCCTCTCCCTTTTCTTCTTCAAGTTGATCTCGTCAGCGCACCTCGACAACGTTGGCATACGCCAGGGTGACTCCGCGCGTTGGGCTGCTCGACCGTGGCTTCCCCCCGCAATGGGCATCGCGTGGAAAGATGCTGAAGTTTGGGGAAATGGCCTTCAAGGCCCTGGATCCGAGAACCTGGGCCAGATCTCCTCCGCAAACCAGGGTAAATACATCGTTTGGTCTTCTTGATTCTATTGTTATTGTTTGATGATCCACATGCTTCATGCTTACCCCTTTCCTCCCTCCGCATCGCCCATTCCTCGGGGAACTGATCCCTTCTGATACTTACGTTTCTCCCATGGCGATGCAGCAGGGGAAGACAATCGAGGACTTGATTGACCCGCCCGGCATGGAGAAGCTGGAGGATGATGGCAGCCCGACGACGTCGCCGTACGTTCCACTGCCGTCCCCCGAGATTCCCGCGGACCTGAACCTGGACCTGGACCTGGGAATGTGCGGGATGGCGTCCAGCCCTCCAACCACCAGGAAAGGTTCGTCGTCCAATCCCCAGGTGACCGAGGTCCAGGAATCGATCGCGCATCCCAGTCTGAGCCGGTCGAAGCAATTGCCGTCGTCGGATGCGTACCATCCTGGTCACAGTAAGGATGTCAGTACCGACCCTCCATTCCCAGAGGTTTCTAAGCGTCCGCAGACTCAGAGTGATGGCATTTTCTCACCTTTCACGGGCGATTTGAACGAGGCCTTGGATTCGGTGCATCTTGCCAAACTGGTCCTTGCCAACCAACATCTGGTTGAAGAACAACAGACCGTCTCGGCAAAGCGGTCGCAGGTGCGCGAGCTCCGACAAGCGCTGAAATACAAACGGGAGGAAGAATCAAACCTACGAACGGCCTTGATGAGAAAGCTCAACGCTCTGTTTGCCCAGCAGGACCTTTCCACGACCCAGCCCTTGGTGCGGGATTACGAAGCCTTGCAACTGACCACCGAGGCGTACGTGCAGCTGGAATACAGTTACCACGACGCTGAAGACCAACTGGAGCAACAAGAATACCGCCTGGGCATGTCCATGAAAAGGTTCGCTAGCCTATCATGCAAGGGCCCTTTGCGTACCTCCCTGGACCTCACCAAACATACCCTGGAAGATGATTCTCCCGATGACAGTGATGACGCTTCGTCCATGGCCACTGCAGCCCAGGACCATCCTCAGGGTATAGTAGATTACCTCTCGCGTGTGGGGGATGTTCGGTTACTTCAGGAACATCTAATGAACCTGGATTCCCAATGGCTAGCCATCATGGACAAACATAAACAGCGGAACCCACTTCATCTGGCTCTTGACGACGAATCTTTGGAATTTTTGCGCACCTACGACGAAGAAAGGAGGAACATGTGGTACGAGCTCAACCATGCACAGTTGGATGTCAATCAACTTCGCTCCATCTGCGAAGAAAATGGTCTTTTAACCGACGACCGCACGAGAAACCTGGATTTTCTGTACCCTTTAGACTCTGAGGATTCCACCAGACTGAGCGATGATCCTCTCAAGCTCTCCGTTGATGAAGGCTCCTCTTTCTTCTTCGAACCTCAGGCAACGACCCAGCTCCAGCCTACCGGGTTTATCAACAAGTGGCTCTTGCACCAGCTCCGCAACTCATCGGTTGAAATACACCGGCTCAAATCCCGTCCCGAACTCCAGCCCCTATGGGACCGAGGCTTCGACGACACCACCATTAGCCGCTGGGCTCTTAGGGAATGGTTCAGTGACGACGCGGGCCTATCTTCACGACCTCCCAGTACTCTCCCTCCGGACGTGGATCATATCCCGACCACCGAGCCCGCCATGTCCCCAGAGAAGAAAAGCAAACCAGTACTTATTAAAAGCCGCTCCGTGCCGCTTTTTCGCAGACCCCAAGTCGTTCACAAGCTTCGACATTCGCATTCTATGCCCTTTCGCAATCGCTGATCAAACCCAATACTTCACGGTATTCTCGGCTTGAACGGCGCAGCATTCCAATACAATGCGTTGTGGCACCGAGCTTTTTCTGGGTTTTCTTTTTTCCTCTAGGGTAGACTATTGTTTCGGACTCACGCATTCTTTTCTGTATTATAGCTAGACTGACTTGGCGTATTATTGATATTTCCTTCTCATCGCCCCTGTTGAGTCTTTGATATATTCTTTCCCCGAGAACAAAGAGCAAAATTGCCTATCCTTGCTTCGGAGCACGTGGTTTTGGGACGTCGTTGCTAATTTGCTACGAGCATATCGTTAAAATCCATGGATCTCCTCATCAAGGGAGGCATGATTCAAAGCCCTAGCATTGCACGTTCAATCCGAAACTACTAGAGAGATGAATAGCCGAAAAAAATCCTATCAGTGTCGTTGAGCTATGAAGTCCTAATACATGACGGTGGGTAACATTTCAACTCGCACGGCAGTAAGAAAGCAAAAAAGAAAGAGAAAACAAAAACCAAGGCCAATTCGTTCATTGCATCCCATTATCCATCCCAGGTCGTAAATCAGTACCCATTAACGTACTCCGTTGAGTAATTTCATGTTCCATCCTATCCCAGCCGTTCCGTTTGTGGTTTCCGTGTGTTATTTACATTTTCGACATGACCTTCTGCTTCATTGACGTATAGTTCCAATTTATGAATATCGAGTCTCCTCGCCGTCGCTGTCACTGAGACTGTCGCGGCGACGACCGCGTCCGCCGTTTCGACGATAGCCCTTGCTCAGTCCGGGGATCGGGTGGTGGTAACTCTTCGTGCCCGAATCTTCCGTCTCCACGTTCGAATACTGGTAGTCCGAGCGGGACGGCGCCGACTTGAAGTCCAGCGGCTCGGTGTAGTGGCCAGGCATCGATCGCCGCTCGCGTTTGCGCGGGCTACTCTGGCGCGACGACGAGGTGGGGGGAGGCTGTTGCCGGCGGTCCCGACGACGGTTGTGCCGGCGCGTGGACGGATCACGGAGTCGACGGTCTTCGGTGGGCGGCTGGGAGAGCGATTCCTCGGTGCCCGGGATAAACGAGAAGTCTCGACGGCTGGATTTCTGGCGGCTCGGCTCGTAGGCGTAGTCGCGCACTTGACTCATCTCACTCTGCTGGTAGTGGCTGGGCGGGTTGGACAGGTCGTAGTCACTGCCATGGTAGGTGCCGTCGGCGTCGCGGTTGATGCCACCCACTCGCGCGGGCTTTTCCTTTCGGTACGCCAGCACGTCCTCGTCCGCTTCGCCCTCCCAGTTTTCGTCTTTGTGCCGCCGTAGCAGCTTCTGCTTGGCGGTCTCGCGGAACTTGCGCTTCTTCTTAGGCTGGTCCTTCTCGGTAATCGTGGTTGCCGTGTCGGTGTATCCCATCCCGCTTTCGGTAGCCGTGTATCCATCGTCACTATAGCCTTTGCCAACGACACTGCCGCCTCCTAGCTTGGTACTCTTGGTTGCGTTACTGAGAGTTTTTCCGTCGGGTCCTTTGCGTCGTAGAACGGTGGACTTGTACTCCTCCCAGTCGCCATTCCGCCATTGGAAGCCGCCATTTTTGGCCCAGAAAAAGAACCAGATGGCAGCGACTACAAACGCGGCACCCAGGATGGCGAAGAGAGCGAACAGTCCTTGCATGTTGATGTGATTAGGGTCGACGGTGCCTTGGCCGGGAACATAGTGGCTGTTCGAATCGTCTCGTGCGGCGAACATGTGTAGATGCTCTGAGCCTATAGCGGCGACAGGCTGAATCTCGCTCACGACGTCATTTTCATCGAGAACCGGTCTCTCAGGAATGTCGGGGAAATTCCCGACTCGCTTGATGGCGGGCATCGTCGGAGAATCGTCGTCCTAGAGCTGTCAAGAGCATGCAGCTCGAGACGAAACTCTGAGCAGAGGTTAGTGATTGGATGCGGGTGTTGACATTCCACACCGTGACAGGATGTGGGATGGGTGTCTTACCCCTTCAAGTAATTGGCAGCAATGCGAATCTTGGTATGTGTGATCCACTCGGCCGGACTATAGAGATGGTCGATAAGCGGAGGGGACAGGAGGTCTGAATGAAGAACTGAGGTTTGTGCTGTCAGTCAATACTGAACAATGCCAGATGTAGACAGAGGCAAACCGCAAGGGAGTTGGGACTTGAGTCGAGCAGGACGAGGTTGCCGCCCAAAAATGTGGTGGTTGGAGGAAATGGAGAGGCTGGGGATGCCATGACGCCCGCCTTGTTTGGGCGGCCCGCGTTGCCAGGCAACTCGCTGAGTCAGCGCTATCTTATCGACCATGCTGCCTCAGGCTACATCTTTCTGCCTCGGTCGCCTCGGTCGCTTTGGTTGGACATTTTACGGGCTGAGGGGGTGGAAGGAAGTATTAAACATAATCTGTGGACAGTCCTATGGGACTATTTCGATTCTGGTCATGTGTTTGTATTGTGCACAGATTTCATGTTGATCACGTCCTGAACTATAAGCTGTCATCGTGAGCTATATATCCCCGGATTTGGTAGCTACGCTATTCTTTTTCCCCCCCCCCGCGATACTAGTTCCCTCACAGTTAGCATACAACGACGACGACGATAACCTGGAAGAAACCTAGACTTTACTGTCCTTCCTAGTCGAGCTAGACCCTTTGACAGTAACTACAGGATCCTCTAGGGGGTGTGCTCTACAGATGCAGTAATCTCCTCTTCGGCAGTCTCCGCGGCCGTTATAGATTGGGCAGGAAAACGAACACGACGATGGCTCACCATCCATGAAAACGTCCGGGCCGCCGACGCAAGTCAATCCCAGAAGCATCGGCATCTCGACAAAAGTTTAGTTGGATCCAGACAACGGAAAAATCGAGTAGCAGGCGGCTCAATCTCCAGGACCTCTCTCCATGTCACACGCTGACTAGGACGACAGAACAGCAATGGATAGTAGTTCCAATCAATAGCCACAACCGGTTTCATGTGACAGAATGAGATGAATGCAAGATAAGGCCCATGTCTCTCATGGATGAGGGGCAATGGAAACAGAAAAGAAACCTGACACGAGCATCGCGCACTGCGTTGTTCATACCCTCGGGACAAAACCGTCTTGCTCCGTGGACCGGGGGTCCTGGTAGAAAATCAGGCGTCCACGACCGGCCGACACCGGGCAGCGCAGGACAGTTGGATGCAAAAGACCAGAAAAGTCAAGTATGACGAGTCCAACTGGTCAATGTCCGACACAAGAGCCAGCGCAATGATTCGGCGTGGTCCCAGACTTTCCCGTGTCTATAGCGACATCGATGGTAATTCATCGATTGATATATCCTTGGCCAAACAGGGAATCTGGCCGGCGACTGACATATCTGTGACCTCAATTTATCCGACGACTCGCTGCGCAGGCGACAGTCAGCATTAGGGCTTATGAGGTCATCGGAGCCGGCGTGACTGGTTGGGCGATGCGCAACTGCATGGGCGTGATTCTGATCTGCACGGAGCAGGAGACTTAGCTTGATCCCCTTGTATCAAAGTGGGGACGGTCCGGACGCAACGGACTGCATGGTGAAATGCATGGTTTACTCCGGAATACCGCGACGGTCTTCTAGTATTCCGTACTAGGGGAGCGACAAGTTGGCTTTGTCAATGACAATGACCGGACTCCCAAGCACAAAAGACCCCCCCAAACACGGAGACCGAGACATCCAACTTATAGATACAAAGCCACCAAGAGCAAGAGTAGGTACGCTAAAATAGGGAGCTGCAATTGCGAGCAAACTTAAAATGCAAGTCTAAAGGATCAATGCAGGTTTCGGCCTAACGGTTGGCCTTGGGACTCGACGAGAGAGGGGCGGATTTTTAGTATTCTACAGTATCCATCGATCTTTCGACCCATATCGCCGGATTGATGGAGACCTGATAGATAATGGATAGATATACTCGGCCCCAGCTGAGAGTGCCGTGCAGGGCGGCTGAGTTGCAAGAGACTACAGGCCGTCGAGAGGATAGCCAGACCGTTAGCGGCACCAGCCCCCTTTGCGCAGGCATGGATGGCCGAGCCATTATTAGGATTGGGATCACAGGGGATCATACTCCGTACTGGCAGGGCATAATCCATCATATGACTCATTGCCCGAATGGTGATAGACTGGTCGATTCCCCCGATTTCCATCGTGCTCCATGGCTCTGCTCGTCAGTGCCCGACGGCGTCAGGAATGAGAAACACGGAACAGATGAAGGACCGCCCATCCTCCACAATACGAATGCCGTCCCTCGTCACGAAGACGGGCATCCCCTGGCAGCGCGGCTCGGATGGATGAATCACGACGCATCCCCAGCAGCAGTCCGGCATAGCCGACTTGCGCATCCCGGGCAGAGGGGACGACGATGCAATCTAATCAGCCATGGAGGGGAAGCTGGTCGGGTGTGAATTTTCTAGCGCGCTTCGATTGGATGTTCTACGCCGTTCATTCACCGGCGCTCCACAGGCGGCGTCCCAGAGGATCCGGTCGGTCGCGATAGCATCAGGAAGCTAGACCGGCAGGGTAAGTGGGGGGTCAAGTTTATTCCACTTATTTTTATTAATTTTTTTTTTTTGCTTTATTCTTTTTGCCCCAAGAATAATTTGGGTTGGCACTGGACAGGGACAAGGATCTTGTTTCATGAATTGAGGTTCGTGATGATAAGAGTTGGTGTGACTTTGGAGAACCCACCTGGTAGTTAAGTATGTACGGAGTATGTACCTACTCTGTAAGGTACCTTAGTAGTGCTCCGTAGGGGTTGATATCTGCCGAATCTTTAGCATTTCACACCACAAGCAGGGAAGATGATCGATTAAAAAAAGATCTAAGAAAATATCAAATCAAAAAGGGACGAGATTTCCACCAAATTCCATTGCCCCCCCAGTTGCGAGATTTTTCTCTGCAGAGGCGAGTGGAGGCCGTGATTGGGCCGCAATGGCAGCAGGAAGAGCATCCCTTGCGCACGTTTGGGCCGCCACTCTCCCCCCCTTCGTCCCTCGGGGCAGGACGATCCTGATCTCTGACTCCGCAGAGAATGGATTCCATTCAAGTCCTTCGCGTGGAAGTGATTAGTATTGTTTACTGAGCGGTGGGAGAAGACCTGGGTCGGGTATAGATGACCCTAAAGGGTCATCTGTAGAGATCCGGGTGGAGTCGCCGTTCCACGGTTGAGCCCGTTCCCACGAAGTATATCAATACGTCAGACTGGTGATGAACGGGACATCAACGAGGATAATCAGGGGAGAGAAAGAGGAAGACCGGAAGGATGGACCAAAAAAAAAATTAAATAAAAAGAGGAATCTCGGGGGAAACCCAGTGTTATCACAGAGATAAATTATAAAAGAGGATTTAGCGGACGATCAGGCATCGATGGCCAGTGGTCTTGTCAGCTTCCTGAGATTCATCCATGGAGGGGCTTAGTATGATTATTCTTAATTTTCCCTCCGGGTTTAGTGAATGGCTTAATCCCAATGTATTTTCTCCGGTAAAAGGAATAACAGAGAGAGGGCATGGGAGAAAGAGAAAGGGACGGAGAGAAAGAGAGGGAGAGAGAACGAGAAAGAGAAAGAGAGCACAGAAGTTAAAAAGTCGTCCTCCGTCCTTTTTTCTTACCCCTCGGAAGTTGATCCCTTCTCCTCCTCTCCTCTCTCTTCTTCCATCGCATCGCGTCTCTGATCCGACATTTATCTACCATTCGTTCCTTCATCCACCTATCTAGTTACTCTTTTTTTTTCTGTTCCTTGTTCCTTTTCCTTAGATTCTCTCCCAAAGATATCCTTTTTCCTCCCCCCCACAGCCAACCCCACCTTCGCCGGTGCCCTCGTCAGGCCCCGAAGGAGATCGTTCACCAACCATCGTCGGTTACACGCCTGGCGAGCTTGCAGTTCTCTTAGTCTCTGCCCGCCTAAAAAACCCTCCAGTCATCGCCTGCCAGACAGGCAACTTGCTGCAGCTCACACGCCGCTTCTCCTGTCTCTCATTCCTTCCGTCTCTCCTCTCTCTCTCGGTCTCTCAATCTCTCTCGCCTTTTTTCGCCTTTCCCACCTCTCCTCCCCCACCCTCCTGGGAGTTTGGTCTGATTTGATTTGATTTGACTTGCATTGATTTTCTTTTTTCTTTTTCCATTTTCTTTTTCCCATCTGGATTTTCCGGGACTCCGCCGACCCACGCGCGCTGGCCTGACCACTCCCGAGCCTTCAGCCCATCCTTGCCCGCCCTCCACTCTCCAGTCTCAACCCACCGTGGCCACCACTGTTTTCGATGGAGACATTGCAGACCGTAGACGACGACTGCCACTTTGCATCCATCGTCCGTCGCTGACATACAGCGATCTAGACGCGCCGTCATCGAACTATCACCGACTGCATCTGCGCTCCGTCCGGTTTTGGGTCGCTGAGACTCTGAGTCGACCGTCGAGTGGGCCGAACAGCGACGGGGGGGACGAGGGCGAACGAACCGTTCCGACCCGGTCAAGAAGGACGACACAATAAGAGATTTCGCACGCGAAAGAGGAAAATTCCTTAATATTTCTAAGACAGAACCGAAAACCGAAAAAAGGCAAACCGAAAAAAAAAAAAGAAAAAGAAGAAGAAAAAAAAAAAAAGGAAAAAAACCCGCAGATTGTTTGACTCATCGGATGAGCAGCAGCAGTGGCTGCTGTAGTCCGGCAAGCATCGAAGCCTGTTGGACCACCACGTTTCACGTCATCCACCTTTTTTTTTCCCTTTCCCCCCCCTTTGCCCTTTCCCCTCTTAGGGACCCAACCTGGGCCTTGGCTGCCCTTCAGATATCATGTCCGGCAAAGTCCCTCATGCCGCCTTTTGTGAGGAGTACGACGAAGACGCCCATGTTATTCTCCCCGGTTCCCGTCAAGTCGCCAACGTCGCTGCCAAACGCTCCAAATCCGACTTGAGATCGCCGTCGGAGCCCCTGGTCGACATTGCCAGTGATTCCGGTTATTCCAGTCGTACCGCCGCTACCGTCAACAGCACCCAATCTGGCCCGTCGGGCTGGAAAAGTCCTGTGCCTCTTAAGGTCGACACCTCGCTCAAGAGATCTGACCTCGATCGTGTGCGCTCCCATCGCAAAGAACGTCCCAGGGAACGAGTCGCTCGCCCGGCGCGGGAGGAGAAGATGCAGGTTGGTGCCTATCCGCCCGGCGTCGGTCATCATCCCCCGCCGCCTCCTATGCAACGGTCTCCCTCGCGGTCTCGTAGTAGGCGCGAGAGCGCTCATGTACGGCACTATCCGGGGACCTGCTGGGAGTGCGACCAGGGCTTGTACCACTCCTCGACGCCCGCCGAACCGCGATCCGCCATGGACTATCCACCTTACTACGTGTCCCAGCCATCCACCCCTTCCGTACACGACTTCCCTCCACCCTCGCCCCAGACGTCGCGGTATCCGCCCTCGGTCAGCTCCGACGTCCACGTCGCCTCCCACAGCAGCCGACCGCACGGCCGCAGCGGTCGGTCAGACACCTACCATGCCACCAATCGACCGATGAGTTTCCACGGCATGATGCCCGGCATGATGTATAACTCGAGCCACCTGGGTCGTCCGGACCATGGCCCGCCCTTGTCCTCGTCGGCCTACGCCAACACTCCGCCGTACGCCTCCTCGTACTACTCCCAGCAATCGCCCTACTTCCCCGTGCCGGACTACGCCCCGTCCGAGCATCATCCCCAGGAACGGTCGCTGTCCCGCACGCGAGAGCACGGTCGCGGCCGCGGGTCGTCCACGTACGGAGCCCCCGTGGTGGATTACGACCACGCCTCGGCCTATGACGAGGATGAACCCGTCGAGCACGTCCCCAGCCGCGAGCCCCGACCGCGCCTCCCCTCCCATTCGTCCCACGAGCGCGATGAGGATTACTACCGCATGCCGCCGCCGCCGATGAAGCACAAGGCCACGCCCCACATCATCCAGAAGCGCCCGGAGCCGCGCAAATCGGCCACCACGCCCGCCATCATCTCGGAACGTCGCCCGTCACGGTCGATGGATCTGTCGGAGATGCGGGATGCCTTGCCTGAGTACGGCTACCGGCGCTCGTCGCGGGAGACGGTGGTGCCCGAGCGCAACCGCAGCCTCCGAGACACTCGCCGCTCCACCTCTTACCATGACAGCGCGCGTCCGGCCCGGATTGCCGTGGAGAACTCGCGCCGCCGTCGCCCCACGATGTACTACAACGACGAGGGGGGCGACGACGTCGAGGAGAAGCAGCGCGAGGCCGAGGAATACCAGGCCTCGCGTTCCGGCAAGTCGGGCCCGATGCCGCTGACGGCGGACCTGCTGCGGGCCAAGGCGTCCTCGCAGCGCGCCGAGAGCGACAGCGGTAGCCAGAAAAGCCGCTCCAACAGCAGCCGGGGCAGCGACGCGCGCACGCAGAACGGCAGCGGCGTGGGCACCAACAAGCCCGAGGATGACAACAATATCGTCATGACCATGAACGGCGTCACGATGAGCTTCACGCAGGAGTCGGTGGGTGGGAAGAGGATCAGCGTTCGGACGGGGGATACGGGTGCCGTCGAGCTGAACATCGAAGGGAAGCGACCGCAAAAGTATCTGACTGGTGGATCGGACTATACCGGCAGCGTCGCCCGCCGAGAACTCGAGAGCTCTCGACGCGCTCGGACGGATCGCAGGTCGGATCAGGCCAGTCGACGATCCAGTCGGTCCACCTACAGCGGTCGGACATACTAGCCCCGGTCTCGCTTCCCGTCGACGGTTTCGGTGGACGAGTTGCTCGTACCCTCGTCCGTTCGTTGTTGTCTGCTTCCTCTAATAAATCCCCGTCACCGCGCGTTGACTCGTCGGAGAGACATGTCGTTTCACCCAAAAGTTCATCGTCTTTCGGGAGGGAATCTGGTTTGATCACGCGAAGTAAAAAAAAAAAGAAAAGCAAAAAGTACAAAAAGAAGGCGAGTGAAAACCAAGAGTTCCAGATCCGCGATATACCATTGTTGTTCTTGCTTTGTGCGAGATAAAAAGTTGGAAGGTTTGCTGCTTCAAAAGATTATGTGTTTTACTTGCGTCGATTCCACCTGGGAGGTTGTTTGGCTTACTTTCTTGTGTTTTACGTGTCGTTTCCTCTGGCTTTGACGGACTGATTTATGTTCGGGTGTTATAAAGAGAAGGGGCGGGTTCACGGTTCTAACCGATCACGTCCATCATGGCGACATGATTGTACGATTCTGATGACCTGCAATGACGATGTTATGTTTTATGTTTTTATCTTGATGTTGATGTTGACGTTGACGTTGTTGACGCTGGTGTTGAGGCCGATGCGCCTGTTCATGTCCATGGATTGATGTCTATCTGTCTGGCTGTCTCCTGTCTCATGTCGGTTCACGCAAGCGTTTGTATAAACTTTCGTCTGGATGACATGACCACTTGTTCTTTCGTGCGTTTGGTTTTGTTGTCAGCTGGAAGAAATGAGTAGTTGACAGAGGAAAAGGTATACCCATTTGATTTAGCAATGTACTGTCTTTCTTATCCTCTTTTCTCCCGTTCTGTCTTCCCTCCCTTCAAGATGATCACATAGTGAGTGGTCTGGCTGTAATACCCTGCGCATTTATGATGAATCAATTTGGAGCCCTTTAATATAGTACAATACAGTGCCATGGGCAGGGCCGGTCTGATCTCTGAATCTTGAGTCAGGTCTTCCGCACAACCAACGCCAGATATCCAAATAACCTGTACACCGCAATGATGCCAACCAGGATGCCCACCCATTTCCCCGTTCGCCCCGTGGCATACCCATACTGGCTCAGTACCCCCTTGCCTTGAATGAGGCACTGGTCTGCCAGTTCCGTCTGGTACATGCAATTACAGCCCGGACCGCAGGTATACGTTCGGTCCGAAAATTCATTGACCATCATACCTTGGAAGACGTACGCCTGTTACCGCGTCAGCGTGAAATGTGGGAGACCGCGCCCGGATGTTAGCAAGGGGGCCTCTTACCTGGTAATCGATATAATGAAACACATACTTCCAGAACGGATTGAGAATCGTCGGAGAGACCAGGAACCCGCCCACGCTCATCCACAGCCCGTTGGCGAAAGCGACCAAGGCTAACGAGATGACAAAGTTCGGGAAGATGGAGGTCACAAGCACCACCAGCGACTCGGCGGCCACCAGATCCAGGAAAAGCCACATGACCCAAGTGAAGAAGGCGGATGCCGTGGGCTGGAAGTTGGAGAGATAGTAACTGACTACCGAGAAGAGTATTGCAATTAGAACTAGATGGGAGAGATTAGCATTTGCAGGGGATTGTGTTTGGGATATAAAAGCAAAGACGAACACAAAAATGGAAGACCGATAATAAAATTCGAAATGAGGAAAGGGAGCGCTCCGTAGAGTCCGTTTGCCCGTTCTTTGACGAAGGTGGAGCGGTCCTCCAGGAAAGAAGGAACATAGGCCACGGCCATGAAGCTCATGAAGGCAGAGCCGAAGAACTGATTTCTGTAATTAGCCAGTGAGCTTGAATTAGGGGGTTATGAACGCATCGGGGATTGAAGTACAAGTGCATTGATAAATGGCTGGATGTATTCCTGCGAGGTGTGTAGACGCAGCCATACGGTGCCCATCATGATAGCCAGTCCTGGGTGATGTTAACAACTCTTCGGTCGGTGGACAAGGATAGTAACCAAGATATACCTAGATACATCACAATGCGGATGCCGTATGCTACCACATCACGATAACTTTTGATGAACAGTCGGTGCAGAAGAGACATCGTGACATGGAGGATATTGGGTCGACCGAGCTCGTCCATGAAGACCTTTCCACTACCCTTTGTTTGTACACCCTCGATCCGCTGTGCTAGGGCAGTGCATGTGGTGGACTGCATCCAGGCAGATTTTATAGTTTCGACTTGACCCTGGTCACCCGTGAAATCGGAACTGACGATGTCGAGCAGGAATTCGGCCGGGTTGGTATTCGACGGGATCGGGAGCCCGATAGAATTGAAGTGCGACGAAACGGCGGGCACGGGTCCAAAGTAACAGGTCTTTCCGCCAGAAAGAAGGAGAAGGTTGTCGAAAAGTTGGAAAGTGGTGCTGGATGGCTGATGAATACTGGCGATAATGATGAGCTAGTCATGTCAGTCATATCCATCGTATACTTCGGGCAAGGAAGGGGGGGGGTCCTACATTGTTCTCGACAGCCAGTTTCTTCACGTACGAGATGACTTCAAAGCTGGCAGTAGAGTCTAGGCCGCTTGTTGGCTCATCCAGAAACAGAATCTTGGGACACGTTATAAGCTGGCTGGCGACGCTGACCCGTCGTTTCTGACCACCACTAATCCCCTTGCGGATCGGCGTTCCCACCAGAGTCGACGCTTGGCCTTGGATACCGAATGCCTTCAGGAGGGTCTGGATACGCTCTTTGCGCTGCGACTTTGATACAGATCTGATTTGCCGTCAGCAGTCTTTCCGCCAAGGCAGCTGCCTCCGATGGGACCTACCCGGGTAGAGACAAGTCGGCCGCGAACTTCAATGTCTCATATACCGTCAAAGACCCGATCAGGGCGTCTTCCTGCTCCACGTAGGAGGTGATCCGTCCGAATGTCTCCGTGTCTGGTTTGGTACCGTTGACATGGCAGTCGCCGGTGGTTTTTGCGCCAGACGAAGCCGCGCGGCGGGCCAGGACGTTGAGAAGGGTCGTTTTACCGCAGCCCGAGGGGCCCATCAGTGCTACCAGCTCCCCTGCGATCGGTTAGGGCTTGAGGTCATCCGGGAGGCTAGAGTAGGAGGGGCGATTTACCTTGCTGTACCAGGCCGCTGCTTCCCTCAATCAGGTTTCGCGGCTGCTTCGTTCGACGGTCCTTCACGGTAACGGTGAGGTCAGTCCACGAGAAAGTCTGCACGGCCTGGTTCATGAGGAACTGGTGTTCATTTTGCTCCAGATCGGGGCTATCCAGCCCGGTGATCTCGTGGGCCTTCATCTTTCGCCGGAAATCTGGTCAATCGTAGGGTGTACTAAGAAGGATAAGAAGTATAAGGAGGTGGTGGGAAGCCGGACTCCGGTGGTACCGTCCAGGCTAGAACAGGAAACAGGGCAGTGAAGGGGGAGGAAGTGAAGGTCCAGGAATCCTTGACCAGGCAGGAGGCCAGCTTCTTATAGCCTCAACGACGCCGATTCATTCATCGCCAGCCCTAATGGCTATGGCTTAGTCACCCGTGGTCCCCGACCTACCCGCTGAGTCGGAGTCTTCCTTTTTTTCCCTCTTCTCGACTTCGCCGTCTCCCTTCGGCGGTTCCGAGGCTGAGAGAACCCGAGTTCAGACCAACTCTGTTTCCCTCTTGAGTCCCCGAGGGATTCATTCGTGCGAGAGAAAGCAAGGACGACGACGGGAGGGGCAAAAACAGACCCTGGCTCAGCTGAAATCAACTGCGTGGGCGCCAGAGATGTTCGTGCCACCGTTAGCTCGATTAACCCCGGTCTAGAGGCATGTGTGATGTGATTGCCGTTGGCCCGTTGGACGTTATGCGCGGTGATTGGGCTGCTCGGTCGGTCTTCTAATCCTGAGCTGATTGTTCTATATTGCACCTGCAGCCTGTCAGCGCATTGTTGTGCCCCCCCCTCAGGCTCGTGCCAAGGGCTGGTTGGCCTGCATTAAAACCGGTGGAACTCGACGGCCAAATCCAGTCTAGAATATCGTTCGTTTCTCAATCCTGGTCGCGTGTTATTGGAGCTGCATGCGTGTCGGTGCTACGTGGTGGGATGGGGATGAGCCATGCCCCTAGCATTTAGGTGCGAATATAAAGGCTAGGCGACAACCTTGTGTCACTTTACTCGTTGGTCCGGGGAGCAGTCATAGACCTAAAACTACCAGTTGCACCTCTCTCCAAAGATAGACGGACTGGATTTCCCATTTCCACTAAACTAATCATATAAGTATAACAGGTCACAACTAAGGTATGAACAGAATATCCATGCATAGTACGCCAGTCACCGGCTAAAAGAGCATCGACTCGAAATTCCATGCCATGATCACCAACCTGGACATATCATGGAACCCGTTCTAGGGCCGCCACAGTAACTTCCATCACCGCCGCCTCTCTGCTTCACGCACTACATCATGTCATTCATTAGTGTGGTGCTTGATTAGGGGAAGATCTGGGCTTTCGTACGGTGCCCTTCCTACAAGGCCTGTATATTGACTGTTAGCATCTTTTTCGCTCTGCGGGTCATTGAAGTAAGACTTACAAGTTGACATACGCCATTTTGCAACTTGTTCCATTGCATTCCTGTTGGAGATTGGATGTGAGCATCTGTCTTACGGCCGTGCAGCCGTTCAGCCGGATATTTCGTCGAGGAACTCACTCCACAAAACCTATGTCCATAGCTGCACTCCCCTCCACGCGGGATGAGCTTGCGGGCGGGATGGTCTTCATCAAACTCGATGTCACCTGCGACATATTCGGAACCTTCGGGGCTGGCAGAAAGAGATGGCTCAATGGAGTTAACAAAGCCACGGGATTGATCGTATTCGTCGGCCGCGCTCTGGGCGAGCTTAGCGTCCGGTTCACGAGGTAGGGCCATCACTGTAGCGAAGACAGTCATGAGGGCGACGGTAAGAAACGCAAGGAAGTGCATTTGAGACTGATTGAAGAGCGATTGTGGGAAGAGGAGTTTTGGGAAGGATAGGTAGATGTATGATAGAGAGGATGTTGGCTTTTGCGAGGCAATATATAGACGGCAAGCCTTCCGTTGCAAGCCTGCCGTTCCTTCACTGTTACGCTTCACCTAGGCGCTCTGGTATGCCGGTTGGATATTCCGTACTATGTGAAAATTCCACAATTTGACCCGCGGCTCCAGGCCTCAGCCAGGCCTAGAATCAATTCTATGCGGGGTAGTGAGGCATTCACTTGGTGCACTGAATCCCGACTGCCTAGCACGAGAAGTACAACCTACTTTGCATTATCTCCGTCCATCAAGCCAGATTCCCGGGACCATGGTGGTTGGCATTTCATCCGAAAGGAACGGGATTTCTTTGGTAGGAAGATCCAATATAAATGCGACGTGGCCCTTTTGAAACGACATCTGTGCAAGGTAAGAAGAAAGAGGTGGATGCAGGATAATAGACGATCCAAGTATATATCCTTCCTTCGTGGAGATTCAACCAGGTACGGAGTACATCTCCCTCGGTTCAATATCTCACTGCCGCATCGATTCACTTCTTCACCTGTGAGAGTTCCCGGAGAACCGAGGCACTGGACCTTTCATTTGGACAAAGATGGACACGAGTTGGCACATTCAAAGATTGTTGGCATAGTATGGATCTTTGCGAGATAGGTTGAAGAACAACCGTAGGTTTCCCCTATCTGAACAGACCAGACCACAGAAGTAGAGTTCAATCAACCAAAAAGACCACCACCCTGACCAGCCTGACCATCCCCCCCCGCTTTTCCCGGGCACTGGCACAAATGTAGACCTGAGATACGACCACAAATCTTTCCATCCCCAGCCCCACTCTGCACGGTGCACTAGATGGGCTCTGTTAGACAAGGAGTTTGGAAGGGGGGTTGCTTAATCCATACACTAGTGGGGTTTCCACACCAGCTATTCGTTTATTAGTAGAAGTGCGTACAAGAGGAGAGGGGGAATAGAGAGACTTCCTAGTTGACTCCTGCAATTTTGCAACTGGTGCCGTTGCATCTCTGTTTCAAGATATGTCAGTAAAGCCCGGGAGGTACATTCCTGGGATTGAACATACTCCACAGAATGCCCATCCATTGGGACATTTCCGGCGCTTGTCAATGGGCTCCTCGACGTCAACTCCTGGTGCATCCTGGGGGAGATCAAAGTCCTGGATTTCACCGTGCTGAGTGATAGGGGTTGCCACAGTCATCATGAGGATCGCCATCAAGGCAATGATGAGATTGAGATGGTTCATTTCGGATTTGAGGCGAGAGAGGCAGTTTGAAAGCTCGTTCTGCAAGAGAAGAAGTTCGGATCAAAGCGATGGCTATCGTTGATGGAGGACAACAGATGAGGGCCATAAGTAAGAGGGTTCACAGTATTTATATTCGTCGGAGTGCTGAACGCGTGACCATGAAGCTATTCGGCCATCCGTATAGATTCCCTTTTGCGCCAATCATATGCTTGGTGATCCCATTCACTGCCTAGGTCCTCGACGCATCAACGGTATCCGGGGGGTGGTGCCACCTCGGGATGTTCCAAATGCTGGGGATCTCTATCTATACCAGACTGTCCTTGGTCAGAAGACTTGGGGAGAAATTTGGGCCTGGGTTCTGGGACCTGGAAACCGGTTTAGCGTTTATTTGGGGTGGAGGAAGATCTTTCTTTTTACTTACGTTCAAATTCACGTGCACAATATCAATGAAACAATGAAATCACATATATTGTAAAGTTCTTGGGCTCATACAGGAGAAGAAGTCAGAACATGAGACTGTCATAGCTACATGTAAGAATTCCTCGGTCAGCCCAATCCAACGCACCCCATGACAAGTCGAGTAAACCCCAGTTGTAGCTAGAATTGCCCCGTGAAACTTCCCTTTTATCATTATGTGAGAATATAAGGGATGTTGAAACGATGTCCATACAGACAATCCACTCAAATTACCAACATTTACTTTCCACACACACCCAAGAAGCGCTACGGCTTGGGCCTTCCAGGACAGACCATACCTCAAACCAACCAATTGCACCACAAGGTTTCCCATCCCCACCTCCACTCTGCTTGGTACACTAGAACCAGATGGCCTTAGAGAAAAACGAGGGTTATGGTTGATGAGAGAAGCTCATGGTATTTATGTCTGTCCGAGTGCTGAACTCGTGATTCTGAATCACATCTGACGTTTGAAAAGTTCCCCCTTGGACCAATCGTTTGCTATAGGTACAATCCAATTCACTGCGCACATTCATACAGGATCTTAGCGTGAAGACGCTATTTGGAGGCCATGCAATTATCGGGATGCTCCAGATCTCCACTCATGGGCGATTATCCTGTTGGTTTACGGTCCTTGGCTGGAAGACTACCCAGCGGAGATAGCTAGTTTTAGGTTGCATTTCCATCCTTTGGAGATGGTAATCTAGACCAACCACTTCGGTGTACATTGGGGAGTTCTTTGTGCTTCGGGTAGAGCGTCACATGGTGGTCCATTTGGAAAAGCCAGCGGTGATGAGGCTGTTAGAACAGATGCAGGTGCTGCATTGGGGTTGGGGTTGTTTGGGGAATCATTATGCCTTGCTTGGGGCTTCCAATCGACTTGGTACTAGGCGCACTTTCAGTGGGTGACTTATAGGTAGTACCTGTCGTGGCTGTGATGGGTACCACGAAAATCGTCTCATTCGCAGCACGGGAAAGGAAAGCTTTGGATTACGCTCTGGAGAGAGTCCATTAGAAAGATCTTTGAGCTATAAATAGCAAAGGTCAGCGGTGCGAATTTCATGGCTACACGTAAAGAAACTGCGGTCAAACAAGGGACTTAGATGGCTCGCCGCAGTTGCAGCTAGATGTACCCCGTCGATCTGCGGCTTGCTCGCAGATTAACTTGGGGGGGGGAACGCCGGGGGCTGATCACGGCTGTTTACCGAGTCAGACCAAGCCAGGGGCATCCCTGACAACATCCCTTTACAGGCCTATCAGCGAACTTCGATATGGGTTTATGTCTGGCCGACTATCTTTAGCAGGACAAGAAAAAAGAGAAATGGCAGCGCCAAAATCTACCGAAATACTGCAGGAATGTTTATGAAGTGAGTAATAACGAGTTTTGCTGGTATTCAAGCTATGAAGGATTAAGGAAAATGCTACTTTTTTTGGTCGTAAACGATTACATCCTGTTGACAATGACTGTTAGCACCAACCGAAGACATATCATAGGAAAGATCAAACGTACCGTTGAACGGGGCTGAGACCCAACACCCGCATTCCGTTGTTCAAAACAACTCGGGCAGACTCGTAGAGAGCCATACGGGCCTTCTTAATCTCGGGCTCACTACCCACCACCTTGAGCACGTCGTAACTGGAGCTAAGGATATGCGTCATGCGGAAGAGGTAGGTGAGGACGGTGGTGGGTTCCAGGGTGCGAGTGGTGTTCAGCAGGGTATCAGGCCATTGGGCCAGCAGACGCGCGAGGTCGTGGGCGTGGCGCTCGGTCAGAAGATCCAGGTTGGCGGTGTCAAGCTCGTCGATGTTCAATCCGGACTTGCGGACGATGGAGCACAAACGAGCGTGGGCGTACTGCAGGTAGGGACCGGTGTCACCCTCGAAAGAAGTCATGGCGTCCAGGTTGAAGTCGTAGCCGTTGACACTATTCAAGTTAGTACATTGGGGACAGGTCCATGCAAAAGGGAAGAGATACGTACCGCTTGCCAGTCATGTCCTGAACCATGACGGACGTGATACCCAGGATGTCGGCCGTCTGCTCGGGGTTCTCGACCTGCTCGTATTTCTCCTGATTCTTCTTCATGACCTCGTGCATTTTGTCACCGACATCCCGCAGAATGTCGTCCAAGAACTTGACGGTACCCTTGCGGGTACTCATGCCGCGGACCATGCCGAAGTTGATGTGCTGGCAGCGGCTGGCCAGATCCTTGTGACCCATCAGCTCGGTGACCTTGAAGAGCTGGGCCAGATGAAGGTCCTGCTGGGCGGCAACGACGTAGATCATCTTATCGAAGTGGTAGGCCTCGTCACGCTCAGTGATGGCACCAATATCACGGGTCAGGTAGAGCGGCGTGCCATCTTTTCGCACGATGATGGCCTTTCCGAGCTTCTTGGCGCCGTGCTTAGTGAAGTCCACGATGACCGCGCCGTCGGACTTCTCGGAGACGTTCTTCTCCTCCATGGTCTTGTAGGCCGCGGCCATGCTCTCGTTCTTGATCTGGGACTCTCCCGAGTAGACGTCGAAGTCAATGTTCAGGCGGGCATACGTCTGCTTGTACTTCTGGATACTCAGGTCACGGAATCGGCGCCACAGTGCGAGAGCCTCTTCGTCGCCATCCTCCATGCTCTTGAAGTAGCGACGAGCCTTCTCGTCCTCGCTAACCTCGACGAGCTTGGCGAGCTCCTGCTCGAGAGCAGCCACGTCCTCATTCTTCTCCTTCTTCGCTTTGATCTGCTCCTTCAGCTCCTTGATGGGGGCGTCATGCTCGGCCACGACGTTGTTGATCTTCACGTAGACATCAAACAGGTGGTTGATGGGATCCTGCAACAGCTTCTGCTCATCGCCGAAGTGCTTGTAGCCGTTCGCCAGCAGACCGTACTGCTTACCCCAGTCACCGAGGTAGTTCATCTTGATGACGTCCCATCCCATGACGGTGTACAGGTTCGCCAGGAAACCTCCGATGATGGTACTCCGCAAGTGACCCGCGTGGAAGGGCTTGGCGATGTTGGGGGAGGAGAACTCGACGATCATCTTCTTCTTGCCCTTGGAAGGGTCCGAGGGGTCGCGCAGGCCCTGGTTGCCATTGGTGCCATACACTTCCTTCTCCTTGAGGATGCGAGAGATGACGGTGCTGGTCAAGCCCTGGGGCTTGAAGAAGAATTGTAGGTGCACGCCGAAGGAGGTCGGGGGGTGGATCAGGTCCGACTCGGGGAACTTCTCGGCGAGTTCCTTGCAGAGTTCCGCGGGGTTCTTCTTGATTTGCAAGGAGGGGACCTACAGCACGATCGACGTTAGCTACACAAGAACAGGACCACGTGCAAAGCGCAACCAGTGTCTCCCCCGGTCAGACCGCATGAGAGTAGATCGGGTAGTGATCGCGTACCGGCAGCACCAGGTCACCCTTCTCCAGCGTGTTCGTCCATTGCAAACGGGCATAGATCTTCTCGGACTCGATGCCGGTGGCGGCGCCCAGCTTCTCGGCGATATGCTCACGGTAGATATCGACGGGGTTCAGGGAAGGATAGCAGTTGGGGAACTTGGAGGACTCGGTGGTCGAATGCAGGGTGAGCCCCTCAACCGCAGGAAGGTCCGTCATGGTGGGCACGTCTTGGTACCAGCGGAGGGAAGCAGTTAAAGCGGGACTTTGAGACAAGAAGCGCAAGCAGGCGGGATTAAATGGAGGGGCAGGAGGGGTGAGAAGAGGGGAGCGAAGACGGTGCGGACGATATGACAGGAAGGACGACTGGAAAATGGCGATGGAAAATGGCCGAGCCCCGCTTAGAAGAGGGCGACCCATTCAAAGGGAAGGAGGGGGGGGGTTTTTTTTCTGTCGGTCCTTCCGGTGACTCAGGCAAATGGCGGGCAAAAAAAAGGGAAAGGAAAGGAACGACCCTCCAGGGCGGTGAGTATCCTCCGTCACCTGACGGGGCCTACCCTTGCCCTACTCCGTACATCTATATAGTTACTCCCGTATCTACCCCCTGACGTCATGCGTCTGCATCCCCCAACGCCCGGCGTTTGCTGCTCTGCTCGACGAGACCGCCAGAGCCATGGCGTCCTCTCTCATCCTCACCATCAGCGACCTCCTCCATGACCATGGGACGTAATCGCCGACAAGCCGCTCTCTCCAAGTCCATCCAGCTCGCGCTGTTTCGCGAGCCGAAAGACTTCCAACAGACCTGCACCGGGCAGGTTTTGGCCTTCTTCAGTTTGCTCGATCTGAAACTCCTTCGCTATGGCGACGAGACCTTCCGAAGGATGCGCAATGAGGCGTGGGAGATCGACGAGGACGAATACAAATCCAGCTTCCGTGGCGAAAACAGGTCCCTACTCTTAAAGCCCATGGGCGACCTCGGATTCTCGGGATCGGTCAGTTCTCCGGCCTCATGCCAACATCTCTCACCATGCAGTCGATTGAGCTAACCTCTTCTTGATTCTAGACCTTCCTCAGCACCTCAAACTCCAAATTCCTTGTCAAAAGCCTCCCCCGGCACTTCGAGCACTCCTTCTTCCGCGAAGACCTGTTCCAGCCCTACTACCACCACATTCGCACCCATCCTCAGACACTCCTGGTATGGATCACCGACTATCTCTACGCCCCATACAAATCCCTCGGCAGTCTTCTAAACACCACGCCGGCGCACCACATCATCATGGAAAACGTGCTTTACGGCCGCGAAGAGGACCCCCGCTCCGACCAGTGGGAGACGTACGACCTCAAGCCGATTGATTACTTCTACCCGGAGCGAGACCTGGTGCCCGAACCCCTGGTGAGCGAGGAGACAATCAGCAGGTTGGCGGACGAGTTCCCGGATAAGATCCGGCTGACACGCGCGCGATATGAGGATATGATGAACATGCTGCGGACAGACACGGAGCTTTTGGAGGCGTCCAACACGGTTGACTACTCGCTGTTTCTAGTGCGCTACCCCGCGTCCAGCGAACCGGACGTCGTGGGGAGAAGGGCTCCCTGGCGGGTCGGCGTGCCGTCCACGGATGGGAAATGGAAGTACCGGGCGGTGGTGTTGGATTTCTTCTGGGCCAAACACAAGTTGCACGCGCAGGCCATGACCGGAGTAGTGCAGACGTTCAACGTCCTCGGCCGGCAGGGGCCGATGTCCATCACGACAACGGCGGATGAGTATCAGCACAAGTTCCTCAGCATGGTGGATGCGATGATGGAGGTTTCCTAGGCATGTGGACACCGTTCGTGGGGGTGGGAGAAACGGCGCCCTTGTGCAGATAATACCCGTAATATGCATAATGCGAAATTATATTCTTGAAGTATACCTGTATATGAACCACCAGGTCGCGATCGGTTCGTCCGAATCAATACAATACCAATATCTATCCCGCACATCTACAGGTGTCAGAAAACCTCGGGATGAAAAATAACAACTCATGTCACGTCTAGCATAGCAGGGTCACTGTTGGTGGGAAATGACCTTCTTCTATATCCATCTTTTCGCGTAAAACAGGCCTGGGCAGCCTGCCGTAGCCCTGTCCCCTAATCTAGAAGCAGAAGACCTGGTCTTCGAGCTTGCTAACAGGCCGAGCCTTGGTGTATCCCAGGGACTCGGTGGCCTTCTTCATCGCACTGACCATCGGGGGAGGACCACAGAGGAGGATCTTGATGTCGCTGGCGGGGGCAGGGAGGCGCTCCTGTGTTTGGGGGAAATTCAACGTTAGCCAGCGAAGTCGCAAAGTCACTGTGATTTTCCAAGAACGAACCTTGATCATATCAGGGGTGACGAAACCAACGCCGCCGGTCCAGGCCTCGGAGGGGTTGTTCAGCACGTAGTAAACACGGAAGCCGTCGTCCTCCTTGACGAGCTGCTCGAGTTCCTCCTTGAGCAAAATATCGTCGGGGTTAACGTTGGCGAAGATCAAGTCGACCTGGGTGGTGTCGTTGCCGCCATTGCGGGGTCGGTTGCGGATGATGGCCTTAATGATCTGAAGCATGGGCGTGATACCGGTACCGCCGGCAATCATACCGATGTGGCGGCACATGTTGGGGGCGTACACCATGGCGCCCTTGGGACCGCGAACCTTCATGGTCTGGCCAACCTCGAGGGTGGTCAGATACTTGGAGATATTGCCTTGAGGGTAGGCCTTGACCAAGAGGTCGAAGTAGCCGGCCTCGTTGTCGGAGGAGATGGGGGTGTAGGAGCGCACGACCTCCTTAGGCTGGCCGTCGATGGTGGCGGCCAGCGAGATGTGCTGGCCGATGGGCAGGCCAAGGATATCCGTGGGGCGAGGGAGGGCAAAACGGTAGATGGCGACATTGTGGGAGATGAGGTTCTTTTCCTTCAACACGAAGTCTTGGAACTCGGTGGGGTTCAGGACCTTCCGGGGTTCTGGGAGATGCGCATTCGGTAAGTATAGATGCATGCATACATGGGAATTGCCAGCAGATGGATCACGTACGATTGCCACTGAACAGCTTCCATCCGGCCAACACGGCAGCCAGAGCCACGGCGAAGGGAACATATTCTTGCTTCACAATGAAGGTGCCGAAAACCAGGAGGGCGGAGGGGATGTAGACCCCATTGATATTCTCGGACGACAGAGCACTACGGTTTGCGACAACAGCGAGTCAATTGTCTGGACTTCCCGCATGAATGAGACAAACACATGCAGACATACCTCATTTTGATCAATGTCTCCAGCTACCCCGAAGAGAAGTCACAGGAAGGGCGAAAAGTAGAAGGGGAGGAAGCGGGATGAGGGAGGAGAGCGAAAGAAGAAGAGGAGGAGAGCGAGGGAGCGGGAAAAAGCTCGGGAAGAACAGCGGGACTTGACAGCCGGTGGTACTTTAGGTTATTGTTGATTACGTTGAGGCGGTAACCACCCCGTAAAGTTACGGGCCGTATTGTCGGGATCACGGGACCCGGCGTCATGTGTCACACGTGAAGATAAGGTCGGCGATAGTGGTGCCAGTGTGCCTGGATGCCTGGGTGCCTCGGTCACCGGGATGTACTCAAGGTTCTTCGTCCAATCATTCATTCATCCTTCAGGAATCTTCGTGAATGGAAAGGGTGGACGACTGGATGTACTCGATGTACTCGATTTTTCCAATGCACTCCGCTGTACCCAGTGTATACACTATGGAATATACAATTATAGTACACAGCACTCCGTCCGATCACAGTGGGGCCCCTCACGATGATTCCCTTCCTGGGGTAAAGATTCCCGCTGTTCTACTTCTACTACCAGCCAGCCCTGCAGCGCCAACGCGACCCCTCCCTTTCCTTTCCCTTTGTGAACAAGATTTCCGATCCCTTCTCCAACTAACTTTCCCCTTCCCCAATTTCCATCCTCTTCTCCCCCCGCCTCCTTCTCTCCCCCCTCCTTGCCAGTCATGGCCGCCGCCGAGGAACCTCCTGCTTTCAATCTCACCGAAGTCGATCGAAAAGTCCTGTCTCAAACGGACGAGGAGTTTGAGTATCACAGCTGGGACGAGTTGAAATCCATCATCGGTATGTTTATCAGCGTTGGGTCGATCTACGGAACACACTCGGAGGGTTCCGCATTCTCCCCTCATTTTTCAGTCCGACCGGAACTCCATCCCTCTATTTTGAGTCGTGAAGATTAACCCCAAGTTTTTCCTCGCACGTAGCACGGAATGATCTCGGCGTGCTCAAGCGGAAACCATCCGATTTGATCCGATACCTGGCGTGGACCAAAGACATCAAGACGCAGTACGGCTCCATCACCGCCTACATCTGCCAGCGTCGTCTGCACTGGCATTTGCCGGACCTGTCTGCCACCACCGGTACGGGCGAGGCCGACAGTGGACCCGTCTTTCCCTTCAAAAACCCGGTCCCCTTTGCCGATCCCGCGGACTACAAGATCCTACGCAATGACTGGCCCTACGGCTGGACCCCGGGCATCTCTCACTTGGTGGTCTGGCTGAAGACCCCCGTGCCGGTACACGGCGAGAATGGCGACATGACCGACGAGTCTCACTCGCTGGTCGAGGGCTTTGTCCGGAGAACTTTCGTGGATCGCCTGGCCAAAGAATCTGCCACCTTTCGCCATCCGGATGCGCATGTGCAGTGGTTCAAAAACTGGACGGCGCTGCAGAGTGTCAGGAGCTTGGAGCATATCCATGTCCTGCTCAAGGACGTCCCCGAAGACATCCTTCGCGAGTGGACGGGGGAGGACCTGCCGCAGAATTAGGTCGACGCATACACGCAGCATCCATGTCCCTCTCTACATAGACAACCCGCTGTAGACTAGATGGTTTAGGCCGATAGAGAATCAGATACACCAGACGGTGGCATGGAAGACAGAAAAGCTTTAGCATTGGGAATCTTGCGAAAGAAACGATAGCCCCGCAGTAGTTAAAGGTACAGGAGAATGAAAAGGGGGAAATAAGAGAGCTTTCATCAGAAATAACCTCAAGGAAAATCAATCAACAAAGAAAATAGCAAAAACTTGGTCCATCATTAATATACGCCCACTGAAGTCCATGCCGGCAACCGAGCAAGAAAAGACATTTGTAAACCCAATCCTCATGACGCTTCATTGCCTCCCCGCTCACGTCTTTTGCTCCTCGACGAATTTAAGAGCCTCCTCCCTCGACACGACATCAATCGTACTGGCCTTCTGCCGGAAACTGACGCCGTAGCACTTCTCTGCCACATGCAGCATCTCCGGTCGGAAAGTGGTGCAGATGAACTGCCCGTTGGTGGAATCGGAGATGGATTTTAACATCTGGGCAACGGCGGTTCGATACTGCGCGTCGAGGTTGGCGTCGATCTCGTCGAATAGGTAGAATGGGGCCGGGTCGCAGGCCTGGATAGCAAAGACTAGGGCCAGGGCACAGAGACCTGCAAGGAGATCGTTAGTCAATGGGTACGATTAACCCGATGTAGATTCTTCAGCGAGAAGACTCACTCTTTTGTCCGCCACTAAGCTGCTGGATACGTTGCTGCTCGTCATGCTTACTGTTGAAGCTGACACTGATTCCAACTCCGACGTAATTCTCCACGCTTTGCTGGGCCTCCTCGTCGTCCGACTCAAGGGCATCTTCTTGTCTCATGGCACGGTCGGTCTTTCGCTGGATGATCAAGCGCCCACGTCCGGCGGGCACGAGCTTCTCGAAGACGTTGTGGAATTCACGCGACACCTGCTTGAAGGTTCGTTCGATAGCTTCGTCCTTTCTTTGATCGAGCACGTTGATAAGGTCGTCGATAGATTTCTGGGATGCTTCCAGTTCTTCCCGTCGCGAGGTGAGCACCTCCCGCTGTTTCGTGAAGCTGTTGTACTGCTCGAACGCCTTCTTGTTGACATGGGAGTACTTCTTGAGACTCTCGTTGACCTTGTGGAGTTTTTTAACGACCGCGTTCGAGTCCGTGTTTTTGTACTTGGTGAACGCCTCGTCCGGAAGCACGCCAAGGTCGCGGATGTTGGCTGCGCATTCGGCCGCCTGCTTCGTCAGCGCAGCTTTCTTTTGCATGCTCTTTTCCATGCGGCGCTGGTGCTTTTCAATGGACTTGGCCAACTCCTCCAATTCTCGCCGCGTTTCCGCATTTCGTTGCCCAAGTTCAGCCACCTGGGAATTGGTGTGGTCGATCGAGTCATCCACTTGTTGAAGACGCTGGCCTAACTTCTCCAGAGCCTTGTGGAGACGCTTCATCTCTCTCTGAGTCTCTTTCAAGTTGCCCTGGCTGTCGTCATCAGCCATGTCGGGATCTTGGCCAATCAGCTGGTCAAGACGAGGGTTGAGGTTCTCCTGCAGCCCAACTTCGAGAACAGACTTGCGGCCCTCCAGCTCACTGCGCCGGCTAGACAGCTCCTGGTATTGTCGGCGGAGATCCTGGGCCGCGGCATTGAGGTTCTCAAGATTGGCTTCCTCCTCGTTACTTAGAGCCTTCTGGAATGGTGACTTGAGTTCTGCCTCGAATGCATTGACCTGGTCGGTCAAAGCAGCCATGTTACCCTCGATATTTCGGAGTGCGCGCCGCTTAGCATCAAGATTGTCGATCTTCTTCTGAAGGAGGTCACGCTTGCTTCTCAACTCATGACGAAGCGGTCCGCTGCTGTTCTGTACTTGGTGTCTTTGCTGCTCAAGCTTCTGCAATTCGCCGACTGATTTTGTGATGATTTGGTCTAGTTTCTCGATTTCCTTCCGAATCTCCGTTCCACGATTTTTCTTCGTCTCGAACTCATCCCTCCATTTAGCCAGATGCTTCACGGCGTCGAGTCGAGATTGGCGCGAATCGTGGAAACCACCAGTCAACGCACCTCTCTTATCGGAGCGATCTCCTTCGGGGGTTATAGCGTTAACACCGTGGCTCCGAGCATACTGCGCTGCCACTTGCAGGTTCGGGCAGATGATAGTCTTGCCAAACACGTGGTTAAACGCCTTGTCGTAAGCTCGATCGTACTGCAGCTTCTCGATCATCGGAATGGTGTCACTAGCTTTCGGCATATTGATCGGTCTTGACCGCAGTCTGTTCAGAGGCATGAAGGTCACCCTGCCTGCCTTTTCGTGCTGCAGGATCTCCAGGACCTTTGTAGCCGTCTCATCTGTGTCGACAACGTAGTGGAAAAGACTCTGCCCGGCCGTAACCTCAACGGCGGTTCTATATCTGTCATTAACATCAAAAAGCTCGGCTAACGTGCCATAAACACCCTCGATTTGGTGCTGGCGCTTGATTCTCCGAACAGCTGCAATTCCTCGACTCGTGTTGTGATCCATCATCTGAGAAAGATTGCGCTCTGCGCGATCAACTTCATTTGAGGCATTGGAAAGAATAGAATCGAGCTTCGCCTCTTCCCTCCACAGTTCTTTCCTCTGGTCCATCAGTCGATCTCTTTCATCCTTGGCATTCTGAACTTCTTGTTCGACAGACTGGATCGTGTCACCCCGACCGTCAATTTGCTTGCGTAGCCGTTCAGTCTCCGGCTCCAGGAGCGCAATCTCATTTTCAAGCTCCGCAATGTCTGTTTGAGTTTGCGATACTACCCCTTGCACGGTAGATATGGAGGAATAGTTATCCTTGATTTCCGCCTGGAGCCACTTGTCGCGCTCCGACTTGTTCTTGAAGCGTGAATTCCGACCTTGCTTTGCGTACAGACGTTGACGGGAGGTCTCGGCCTCGGTGAGTTGCGCCTTGACCGCATCTTCCTCGTCTTTGGCGGCATTGAAGCGGGGAATAAGGTCCTGCAATTCTCCCTCGCGTTCTTTAATGGCCGCCTGGACAGAATCCAGGTCTTCGTCATGGCGTCTTTTCAAATCCTGGGCGGCAGCTTGATTGTCGGTAAGAGATTTAGCCTGGAGTTCGACCTGTGCCAGGGTTTTCGAAGCCTCGCGACGCTCATCCTCCAGCTGCGATTTGTCGACCTTCAGGAATTCGATCTGTTGTTTGCATTCGGCAATCTCTGCATCAACCTGTGCCATTTCCTTTTCACCTTGGATAAACCGATCACGGTTCAGGTCAGTATCCTCAACGCCCGTTTGTCTCTGTTCCTCCAGGTTATCCAGGAAGCTGCCGATTTCTTGTTGCTCGCGAGAGTAAATGGTGTATTCCAAGCATCTTCGTTCCTTATCCTTATCCTGATAGTTTCTCAGCTCGTCCTTCTCCTCCTCGAGCTCGGACAGACGCTCGTTGATGAAGTCCAGGAGTTCGTCAATCTTGGATCGTTTGTTGTTGGTCTCGTGCATGATTTTCAAGGATTCAGCACGGCGCGCTTCGTAGACCTGCGTACCTGCCACCTCCTTCAGCAGGTTCAGTCGCTCCGGGTCTTTCATATTAGTCAAAGCCGTCACCCGACCCTGGGGCACGATGTAGTAGGGGTTGGAGCGCGAGAAACCGGCGGATTCGAGCAGGTTCATGACATCGGATTTGGTGGCGTTTTTGCGATCCAGCGTATATTCGTCCTTTTTCAGGCCGATGGTTCGACGCAGCACAACTTCCGGCTTGCCGGTGGGGAACCGGTCATCTGAATTATCGAAGATGATTTCCACGTACGCGGACATTACGGCAGAGCCCGAACCCTCCTGTTCGATGTGAGCCTTCGCTTTGTAGATGCCTCGGGGGGTATACGCACGTGGAGGAGAGCCTGTCGCTCCTCGCGACCCATGTGAGTGTACGCATCGCTGAGGACGAATCGAATGGCCGCGAAAAAGTTGCTTTTGCCGGAACCATTGCGGCCGACGATGACATTGTGCTTCGGGGAGAACGGCTCGATGACCGTTTGATCCTTGTAGCTGGTGTATGGAAGCCGAGAATTAGTTCTGATAGTTCCAACGGTGTTGAGCAGCGTCTCTGCGCAGCTTAGGAAGTACTCACCTTTTAAAGCCCTGGATGATGATCTGCTTGACATACATTGTGACGAGGTGCGTGCGAAAAGGGGAATCAGAGCAAACACGGAAACCAAAGCATCACGCAGCAAGCAGTATAGAGTCAGGGAACCCGAGCCCTGAGAACAGAACAGCAAGGCGAGCTGGTGATGGACGGGGGTGTTGATGTAGGGGGACGATTGATTGCGACAGAGGAAGACGCGCGTGGGCGACCGACGGCGGCTCTTCTTTTCCCTACGCGTTTCGCCCGCGGGGTTTCTGCCGGGCGGTGAGAATCGGCCAGGTCCACAGTCGGCGATTCTATCCAAAAGGGAAAAATGCGTCTCGTTTTTCTGCCTCCTCTGCCCTCCTGTCAGCCCGCTCTTGCGACAAGCACCATCCCTGTTTGCCGTTTCCTGAGCTGAACATGGCGTCTTCCGATCCTAGCCAGGCTTCAGGTCTGGCAGATGGCTTGGTCCCCTCTCACACCTACGTGCCTAACCAAGGGTATCTGAACGCTGATGGCACGACCCCCACTATGGCGGGGCAAGATCCTTCGGCGCAGGAGGACAATGAGGACAACGACGAATATTACGATGACATTTTCGAAGAAGAAGTGGACGATGAAGAATTTGCCGCAGCGAACCCGGCCGATCTGACAAAAGCCTACAACCGCCAGCGCAAGCTCAACGACCTCTCCGCCGATCCTAACGCGCCGAAATGGACCTACCCGAAGACGAACTCGCAGAAGCCGACCGTCAACACACATGCGTCGGTGGATGATGAAATGAAGACGTTGACGCGCCATGCAAACAAGATCAAGCTGAACGATGTGCAATCTGGACTGGCGGTTCGTGGCGAGCGTGGTGCTGACAAGGCCGACCGGGCCACCTCGGAGCAGGTGCTTGACCCGCGCACGCGAATGATCCTGCTCCAGATGATCAACCGCAATGTTGTGTCGGAGATCCACGGGTGCTTGTCCACGGGCAAGGAAGCCAACGTATACTACTCGCTACTCTTCCCCGGCGACGACGCCGCGCCTCTACACCGTGCCATCAAGGTCTACAAGACGAGTATTTTGGTCTTCAAGGACCGAGACAAGTATGTGACTGGAGAGTTCCGATTCAGATCGGGATATAGCAAGAGCAACAACCGAGCCATGGTGAAACTGTGGGCTGAAAAGGAAATGCGTAACCTGCGCAGAATCTATTCAGCCGGTATTCCTTGCCCGGAACCCATCCAACTCCGACTTCACGTCCTCGTGATGGGTTTCCTTGGAAACTCGAAGGGTGTTGCTGCACCGCGACTAAAGGACGTCGAGTTCGACGTTCCCAACCCGGAGGGCAAGTGGCGGGAGGTCTACGTGGAACTGCTCAGCTACATGCGTGTGATGTACCAGACCTGCCGACTGGTTCATGCCGATCTGAGTGAGTACAATATGCTTTACCACAAGAACAAACTGCACATCATCGACGTCAGTCAGAGTGTAGAGCACGACCACCCTCGCAGTTTGGAGTTCCTGCGTATGGACATCAAGAACGTCAACGATTTCTTCCGTCGCAAGAGTGTCGATGTCCTTTCTGAACGAACCATTTTCGAGTTCATCATCTCCGCCACCGGCCCTACCACGCTAGAGCCGCGCGAGCCTTTGCTCGAAGCCGTTGAGAAGCTGTACACAAAAGCAGAGACGCAGGACGACGAGCAACAAACCGCTGCAGAACGCGAAGTAGATACCGCTGTTTTCCGCCAACAATATATCCCCCAGACGTTGGAACAGGTATATGACTTTGAGCGAGATGCCGCGAAGGTCCACGCGGGTGAGGGTTCCGACCTGGTATACCGAGATCTTCTCGCAGACGAAAAGGCGACTACTTCTGCTGCCGACAAGCATGACAGCGAGGCCGACTCTGACGCCAGTGGTGGCATTTCCGTTGATGGCTCCAACTCCGACGATGAAGACGAGGAGAGAGACCCGTTTGAGCAGAAGGCTCCGCGGGGACGACGCTTCGAGGATAAGGATGAGAAACGCGATCACAAACAGAAGGTCAAGGAGGAGAAACGCGAGAAGCGAGCTAATAAAATGCCAAAGCATATGAAGAAGCGTCTTGTTTCGGGTTCCACGAGGAAGAAGAAATAAACGTGATCTAGCAATCTCAGGTTCTAGCACGGGGAGGCGGGGGGAATAGAGAGCTGGAGAACGGTTTTTGTGTTATTCCATGGACAAAAAGGGTTTCAAAAAGTTTTGACTGCACATGATATTATGAGATTCACGATTGAATTATCTGGTGGGCAAGGAATGATTAGGTGCATGACTTGACATATATATATATAGACAACCGAAAGGATCACATTTGATTTAACATGCACCTTTACTATAAGTTGCCACAGACCCGATCTTCCCAGACGTCAAAACATAGAAATGAAAAAAAAAAAAAAAAAAAAAAAAGAAAAGAAAAGAAAAATTGCTCCAAGTTACGAAAGGCGGAATAGCAACCGAAGTAACTCAATATAGATGCCCAACAGTGCCGTTAGTCATTATTGGGCACTTAGACCTCCCTAAAATAATAATTTCTTATATCTGATCATCTAGTTACGCTCAGATATAACCTTAGTATTAAAAACTAAAGATCCTAAAATTTTCTGTCATCTCTCTTCAAGCTCCCATCCGTGTCGGGTAGTGCTCCTACCGCCTCTACATGTCAAAACTTCGCCTACGGATGAGAACTATCAGAAGAAATATATTTAAACACTACTTAATCAGGCAGGTAATGATGAGACGACCTATCAGAGCTCTCTTTGATCCTCATCCCAGACATCTTTTAGCGAACAAAGACACCCTGAAATCATACGTGACAGTGCTTACATCTCGCTCAAGAGAGTATGCATCTGGGGTATGTCCAAGGTACGCCTGTGCTAGCTAAAAGATGGCCTGGACGTCGGTACAGGATTTTTCCTTGCTTCAAGTTCATCATCTAGGCCGTGGAATATGAAAGTGACAAATTGTGATGACCCAGCATCACATAAACAGCCTGCCTAGCAGTAAAATAGAGCCGAAATGACAACTAAGCTAAAAAGAAATTTCCAAAGAGATGCAGAAATGGTATATACGTAGTAGAAAATGTAAAGACCGTTGTGAGCACGCGTAAAGCAAGCTCTAGGGCGCCAGTCTCATTTTGGCTCTGACCCGAGTTAAAGCTTGCTCGACGATGTCCTTGGGCAGTTCGGGAATGATTTCTCCATCGTCAGTTGCCTGACTCGCCGGCGCCGGCTGTTTTGCTTCCTCAAATTCGAAGGCCGGCAGTTCCTGTTGGTCATCCGGCTGGGCAGCGATACCTTTTAGGTTACCTCCGGATATGCGCTGGAATTCGATGCGCATTGGCTCACGGCCGATGCCCGGCCAAATATCCGAAGGTAGATAGTCACCCTGGTCAACACGGAAAGTCTCACGAGCATTGACATCTTCTTCGTAAAGTTGGTCCAACTTGTGTCTGCAATCGCGCAACACTTTCTCAACGCGTTGTCGCACGTGTCTCCGGCGAGACACTTCCAGGATCAGACCGTTGTAAGCATCGAGGAAGCCATCATACAAGGAGTTGAGGTCGGAGAGCTCTAGCAAACCAACTTCAATACGCTCGTGTTCCTCACCCCATACGCCGGTGAAATGGTGGGCCTGGGCGATGTAGCCGGGCAACCGGGCCGAAGCGAGCGAGGAGATGTGGTTAAACACGCTGGTGGTGGCTTTGTACACGGACAGGAAGGTGTCGCGCTGGGCCGTCACATGTTCCAGGACAGACTCCATCTCCGCGATGCGGTCTTGGATCTCCATTACTACATCTTCCGCCTCGGCGGCGTCTTTGATCAGCACGTTCACCATTTCTTGGTACTCGGAGTCACTCAGAGGGTCGAGGGGGGCATTCAGGTTGGCATTGATGCCTTCCTCGATGTTGGGACCCCCCCGGCCGCTGACGTGCATGCCGGCGGGCATGTCGCCGGTGATCGAACGCGCGGCGGCGCCTCCGCCTTCGGTGTGCTTGACCGCCGTCACGCAGAGATCGAAATGACGGACCAAGGACTCTAACAGATTGGCCATTTCCTGTGCGTGCATCTCCAGGGAATGCAGCATGGATGGCATAGAAGACAGAGAGGGTAGACTGGAGTTGGATGCAGACGAGGACGAGGAGGAAGCAGAGGATCTTGACGAAGCTAGTTTGGTGGCCGCCCGATAGTTTCCCAGCGCTTCCTTGATGGAACCGAGTTCCTGGTCAAAGGACGCGTTGGAGGAGTCAAGTTCCCCTTGCGCGGCGCTGGTTCGGTCAATCGCGTGTTTGAGAGCTGCATGGAGCTCCTCTACGCCTCGCTCCTCCACGAAGTCATGCAAGCTCTTAGGCTCTTCATCCTGCGGGCGAAAGGAGGCATGGACGATGGTCTCTCGCAACAGATCCAACGTCTTTCGGAGCCGCGCATCGGCCGTGTCGAGACTTTTCAGCACACCGGCAAATTCCGAGCGGCCTCGAAGAGATACTTCCTCCACTTCTGTGCGAACATTGTAGAGCAGTCGCAGCTGATTGTTCAGGCCGCGACGAAGGAAACCGGTGCGAGCCGAGACCACCACGCTCTCCTCCAGCGTGGAGCGAGCGGCGGTGACAATCTCATTGGCACGCCATACATGATTGATTGACGATAGCGACCGTTTGGCCGCGACCAGATGCGAGATCAGGGTCTCCAGCCGGGGCATTGACGCGTCCCGGTCATCGGAGGGGTCTGGACCAGGGGCGGCAGGAGCACTGCCCGACACGGACAACGACTCGGAGAGAGACATGGCGGACGAAAATTTGGGATCTTTTACTTTCACCAGTGAGGTTGTATCCGAGCGTAACCGGGCGATTGGATACAGGAGATTGCTGTCTCGGGGAGATCTAAGCGCCCAATGATGACCGACGGCGCCGTCGGACGTCTATCTTGGACCTTTCTGCGGAGCCACCAATGGGGAGGATGCGGAATCCGACTGAATTGGCGTGCGAGGTGCGTAATATGAGCTCAGAATCACCCCATAAGAGGCGAGCATGGAGGAAGGGTGTCTCGAGAGATGGAGTTCCAACGGGTCGCAACCGTCGGATCGACGGTACTAGGCAGCGGGGAGAATGTAGCGGTGAGTTTCGGCGAGTGAGCTGGGGAGGGTAATAAGATCTTTCACAGGGCCGAGACAAGGATTGTCGCAGTTTTCTTCATTCAAGGTGTCCGGCTCATCCTGACAGGGGAAGATAGCATGTGCAGCAGCAGACTACCACCGCGTACATTCACGAGGTTCGACAGAGGCGTGCTGCGGGGAGGCAAAGTTGGTGAGCTTAGCAAGGATATTTCGTCATTGCGTTGGGGGAGAGAGGATGACAAAGAAAGGGGTCATGTACCGGGAGGTGAGGAGTCCTTGCCCAGATCCAGAATTGAGGATTCAGGGTCTAGCACGGTGGTGGGAGAGGCGTGCTGGATACAGAGTAGTTGGAGATGAGGTGAGAAGGACGGGAGAAGGCGGTGGGGCCTTGGCAGTTCGAGTCATCCCTCATCACCTCATAGAACTACGGAGTACACTACAGGGACTAGGGACTGGGAGGGAGTCCGGGGAGGGATCCGCAATCAGCAGGGGCGATGACGAATGGTGTGAGAGCCTGAGAGCCTGAGAGCCTGGGGGCCTCAGGCTGATGCGACGGGCGGCGGCAATGGCGCCATCGCTCGCACGTGATGGCGGCGCTTGCGTGATTGCCTCGATTTCCCTCACCATTAGTTACTATTAACTAGTTAGTTAACATCTTTCTATGGAAGTTTTCTCGATCCTCTCTAATCCATGCTAGTCTATATATCCGTTGTTCTTTCCCCGTGACTCTTGGCTGGTCCAGTCCTTCCTTCCCTCCCGTACTTCTCCTCTCTCCCGCGCGGTCCTCCCGAAGTCTCTCTCGCTCGCCACTCTCCTTCCGCTTCTCTCTCCCCTCCTTCCGTCTCTCTCTTCAGCCTGAACACGATCATTCACCCAAACTCGAACGTCGCTCGGCCATAAATTCACACGACAAAGTCTCAACATCCGCGATCTCTCTCTCTGTTTCTCTCAAGACAGGGTCCGAGTGGCATGTGGACGGTGGGCACCTAAGTCCCGCGGATATGCGACGAGATATCGAGCCAGCATCGGCGCAGAAAGAGCACCTTGTACCCCAGACGACCCCCGATCAGGGTTCAGCCCGGGGAAATGGGCAGATGGTTCTTCGCCAGACCTCATTTCAGTCCATCTTCGGCGGCGCATCCGACAGCGTGGACGACTGTGAGGCGGACTGCGACGCTGCTCAGCATGGGCCCCACAGTTACGCCGGTGCAACCTCGACTCCCGCAAAGCTTGCGGACGAAAATATTGCCCCATTCCTGGCGCGACACATCCCCGAACAATACGCTCCTCTAGGCCCACGTACCGTCCAACCCATCGACCTCAGCAGCGCCAACACCAAGTACTGCTATCGCCACCGACCAGACCTTAAGTGCCGACGCCAAGCGGACGAGCCGTCAATGGACAAGTTGCAACGGGTGAGTCTACTCGGCGTGAATCCCACGCCCGCCCCTCCTTCCCATTCTTCCGCCTGTTTGACTGAGCTGACCGTGGCCCAGGAACTCGAAACGCTCCCCCAGAGTGACCAGCAGGGCATTGCTCATGTCTGGTCGCTCTTCTCGGCCGCTCCGGCCAAGCACCGAAAACTGATTCTGCAGGGCATTATGTCTCAGTGCTGCTTCCCCCAACTCTCCTTCGTGTCGGCAACGGTGCGCGATCTGATTCGAATTGACTTCCTCACCGCCCTACCGCCTGAGGTCTCCTTTAAGATTCTCTGCTACCTCGACACCACGTCGCTCTGCAAGGCCGCGCAGGTGTCGCGACGCTGGCGCGCTCTCGCCGACGACGACGTAGTCTGGCATCGCATGTGCGAGCAGCATATTCACCGCAAATGCAAGAAGTGTGGCTGGGGTCTGCCTCTGCTGGACCGCAAGCGTTTACGGGAATCGAAACGCGAGATCGAACTACGTGCGACCACTTGGGACATCAACGGCTCCCCGGCTAGCCCCGCCCCCGCCGACGATGCCAGCAGTCAGTGCACTGTCACCGAGGACACGAACTCAGCCAAGCGAAAGATCGACTCGAGCGACGATGAAGACGACATGGCGGCCAAGCGGCAATGCTCGTCGCTGGTGACCCGCTCCGAAACCGACGAGGATTACTTCAAGACCCGATACCGACCGTGGAAGGAAGTTTACAAGGACCGATTCAAGGTGGGCACGAACTGGAAATACGGACGCTGCTCCATCAAGACCTTCAAAGGACACACCAACGGCGTCATGTGCCTGCAGTTCGAGGACAACATCTTGGCGACCGGATCCTACGATGCCACCATCAAGATCTGGGATACCGAGACCGGGGAGGAGTTGCGCACTCTGTACGGCCATGAATCCGGAATTCGGTGTCTTCAGTTCGACGACACGAAACTGATCAGTGGCAGTATGGACCGCAGTCTGAAAATCTGGAATTGGCGAACGGGCGAATGTATCTCGACTTACACCGGCCATCGAGGCGGCGTCATTGGTCTCCACTTTGATTCCACAATCCTCGCTTCTGCCTCCGTCGATAAGACGGTCAAGATCTGGAACTTCGAAGACAAGTCTACTTGCCTGCTGCGGGGACACACTGATTGGGTCAATGCCGTCCGAGTCGACACCACCTCTCGGACCGTGTTCTCGGCGTCGGACGACTGCACCGTTCGACTGTGGGACCTGGACACCAAAACGTGTATCAGAACTTTCCACGGCCATGTGGGACAGGTCCAGCAGGTGGTCCCTCTGCCCCGTGAGTTCGAGTTTGAGGATCACGACGCCGAATGCGAGAACGATAACCTCAGCACGATTTCGGGCGACACGGAGCCCGCCTCCCTCCAGGCGACTCTGGGCCTAGAGTCGAACACTCACAACTTCCAATCCTCCCCCTTCGGACCTTCCTTCGACAGCGGACGTCCCACGCCGCCCCGCTACATGGTCACCAGTGCCTTGGATTCGACCATTCGCCTGTGGGAGACCACCACGGGCCGGTGCCTGCGTACCTTCTTCGGCCACCTGGAGGGTGTGTGGGCACTGGGTGCCGATACTCTCCGGATCGTTTCCGGGGCCGAGGATCGCATGGTCAAAATCTGGGACCCGCGAACGGGCAAATGCGAGCGCACGTTCACCGGCCATTCCGGCCCCGTTACCTGCATCGGCCTGGGTGACAGCCGCTTTGCGACCGGCAGCGAGGACTGTGAAGTCCGCATGTACAGTTTCCAGAGCTAATATCTTCTTCTCTTCTCTTCTTTTCCCCTTCTTCCTTACCTTTTTCATGATCATGTGTGACCGGTCTTCTGCGGAGATCGTTTTGCTCTTTTGTCGTTTTTTTTATTTTTTATTTTTTTATACCCCGATAGGCACGAAAATACTTAACCGGCGCCGTCGAGTTTTTCTTGTTTTGCGGAAAAGGGGTATCATCTCGGGATTAATTTAGGGGGTTTTCAGCGTTTGTCTTAGTTGGGATGGGGAAAGGGTTTCGGCGTCAAGGATTGACATTATGTATCTACCTACATCACCATAAACGCTTCAACGCGGTATTTAATAGATGATTTGGATTTTCATTTCTTCAATAGTATCCATCCGATGGGGCTCTTCCAAAGGAATCTCCACAAGGCACTACCAAACTCGGGTGCTAAAGAACACCGGCATGCATTAATGTTGATTCAATTCATGAGCTACTGCCATTGAAATTTGATAATAATAGAAACAGCCCGTGATGATGAAATATCGAAGAAGATCCTGCCTACCAACGCCCAGCGTTCTCGATCTCCGTGTCTCTAGAATGGGAGAACGAGTGGAAGGAAAAAACAACACTAGATCCACATATTAAAACACCGTGGGGTCTACCGAACGACAATCTTGTCAACCTCGTCTTTAGCCTCTGTCCATGTTTCGAGATTCTTCCGCGCCCAGTCAAGGTGACACCGCGCGTAGGCAACCTAAAGAAGCCGGTTAGTCTTGTCAAGAGGAGATTCGAACCGCACAAGTAGGTTCAATCGAGTCGCACAACATACCATATATCGTCGTAGATCTGTCTCCTTGTCCTTCTGGAACCGCTTCAAGTCCTGCAAGACCCCGGTGCTTGCGTCTTTGACATCACTCTCCGACACTTTAAGCGCTTCCTCTAACTGCAAATCGATTCATGTTAGCATGGTGAGGTACAATGGAATGGGAGTGGTGGGCTAAATACCTGAATTAGGCTCTCCCTGGTTTTCCCGATTTGATCGCGTCGGGTCCGCTCCGGGTCCACGTCGACAAAGCCATGGACGGCGTGACTGATGCGACCAAAGAGCTTGTTGCTCATGAATGTTCCGCTGGAAGTTTTGCGGTGGGCCGGAGAGGGCTGTCCAACTTCGGGTCTCCGCGAGGGGGACACCGGGGCAACGGGCTGTTGAGAGCCGATCGAGTCGCCGTGGGTTGGGGGGAAATCCGAATCGATGGAGGCAGTATCCTCCGGCCCACTAGGCTGGGCTTCACTATCATGGGTACCGGGGGCGCTGGTGGCCGACGAGGTGGACAGGGATCGCTGAGGTTTGGTCCCTGTGCCTTGTGGGGTAGAACGATTAAGATATTGTTCAATGCGCTTTGCTTCCATCTCACTTCTCTCCAGGGAGTCAAGAAGGGTTCTCTTTTTCGCCAACTCGTCTCGGGTCATTTCCTCCTGTACCCGCTTGAGAACCCGGTATCGCAGAACGCTGCGAACGATGCTGGCAAACTGAGCACTTTCCCTCATGGGTTCCGCGAAGTTTGCACCCAACGAAGAGGACAGCTCCTCGGTTTCAATGTAGGAAGTGTCCGCCGCCTGACCGACGCGCTCAATGGCTGCGGCGACGGTGGGTGATTGTTCAGACAACGAGAATCCATTGTACCGGGCTCCTAGCTCCATCAGGTCCGCAGATAGGGAAGAGAGATGCGCCAAAGTCCGTCGGTTCACCTTCTCGATGTTTCCTTGAAGAAGCAACTCGAGCTCCCGGGTGGAGGCCTCGAAATTGACAAAATAGGGGTCAAAATCCTTCTCGCTCAACTTGCGCGATTCGGGCGGGAAACGACCCAGAACGTCGGGACCGGGTGCCTCTGTGGTTGGGGAGGTGGCTGTCGGCGCCGCACCGGGCGCATTCTTGAGTTTTGAGGAGGCGGAAGGAATGGGTAGCCAGGCGTGTGCGGCTGTCGGGTTTGCGGGATCGAGCGGCGGAGCTTTGAGGTTGTTCTTAGGCACGGAGGATGCGGGATGGGAATGAAGCACCTCGTTCTGGTGTAGAGAGTTAGCCTAGAGGCGGACGAGGGAGGCCAGAGCAAGCTCCCGTGGCTGACGTTACACATACCCAGCTAACATTGGGATCCAGGAACCTCCACCACACCCCGTCCTCCCGAATTTCCTTCATCGTACGACATCGGTTCAAAAAGACGGCCAGCATTCGCTTCCGGAGCTCTATGATGGCGGTGTCTTCTTTGGCTTTGGTGGGCTTCGCAGCATAATCGGCCATGGTGTGTTTCTCGGGAATGGGCGGGACAACGAGGGTGGGATGGAGGTTCACCAGGGTCTGGCGCAGCGAAGCAAATTCCGAGTACCTCCGACGCACCTCCAAATCCTGGGATTCATCTGTCAGTCTGGATGGTTCGAGGCGCCTGGAGTTGATGATCTGCATACTCCAGTGCGAATGGTGTACACTATGTAGCCCCCGCCGCTCTCGTGGTTCTTCCCGGCGTCCGTGATGAGGATCGGCATCTCCGGATTCTCATACAAGATCTGCTCTATGCGGCTATCGTACACGCTCTTGCGGAGGTATCCTTGTCCCGGTTGCTGGGTGCCGTAAGTTCCGTCGTTGTCATCGTCGTCGCTGAAATCGCGTTGTCGCTCCAAGTAATCCGGCGGGTCCTGGGTGGACGATCGGCTGGAAGGCGACGGAGGGGTGTAGTCGCGGTCATAAAGAGCTGCGGCGGTCAGACAATGAGCAAGCAGGGGATCCTATACGCCGACGACGCAATGGGGATCAGATCTTACGGGAAGCGAGAGTGGCGGAATGGAGGGATTCCGATAGATTGGCCTGGTCGTCGAATGCGCCGTAGGGGTTGTTATCCTCGTCGTTCCACATGGTTGGCCGAGAGGCTGGGTCCAGGCTACAATTCCAGGAACCGCGGAAAGCCCAATGGAGGAGAAACCGGGGGGGGGAGGAAAGAGAGGAGGGGGGGAAATCAGCTACTTGGGTAGAGAATTGAAGTAGGAAGCACCGACGATGCGACGCGGCGAGAGGGAGCAGGGGAGAAGGAAGAGGCTGGGGAGGAGAAACAATAAGCAGGAGGAAAGGAAGGCGGCGGCCTGGAGATTCGCGGGGGGAAAAGAACGAGACGTCACTGACTGCGGCGTACGGCGGGTCCGAGCGACCACTGGCGCACCGCACCGTCTTTGATTCCTCAGGCAGCACTCCTCATACTTCGTTCCTTCGTTCCTTCGTATACATCTACACTCCACCAACACAGTTACCCCTTTCCTCCATCACCAGGTCGACTCGGGTTCCGCCTCCGGATGATCGTCGTTCCGTTTCCCCTCTGCGTCCCAGCCCTTTGCTTCCCTCGCAGTGTTTCCTCCACTCGCACTGGATTCCCAATCGCCTTGCGCCGAGCTGCTGTTCGCATCCGCCGACCATCCCCCAGTTGAACTCGCCGGCTGCTCCGTCGAATCTCGATTCTCACTGCCACTTGCTTGTCCCGACGATTCTGCAGCCGCATTGTCCGCGCCTCCCCAGCCACCATCATCAGCAACAGTAGTTGCCGTAGTGGTAGACGCCGTAGACTGATTGGCCTCAGGCTGCTCCGCGACACCCGAGCTGCCCCATCCCTGTGAGCCGTAGTCTTGATTGTCCGTATCTTTGTTCTCTTGTTCATTCTGCTGATTGTCTGGAGACCATTCCTGCGGTGGTGATCTTTGCTTTCGTTTCGGCGACTGCTGCTTCTTTCCACCCCCAGCCTTGGCCTTCTTGCCCTTGTTCTTCGGGCCACCCTTGGCTTTGGGAGGTCGAGAGGGAGGTGGTTGTCCTCGAGATCTTTCCTCTATGGCCCGTCGTGGTTGCGTTGCTCCACGCTCCAGTCTCCGTATTCTCACCGCGGCATCTGCTTCAAATAACCGATCGCGAACTTCGGACCGCCAGCGAAGTGAGTAAAGCCACCCGCAGCCGCAGCCGAAGAGGGCCACGAGAAGAACGATAGCAATGACAATATTGTTGTTCATTGGGGACGGGTGCACGGAATCTATCGGGCAAGTGAGTGGACTGCTTGAGGGGGAGGGGCAGCTTTCGTGGATTAGCTTGGGAACGGGACCTTGTGACTCTGTAGGTGTTGCTGCTCTGGGCTTGTCGAGGAATGCAGGCAGAATGGCAAAGAAAGTGTAGTAGAATAGCTAAGGGATATGCTGGGTGGTACGGGGGATTGAAGTGAATGGAGGGGGTCAATGGCATCGACAGTCCGTGTAGGTGAGGTGAATGCGCTATACCCTTCAACTGAGAGCCAGGCAAGTAGTCATTAACAGAATTTTGTCTAGAACTTTTATCTAATCCAATCATAACATATCATGAAGCGTCTACTGCCCGCTGAATCCTCGAGAGCCAGTCAACATGCAACGATACCGCTTTCCCATGCATGTAGAGCAGCTGTAACTTCTCCTTCAAGATTTGTTCGTCGCCACCAAGGTTCTTGGAGGCAGGGAACCCAGGCGATGCCATTACGCCTGCGAGCTCGATCAGACGGACACCCAAAGTAAAGGTTTCGGGTTTTGTCGTCCAGCCGAGGAATCCGTCCTTGCCCGGCCCAGAACCATTCACGGCCAACTCGATGAGATACGATAGTCCGTCGGAAACCCATTGACAGACCGACCGGGTCAAGCGGTCATCATACGAGCCTGCTGCCAGTTTAAGCAGCTGTCCAGACCACCGGTTAACTTCGCGGACCTCGTCGATAAAGAGGTTCTGTTTCTCTTCCTCGAATAGGGTGGTGCTTTCTTTCATGTACTCAGAAATCAGGTCTGAAACCGGAGTCTGGCGTTTCCTTTGGGTCGATCCGCCAATTCGGGACTCCTGGCCTGTGATGTACCGGATTACCCGGTTGCAGAGGAGAGGGGACCCGGCGTAATTATCGACGACGAATTCAGAAAGAAGTTGACTGGCATTGAACGGGGAGAGTGTGACAGCCTTGAATGATGCGACGGATGAATACGAGAGCACCCATGAGGCGGTTAAGGCGGCGAGATCACGCAGTTCCTCGTCATCGTCATTCAGCATGTCATATAGGATCAAGTATGGCTCTAGGAAAAATGTCTCTGCCAGAGGGGCCTTGCCTGGGGAACGGAGCACACGCCCAAATGCGGTGAGGGAGGAAACCGCAGCATGGCGGGTCGTGAATTCCTTCGGTGTCGTTAGCAAAAGCGTACATAGAGCATAGAAGCCTACATAGACGGTGATAAGGGCTTACCGTTTCCTCCTGCATCGCAAATCGAAGCTTGATGACCCACCTAGTGACGTCCTCCTGTAAGCTCTGGCATTGATTTGCAAGAACCTTGGCGGCCAAGAGGCATCCCTGAAGACGCAGTTCCGCGTCTGATCGAACCCGGTTCCAAATGGGTGCGGCTGGACCGGGGTTGATTTGCCTGTCTAAAGCCTCCCACGGCAGTACGATCCCGCCGAAACTGTCGGAGCCGAAATCAAGGACACTCTCCAGGCAGGACGCTAGGCTGTCAATCGCTGATGATTTGACATCCTCGGGGTAGGCTCCCAATATGACGACTGAGTAGAGGCGAAGAAGGATGTTCCTGTTTGCAGCATTCTGGCCAAATGTTTCCTGCAACTGTTCAAGAAGCCAAGCGCCGACATTGGCATCAAAACAGGAAACCTTCAAAATAAATGACTCCAACTCCTCGTTGGACTGGTCTGTACCGAGAATCCGCAGAACCGCGGCCCATGATAGCGCTCTTCTTAGGAGAGAGGCCGCGCGCGTTGTGCTCAACGATTTCCACGACGGGTGCGAAGAATCGAAAATGAAGTCCACAATGTCATAGAGTGCGTGTGTGTCAAAGATGTCGTTCAGGGTAGCGAATAAGGTTTCTAAAACACGGTATTAGCCAGATATTGGCTATCAAATCGGACATTTCTTACTGTCGGCTCCAGATTCGAAGCTTTTCACCACGGACTCTGTCAGGGTTTCCACCAGAGTAGTGGCAACAAATGGCGATTCGGCCAGCGGGAAAAGTACCGCAAATAAGTGCTTCATAAAAAATGATAACTCCTCCACGTGGTCTAACTCTGCGTCAATAAAATCGGTTGTAGCTTCAGTGCAGGCCAACATACCGTTCCAGAGTGAGTTAGAGACAAGTGCGAATCTACGTAGCGCATATTGCACACAAAGAGCCTTTCCGTGGAGCAAGTCCTGGGATTTCGACTGTGCGTCAGCATCAACAAGTGACTTGATGTCCTTGATGATGTCGGAGCGATTCAGAATCGATGCATAAACTCGGGCAGCATGCTCCCTGATACCCCAAACGGGACTACTGAATTGTGTCTTAACCAATCCAAGAATCAGGCTATCATCGACATCGTAAACATTCGGCACCTTCTCAGCAATGAGCTCCAAGGCTGGGAAAACACGTTCCGTAACAATGGAATGGTCATCCTGGTCGGCAATATTCCGTGTGTCTTCCTCAGTAAGGAGTGTTGAGAGTAGCTGAATGAGGCCTGGGTACTTCTGGAACGAAACACGAGCTCCAGGCTCCGACCCGGATTTACCACCGAATCCTAAGCCGGTCCCCGTGCGGCAAATACGCGTTAATAGAGCACGGAATAGCATCAGCCCGCAGTTGCGAAGTGCCCATCTGGATCAAAGTTAGCCTCCAGCTTCATAAAATTGGTGCGATGTGACCTACATGGGAGATCCAATTCGTTCAGCGGACAAGGTTAATGCAGGCATGATGAAGGCCTCAGTGAAAGCCCCGAACTTGTTGTTCGTGAAAATGTCCTTTAGACAATTCATGGCATGTACTTGGGGTAGTTCCAGGTCCTGTTTGTCACTATCATGGGAAGCCGGTAAATGAGAGATTTCGTGAAGGTCATCAACAATCTTTTGGAAGAGCGGTCCTCCCGGTTTTGCTGAAACTATGCCAGTGATCAAAGCGGGTAAACCGGCTGATCGGCGAGTAAGTTTAGAAGCAGCCTCAAATATGATCTTCCTAGCATCCTATTCCCGGCAAATTAGCTCCCGCTGTGGTCGTTCTTACTTCACCTGATACCACTCACCTGATACCATCGGTTCGGAAGCTCGGAAATCTCTGCATTGCCAGACTGCCCACACCGCAAACAGCAAGTGGCAAAGGTCTGAGAGACAGTCGAGAAGGCTCCTCTGTGACGGAGTTCAGCAAGCTGCGTAAAGCTGGTTGTTCCAATCTTCTCATAATCCTCATAGGTCAATCCTGACAATCCCTGCGGGCCGTATGTAGAGTTTGCCAGGGTCGCATGAAGAAGGAGACTGCCCGTGTCAGTAATGTTGGATTGAGATATGAGAGCATGGAAGATAAATACCTCGATTCTCGCAGAGCACGCCAGGAGTAAGACAGGATATCCTTTGGCCCAACAGAAAGCCCTTCGGCGGGTTCATCACTGTGGCCTTCTGGGGAGTCGATGCAGAGCACAGGTTTCACTTCGTTCCAAATCTTGTCGCAGACAAACACAATCCTGGCGTGTGTAGACCGCCAGTTCTCGGGATTTGGCGATTCAGGGTCGGATATCAAGATATGGAAATCCGTCATAGCAACAATATACCTGAGAGCGGAAACGTGTCCGTGGAGTGGTGCATCACGTAGGTGGTATTTGACAATAGCCCCCGAAAGGGACAGCTTGGCCTCCAGTCTCTTCAGAATGGTATCAACCACGCCAGTCTTTGTTTCCCACCATTGCGAGGCGCCGGAAGTACTCCGCTGCGCCGCGCAGAATAGGATGTGATAAAGACGAGCGACGGTATCCGCATAATCTGCGCGGCTAGTTCTGCTCGCCATTTGTTCTGCCGTGCTCAACGCGCTTAGCAGCTGCGCCTTGTCCGAGGCGCTGCTACCCAATTGAATGCCATCGCCAAGCAAGAGATTGCGCGGAAACAGATTCACAATCGAGAGAGACCTAGCTCGCACTTCTTCAAAGGGATCGAGAAGCAAATCAACCAGCAATCGCAAAAGGCTAGGTTCGAAGACTTCGACGTTGAATCTCCATTTGGTGAAATTTCCTTCATTTTTGCTGACGATGCTACCTTCAAAACGAGCATCCAGACCAGACTCCAAGAGGAGAATCAAGGTTTTCAAGGACGTGATATGACGAGGGTAGGATGCCGTGGGCTGCAGGTCTGTCTTGAGGAACTCCAGGTATTCGGCCAAACAGGCCTGGGTTTCCGGATCATCGCGCGCATAGTTTGGGGGCTGCTTCTTGTTTGCCGAAGCCATCACCTCGGCCCAATTCTGTTCACTACTCATGATACCACCTTTGAGGCGGGGGATCAATTTACGTATGATACTCAATATTTCCCCTCGAGAATAGGCGTCTGATTCGGCGTGCAAGGAGGGAAGCCCCTTCAAGATGGCCCTCATGGTAGCGGACGAAAATGGTTTCGTTGTGGCATTGGCCGTTATCAGAAGCGACAAGGCAGCTATTCTGATGCTGAACTCTCGGTGAAAAAGAAACTGCCCGATCACTTCACTCTTCAAAATCAGTCCTTCATCGCCTGCTCCATTTTTGGCGGCGGGGCCTTTGGGGGAGGTATCTAGAAGATGGTCAGAAAGAGGTCATTTCGAGGGAATATACAGACCATGAGCTCTTACGATCTTCATGCACCAGGCCAATCTTCTTGGCCATCTGCAACGACGCAAAGAGCAGAGAGAGTTCATCAACAGGGGCATCATGCATGTCACCAGTTAAGAGGTTCTCCAAAGGCAACTGGTTTAAAAATCCTCTGAACCCGACGGGATCAATACTAAATAGAGGGTGAAGGAAGTATGAGGACATGGGCTCAAGGAGGTTCATGTTCTGCAGGATGATGTGTCTAACCGGGGCGACCCAGACAGAGAGCAAACTTTGCACATACTCGCGTGAGTAGCTAGTCTGGGGCAAAGCTTTCACTTTCAGGAAGAAAGCTGTCATGGTGTCTCCGGGACCCGCGGCCAGCTCGAAGCTCTTTGCCTGGGCCATCAGAGCCAGCACAAGCACCTCCGCGGCCGTCCGTTGCGAACCTGGATTGTCCAAACCATCGTCGGAGGACCGTTCGGAAAACTGGCTTACATCTATCGAAAGAGCTTTACAATCCTCTTGGAAAAGAGGAACCCATCGGCCTGCGTTTCCCTGGAGCCAAGCCTGAACCATTGCGATCAGCTCGATGGGCGAAAGAGTGTTCTTGCGGACTAGGATCTCTAGCGTAACGAGACACGCCTTGAGCTGAGAACGACGCTCGTTCAATACGATGCTGGGCACTGTGGCATTGATTATCCGCGACTTGATGAACTGTCGGTCATCTTCGGCCAGGTTCTTGCTTAGCAGAGTCACCAAGGACTCTAGCAGCTGCTTCATCGGCTTGGGCTTTCCGTCCTTGAAGCGAATCAAGAACACGTCGAATACGGATAGCCAAGTCTCGCGGGACAGCACCAGCTGTCTCGTTCCCTCGCACTTGGAGATCCGCGCGGCATCAAGGAATGCGCTCAGCGTATTGCAAGCCACCGAGGTGTGGCTATGCGAGGTGGATGCCGTCGCAAAGGTCTTCAGCAGACTCTGCCATACGCAGCTCACTTTTCTATTGCCAGAGAATTAGGGCACATTGTCCGCCGACGGAGATCTCGGAGATTGTAGAACGTTTACAACCGAACCACAGGACAGGCACTTACTGTAGGTCATCACATGACTGCATGAATCGGCCCAGCGGTCCTTTGCTGATCTCCAGCATGGTTTTCTCGGGGACGAGCTGTATGCATTGCGCTATCTCGTCCATCTGGAGGGCTCCCGCGTCGCCGGGGACGCCGGACACTGCTTGGCTCGCCATGGCCTTACCGATGGGACATGCCCGTAGCCAGCACTACACCGGAAGGGTTGATAATCGATACTCGAGACTCGATCGTATCGTTCCAAGATATCCCCGCGATTTCAATTTGCCCTCTTGTGGATTTTGCCGGTGGGACCCCCAAAGCGGGTTAGCGCCGGCCAAATGCTGTTCCGCGCTCCGGCGAACCGCCGCCCCCGTCGCCGGTCACGGGGCTGAAGTTTTTGTTCCTCGTCGAACCCGTTGAGGTTGAGGATTATCCGTGAACTCGCGCCGGCTGGCTATATCGACCGTCTCCTTTCCTTTTGTTTCTTGCCTGTATTCTTTTAATCTAATCTTTTTTCTCTTCCCTCTTCTCCTTCTTCACAATGTCCATCTGGGATTCGTTCGGTGGCCGCAAGCAGCCCAAGGGCTCCGAATTCGACGCCTCGTCAGCCCCGGATGCCAGCTCCTTCTTCTCAGACGTCGCCATCCCCGACCCGACGCAGCTCCATCCCCTGTCCGGCCTGAACCAGGATACCCTTGACTACATCACTCTCGAAGATTCCGCCCTCGACGAGCTGCCCGGCTCGCGATCAGTCCTACCGTCCCGAGGATGGTCCGACGACCTGTGTTACGGCGCCGGCACCACTTATCTCGCTGCGCTGACTGTCGGAGGAGCTTGGGGTTTGGCCGAAGGATTGAATAAGACCCCCGCGACTGCGCCCCCCAAGATTCGACTGAACGGCGTTCTGAACTCGGTCACGCGGCGAGGTCCGTTCCTCGGCAACTCCGCCGGCGTGGTGGCCATGGTATACAACGGTTTCAACTCCGGGATTGGCTATGCTCGCGGCAAGCACGACTCTGCCAACAGCATTGTGGCCGGTGCTCTGAGTGGCATGATTTTCAAGAGCACTCGGGGTCTGAAGCCAATGATGATTTCCGGTGGCATCGTGGCGACGATTGCCGGTGGCTGGGCGGTTTGTGCTCCCTGGCTTGTCTTTTGATTTCCCTCGCTCCGTCAGGAACTATCGCTAACTCAGGAACAGGTCGTGAGAAAAACCTTCTTCTAATCGCCAACTTACCCGAATCCCTCGTGGAACGAGCCGAGTCAACCTCCTTATGTCCACCGTCGTTTTCAGCAAAGCGGGAGGGTGTTGTATTATTTAACTCCTTTTCTTTTCTTTTCTTTTTACTTGTTCACGCTGTATTAGAACGATTTCTTTTTCGTCCTCGAATCTCTTCGCTCCGGCGCTCGAAGCATCTTGATTTTTGCACAAATTCTCCATGGTTGGGACCGGCATGGTAATGGGTTTTGATAGCTTTTCCTGTACATATAGCGGTCTCTCGCGGTCTTTCATGGGCTGGGAGCTTTCAATGAAGAACTTAAACGGTGATTCTGAACCATCAGACCAACTAGCGTGTTTAAATATATATCAGTCACCCTTAGCGACGGCATGTCGATATCTCGGAGTACACGGAGTATAGTTCGAGCCCCCTGCGTACTTCACTGGGCCTGACGGAGATAGAAAGTGCACTAATTCCCCGATCAACTGTTAATTTCCATTTAAAACCCGACTTATCTAGCATCTTTAAAAAAAAAAAATTGACCATGGTAGGCCAATAAGATCGTGCAGATCAGGCACACGGTTCTGTAATCACGTCATCACTCTAGGCGCGACGGTCGTTGTCCCCTTCCCTTCCATTGACCATTCCCTCTCCACATTCATTTTAACCGTACACATTTCACGCGCCTTCACGGAGTATGGACCCTGCCCCCTTTTGATGTTGGTGGTCGGGTCTAAGAGCACAGACACAATTATGGACTCCTTGGCTCCCCGGGGTGAGACAACAACCTAAATGATACTGCGTCTCTGGCGGTTCAACGTCAGTTAGTAGACGGTCTCTAGCATGTCCATGCGGTGCTTCGATTCTTCATCTGACGTCGAGAGTCAGGCAAGGGCGCTCCTGCCCAAATGTCCACCATGCCATGTCCCTTTCTACCCTCCCGGCCTGGGACTGGCGAACCCAGAGCCGACTTCAGACCCCTTCGCTGTCCATACTTTCGGCGCTTTGCCAAGATGGCCCTCCTACTGGGCCTGTTTACCCTCATCACCTTAGCTGTGCACCGTCGTTCCGAATTGTTCCTACAGAACCCTGCGCTATCTCCTGGCGTAGCACCACCGGTGCCCGCAGAACCCTTTGCGCCCGCTCATGGAACGGACTTGCAGATCCATGACCCCAGTATCCTGAAAGTGGGCGAAATCTACTACAGTTACAGCGTTGGGGAAAACATTGCGATTCACCAAGCTCCGTGTCTTGACGGTCCCTGGAAACGGACAATGACCGTGCTCGATAAGGAGAGCATCATTCCCAAAGGCGACCGCCAAGCCCCTTGGGCTCCCATGACCATCGAAGTCGACGGGACGTTCTACTGTTACTACGCCGTCAGTTTTGCCGGATGTCGTGACAGCGCGATCGGAGTGGCCACGTCGAAATCGCCGGGGCCCGGAGGCTGGACCGATCACGGTAGCATCGTGCAATCCGGCACGGGACCCGGATCGGCCAACTACCCATACAACGTGTCCAACGCGATCGATCCATGTGTCTTCATCACTGACACTGGCCAGGGATATCTGACCTGGGGCAGTTACTGGACCGGTCTCTGGCAGGTGCCCCTGTCGAAAGATCTACTTTCCGTCGCCACTGGTGAGGAGTCCGACGCGCGCCATCTCGCCTACGAACCACGCGCCATCTTCCCGGGACGAAAGAAACCCACTCCGCTGTGCGGAGACCCTACGGGCGCTCATCCCGTCGAAGGAGGGTTCATCTCTTATCACGCGCCCTATCATTACCTCTGGTTTAGTTGGGGAAAGTGCTGCAAATACGATCCGGATAATCTCCCAGCGCCAGGGAAGGAGTATCAGATTCGTGTCGGGCGATCGCTTTCTCCCCGTGGGCCTTTTGTCGACAGGATCGGCCGTGACCTGGTCGACGGTGGAGGCGAAGTGGTGTACGGCTCGAATCGAGATGTGTATGCTCCCGGTGGAGAGGGAGTTCTTACGGATGACGGAAAAGATATCCTCTATTATCACTACTGTGAGCACTGGTTCTTGCCGGGACGAGGAAACACGAAGACCCAGCTAACCGGTTTGACAGTAAACACGACAATAAGCTATGACTTCTGGGTGAGTGTGACCGTCCTAATGCTTAAGGATCAGAACCATAACATCCCACACAGGAGGCTCGACTGGGCTATAACCCCTTGGAATACATAGACGGCTGGCCCGTTGCCGTATGAGCTGGATGATTGGATGATTGGATGATAGAATCGATGGGAGAGATGGGATACATCGTTAGAATACACGCTGCTTCGGTAGAAACCATCCAGATATCATTAATCGAGCTGTCCATATGATTAACGTCACATTCTATCTGAATACAAAATGACATGAGAAAGCGACCCGATTCTTGACTCCAAAAACTCCCCTATCATTCTGAAGAAAACAAACCCACGTCGAATGAAATAAACCTATACACATCATCATTCGTAACAAACCGAGAAACCATACCGATTCCACCTGCAAAATTCTAGTCACTCAACGCACCACCCCGGCGGAACGACGTCCTCGCGCGGTTCACCCCCGGCCTGAGACCTGCGAACAGCGACGACCCCGACGACGACAACGTGCGGAACGTGGCCACCACCGTATCGGACTTGCGTTTCGGCGGTCGAGCCGGCGTCTTCGCTGGCCCTTTCTCCTGAGGAGCAGGAACATCGTTCGCCCGTTGATCGGACTCCTCCGTCTTATACACTACCGGCGAGTCGGGCTGTCGCTCCGGGGAGCTAATCTGATCGAACGGATCACCCTGCGACTCTGACCGGGGAAGCGGCGTAAACGGATACTCCGGATGGGTAGCGAGAGGAGTCGTGGCCTCGGGAGTCGGCGTCGAGATCGTGACACTAGGACCGAGATCGAGTGTGCTTATATCGCTGTTGTCGCTTTCGAGGCCGTAGCTCCATCCCCCATCGTTCGAGCTTGCCTTCTCCGCCTTCTTGTCCTCGAGCTTAGCGGAAGCGGGGCGACCACGAGGCGTATAGGCGTTTGTGGGGGTGACATCTTCACTCTCTTCGGATCTCTTGAGAGGCTGGATGGTGGACGTGGAGGAAGACGGCGACGGTCGGTCTTCGTCGCGACGCTCGCTATCGGGGACAGGCTGTTTGAATACCGACCCGGAGCCCGAGTAGGAGCGAGAGAAGGAGGTAAGGATCCTTGGGAAGACCATGATGGAGATCTGATTGTTCTTGCTAGGCTCGGGATCATAAACCTTTTCGAAGAAAACGTGCGAAGTAGATCGAGGTATTGACCAGGATACCGCCCATCGAGCTTTTTATATCTCGAAATGACACAAGCCTACAAGGTAAGCAGCGATTACTCACAAGAAGTGACTGACCAGCTCAGATGATTGGCGCAACACGAACAGCTCCAGGCACGTTGCCTGGATTCCTTGTTTCCCCCTTGTCGTGGGATCTCCGATGCACGACCGTCAGATCATTCAGCCCGCCCATCGGAGACCGGATCTTGTGAGACAATTAGGCTCTTCTTTTCTAGGTAGCTGTTCTGTTCCTGTGTGGCTTTGCGTGCCAGTCGACACAGGTAGGCTTCACGTTCGCAAGGACCAATAAGGTTGAGCCCAAGGATTGCATGTGGCTGGTTGCCAGGCAGAGATCAGTTGATGATGATTATGGACCAAGCTAAAGGGGCCACAGCCCCCCAGGCAGAGAGAAGAAACTGATCGGAATCATCATGTCTATAAGAAGGCAGGAGTGTGTCAGTCGATCAGATCCGGTCGGCTGATCAGATGACGGCGTGGCCTGGGATCATCTGATCTGGGGGATGACGAGCCTCGTCTTCAGTGTCCGGTCAGAATTTCTCTTTGTAAGGAAGCTAGTCGCAAGAAGAGGACTGGTGGGAGCTGAAAAGCGAAAGCTGACGCTTGCAGCCGAGCGTGCATCAAACCCACGTTATGTATATCTGTAGCATACACACACACACCCAAGTCCGGCTCTACTAGCAGTCACAAAAAAAAAAAAAAAAAAAAAAACCGAACAGCGGGTTTTTAAACACGAAGCAAAAGAAACAAAAAAAAAAAAAAAGAAGAAAAAGAAAAAGAAGCAAAACATGTAGTCCAGCCGGACTTTATACAGCGCCTTTTCTGTACCTCCTATCCTTGCGAACCACAATGTAAATGCATAAATGTTCTGTGTAGGGAGCACGAGAAGAAAAATAGCATGAGGAATACTCCGTGTCGCGGTCCTCCACTTTATCTCACGCCCACATATGCACTCGGAATCCCGAGATAGAGATGCTAATCATACGTAGACCGGCATACTGACTTCCATCGGAAATCATCGCCGCGCCGGTGGCAACCAAGAATAGATAGACAGCATCAAGAAAAGAGGGAAAAGAAACAAAACATGATTTATGTATTGGCAGTGCATTAATTGCATTTCCAAGAGGAACGAGAAAAAGAAAAAGATATCACAGAAGACCCGAAAGATACAGGCCTAGTTCTAATCGGACACGATCCGATCTTCATCGTTCACTCGTAGCTCCACCACGGGCAGCTCGTCGTCGTCGTCATCATCATTGTCGGCTTCCAGTAGAGGAGGAATATCCTGGAATGCACTCTCCTCAATCGGCGTGCCCGGATATGCCGCGCCGGGGCCCGGACTATCGGTCAAGGCTGCCAGTCGAAGATCCGAGTCGCTCATGTCTCCTCCGCCAACCGCCTTATTGCTGGCGGTGTCGTCGTCAAGCAGGTCATCGTCGTCATCAAAGGTGGATCCCGGCAGCGCTGTGGTCATCTGTGAAGAAGGGCCGTGAGCTTGGTGGACTCGGTTGAACGACCACGAGGGCGGACTTGGGAAACCGAAGGGGTTGGATAGTCCTCCATCACCGGACTCCTCGTCGTCCTCGATATTCATACCTTCCAGTCGATTGTTCTTATCATTGCTGTCGAGGCACTTCTCGCCGCGCGTCGGGTTGTTGGAGTACTCCGGAGGCGACTCATCACCGCCGCGGTTCTTCCCGGGGGTTCCAACCCGCAAACCACCATCTCCCGACTGGCGACCTGCTCCGGCTCCGGTTGAGGCGCTCGACGACCCATTGAGGGAGGAGCCGCCGAGACGCCGGCCGTCCCCCGACGGTGACTGTCCGCGAGATTCGCTAGCCGAGTCCGACTCACTGGGTGGTCGCGTGGACGACTCCGTGATCTCCTCCAGGACTTTGCCGCCGAGCGGACGATCCGATCGCCGACGGTAGAAAAGGAGGTAGGCCGACGAGGTCACCACGCTCTGGGGGTCCAGGGCTCGCGAAACCGAGGAATCTACACGCATTAGTCACGGGGGTTTGTGCCGTCGATCGAGAACAGACATGAAGACTTACCGTTGTATTCGTTCCACTGGCCCGTCATGAAGTTCTTGGCGTACGCCGTATAATGGCCTCCTCCCAGTCCACCGTAGTGGTTATCCACTGCAAAGAGGTCGTAGATCAGACCCTTGCCATCTTCAGGGGCCTCTACCCGGCCGGTCATGTCCAGGCCCTCCACGGGGAAGTCAACCAAAACGTCCAGCTTGTCCCGGAAACCCCGGCTGGCGCTGAAGCGTTTCAGATGCATGACGAGAATATCCGGCGTCTTCCAGAGCTCGAACTTCTTGCTGGCACGGCGATGTTCCTTGCAACGAGGGCAGTACCACGCATCATTCTCCGAAAGCACTTCTTCCTTATTGAATTCGTCCAGGCACTCATCGAGAGACACCCCCTTCTTCTTGCGCATCTGGCGCAATTGGCGCCGTTTGGTCAACTCAGGGTCCGGAAGACGTTCGACATCAATCCAGGTTGGGGCCCCGCGAACGGAGTCCCTGTCCTTGAGTTTTCCGGTGAAGAGGGCTTCGTAGACGTCCTCATTCCAGTCCAACACGATTGCCTCGCCGGGACGGATAAGGGGGCGCTCCTGGACCTGTTTCTGGGGACGCTTGGCAGGCGGAGCAGCGTCGGATCCGCTGTCCGATGCATCGTCATCCGCGTCGTTGCTAGTAGCCGTTTGAGAGCTGCTGGGTGCTTCCGACGTCGACTCGGGCTGTGTATACTTGTGTTAGCATGCTGTACTTTGCAAAGATAAGAGTACCGCGGCAACAACTACTCACCTCCTCCGCAGCAGGCTTCGTCTTGATTCGGAATGACATCCGGGGGTACTCTTTGTTATCCTCAATCGCGGAAAACCCGATGGGAACAGTCTCGTTGCTTCGAATCAACTTGATTTCAAATAAGTTTCGTAGGCGCGAGGGAATTGAGCTTTCGGTGGAGACGGCATCCTCGGAAGCGTTAGGTGCGTCCCGCATGGAAACGTCCACCATTCCATCCTCGCCATCCACTGAGGTCGTCTTGATCTTGGAGTCGGCCGACTGCGCATCGTCCTCGTTCATAATAGAGATGTCCGAATCTTCCGGGCCGGTTTCGTCCGGCGTGGCTTCTGGTGCCTCCTCATTGAGGATGTCCCGGGTCGTCGTGGAAGCGACATCCAGGAGGAGCTTTTTGTAGATGGCGTCCCAGTTATAGGCATCCTCGCGGTCGACGATGATAAACGAAGGGACTCCGAAGAGCGTCCGCTGGGCGCTCTTGGGGTTGTTCCCTTTCGGTCGCTCCACTCGGTTGAAGACAGACACGAGCAGGCGATCGGCCTTGGGCGAGTCGAGTTCCGGAATCTCGTCACGCTCAGATCGACCGAACGAGTGGAAACTCCTTTGGGGCTTGTCCGGGTTGTAGTTTGTCGGCACGGACTCGACTTCGTACATGGCGATGTCGTCATTCCCGCTGATGTGGGATTCCGCGATCGAGCTGGTGTTGTCGAAGAGCTTGTAGAACTTGTTCTTGTAGACCTCGGTCATCACCAGTCGCTGGGCATCCGATCCCACCTTCTTGGCGACCAACTCCTTCAAGGACTTGATGCTGGAATTCTTATCAATCTCCACCTCCACCAGGAGCGGCTTCGAGTTCAGGGGGAAATAGTAGATCTCCTTGCTCCACACATTCTCAATCGGCAGCTGGAGGGTGAGGTTGTTGAACGGGTCGAAGATGATGCTGACCTTGTCGCACTCGGGGCAGTGTAGAGTCGATTTGTACATGCCCGCAAAGAGGTCAGTGATAACCGAGTCGTTGCGAGCTTTGTAAATATCCCAGCACTTGTCGGCAAACTCGGTCAGGGCGGCTTTGTTGTGGACCATGTCGTCAGTAGAATCGGGTTTCTCGATGTACGGCTTCTTCTGAATCCGGTTCAGGTCTTCCTGCAATCCATCAAGCAGGAAGAGCAGGAACTCCTGCGAATCCTGTTGCCCGTAGCCTGAGAACGCCGGTCCGTAGCGGCCGATGGTATTTTTCAACTGCCTCGGGGCAAAGGAAGATTGACCGGCTTCGTCGTAGATCAAACGGAGGAGGTTGGCATACGACTTGGCGACTTCGCCGTTGTGGGCCAAGGGGTTGCTGGGGTTCAAGTCTTGTTTATAAACATCATCTGCAGGGACGAGCTCGTTAGCGGGCAAAGTGATCCCCAACCCAGCTGCGGACGATACGTACTCAGGAAATAGTAGGATAACTCCTCTACGCTCCGCACGCACTGCAGGGCAGAATTCATGTAACAAGTGTTACCGAGATTGCTCAGTCCCGTGTTTCCGCGAGGCTTCCCATCCTTCCTTCTTCCTCGGGGAAGTTCAGGGACGGGGGACGAACGTCCACTGTTTGTCGGGCTTTTGTTCTTCAATTTAGAGGCGACGCCGTTCTTCAAGCTCCCGGTCGGCACGCCCAGGCGATTGAGGGTCTGCTTGGACGCCTCGGAGGCCCATTCACCGTTGCCGGCGCCGGGAATCCGTTCTTCCAGCACCACGACGTCGCTGCCGCCGAGACCGGCGACGTCGAGTGTCATGCGACCGTTGTAGTTCGGATTGGCGGTTTGATCCTTAGCCCCCTCCAGCAATTCTCGCTGGGCGCCCTCCGACAGGGAAAGGAAGGTGTTGAGATCGAGCACAAGACTATTGCCGCCGTTGGCAACCATCGAGGCCGCGGGGGCCGGGGAGGCACTGCGCGAGGCGGCCGGCGTGATGGCGGCCGATGCGGTGGCGCTTCCCAACCCGCCCAATATCCTCCAGACACGGACCTTGGTCGCCAGGTCGATCTTGGCCAGGCTCTTTGCGTCCTTCAACCACTTCTGAAAGTTCGTGTGCCGGCTCGACAGGATCCGCACCGGTTTCATGTTCTTCTCCTTGAGACTCTGGGGCGTCGTCCCCGCCGAGGGGTTCGTCAGCTTGAGAATGGTGAAGATCGGGGGGTTGATTTCGTATTGAACGTTCTGCGAGTCGCCGCCCACGCTGGTGTCATGGGCGTAGCGGACAATAGAGGGGGACTGCTCGGCCAGACCGTACCACTGGAGGATCAGATCCCAGCCCTCTTGGGGAACGATTTCAAAGTCCTCCCCCATTTGCAGACCGGGCCGCAGCGGCACAAACGGCTCGTTCGCCTCGTCGACCAAGCCTGCATTGGCGGGATCGGTCACGAACACGAGATCGGAGTTGTCAACCGGTCCGACGTCTCCTTCGACAGCGGTCTTGTCGGCCAGGTCGGCGTGGGTCGAGCTTCGGGAGAGCACCCGCTTCAGCCAAGACATGGAAACCACGTAGCCCTTCTGCTTCTCCTTCAGCGGCTGGGCCATGTGGAGGGTCACCTTCGCCACTTGATCATCGTAGGAGGGAGGAGACGAATCGGACGGGTTAGTCGTCGCGGGGGTGTTGGTGGACATGCTGGAGGGCGTGAAGTTGAGGTTGCCGCCGTTCGCGGTGGATTTATCGTCGCCGTCGGCATTCATCGCATCGTTCGTGTCGTTTCCCGTCGGGCCCGCGTCCATGTCGACGTCGACATCGCCGTCCACCTCGGAGGCGGCCCGTTTAACGCCGGGGGAGGGCGAGCGGGCATCAACGGCGGCGGGCGGCAGGCTGGCGTCTTGTTGCTCGGAGCTCGACATGTCGGTCGGGGGGTCACTGGACAAGGTGAGGCCGGCGCAGGCGGTCGAGGGATCGGAATCCGGGGTGGGCGAGCGGGAGGCGGCACCGAGCACTTCGTCCTGCAGATGGGCGGGAATATATCGAGGGGGTGGAGAGGCGGAGGAAGCAGAGGAAGACGAAGAGGAGGCCGGGCCTCGATTGGAAGCGGAAGCGGAGGAAGGACGAGGGTGGTGGTTGTGGTGGTTGTAGGCGGACGAGGGCGAGGCGGAAGACTGGGGGTGACGTCTTCCAGCCTGCGAGGCAAGCGACACACCGGGAAGAGGACCGGGTCGGCGAGGCTCTGCTACCTTACGGCGCTTTGTGGAAGACGTCGTGACGGTGAGCTGCGCACGTCTCGTGGCAGCTCGAGGTAACACGGTGGAAATTGTGAAGAAGATGGATCGAAGGAGAAGGCGAATCCGATGCGGTGAACAGCCTGGGAAAAGCGAACATAAAAAAAAAGAAAAGAAAAGAAAAGAATAACTGTAGAACCACGAAGAAGTGGAGGAACGAATAATAAAAAAAAAAAAAATTCAAGAAAAAAAAAGACGAAGCAGCACGAAAAGAGTTTAGTAACGAAAATCCATGAGAAAAGAAAATCCGAAGGGGGAAAAACCCTGGGTCTCCGGTGGAGTCGACCTTCCGTATTCTTTTGTGTAGGATTGCAGGATGATGGATGGATGGATGAATGGAAGGACCGACGGTTCCTGAAGGGCCGCAAGGGATGCAGGGATGATGCAGGGAAGAAAGAAAGTGAGCAAAAGGGAAAAGGGAAAAATGAAAGGAAGGCCCCGACAGTTGTTGGTGACATCATGAGGTTGAATTCCCCCCCATCAACGATGAGAAAGAACTCCCAGATCCATATTGAATCCGATACGAGGTACAAGAGGTTGACTGTCTGTCCACAAGCACAAGAATTCCCTTTCCCAATCATGAAATAAAGTTCGAATGCTCCGTCTGTCATGGAGTCCGGGGTACGGAGTAGACTGGTCCAAGCTACGGAATATATGTAGTCAGTAGTTGGTAGTCAGGTATGTCTATCACGGAGCGAGGAATCTCCAGTTCAACAGAATCACCACGAGTTAATGTTATTGATTGATTATATACTGATCTAATCCTCCAGTGTATCGCTTGCACAAAAGACAGCAAAAAAAAGAAAAACAACATATCATTGCGACGACTGCCTGGTTCTCTGGAGCCCTAACTCTACAGGCTCGCTCCACCTAGTGATAGTCACTTGCCAACGATGATCAAGACCGCTATAAGAGGGCCGAAGCACAAAACAACCATGGAGACGCCGAAGTACAGGAGGTATTGGTCGTCGCCGGAAGGCTCGTTTGGGGGAGTCTCGCACATTGAGGGAGCCTCGGACTTTGAGATGCGCGACTCTGAGTGACTCGATCTACCCCATTATAGAGGCCACTTTCAATGTCTGGGATAGTCATGGCATCTGAGAGGGCTGGGAACCGTTGGCTTTTCTAGTCTATCCCGGGTATTGATTGATGTTTGGCGCACCTTTGGAGAAATAAACTGTAAGCTGCGTGTGGATGTATATAGATGCTCGATAACTCGAGAAGATAGAAGCAGAACTATCCATCTACCTAGAATGGTATAGGAATGATCCAAAGAACGGCACTTCAGTCCGTTCCAATAGAATGGACTGCCAGTCTGTCGGACTCAGGATTCCGCCCGATGGCATCACTCTGGCGACAGGGTCTCGGGGATGAAGTAAATAAGGATAGCATGCCCTCTCCAGCACCAGACTCTCGACAATAGTCTGACCAGAACAGACCTGAACAGACCAAATGGCACCCGAAACCAGCTCGTACGCCGTCGAGTCACTCACGGACGACAGCGATCGAGACTCCACCATTCAATCCTCCAGCCAGCCTCACCCCCCCGATTGATAAAGCCCTCGTCTACTCCAACGGAGTACGGATGTCTGTTAGAGACGAAAGAGAGAGAGTCGCTAAACCTTCCCGGTGGGGCCTAGCGCCGGTGTCCCGCGCTAGGCCGCATCCAGCGGGAGCGGCAGAGGGCAGACCCCGTGACTCTCCCCCGCCTTGACTTTTCTTTTCTCGCTCGCAATTTCTCTCGCTTCCCCTCCATCCTCCCATCCACCTCCCACCCTCTCCCAACTTCCAAATACCCGAAATTTATCCCCTCTCCTCCCAATCTGTGAGTGCTCATCATTGTTAATATATCCATCGCTTGGTCTCTCTATATACACTTCGCTAGTTATAGAATACATGTCTTGCTTTGATATTTGATATTTTTTTTTGTGTCTGAAGAATCTAAACTGAACTGAACTCCCTGATTAGTCCATTCAAAATGTCTGAGCGCCAGAACGGAACCGTCAAGTGGTTTAACGATGAGAAGGGCTACGGCTTCATCACCCCCGAGTCCGGTGCCGACCTCTTCGTCCACTTCCGCGCCATCGAGGGCCAGGGCTTCAAGTCCCTGAAGGAGGGACAGCGCGTCACCTTTGAAGCTGTGCAGGGCCAGAAGGGAATGCAGGCGGACAAGGTTCAGGTCCAGCAGGATTAAGCGGCACACAACGCGGGATCAACAATCATGTCAGCTTTACACGAGTTTTTACCCCTTTTGAGGTACGATAATGGGGAGGAAGGACCTTGGGCTCCTGCGCTACTTGCGTCACGGCACGAAAGCCGGTGCTGCTGAAAGCCATCGGCATTGACAACCCGGGTGATGGGATCCAAAATTATTATTACTTCTCCAGGGACCTGATGTCCCCGCTCACCCTGTGTGATCCTCTTGTTTCAAAACCAAAACCCAATGCCAGTATCTGCATGTTCGGAGAGTGTCAATCTCCACCATCAAATTTTTCTTCCGTAAAACCTAGCGTGAGTATCTTATCATTTTACTCTTCTGTTCTTGTATCCATCCCCCCCAATCGGACCCCCCCATCTAGACCAGGCCGGGAATGTACCGCCGCCCACACTCAAGAGGTTGATAAAGGCACCAGAAGGGATCGAATTCTGTCCATCCGTCGTCCCGACACATGCCGTCGTCGTCCCAATCCTCGCTGCCGACCCCGTGTCGCACGATGAACAGGCTTTCCGGGTCCCATTTTTTCTTGATCTCTCGCAGCCGATCATACTTCTCTCCCCAGAACCACTGCTGCCAGGCTGCCAGCTCCGAATCCGCCTCGTTCAGGTACATGGCGACGGGACTGGGCTGGCTGATCGACTGCAGGACGGGCCCCTCGACGGAGGTGACACGACGTTGGACGTCCCGCTGGTCCTTCAACGTGGGCTCGAAAACTCGATTGCCGACCAGCAGGATCGCCGCCGTCCGCCACCCCGGATGCATTGCGTTGTTCACCACGTCGCCGTTGGTCGCCACCCGGCCGCCGAGGGTATTCGCGACCCAGGTATCACCGGGCCGCAGGTCCAGGGCGGCCAGCCGGTCGACCATCTGCGCCGGCCCTTCCGGCTTGTCGTACGATTCCCGCGGGATGAGGATATTTTCTTGGTGGAAGGGGATGCCGCCGACGAACTCGCCCTGAGGGATCGCCAAGAACGAGCTCAATCGCGCGTAGGCCGTGGACTGGAGATCTCCGGCGATGTCGTACCGCTGGAGGGACTCTAGGAGGGCTGTGAATTTCCCGTTTGCCTCGTCCGCATCGGTCTCGCCAATGAAGAACTGCGTGAGCCGCACGAAGTAGTCACCGGTCGGAGCACGACCGATCCAATATTGACCGGAGCTGTGGTTCACGGACAGACTGCGCACGGTGTAGAGAACCTCTTTGACGGCCTCCCAGAAGGTATCGTCTCGTTCCGGCCTCATGAACATCAGATTCGATACTACCGCTGGAATCTCGCCGAAGACGGGCATTGTGAGACTGGTCACCACGCCGAAGGTTCCTCCGCCGCCGCCGCGAAGTGCCCAGAACAGATCTTGATTCTGAAGTTCGTTCGCGATCACGAGCTCGCCCTATCTCGAACAATGGCCGAGATTAGCCGGCAAATTAGATAGGCAGGTACCGTCGTATACACCTACCTCTGCAGTGACAACCTCGAACTCGTGCACCAAGTCTACCGCCAGTCCCTTCATCGGCGAAAGCGCCGTCGACACGCCTCCTCCCTGAAGGTATCCTCCGGCAAACCCAACCGTGGCGCATTCGCCCGCCAGAATCGTATGCCCATGCTCATCTGCCGCAGCGTAGAGCTCTTTCGTCAGAACGCCGGCCCCAATCCTGACGCTGCGTCCCTTGGACCTTGCGTCTCTTTCATCGGCTTGCTCAGTTGTTGGCACGAAATTGTCGAGGAAAGTGATCTCTTTGAGACGTTGCGTCAGAATCTGAAAGGAATCCAGTGCACTGGAACGCCCGCCCGAATCATGCCCGGTGTTTTTAACCACCAGTCGCAGCTTTCTCTCCCGGGCAAACTTGACGGCTTTCTGCACCTGTTCGGCGTTTTCCACCATTGTCGAGTATAGTGGAATCCGCCCCTGACCACAAGGTCCCGAAGCATCGTTTTCGTGGACGAAGCAGGTCTCGTTGCGCGACAGGGACACCTCCCATGCGTGTTCCTGCTGAGCACCTATGCTCGAGATACCCTCACTAATTAGTCTCATACATACGAGTAGGACGACTGTTCAACATCTCTTACCTGGCTGACTTGCTCTCCATGTGCCATTGGACGATAACTTCACCACCTGCTCGCACGCCACCGGGTCGTAGGTATCCCCGTGACAAACATGGCCAATTGGTCGAACCTCTACGACGTTACCGTGAAGTGACGTGTTTAGGGCCTGCCATTCCGCTGGGGACGGCCAGCAGGGCTCGTGGGGTCGACACCGACACCGCTGAGGAGCGCCAAAGCCCACAGGTGCTTGCTTGACCCCAAGAGCGCATGCTAATAAGAGAGGGACAAGCCCGAGACTGCAGTACATTGTGCTACGGACTCGAGGGAATGTAGATTTTGGGAGATGATCAGGAAGTGATGACATCTACGGAAATATTCAACTACAGACCATCGATTCGGGAACAGAGAGGGGGCCGAAAGAAATTGCTGATTCTTCCTTTATTTCTCCTCTTTTTTTGCCCCCTCAAAGGCAAAACGGCAGAAGGCTCTGACTGTTGCCTGGGTGGCGCAGATTCCAATCCCTTGCTATAATGACTCCCAATTCAGTGGGCTAGATGGTGCCTTTTAGCTGGATGGATGCAAGGGGTCGGACGCGGGTTCACCCCTGGATACCTAATTCTAGATGGCTGGGTCACCTATGCGAACTACCGATTTAGCACTGCAACATTGATTGAGTGGAATATGATGCTACACACGGCGCAGGCCGGATCCATATCCCACTCCAGCCATTCTGCCTGGGGATACGCGTGCAGCGCCTGGGAAGTCTGGACCCTCCTGCTAGGCTCAAATGTTCATCTGGTTATGATCCGAAATACTCTAACGCGGGTTGCAAGGAGACATGAAGCTCTTGTTCTGAATACGAATTCTGGACCGACTAAAGAGCAAATACAACGACTAGACTTCCTTCTTCATGCCTCGCCGAGCCTGACGCTCAGAACGGGGAATAATACACACTCAGATAAGGCATCGAGTTCCGATACGAGAACGAAATGGCTTCGTGGACCCAGTTCGTCTTGCGCAGATCTATATTGGGACTGTAACAATGTGCTGTCAGCCGAATCGCAATTTCCCAGGGAAAGGTGACCTACTAGTAAGAGCGGATGTGATCTTTATACGACGCCGCCATGTCGGTCCAGCCGACCCGCTCGTAGAACGTCGTCAGCGCATTCATCACGACCATGTCGTTCATGCCAAACGTGACCAGATATACCTGGGGCTCGGGGTATTCACTGGCCGGCGACAAGGTATAGTTGGCCATGGTAGTCATCAGATGCGTCGGGGGCTGTCCAAGGACCAGGTTTGGCCAGATATCGCCGCGGTCGCCCTCGGGGATGTTCAGCAGGTCCCAGAGCTCCTTGAGCATAGCCAGGCCCTCGCTGCAAACGGGGTCATTGACGCGTCGGCCGCCAATCGTCCAGATGTCCACGATGCGCTCCCACTTCACCCACTTGTCGATAACGTAGAACTTGATGCGGCTCTTGCGCGGGTCGCAGAGGTCGCAGGCCAGCAGACTGGGGAAGACTTTCTCGTCGACGGTGGGCATGCCGTCATCGTGGGACGAGCTGAGATAGCACTGGAGCATGCGCAACGGGGTCTCAATACCCGAAATGTGCAGCTTGTCGATGGCGCGGAAGAACAGCTCCTGGATAGAGGTCCCCGTGGCGAGAAACTTCATGTACGGATAGAAGTACACCTTCAGACTCATGCTGCCGTTCTGGAAATCCACGGCTAGGTTATGCTGACCTCGTCCGGCGGCGGGGAGGGTGTCGCTACTTCGCAACGCTTGCTCCTCCTGCTCAGTGAGAACAAGCTCACGGTGCAAGGCCTGGTAGCGGTCCAGGACAATGGAGTTATCCAGCTGGGCCAGGCGGCGAGTGCAGTCATGGATGGCCTTCTTGTTGAACAGATCGGCCTCCGTGCCGGACAGATGGCAGACGGGATCCCATGAGATGCGGACGACTTTGTGGGAGACGTTCCAGCTTAACTCGTACGGCACCTTATAGGGCGTCAGGTTGCTCAGCCATCGCTTGTGCTCCTGGCCCTCGGTCGGGAAAGTGCCCAGGAAGGGGATCAGGTGTTGCTGGAGGAGGTACAGATAGAGGCACTGGCTTTGGGTGTCGTAGCCTGAATCGCGCAGCATTCGCTCCAGGACGGGGCCGGTGTGATTCCACCATTTGCGCTGGTCCTCGTCCGTCAGCGAGGAGTATTTGCCGAGGGCCTGGTAGAGGACTGCAGGGCTGTCCGAGGGAGCCTGGCTGCTTTGGATTGTCATGATGCCGAAGAAGAACCAAAGATAAGTAAACTCAATGGCCAGACAGAAGGAGAAAAGAAGGAGAAACGGTTGAGGAAGGTGTTATGCTAATTATCACGCGCAGTAAAGGAAATACGGTGCATATACGCAGCAATTTCTACTCCTGGATGATATCTTCAGTGCCTGGCATTGCTGCCCTCCCCTCTTCCCTCCGAGTCGGTTAGCATCGCTTTGCCAACGCAAGGAGGGGATGCTGATACTTCGATACTACCGCGTCAGACACCGATATGATAGAATGTTTTACTTCCCCCTCGCTTCCACTCCACCGCCATTTGGGTGGGAAACGGGCTGCGTCGAGGAATGGAGAATATACGGATGACCAGCAAGTGGAAACAGCTGCATACGAGTCTAATTGGTTCTGTGGCGACACATTCTCAGTCGGTCTTACCAGAGGAACTCTACTTATCGCTAGTATTACACCATTGCAGCCCTGCAAGCCACACAGCGATGCAGAGTCTGGACCATTTAACCCTCATTATCATTCTGACAGAATTTCCCGTCCGCGGGGATATTGGTCGGTATGTACTCCCGGCCATTCTTCACTGCGTCGGCTGCCTTATGGTACTCCTCATGCGCATGCTTCACGCAGTCATGTGTGTACACCCAGGCCTGGTGCAGGTAAGCCGTCGGCCGGTCGGTTGCGCTGCTCTCCCAGGCAGCGTTGAGAAATGAGTCCCCGGCCTCGGCGGATCCTTTCTGAATGAGTGAAACGCGGTGGTGTCTGAAGCGAGGGAATTGTTAGAGAATAAAGCAAAGGAACTTACGATGCAGTTGGAGTATTCAAGCCACATACCTGATATTTTCCATGGCTCGCAGAGCTAACGGGACGTCTTCGCCGGAGCGCTCCAGGCAGATGGCTAGCACCGCGGCATCCTCAATGCCCTGATTGCCGCCTTGACCAGCGTAAGGGAGGAAGGAGTGTGCTGCGTCCCCGATGACCACCATCCTGCCGCCGTTTGAGACCCACCGACTCAACGGTGGCCGGTTGATGAGGGATTGGTTGAAACATCTTCCCGGCGGCGTGCTTGCGACAATAGCAGATAGCTTTCTCCCGGCTGGCCAGTCCTGCAGGCTTTTCAAAACGACCTCGGGAGATGCAGGCTGCATCCAAGCCTCCGTCATCTCAGTCAACATACCCTACGGGCGGTTAGATAGAGCTGGCGTCATGTATTGCAGATTCCCTGCGGATCGGAAAACCACGATGACATACCCTCAATGCACATCCCCAGTGTATGTAGCGACCGCTAGCGGCCGTGCCCATGGCCACCATTGTGTCCTTGCCGTAGAACATCTGGAAGACATCTCGCCCCGGGGATTGTTCCAAGAGCCATTGCGCTTCGGGCACATCTGCAATCTCGTGGGCATCGAAAATCGCCCGGTACGCGATCACTCCAGTGTCATCCGGGGGTGGGTTTTCACCGGTGATAATAACGCGAGCTTTGCTGTGAGATCCGTCGGCGGCGACGACGCAGTGGCCGGTGATCTTATCGTTGTTGACGTACACCCCGGCCTCATCCTTATTTTCCCAGTAGCCGTCTACAGGGACCCCAAACCGAAGGTCGATGCCGAGCTGCCGTGCATACTGGTACAGCATGTTCACCAGCCCGGTGCGCCGGAAAAGATGGCCCTGGATGGGGTTTTGCGGGTTGTAGGGCATCGCGAATCGCCGGGTGCCCTCCGTGTCTAGAAGCTCGAGCGCGGACACATCGCAAGTAATGTCCTCGGTGATCAGCTCATTCAGGGTGTCGCTGTCTTTCCATGCCGCCAGAATACGGACGCTGTTGCCGCTCAGGCCAATAATGTCGCCTAGACGAGCGGGTCAGCATCTCATCTGAACCCAGGTTCTTTCGCTTCTGCTAGCGGTCTACCGAGTAGATTGATATCGGGCTTCTTCTCAAGACCGACCACCCTCATGCCCTTTCGATGGCATTCAATGGCGGCTGTCAGTCCAGCGATTCCGAGGCCAACGATGATCACCGTTTGACCAGGAGACAGTGGTTGGGCCTCGATCTGATGTTTAGTCATTGTTGACAGCTTCGTGATGAATCACAAGGTTTCAAAAGTGGAAGACCTGCGCAATATGGTTGGAGATGGCCCTGGAACTATTCGATGGAAATAAAAATCTTCCTGCTCACGAAGTGCGACATCGCCAAGCTCATCCGCTTTTCTCTACATTCCTACGGCTGCCCAATGTATCAGCTGGCTCTCTGCTGGGCGATGCATAGAGAAGTTTTGGTGGAACGAGGAAAAAGAGACATAAATACAAACAAAAACAAGAAGTGAACCCCTTACGCAGCATGCGCACTACTCCATAGTGGAAATGCAAAGGCAGCTGAACACTACATACCGTGGGAAATGCGTCTCCAATGGCGAACCCCTTGCTTTGGAAGTTTGCGCACTTAGAGTTACCCCTCCTGCGAGGAATGCTGGCGCAGCCTGTATCGAGCAGGACTTTCAGCCCCAGCCTTGACGATGGCGTGTTTTGCTCAAGGGGGTGTTGCATTGTAGACTGCATTATTGATACCCACTCTCCATTCGCTTGGATGCCTTTTAATGTCACAATAACGAGGGCAAGACAAGCATACCTTAGTGGCCTCTGGCAGCGTCAACCAGAGCCAAGTTATCTTGCGATATGACTTTCGAGAAAATTATCACGGTATATGGCGCGACAGGCTCCCAGGGCGGGCCGGTTGTTCGGTCTCTGCTGAAGAATCGTGTCTTCAAAGTCAGAGCCATCACTCGAAACCCCGAGTCGCTAGCGGCCCAAGATCTTCGCGCGCTCGGAGCTGAGATCGTGGAAGGCGACGGATGGAAGAAGGAGCAGATGATGGCCGCATTTATGGGATCATGGGGGGCCTTTGTTAACACGAACTCGGACGACCCGGTATGAGAAGCCCTGGACGTGTTGATTCGGATGCACAGAAAGCTGACGCATTGTCTAGTGCTTGGCCGGCGACGGCTGTCCCACCGAGTTTGACTTGGGAAAGACAATCATTGATGGCATCATTGCGACTGGCACCGTCAAGCACCTAGTCTACTCCTCGTTTGTGGACACGTCGGATTTCACCAAGGGCCAGGTAATTGTCAGACCGGCGGAAAGTATGTTAACCCGCTATGTAAAGATTTACCGCGCGCATGAGAAAGATATGTAACTGTATCGCAGTGAAAGCCAAAATTCAACGATATGCGGAAGACTCCGGATATTTCGAGACAGTCTGTCCTTTATATCAGGGATGGTACATGGATATCTTTAGTCGTCGGGATTACGCTCAAGCCCTGGGAGGATTTCCTTTCTTCCAGGACGACCAAGGGTTCCGCACTCTTCGCTCGGCGAAATGGGGATCCAATGCTGACATGCCTGTTCCATGGATCTCCTTGAAGGATGATTACGGTGACATCGTGCATGGCATCTTTCTGGAGCCGGAGAGTTGGAACGGCCGAATCGTTCCGACGGTGAGTGACATTAGCACATACCCAGGGGTGACCGAAACTTTTCAGTCAGGTAGGCCCATGACCCCACAATGACCGCCCCCCGACGCGAGCTAATGAATGTAATACTGCAGTCACGGGCCAGAGGGCAAGGTATGTACATGCCAACGACTGGAGAGCCCTCTTCGGCGATTCGCGGCAAGGCGAAGAGAATCGCAGTATCTTTGAGTTTGGGCGCTTCACGAATGGCAAATATTTTGGGGATCACCCGATTTCCACGGACAAGTCAGCATATCTCAAGGCAAGAGCAGTCGAGGCTCAAGGGGGAGACCCCAGGGAGGAGAAATTGATAACACTGAGCCAGTGGTTTGCGAAGAATCATGCCTCGGAAATTCGTGGAAATGAGGCATAAACGACAAGCATGGGACGGACCGGAAGCTTTGGCTGTAAGCCTTATCGAGCGTCATATCCTAGAAAAAAGACCTTGGTGGGAATCAGCAAGATGTATGAAGTACTGTACCTATCATCTCGGGACATAGCCTATTGGTTATCCCTCCCAGGACCACAGAGTGCCTACCGAGTGGAGGGCCTGCATCAGAGAGACCCCTGCGTCAACCCCTACCTCTTTGTTCTCGAGTTATAATTATCCTAGCTGCATTCCAGTGCAACCCAACTCCGCCACCCTTGAACCCCTCACCGAGAAAGCACTGGTGGTGTGCTGGCTGATTCCAAGTTAACTCTACGGAGTAGACATAAGAGCGAGCGACTGGGAATAGAACCAGCCCCCTCCCATTTCTTCTCCACAGCACAATCCACTAAAATCAACTGTATTTCCATAAAATGACCATTGATCTCACGCTCCATGAACGTGGTCTCGTGGCCGAGACTCCTCCTCTGGCACACCTGTCCGACGATGCCATTATTAGCAAGTTGCAGAAACCCGCTCCCGTGACGTCAGAGCGAAATTTGTGGGCGTTTTGGGATGGTGGTTTCGATGCCATGCCTGGATGGAAGCAGCGGAACGTGCTGAATTGGGTGCGACGCTGCGGACACGATTGGGATGTGCGCCTGCTCGATATTGTGGCCGGATCGAGTACCAACATTCAGCATTTCGTACCGCTCGAGTCCTTGCCAGCTGCTGTCTGGGATGGCCAGATGGAGGGCGAGCACGCAGGTCAGCATACGTCGGAACTGGTGCGATTGGCGCTCCTCTACCACCACGGCGGCGTGTTTTTGGACGTATCGATTTTGATGTTGCGTGACCCCGACGCCCTCTGCTGGGCGTCGCTGGCCGATGAGCGCTCTCCGCACCGCGTTAGTGCCTGGTACCATATCAACATGGGTCAAGTGGTGCATAGCTCGCTAGCGGCACGGCGGCACGATCCGTTTATTTATCGCTGTGAGCCCAAATCCCTTGGTTGACCTTTAATCGTTCCATTTTCCAAGCTTGCGACTGACAGTAAGCCATGTGCAGGGATGCAGGTGTTCCTGAAAATGTGGAGTGGACGCCGCCATGCAGATGGACTCCACAACCATCCTCTCGTGCGCCATCTGGAACTCTTCCAAATCAAGGTGTTTAACATCCCGGCCGACAAGAATTGGGCCGGCTATAACGACTATACAGCTATCCTGCTAGCATTCCAGCGAGTGGCGCGCAACTGCGAGCCAGATGGTGCATTCGATGGTCCAGCGTATGTAAAGGAGCACTTCCATCTGCTATCGGTATCGGATGAAATGGAGACCGGTTTCTTTGTGCCTGCGGAACGGCTGCCTACCCTCCTCACGCTGTCGGTCCAAGCCCACGACGAGGGGGACGATGGCGCCGATGCGAAGCGATATGTCTACAAAACGCTGGCTCACAGTTCGGTCGCCAACTACCACCAGGGAATCAGGTACCTTGGTTATGCCAATCCCGTGGCAACACAGTGGAACAGTGCTGGGAATGATTGTCGACCCGGATCGTGGGGGGAACGACTGCGGTACGGAAGCGTGCATTATCGACAAACACGAAAGGTTGAGCCTGCTCATATGAAAGAGATGGAACCAACATCCATGGGGATGCTGGAGGCCGTTGGTTAAAATCTTGATATTTCTATATGATACGGCTAGCCAAGTATGACGGGGAAAGGTAGACTGAAACGTTCCCAGAAAGCTTCCTCTCGAACCAAATGGGGAGCCCGAACTCTCACAGCGCCAATGGACCGGAAAGAATTCGTCATGCTGTCAGGCTGTAGAAAGTAGAAAGCCAAGGGGTAACATTGCGGCTACTACCGACGCCACAAAAATTTCCCCCTCAACTCCGGCTGGACAGCGTCCTTTCGCTGTGAGCATAGTCCAGGAGACAGTTCGACTTCATGTTCCATAGGCTTCGATTACCGGTAGAAAGGGCGAGAAAAGTTTTTGGGCCATCGAGCTGAGCGTCACTGCCCGATTTCAAGGCTGTAACCGCAAGGAATTGAAACCGCATAGAGAGCGTGACGCAAGGGAATTTTTCGCCATGCTCAAATAGCACATACTTGAAGTTAATCGTGGCCCATAGACCTGAGCACTTGCCGCCAATGTTGATTGAATATCGGTCATCTGAGATTCACCAACCATTTGATTGCTTCTGTAGAATCGATATGTGGGCACATTCCTTTTCTGATTACATGACTGAACTAGACGCATGCTTTTCATGGTATGCTAGGCATTTAATAGTGAGCTGAAAGGCTCATTTTCGGGATACAACTTTGACGGTCAAGTTCACCCCTTGCTTTTGGTTAGAGTGGTGAATGAAGGGGAATGCTCACCCGTGGTGCTGACGGGGGATTCCGAAGAATGTATCTGGCATGGCATGTGTCCACGGCTAGACCAACGCCTAGGCAAGGAGAAGAGCGCCGTGAGGGTTTTCAATCTTGGAACCTTGAAGATGACTGTGTTGCTGAGTCTTGATTCGCTGCATGAGACAGCAGCCCAGAGGGGAAACATTGAGTGAGGCGTGTCTCTCTTCATTTAATTGGGGACCCAGCAACCTCACGAGTACATTGCGATTTTCTATAACTGAAGAGAAGCCTTTAAATAACATGAGGTAAGCGCAAGCCCAATTTCGGCTAAAACAAACTTGTTTGCTGATAGCAGAGAAGGGATAAGTCCTTACCAATTCCTGATTAGAGATGAAGGGTATTTGACAACGTACCGCGAAAGAGAGACAAAGAGACAAAATGGTTTCTTCAAAGAACAACGGGTTGCGTGAGACGGCAGGGATACCTCGTCTGAAATTGGCAGTCAGAACTCGGCGTCAATCGTTGACGACACGTGCGGTGTCTCTGCCGCCTTTTCACCCCAAGGAAACATCGTTCGGGTGCACTAACGCGCATCCTCCCCTGATAGCCCAGGTTCCCAAGACGTGGGATGTATGTGTGCATGATGTGATCCGTGAGAGATGTCAGGAAACGCCGGGATCGCCCGCAGTGATTGCGTGGGACGGGGCCTTTACGTACGGGGAACTTGACGAGCTGTCAGATCGCATTGCGTCGGCCTTGATGCAGGCAGGTGTGACACCCGAGAATTTCGTCCCAATCTGCATGGACAAATCGCGATGGACGACGGTGGCTGTCTTGGGGGTAATAAAGAGCGGCGCCGCCTTCGCGCTGCTCGATCCCTCCTATCCCCTGGCTCGACTTCAAACCATCTGCCAGGATCTGGCAAGCGACATCATCCTCTCCTGTGCAGCTCGACGCGAGGTCTGCATGCACCTGGCAAATGTCATTGTCGTGGAACACCTGAGCCAAGCGTGGTATCCCAATCTCCAGACCTACCGGCCATCACTCACGGTCCAACCGGGAAATGCTCTCTACGTCGCCTTCACGTCCGGATCAACCGGGAAGCCAAAGGGAGTCGTAATCGAACATAAGGCGTACAGCTCAGGGGCTAAGGCACATATCCAGCAATTTGGAATTGATCAGAACTCCCGGGTATTGCAGTTCGCATCCTATGCTTTCGACGTCAGTGTCATGGAGACGTTAAGTACACTGATGGCAGGGGCCTGCCTCTGCGTGTTGGGGGACTGCCAACGAACGGATACCACTTTGTTCACCGACACCCTGAAGCGGCTCCAAGCCACTCACGCCCTTCTGACGCCGTCCTTTGCGCGAGCTGTGTCGTGGGATGGAGTCGGCCGCCACTTCACCACGTTGATCCTCGGCGGGGAAGAAATGCGGGCCTCCGATGCTGTTACTTATGCCCGGCTGGGAATCCGGTTAATGAACGCGTACGGCCCAGCAGAGTGTGCTGTCAACGCCACGGTACAGGTCGGCGTACAGCCAGGGGACAAGCTCAGTTGCATCGGCCACCCTACTGGTGCGGTAGCTTGGGTGACCGACCCTGACAATCCAGAGCGGCTGATGCCCCCGGGCAGCATGGGAGAACTGCTGTTGGAAGGGCCCATTGTTGGCCGTGGCTACCTCAATAACCCAGAAGCCACGAAGCGGGCATTTATCGACCCACCGGAATGGCTGCGAGCGGCTCGGACGTTGCCCGCCGAGGATAGTTCGCACAAACTGTATCGCACAGGGGACCTGGTGGTGCAGGAGCGCGACGGGGCGCTTAGTCTCCTCGGGCGCAAGGAAGGTCAAGTGAAGATTCGCGGACAGCGCGTGGAGTTGAGCGAGATTGAACAACACATCTATCAGCTCCTTCCCCGGCCAACGGAGGTGGTGGTTGAGAAAGTGACCACTTTATCCGACCAACGCGACAGTCTGGTCGCTTTCGTCCTGCAGAGAGGAAAGACGGACGAAACAACCGGCAAATCAAGCCCGTTGTTCTTGGCCCCTCAGCCTGCTGTACTCCAGGTATTCGGCGCTGCTCAGAGCCAGCTTCAGGAGCGACTCCCCAGTTACATGAACCCCTCCGTCTTCATTCCCCTCGCCCGAGTCCCTGTGACCCCGTCAGGAAAGGTCGACCGGGCCATTCTGCGCGCATCAGCAGCCCTCTTGTCGCGACAGGAGCTGCAAGCGTTCGCAGGGTTATCCATCGACCATGACGATCGTTCTGCCATCACCACGGCAGAATCCACGTTGCAGCGACTATATGCAGAAGTGCTCGGGCTTCCTATCACCACCATTGGCATGAACGATTCTTTCGTCCGCCTCGGGGGCGATTCCATCCTCGCCATTCGTCTGGTGGGAGCTGCCCGCCAAGCGGGGCTTATATTTACCGTTCGAGACGTACTCGGAACCAGGCGCCTGGAGGAGCATGCGCGAACAGCCGTTTTTGTATCCGAAAGGTCGTCCTTCGGAGCTAAAAGCGCGGAATATGACTACGTTCCTTTTTCGTTATTGGGGTCCAAGGGGGAGCAGACGCGTGCCGAACTGGTGCGTCTAGCAGCGGAACAATGTAGCGTTGCCACAGAGGATATCGAGGACCTTTACCCATGTACGCCACTGCAGGAAGGCATGGTGGCTATGTCGATGCGCCAGCCACACATGTACGTTGGCCGAATCGTTTTTCGTATCCCGGAAGATGTCGACCATACCCGAATTCAGGGCGCATGGCAGGCCACGGTGAATGCCAACGCCATACTCCGTACGCGCATTGTCCAAGGTTCTCAGGGGCTGTGGCAGGCCGTTGTGGCGCGAGGTCAGGGGTTGACTTGGGAAACCACAGCGGACTCTCCTGCATGGACAACCGAGCCGACCTCACTGGCCACGAGCTATCTGGGTGTGCCCCTCGTACGATGCACTCTTGGAAAAAGGGAGTTCGCCCTCGTTATCCACCACGCGGTGTGGGACGCCTGGTCGATGCGACTGATCCACGATGAATTCGAGCGGGCCTTCCAGGGGGAACTCCTGCGAGAAAGGCCCTTCTATCCATTCATCCAGTATCTACAGGGAATAGAAGGCATGGATGAGTTCTGGCGCAACGAACTGGCCGACTGCGAGGCACCCGCTTTCCCAGCGCTGCCCTCAGTGCACCATCAACCAACCCCAACAGCGACGTTCCAGTACCGCATTGAAAACATCGAGCGGACGTCTCGCAGTCAAACCATGGCCAATTACTTGCAGTTAGCCTGGGCATTTCTCATAGCGCACTATACCGACTCCACGGAGGCTGTTTACGGTGTGACTGTCAGCGGCCGCAACGGGCCCCTCGTGGGCATTGACGAGCTGGCAGGCCCAACTATAGCCACAGTGCCGATGCGCGTAAGCGTGCAGCCGTCGGACTGCATAACGGCGACATTAGAGCAAATCCAAGCCCGCGGAGTGCGCATGATCCCGTACGAGCAGGCCGGGTTGCAGCGCATCGCACGCACAAGCGCCGACGCGGCCAATGCATGCCGCTTTCAGAGCCATCTCAACATTCAAGTCGTCGACGATCACGCCGATAGGCGCTTTTCTGTGGTGCAGGGAACCGTAGTGAGTGGGATGGATCTGTCTAGGTTTTCCAGCTACGTCCTGAACCTCCTTGTGGAGCTGAGCCCTGATAATGGCACGGTCACGGTAAATACAACGTATGATCCGAAGATTCTAAGGGCCGCGGAGGTCGAGCGCATGATCCATCAATGGGAGCATCTTCTGCGCCAGATCTGTCGATCCCCAACGGGAACCATTCAAGAGCTTGACCTCGTTGGCCCCCGGGACTGGGACCAGATACAGGCCTGGAATGCTGTCGTGCCATCCGCGGACCGCCGCTGCCTGCACCATCTTGTACGGGCACAGGAGATGCGGCATCCAGAGCGTCTAGCTGTGTTCGCCTGGGATGGCCAGCTCACATACCAGCAGCTAGCAGTCCTGTCATCCAGACTCGCCCGGCGACTCCGTCTATTGGCAGTTGGTCGCGGGTCTTTCGTGCCCATTTGCCTGGACAGGAGCCGCTGGTCCATCGTCGCCATCCTCGGGGTGCTCCAGGCCGGCGCTACATGTGTCCTCTTAGATCCTCAGCACCCACGACAACGCATGCGGGACATTGTCGCCGGTTTGGATGCCCATCTTTTCATCAACGCACCCACGACAGCCACCGTGACCAAGGGACTCGGTGCAATCGAGCTCCAGCTGTCGTCGAGACTCACTGAACAGTTGTGGGGAAACTCCGTGGAGGAATCCTCAAACCAAATGTACAACAACAACCCGAATGTAGATCCGGAAGACCTGGCTTTCGTGATCTTCACATCTGGAAGTACGGGTCAGTCGAAGGGAATTGCCATGCCGCATCGCACAATCAGCACCAGCATCCGTCACCACAGTGCCGGCATGAGAATTGACGACAAGACACGCGCCCTACATTTCTCATCTTATGCATTTGACGTCAGTATTTACGAGATATTCACGACGCTCGCCGCAGGCGGCTGTGTCTGCGTGCCATCAGAGCACGAGCGCACCAACCAGCTGGCCGAGTTCATCCAACGAGCAGCCGTGAATTGGACTTTCTTGACGCCATCAGCCGTACAGGCCCTCCATCCGTCTGAAGTTCCTGGCCTCACCACCCTGGTCCTAGGTGGCGAAGCGGTAACGCAAGAGAACGTCGACACCTGGGCTACCTCTGATCGGTCACTGATCAACGGATATGGGCCCGCCGAAGCGACCATCTGCGCCGTTGGCTCGATCCCGGAACAAGGCTGGAGGCCCGGAGGCATTGGCCACGTCGTTGGAGGAATCGGATGGGTCACCGTGCCCTCAGATCCCAGCCGGCTGGCGGCCGTCGGAGCTATCGGCGAGCTGCTACTGGAAGGGCCATTTCTCGCCCAGGGCTACCTCCACCGGCCCGAGATCACCGCTGCTTCATTCATCGACCCCCCTGAATGGCGCCGGCAGTGGACTCCCAGCCGAGTCGCTGACGCTAGCGAGGCTGCTCAGCCGCACGAGACGCGGCTTTATCGAACGGGGGATCTTGTGCAATACCAGGAAGATGGATCGATTCGATACATCGGGCGCCGAGACACACAAGTCAAGCTTCGCGGTCAGCGCATTGACCTCGGGGGAGTTGAAACGCAGGTCGGGCGGATGTTTCCTGGCGCCGGCGACGTGGCTGCGGAAGCAATTCAGCTCCCCATTCTCTCTAACACTATCTTGTTGGTTGCCTTTGTTCACTGTCGAGAAGGCCACAGCACAGTTGTGGAGGAAGGACCAGTCCCCGTCGATACCATTGCAGGATTTCGAGATGCCGTGGACCAGACGCAGTCCCGCCTTCAGTCCCTGCTTCCATCGTATATGGTGCCCTCCATGTTTGTACCAGTCGGCCGGATGCCGAAAACGGTGACAGGCAAGACAGACCGCCGTCGTCTGCGCCAGGCGGTGCTCTCGCTTTCGGCACTAGATCTCCAGAGTTATCGTGTGATGACCAGCCGCCAGGCGATCATCCCTGTTGCGACTGATGCGGAGCGTCGGCTTCAAGAAATCTGGGCACAGGTACTTCGGATGCCGCGGGAGGAGATCGGATCAAACGACGGCTTCACATTGCACGGAGGAGACTCGGTGACGGCCATGTGGATGGTGGCCCTGGCCCGCCGCGCTCACTTCAACTTTACTATTGCTGACGTCCTTAATAACCAACCTCTGTGTGACCTGGCTAGAAATACCAAACAAGCGCTACCTTCCGCAGTGACGGAGTTGGCGTCGTCATCGGCCGTTGCACCAAGTAACAGGTTGCCGATCCACCAAATCACAGCTGCCCTCGAACAGACCGGACTGTCCTTGATCCCAGCTGAAGATATCGCCGTTCATCCAGCCACGCAGGCTCAGTCCTTCCTCATCCAGCGGTATCCGTGGACCCACTGGCAATTTTCATTCTCCGGGCATGTCGATGCGGACCTCCTAGGTACGGCATGCACGCGCCTTGTGGCTGCCCACAGTATCCTGCGCGCTCTGTTTGTCAAACCAAGTGCTGGGGCTGCGCCGGTTCAGATCATTCCGAAAGCACTCGACACCCCTTTCCACACGGTCACTACTCCAGATAACATTGACCTAGACGACTACTGTCAAACATTGTGTAACGCGGATCAAAAGCTGGATGTTCTTACTACCGTGCCACCCGCTCGATTCATGCTGGTCTCTAACCCCCTGCGCACGGCACAAACTCTTATCCTGCGACTATCTCATTCCCAGTATGACGGGATATGCGTGCCAAAAATCGTGGCTGATCTCGAGGCCCTCTACAATGGGACAGTTCCAATCACCGCGACACGATTCGAGAGGTATCTCGACGAACGGCGTGAGTACGAAGTCTCCGCGGTCGCCCACAAATTCTGGCGCGAGTATCTGGCCGGCTCGAGTCCCTGTTCCGTCTCGATCTTTGCGTCAAGTTCTCTTGATTCCAGTCACAGCTCCTCGTCTCTCGTGTCTGCATCTCAAACACTTGGATACACTGCTCTGCCGCCACAAGTTACTCTAGCGACAGTCGTTAAAGCTGCTGCATGCCTGGTTCTAGCGCGCCACGCCGGTCACACCGACGTCGTGGTGCGGCAGACTGTCAACGGCCGCAGCCTGCCCCTCGCCCAAATTGACGAGATGGTCGGGCCTTGTGTCAGTTTCATCCCATTCCGAGCCACTTTGAAAGCGGACATGACGGTCCAGGACTACTTGGTGCATACGCAAACTCAGCACACGCGCAGCCTCGACTCAGAGAACGTTGAACTCGACACGATCATACGAGAATGCACCAATTGGGGACCACCGACGGTATCTAGACCCGGCTTTATCCTGCAGCATCAGAATATCGACATGGACCTACACCTGACTCTAGCAGGTAACCGCTGCTTCTCTTTTTCTTCATCCGGCCGACTGCGTCCAGGGTCTGAGATCTGGATTTGTTCAACGCCGCGACCAGCCGGGGTGGAGGTGGAGGTTGTCGCCTCTGAGAGGAGTCTGACGGCAGAGACAGCAAGAAACTTGACCCGTGAAGTAGTCGACGTGATGCGTTCTCTGCTTGATGACGGCAAGAGGGTACTGGGAAGTTTTGACGGGTTGAATTGGGGTGTTTAAGAAGTAACTCGCTGGTTCCTAGGCTTTCCTTTGTTTTTCCTTTATAGGTGTGATTTTAGATTGAGGATATTGAAAAGAATCATGTTCTCTTGTTTAAATTTGATAGCAAAGAACGTAACTATAGCGAAAGTAATGATGAAAATTCTCGACTCGTTTGATGCTGAGTTGTTGCAAGAAGGAAAGAAGACGCGAAAGCCACGGGTACCTAAGTCCGCCGCGCGGTCACGTGGCGGGTGCTATCTATAAACACCAGTAGTAGACCGACCATTGCGTAGTAGTTTGATTTCATTCATTGACGCGACGTGAACTAGACTAAAAGGTTGATTTTATGATTATGGGTATTCGCGTTCACGCGAGGGTGGATGTGAAAACACCATACTTGGCTACAAGGTCTGTTATATATCTCTGACTGCTTCGAGCGCGGAGGTATCTTGCCATGAACCGTGGCACTCCAGAAAAACTGACAGAGCATCTAATTATTGCTAGATCTACTGTGCCGGTAATAAACTGGTATGATGATAGGAAAGTATAATAGATCCTAGAACAGATCGTGTACTCAGCCAAATCGAAGAGGATATCCTGTCGAAGTACGAGACCGTTCCTCTAGGGTGCCACATTCGTAGTAGACGCTGTTGAATAATTCACAGATTTCATATACTTCCTAGTAAATCCTCAATTTCACTCTAAAAAAAGCTATGAGGATAGCCAGTTTGCTCTTGCATGCAATGTGTAGCCGAATAACATCAAAGTCTACTTACTCTGTAACAGATACAAAGATTCCGCACGATACAAACTGGACCGTACATGGATTGTCCAACTGTCATTCTAATGACTTAGGTGCAACTGCAGTTCGTTTCCCTAGATAGCCCTAGCCTTTTTACGACCCTATAGAATAGCGACGATCATGACATGGCTGGTTGATGACAAAAGAGCAATCATGCTTACGATTCACCTGCCTCCCAAAGGTAGGTCGACTGAGAATGGAAGTAGATGCTCATGTAGACACCCTTCTTCTCCGTGTAGGAATATGATACCCACGACTGCAGGCGAGAGGTCTGGGAAATGTCTTGCTCGGGGCTGTTGAATACGTTAGCGGGGCTTTCATTCGAAGTTGCAAGGCGCCCAGGGGAAAAAGGCCAAAGGGGGGGCAAAGCCGAATGAATGAATGGACATACTAAAGTTCCTCCACAGTTTTCAAGTATGACCGGAAATGTTCCGACCAGCCCAGGGAGTCCCAGAATCGGGACAGTGCCTCGGCCACGAATCGATCGTTCTCGCCGTGAACGGGGAGATAGAATTTGGGCACAGGGAAACGACCGCCGGGGTGAATTTCGTAGTTCCAAATCATTGGGGACAAGATTTGGCTGGCAGCGGTTTCCTGACTATGATCAAACCCGCCGCTGAAGGCACGGGTACCTTCGCCGATGCGCAACAGGGTCCAGAGCTCTCTCAAATGATCCAATCCGGTCATGATCTCGGGCTCGTCGATAAGGCGTCCGCCCAGGGTGAACATTTCGGCGATCTTGGGCCAGGTCACCTCTGTATGAGCGCCGTAGAGTTTCAGACGTTGCCGCGACATGTCGACACAATCGCAGGAAAGAAAAGTATACTGGTTATAGCCTGTGCTTTCCTGCATGTAATCATGCACAAGAGAGAAGGCGGGGAGGAACTGGTTGCGCTCGGCATCCAGGGCTCGAACTGTGTTGGCGACGAGGTCACCGATGGGCACGCCCATGGCCTGGGCCTTCAGATTCGGAAACACGTAGCCCTTGACCAAGATGGCGCCGTCGGGAAGAAAGTCGAAGCCGAACGCTCCCTGCGACTTCAATGGATTGGCATCCGGGATTTTCAACAGCTCTTGGACTTGATGAACTTCTCTTGGGGACAGGTGGCAGTCACCGAGCAGCCGCTGGAACAATTGTGTGTCGAAGTCCCGTAGAGGGAGCCTCACTAGCTGCCTGAGAAGGTCGCCTACCGGAATTCCGTTGAACGGATCTCGTGATGTGCCGGATAGGAAACTGACAGGCTCGAATCCGATGCGCACCAGTCGGTGGGAACCTTTCTGGAAGTTGAGACTGAACTCAATGGGCAGGCCACTACGTGAGATGGTGCTGCGCCATCTCTGAGGGTAGGGTCCGAGAGCCGGTAGCAGGTGATGGATGAAGAAGGACAGAAACTGATACTGTCGGTGCAGGTCATACTGTCCGGCTTCGAGCATGCGGTTGAACAGTGGGCCCGTATCTTCCCACCAGCGAGCCTGGTCCTCACTGGGGAAGTCGTAGTAAGTAGCTAGAGTCTCTGCGGGAGTTGGTCCTCCATCCTTCTGAATTGACGGGACTTTGGGATGCCCAAGGGAACTATGATGTACGGTGGAGTGGCTCGCGGTGATCGTCATAGTGCAGGTAGCAGTTAATATTGAACGGCAAAAGGAGAACACGTGTAGGACAGTAGTAGCATTCGGAACTCAGATTGCTAGGTGGATTAGTGCATACGGTCCCTATAAACCGTGTCTTGAGGGAGGATGTCAAATCGCCGAGATGACCTCGGGCGCAATCGGTAAAGAGCGGTGACAGGTGATTCATTTCGTTCCCCTCCCCCTTGCGTCGGGATGAGGGGTTACAACCGATGAAGGCTGGCTTTTATGAGTTCTTCCTTGCGTAAGGAGACATTCCGACCTCAGCTGACTCTGAATCCCGTATGCAAGGAGCCAGAACCGCAGGAATGGTGTCTTTATCATCAGCCAACTATAAAAAATTCGTCCTTGCCACATGCAGACCCCGTCCGGTGACTCCGAAGCCCTTAAACCATTGGGAATCAATATGGTAAGATCCAGACCACTGGTAGATTCACGGGTATGCTATCAAAGCTTCGAGTTGTTCGCACTCTTTGCATCATTTATTGTAATCATCTATAGTGGTATTTCGCGGTTGCAGGTTGCAGTTCCTCTGTCCGCAAGTTATCTTTCAGTGGCTCTTTGATCGCGAAGCGGAGAGATAGCGAAAATAACGAGAACCAAAAGTCCGTAGGCTCTGTACCTTGTAGCTATGGCAAGTTAGATATAGTAGTCAAGTCAATACGTTTGCTCATAGGACTACAAACTATTTGGTAATTTCATTGAAGTGTGCGGTTGCATATCAACCAAATGTGTAAGTCCCCACTACTCCTAAAGCTGACGCCTAGTGAACACGATTGGCATTCGTTCAATACCAAGTGAGAAATGATCTTCCGCGTGATCCATGAAGGGCTTTGCATCTACACCGGTGGGAAATCGGATATCAAAGGTTATGATTAATCTGGCAATTGTTGTGCGAATGTTCATTAGGGCGAGCGGCTTGCCGATGCAAGAGTAAGGACCTGGAGAATATTTCAGTAACTGATCGCAAAGCCTCGCCAAAATAGGTGCTAGATATACGGAAAGTGCGTACCTGTCATGAATGGGGCATGGGCTGACCGGTGCTTTATCAGGTCGGGATACTTGTACCAGCGTTCAGGGATGAAGGAAAGTGGTTTTGCATAGGCTGAATCCGCTGGGAGTCCAAAAATATTAGTTGGGGAACAGGGAAGTTGGATAAATGTGTGCTTACATCGCCCGATGACCCACTGGGGGGAAAAGACCGTCATGCCTCCGGGGATATGCATGTCCCCTAATTGTATCCCTTCTGCGGGTGTCTTCCGCGGAATGATGCTGGGAACTGGCGGATGCAGTCGTAGCGTCTCGTTGATGAACCCATTTAGTCGGGGCAACTGGGAGATTCGGTCGTGAAGAAACTCGCCTGCCGAATCGGTTTCAATAGGTAGCAGCTCTGCTCGTAGCTGCTCCACCTCTTCTGGGCGATGGGCCAGCTCATAAACAATGCTGGTCAGAGTTGTCGCGGTTGTGTCACTGTTTCGTGGCGTCACAAATCGAGATTCATGTGGGGGACGAGATATACAGTGCGGAGAACGTACCTTCCTGCCGTCACTACGAGCATAGCATCGCCCATCAACATGTTGAACTCGTCGGTCGTGGGAGTTCGACCTTTCAATGGAGCGAGGAAAGAGGCGCAAATGTCGGGAATGTCGACCTTGTCCTGAACTGCATATCAACAAAGATCCCAAAACGAAGCCCCCGTTGTGAAAACAGAGAAGTACCTACATTCATGCGATGTACGAGGCGCTGCGTGACGAACTCCACGAATCGATGCCAGTCCTTGGAGAGTGAGGGCATAGTGAGCAAAAATCGAAATACCCACGACGGAACGCAATATTTGTAAGGCGTAATGCCGGCAAGCAGAACATCGATGGCCCAATGGCTTCCGCTGGTGTCGAGCATGTCGAAGCTGCGGGCGAAAGCTAGGTCACCCATTACATCATAGCTGTAGAAATTGAACCAGTCGCTGACATTGACTGTCAGACCGGCGGCGGAATTCAGGCGATGAAAAAGTTTCTCGCGATACCCACGGATCCGAGTCTCATAGCCCCTTAGGGCTCGATCGCCAAACCCGGTACTCCAGATGCGACGACGTTGGTCATGGGTCGCCCGGTTTCGATGCGAGTGCAACGAGAGCATCGGGTGTCCGTTATCATAGAAAGAGCTCTTGGAACAACGTGACCGGAAGCCGTAAATGCGATCGACTGCCACTGGATCGGCAATCGAGAGCTCCGACGGGCCAACACGTACCACGGGGCCATATTCTTCGTGCAGCTCATACAGCTTTTGAAAGGCCGGGCGATCCCTGAGGCTTACTGAGAACCATAGCCCAGAGAGTCTAGCTCCGTACGGGCCTGGAAAGCTGCGGAGGGGATGGTAGTATGCGCGGTAGACGACGAGAGAAGTGTATAAACCGATGATATAGGCGAAAGATAAACTCCCTGCAGTCTTCACAGAGTCATACAAAGGAACACTGGCAACTCCTGCAACCACAAAGATAACCACGGACGAAATTATATGCCACTTCACGTATCGCAGAGGATATAGATGATGCTCTCCTCGCCGGAAATAACCTAAATGAGACGCAACGCCAACGATGGCTGCGAGGACATGTGGGAGACCCATGGCGGACAATTCAGCGGCCGCCGCGCCGAGAGCAGAGCGACGGAGGTTTCGTTCGCACCCAAGTCGAAGTGAACAGCGATAGCGAGACAGGATACCAATTCCAGTAGATTTATTGAAAGAGCCAGTTCGGGAGAATCGGACCATACCATTACAAATAGCGAAGAGGTTGACCACGTCAAGTAGTCGGCTACTACCGGCACGCAAGGCAAGGGATGGAATGCAGGTCTTGAAGAATGTTGAAATGAGTGAGATTCAATTTGTTGCCCGTCACACATCTAGACAAAAGCACCACTGGTATTTCCAATGTTTGAACCCTTGCAGATGCAGTCAATATAGTGTCGTGGAGAGAGGAGTGACCCGATCGGTAGGACTCTAACCGCGCATCTCGTTCCCCTCTAATGTCCTGCAACCTATCCATTACTTATCCACTGAGCCCCTCCCATAACTAAAACGAGAAAGTCTAAGAGAGCTTCTACGTGGTAAAATGGCCACCGTCGTTGTGTCAGAGCTACCCTCGGGGCTTGCGGCGACGGGCTGCGTTCTCGGGCTCCTTCTCGCTGGAGTCTTCTTCGTCATTGCAGCTCCCAAGTCGGAAGACCCTCAAGTGGTCAATAAATACCGGTGGGACTTTTTCGAGGCTAAAGCCAGACGGGAGTTCGATATAAGGGCCGAGGAATTGATCAATATCGGAGTCGCCAAAGTGAGTGGCGCAACGAAATGTTGGGGTGTCCATGAAGCGAGACTAATACCCATAGGCAACTTCGACCTTTCATATGGTCACTGGCTTCGGACTTCGATTGATTCTGTTAGATAAATTGGCCGATGCAGCGGGCATAGATGACCGGCTGGACCAAGACAAGGGAATCGCATCGGTATGTATTGTCTTTTTTTCTCAATCGGAGGATGCATACCAAGGAAGCGATCGGGCGTATCTGACTCCGGAGGATTTTCAAGGTCAACCTCGTTCACTTGAAAGGACTCGAGACCAAGTTCGCCGGTGAACTGCACGACTCGGTGCCACGTCCGGCGGCGAGTGCCACATCCAAACGACTGGGTAGGGAAGCAACCGTTGCGATCGACTTTGTTAAGACGTACAGGCTGATCTTGGATTCTTGGACTTCCAGTGCATTTGACGCGACCTTTCTCGGATGAGACAGAGAATTACCTGGAAAAGGTATGGACCGACTCGACAGGTAACGCTTTGGATCCAGTTGGTGTTTCCTGTACATTTCTTGCTGACGGTGAACACATAGACTGGCATGAGCTGTTGCTATATCCCACGGTAGGCCAGATGACGGCCCAAATAACAGGACGAGCGTTTGTCGGACTCAATCTTTGTCGCGATCCCCGTTGGCTCGAGATAATCGCGACTTATTCCGTCGTACGGTATTCAGCCGTCGTGGCCGTCCAGCAATTTGCCACTTGCCTTCACCCCCTCGTCCACCGAATCCTTCCGGCTTGTCGCAAGCTTCGGGATCAAGTTCGGCAGGCCCGAGAGCTCATTCAGCCGGAACTCGACCGTATCAAGAACAAGAAGGTGGTAGATGAGGAGTTCACCAGCCTGGCATGGATTCATGAGTTCGCCCAGGGTTCCATCTACGATGCCGGTCTCGCGCAGCTGCGGCTTGCAGCCGTGGCCAACCACACCACCACCGATATGATGTGCAAGATCATGATCCGCCTCTGCCAGCATCCGGAGCTGATCCAGCCGCTTCGAGAGGAGGCCATTTGGGCCGTACGAGATGGTGGCCTGCGCGTTGCCGCTCTGCAGAAGATGTTTTTGATGGAAAGCTTCATGCAAGAAAGTCAGCGTCTGGAACCATTTATGCTCTGTAAGACCATCACCACTCCATCAAGGTTTGGATCTTTATTAAATCACATGCTTATTCCTTCTGTCCCGATCTAGTATCCATGTTTCGCTACGCCACGGAGACGGTCGAGCTTCCGGACGGCACTACGATCCCCCAAGGAACCCTCACGGCCGTCGCAAACCCCAGCCGACTAGATCCAACAATCTTCCCCGACCCCGAGAGGTTTGACGCCTATCGGTTTGTCAAAATGCGCCAGGACCCCGAGCGTGCCCATCTGGCTCCGTTCACGAAGACCAGCTACACCCAATTGAATTTTGGCCATGGAAAACAGGCGTGTCCGGGTCGATTTATTGCTGTGAATGAGATTAAGATTGTATTGTGCCACATTCTACTAAAATATGATATAGAAATTGTCGAAGAAGGCCCCTCGGAGCTGGTACGCGTCGGCCTTTTGACGGTGTGTAATCCTGGCACGAAAATTCGAGTGAGGAGAAGAGAGGAGGAAGTTGCCCTATGAGAGCGCTGACTACCACTCTTGATAATTGTTGAATAACATGAATACTGATGAAATAACGTGATAATATTTACGTGCAAGTAATTTCAATAGCAAAGAGTAGTTCAGTATATTATTCAATGCGTTTTCTTACTTTTCTAGTCATATTTACGGAGATGACATTATAATAGCTCATGATCTAAGCACCTGAAAATTAAATGTCAAATATTTTCAGTATTTGTGCAAATATTGCACGATCTCCTTTAGCTGCACATACGGAGTAGAAACCAATTATCTAGTCAGCTGCCAAGGTATGTGAACTCCGAGAGCAACTACAGGCAACGATTCCGTTAAGGGATAATATCTCGTTCAAGGGCCGAATCCCTATCCTTGACTTACGGAGTAGTTACATCGACCAAAATAAGACGCAAATTCTTAGGCACAGGAAAGGGTTCATACATCCCTCTCTGGACAAGCAACCGTGTCAAGACCCCTTGCACGCCTAGATCAGGGAATGGCAATGCAAGTGTCACTAGTCTCATGCGATGCATCTTCACTATCCCTTGAATCGGCCTGGAACACGGCCGAAACTTGGGCAGCAGGGGGTATTCATCCAGCACTCCTTGTTTCCCCCCCTCTATCTCCACCGTCTTACGATGTCTCACTTGTAGCGTATGTGTCATGAGTGAAGGTCACGGCGCGGAGAGGTTACATGCCGTCTTCCGGGCCTGTTGCATTCAGTGTAACTGCTCCCCAGCCCCTCACATATGCACAGAAACACATTGAGACTGTTGATCTCGGCGCCAGCTGTGCAGTAAAATACTCAACTGACTTTTGCATGACTGGGTGCTCCACAGTAGGTACCGGCGGTGGGACAGACAGGTAACATTCCAGTATGTGGCGCTCAAGCCTCCGCACCCACCTACCCCAACTATAGATTCCCGTACCATGCGGAATACAGGACCTTCAATCCGCAAGGTATGCGGAAGAACAGTCTTGAATGTGGACATTTTTGCGGTCGGCATGAGTGCATACATGCAAGATTTGGCCGGCTACGGCAGTCTCCTATCGTCTTTCTCATCCGACATGTACCGCGATCGGCGTAACGCAGTAGGCTAAAGAGCAGGTAATTCTCACTTCGCTGGGGTTCTAAACGAAAGTCGATAACATCAAGCCCAGCCTCCTCGATCTCGTAGTCAACAATAGCCACCAGACAACCGGCCATATTTGTTCAACATTAAACCGGTCGATTAAACTGAAAATGACTGTAGGCAAAGCTAGAGCCCAACAATCTCATTCCTCCGGTATCACCGTCCTCGTCGTAGGTCTGGGACCGGCGGGGCTGGCTACGGCGATTGAATGTCATCGCAGAGGCCATAAGGTGATCTGTCTGGAGAGAAAGCCTGAGAGCTATCATCTAGGTGAGTAGGCAATCTTTAGTCAACCGATGAAGCCAGAAAAACGCTAACAAGGACCTCGGATTTAGGAGACTTGATCAGTTTGACGGGAAATGCCGTGCGAGTACTCGAGAACTGGGGCGATGGCGCCGTGATTCGAGCCATGCGACACTTCCAATGCAATTTGAACACGCTGCAAGTCTACGACGAGACGGGCTCCCTAAAGCTCCGGAAGCCTCACAATGCCACAGACGCACAGGAGGACGGATACATGCTGAGGCGGTCCCGACTCCTAGAGATTTTCCTGGATCAATTGAAGAGCCTGGGAATCGAGGTCCGGACCGGCGTCCAAGTAACCGATTACTGGGAGACTGATCGCAATGCTGGGGTCAGTCTTGGAGACGAGGTGATCACGGCGGACTGTGTGATTGCGGCCGACGGCGTTCATAGCAAAGGCAGAGCGCAGATATCTGGCGAAGAGTTTACCCTCGAGGCTACGGACGGCGCTGCATATCGGGCCTTTTTCCCTGCAAACACAATCGCGCAGGATCCGGAAGCCTCCTGGATTATTAAAGATGCCGGCGACAAGGACTGCTTCCACACCTTCTACGGAAGAGACATCGTCATCATGGTGGGAACCGCGGAGAACCATGAATATATTTTTTGGAGCTGCGGACACAAGGAAAACGCCGAGTTCGAAAAATCTGCCTCAGTGGAACCGGTCCTCGAGTTCATCAAAGATTGGCCTGTCGCAGAAAAGCTTTCTCCTCTGATCTCCAAAACCCCAGACGCAAACTGGATGAATCAAGCTTTGTTCACTCGACCGCCGTTGAAGAAATGGGTATCCGACAAGGGGAGAATGATCGTGGTGGGCGATGCAGCCCATCCGTTTCTCCCGCACGCCGGCCAGGGCGCAAACCAGGGCATCGAGGACGCAGCGGTCGTAGCTTCGTGCTTGGGGATTGCCGGCAAGAACGACGTACCGCTGGCCCTGCGAGTGACCGAGAAACTACGGTTCGTACTCTCTGCTTGATCCTATTGAATAACGTTCACTGACGCTGACTATGATATGATGTCAGGTACCACCGGACTGCTGCCATCCAAAAACGCGGCGTCCAGGCAAGAGATCGGTCCTTAAATGTTGACTGGAATAAGGGAGGCTTTACCAAGACGCTTGAACTACGCCCAGCCTGGTTGCATGACCACGATTGTGTGAAACAAGTCTACGAGGAATTCTCCAGTGCCGCCGATGCTGTCCGGAAGGACACTGACTATAAACCAGCATCGGGTATCCCAAGCGACTAGAAATTGCTTCGTCCAGGTTAGATTGCTAGTCTCCAGAAAGTTCAAAGTACAGGATAATTCTCCCACGTATACTCAGTACCACATGATTTACAAAGTTCCGATATACTGGTTAACCGATGCAATCCCCTCGTAAGTCGCCACGGCACCGTTGCCCTGCGGTGGTGGCGCGGTGCTCGTCCAGTTAGACACCATCAGATACAGCCCGTCGGACTGCGTGGTCGACCAAGGATGGATGAAGCCTCCGTATAGCAACGACCCGTCCCCCAACTGTTCCACCTGCACCTTCTCCTCGGACCACGGGCCCGTCGGTCTTTTGGCAGTGCGGGAGACGATCCAAGGGTTCGTATTTGGCGCATTCAGATAGACCATGGCCCAAGTGCCGTCCTCCAGCTTGCGCACCGACGGTTCTCCAAAGGTGCCTTCGAGGATGGGCGAGCAGGAATTTCCCCAGTCCCACCTGTCGTCGTTTAGCCCCCAACATTCGTACTCGTCCTTATCCTTGATCAAGTCCCAGCGGACGCGCTGCAACAGCATCGGGCCGAACTGGACGGGGGAGCGGGTAGAGAAGACGTACACCCACTGGTCATCGCGCTGCATGGTCCACATCTGGAAGGGATCGGTGTTGTCTTCGTTGTTCCACCACTTGGCATTCTCCAGACGCTCAAAAGTGTTACCGTCTGTGGAGACTGCCAGGCCGGAATAGTTGGGGGTCCAGGGGGCGGTCCAGTTCATGATACTCATGTACGAGATAAAATGTTCGCCAGTCTCGGGGAAGCTGATTCCATCGTTTGGAAGCACTGAGTATTCCCAGATTCCCGAGTTGGTGCCGTCGTCGCCGCGATTGCCATTATGCGTGATTTGCTGCGCGAGCCCATCTTCGTCTGCGTCGACTCCGGCGGCGCCCTGGAACTCCAGGCCGTCCTCTTCGCCTGGATGCACACGCGATCGCAGCATTACCGGGCACCGCCAGTCTTTCGCATCCTCCACTCGCTTCGAGCTTAGCGTGTCGCCGAAGAGGAAGCCAATTTCGCCGTCGTCCTGCACGTACGGGATGCCCAGGTCCGTCGCGGTGACGCCCCAGCGGCGGCCACTGTCGCAGTCTTCACAGGTCAGTCGTTTCCTGAAGACGGCGTGGGTACTTTGGACAGAAGCGAGGGAGCACAGCAGAATGCCGGCCAGGAGGTGTGCGTGGAGCATTCTTGGTTGGCTCGTTTTTGGTCTCGCGCTGTCAAACAGATGCCGCGTGTACAGTGCACTACTAGACAGCGACGCAAATGACAAGATTTTCTGCAAATCATTCCGGATAGCTAGGTACCGCACTGCGTCTTTTCTATTAAAACGGAATCCGCATGTAGTGAAAATGTCCGCATCATGGTTATTGAGATACCACGTAGGAACCCGAATAAGTCGGCGCCCAGCTGTGCAGGGCATACCCACACGGCCGGATTCGGAATGAGTTGAAGCCCGGGGAGTGCCACCGCAACATCGGGGCGTATACGGGGCGTGGCGTAGTCCGCGGATATTTCCGCATCCGGCCGACATTGAGATATATGAACGTGTGGCTTGCAGATTGTCGGCGATTGATCAACCTGCGAGTCAAGGGGAAAAAGCCTTTGGATATGTTCGGACTGGCTACCTTGGCGTAAGTCAACAATAATTTACAGCTTGACTAGGCTAGCATGACCTCGCAGACTGGGGTTCGCAAATTGAACAAGATATCGACAAGTGGTTTGATTGGTGGCATTTCCTTTTTACGAAGGATTGCCAAAATGCAGTCCCAACTACAGCAGAAAGGGAAAGGTGAAAGAGGAAGAGATTTTCTCTGCGCAGCGAGGCGAGTGGATAGGGCGAGAGAGTTTTAAGGCTTTACATTGATACCAGCAGATACTCTGGGCTTTCCACTGCATACAATATCAGACACGTCAACCACTTCCTACATCCAGAGAGCACAAGAGAGAGAGTGTGTGTATTCATACGCTGACCCCTCGCCATAGGCGATATGCAGGGTACCACTATCCCTACTCTCTATGTACATCCCTTCGATCTAGACTATTGCTTTCCTGACGAATTTGGAGCCTCGTCAAGGCCTGTGTTGGCCGGTGCCTGGGGTTGTGTTTTGCGGCCCTCGTGGCACGCAGCTTCGGAATCTCTGTGACGCGAGAGCACAAGAGCGTCCCGTAACTGGTGTCACCACCTACACTCTTCGATTGTTTCTCGAACCCTAATTGCCAAGACACATTAGTCTATATTTGGGATAGACCCGGTATAACAATGTTCCTGTATCAGTATCATACTCAAATGTCAACCGTATGTGACTACGAGACCTTCCTATTCCGGACATCGGTATTGGTAACTACCGATCCCCGAGAATTATGCAGATTTTTCTGATATTTCCACGGTTCAAAAGTTATGTCTCTTCTAGCTGCCTTTTTAGGCTAGATTGCTTATCATTCTTCATGTATTTAAACCACCGTTTGCAGCTAGATTGAAAGAATCAGACCTTCATCATTCGATATTCCTAAGGGTACATTACTAGCAATTACGCCTAGAGAGACGGCCCACAAATGGGAGGAGGGGGCACAAAGGTAGCATATGTATGGTGGTTTCGTGTAACTTACAGTACTTGACGTTTTAGGCTCGTATTATTAAGAGGCAAATTCCGACCACCGGCAGAATTAAATGTTCTAATTCATCCTTGTCGTTAATTCTTTTACCAGGAGACTGGCTATTGAAACTTGGTGGCATGCGAGGTTGCTGGGCACCAATATTAGACTGAATTGTGAACCAAGCATTCTGCAACGAGTGGTCTGGTCCAAAATATGTTCAGTGGGTTGACGGTACTGAGTTGCGCAGGACTTTCGTGCGTGATTGCTTGAAACCTTCATGCGCCGTAGAAGATAGGGGTCTACATCGCCCGGTAAACCAATATTATGTGAACAGGATGTGTCGCTCAAAGTTCGTGACTGGGGTTGTGGTAAAATATCGAACTTCTGGATATAATCCTGTTTATGCGAGGGTGGCGATGTAGCTCCGGTCCTTATTCCTCTAAGGGATGGCGATTGATCTGATGACACATTCGGAGATGGCTCAGTTTCCATGAGTTGATACAGACTTGAGTCACACTGGGGCAGACCATGTCCGGATCTTCTTACCGTAGATCAGGAAGAACGCCGACAAGCCGTAGATTATCACGACTTCGATGACAGCAATCGTGATAAACATATATTTAATTCCAGTGGCAGCAACCCATACCAGCGAAGCAAAAAGAAATGCGACACTGATGGCGTTGCGAACAAAGGAGATAGCCAGAAAAGAATCTGTAACAATCTAGGTTCAATGCCAGCGCCTGAGACACAAAAGTGAGTCGAAATCAAGATTCCTCGGCGTATGAGTCAGTCAAATAGGTGAAAAGAGAGGCGGAGAATGGGTTTGTTCCTAGTGAGGTTATTCCCGCGCCAACAGCAACAATAGGCCAGCTCAGATGCAGAGAAAGCGCAAATCCAGTGAGAATCATCCCGGTAGGAAGAGCAACGCTGAATATGACCAGCATCCAAAGCCGCATTTCCGGCTCGTAAATTCCGTTGTTTCGCCGAGCCATCCACACTATCATTTTATCGCTAAAGCTGGCAGAGCCCACGGTACCAATGGTGGTCCCGATCAATGGGGCTAGATTCACGAGACCGACTTGTGAAGAGTTGAAATTTTATGGCTCAGCGGGTAGATACGTAGCCAAAATAGTGATGAGAACCATGATAGAAAAGCAGGACGTGGAGTATACGACGCACACAAAGGCCACAGCCGGGATGCGCACGAGTACAACTAGTGGCTGTATGATGTATCGGAGCAGATCGCCAATTGCTGTCGAGTGGTCAACAACGAAACGAAGCCTCTGAATATAGGTTCTTCGTGGGGGAATAATCGCAGCGTCGATCATTTCAGAGTGAGAGATAGAGTCTCGTTTTGTTCAATCACCAAGAGGCAAATCTCCCGATATGTTGCCGTTTTGAGTTCCAGTAAGACTTTTCTTGATTTTGATGGCCTTCATTTCACTTTTGACAGACCCAGCGTCAATCTTTGGCACGAATTTAGTTTCCTCGTAGAGAAAAATGGTCGCAGGAATGACGATGCCGCATTACACGACCCACCACCACCACATCCAGCACCACCTTTGACCGGAAGCTATCAACATTGCCTGTTAGATTGATCTTGTTTGAAAGTTTCTGGGAACCCACGAAGCCAGCGATGACTGGTGCCAGATATGTTCCAATAAATATTGTCCAAACATAGATAGTATTGGCCAACCCACATTCATGCACGAAGAATAAACTAGCGATAGTAATTTGAATAGATGTATCGCAGAGGGCACCGACCGCAGAAAACAGAGAGCTAATTCCCATCCATTCTCGCCCGGTATGAAATTCGGCAGACCAGACACTCAGAACAAGATCCATTGCCAAAGTTACGATTATAAAAGCCCTCAGGCCGAATTTCAATGCAAATGGAATGAGGACGAGACCAAAGATAGCTAAGCCGACTGTCTGCAAGGCGTAAGCGTTGTTGAGTGTCTGGTAGCTAATACCAAGATCCATATTCATTGGTCCCCATGATACGGTGGCTATATCAAGGCTTGGAAGTAGTTTAGCTTTGATATATCTCTTTATAAGGGCGGATCCAGGTGACTTAGTCCTACAATGTGTAGACCATGAGAAGATTCATTAATGCAAGTCCGAAATTTAGGATTTTCTCCCATCGGCTCCAATTATTGTCTTAATTAGCCCAGTGATTGCGACGACTCAGGCTGTTCTTGAGTCGTTCTCTAAGACTTACTCCACCGACCGGCGGAATCTTGGTGAGGGTCTAGTTCCGCCGAACCGTTGGAAGAACGATGTGAGTCGGAACATGCGCCATATTCAGATCCACCGTGGGCCACCAATCGGAAATAGGATACTAGCATGTTTGTGGCCCCTGTACAGCATGTCTCCTCCTGTTGGATAGATGATCAACAATCCAGGTCGAACCTGAGTCACAAATTGCAACGTAGACCCGGGATATTGACGCCGCTAAAAGGAGCTGGAGAGTATAAGAAGGCACTGCTATTCCATTGTCTTGACATAGATTCGGTACATATTCAACCCGTGTTAAGTCTTGAATCTCTTATCACCAACTCGAAGTTTTTGCGGTGCGGGATTCAAGATGATGCTGCCACTCTTGGCCAGATATTGCTCCATGGATCCTATCGTGGTGACTGGAGTCATTGCACTGAGTGTAGTTGCTTTTATCATCTACACGAGCTCAGGCAAGCGGTTTCCTCTGATCAACAGCAAAGAGCGCTTTGAGATTGGCATTGCCCCTGCGAAAAAACGATTCTTCCATCATGCCAGATCACTCATCGTGCAGGGCCTGCAGAAGGTACGCTTCGAAATGTTCACTAGATTGTTTCACACACTAACGGTCATGTTTTCATTATTCAGTCGTCCGTTTTTAACATAGTCACTGATAATGGCCGTAAAACCGTGTTGGCACCAAAATATGCCGACGAGATTCGAAACCATCCGGATTTAAGCTTTTAACATGAGACCGCAATGGGATTTCATTCCCACATCCATGGCTTTGTGCCGTTCAAACAGGGAACGATGCCCGACCGGATCTTTCCGGATGCTATACGTATGAAACTCACGCAGAGCCTGGGTGAGTGTTGGCCAACTAGAGTCGCTAGTCAGGTGGATATATCTGTGCTTACTATACACCAGGCAGTGTGACAAAACCATTGTCCGAGGAGACGACCACTGCATTGAAGTCATATTGGATAGACGGCTCCGGTGAGTCCCCTTTGAGGGGGAAGAGCGCATATGTTTGTCCCACTAACTTGATCTAGAATGGCATACTATCAACACCAAAGATACCATCCTGAAGCTCGTCGCTCAACTTTCTTCGGGAGTCTTTCTGGGCGATAAAGTCTGCCGCGAGCCCGCGACCCTAAGTGGCTTCGAATCACCGTTGTCTATGTTGTTAACTCTTTCATCGCTGCCCAGTCACTGCGAACATGGCCCGGAATCCTTCGGCCCCTCATGGCTCGATTCCTCGCATTTTGTCCAAGATTCACGCCGAGCTACAAAAAGCCCGTGAAATCATAAACCTGGTACTTGTGCAGCGCGCGGCGGAAAAGGAAGCCGCAATTAAACAAGGTACCACACCTCAACGGTGCACGGATGCCATGGAGTGGATGGAACAATGTGCGAAAGGTCGTCCATGCGATGCTATTGCTGGGCAGCTCGCATTCTCCATTCCCTCCATTCACACCGCCTCGGACATGCTCACCCAGGCGCTGTCTGATCTATGCGGGAAGGAAGAGCTGGTGGAAGCGCTGCGTGAAGAGGCCCGCACGGTAATCAAGGAAGAGGGCTGGCAGAAGACCACTCTTTACAAATTTAAGCTTATGGACAGTATGCTGAAAGAGAGTCAGCGACTGAAGCCGACCAGCATGGGTATGGTTCATCCCGATTGCCGCATGATAATGAGATAAGAGATATATATAGTGACAGCGACATGGCTGTGTTGCCTACTCAATCGGGCGTGAAATGCTTGAATTCTCTATGAAAAGGGTGTTATCTCCTGAGCCAAGGACTTCCCGATACGAACTTCCTGATATGGAGGACCCTCCGGTAGTATATAGAGGATAGATCCTCCCTCATAGACAGCCTTTCTTCTCCATGGGAAAATTCCTTGACTACGAGTCATAAACAAACTAGTCTTTTACTAGGCTCCTTTGTAGACCGTCACACTTAACTAGTCTGACTATAGCATACAAAATCCTGTCAGGAAAAGAAAGGAATAAATTTCGCGTCCACCATCCGGTCAAACGTAATGTGATAACCCTTGACGGTATCAATATACTCGTTAAACCCAACAGAGCGAGCCGCATCAAGGGAATATTCCCGATCAAAGTCAAAATCCACAAGCATAAAATGAGCGTGGCCCCAATTTTGAGACTCGATCAAGCCCCTTTTCAGTCCATAAGCCTCAACCAAGCGATTCCACACCGTTAAATTCGCGTGAACAAAATCCTCCATTGTTTTCTGTTTGCCATCCGGTTCAATACCAACTAAGCCAAAGTAGGAGCAGATTCCCGGCCAGACTTGAGCCCAACTAGCTGGCTGACCATCACCACAATTGAAGGTTGACCCGTTGGGGCATTTCTCACGATTGAGGGATGCGTAGATTTCCATTTTGGCAAGGATATCCTGGAAGGTGTCGCTGTGGCGTGTGTGATAGCCGTGCGACTTACCAGGGAAAGGAACTTTGCTACCTTTTCCGTAGACTTCTCGATACAGTGCGAGATAGAATGCAATGCCGAACCCCATATTCATAAAATTAGACCCGGGAGCGAAGCCAACAATCCCATCCGGTCGAATTTCAGAAAAGGTCCATTTTTGACCTTTAGAAAGGCTCAGTAGAAGATCGTACTGGTCGTAGTAGAAAATGTTGCTGCGCCAGGGTTCCGGGATCCGGGGCATGGTCTCGCAAAGAGGAGGCTCGATCTTGACCTGTTTAGGAAACTCCAATCCGTAGCCTTTGCCACCAGTCTGTAGAATAATTACTTCTAGATGAGGTGAAATGGCAGAGATAGCTTCTGTGGCCGTTTTAAGAAGGGCCGTGTTGACGTGACGTAGGGACTGGAAATCGCCTGTCTGGATGTAGGCTAGCGAAGAATCAGCATTTGAAACCCGATACAAAAAGATCTCCCTCTACAAGCACGTACCGCAAAAGAAGACTACATTGACTGACTCAATATCGTTAACCTTGGCTTTGAGATGATCGCTAACCGTCTCCACCGATTGTGTAAGGTCGATACCCGACACAATGCGAAGACGTGCATCATCTGGCAAAAGTGCATCCTCGATTGGAAATGGTCGATTGGACAGACCGGTGACGCGGTTGAAGGTCGTAGGTGTTGGGTAGTGGAGGCATTGATTCAGGAGGGACCACCCCGAAATACCCGAGGCTCCAAAAATAAGAGCGTGCTTGCCAGATTGAGGCATGGCGGACAGGAGGCAATGTTGAAACCTCGCTATAAGATGTAGAAATGTATAAATAATAAAAGTTTAGTTTATCGAAGGACTTATAGCCAAAGGACACGACCGTCTTTAAATCCCTAACGTTGTCATACCCGGGTTTCATATCCCGTTTCATATTCCGGATGATTATAAACACAACAGTAGATAGTGGGGGCAATATCATGACAAAATTCTCAGCAAACGGTTCAATTCCGCTACTTGTGACGTCAGCTAATCAGAAAACGCAGAAACCTCGACGGCGGATAGATTTCATTGAAAAAAAAAGGTTTGTTGAAACCCACGAATTATCTGTTCGTTTTCACGTTGGAATTAATCTAAACAAAATCAGGGCAAAAATTGGATGACTAGCAATAATTTGAGAGGATGAAGCAAACGGCATACTAAGTGGTAAAGTTTACCTCGGGAGGTTGGATTAGTTAAGTGACAAAAAAAAAACAACTTCGACGCGAATCAAATTTTTGAAATTACTCAACCACCACGACGGTTACGGCCTTTAGAGTCGACCAGTTTGTCAATAACTCCAGCCGCTATCGAATGATTCTATCTTTATAGGGGATTTCGAGATGGTTGGGGCGAAAACCCCGTGTTCGCACAACGAGCAGGCCGGAAAACAGCTACCAAAGCCTGTTATCGATTTCTTCGAGCAGGTAGTTACCTACTGCGGTTTCATGCAACGCCAAACGACGGATATCCTCGATAGAAATGTTCATTTAGGCCCTGAGCTAGCTTCGATCAAGCAGACCCTTTAGAACGTCCAACAACATACCTACAGTACCCAGTCAAGCATTCGGAACCAGAGCTACCAATCTTGGGCCTCCGTGGTCAGGAATGCGCCTCCTCTAGCCTATACGATTTCCACTTACGGCTCCTTTAGTACCGCCCCGGCCACCCTGTCAGAGCTCAGCAAGGACCGCGAAGTGATCGTCAAACTGCGAGATGCTGGTGCCCAGAAGACCTACCGAAAGAAGTCATCAGCAGAGATAAAGATAAAGGCAGAGAATACAAGGAAAAGAGCTGTAGCAACGATTCTAACGCTCTCTCTGGCGAGGGCCCGATTCGTCTCTGTTAAGCAGCTGCGCTCGGGAGATCTTAGCTTGGCTCTACGTACTGCCGCGGAGGCCGAGACTGCTAGGATCTACGATAAATGGGCGGATGTCATGTCAAGCGGGGCCACCCTGCGACGCCCTACATGGGGCGTGGTAGTCTATGGCATCCCGATCAAGTCAATCCAGGACCTGAGTGATCAGAGCGAACAGAATCGAGTAGCTAACGAGCTACTCGACGAGAACAGGGAGGTTTGGAACCAGAAACCTGATATCAAGCGCGTAATCTGGCTTACCTATCCCTCCAATTATAAGAACCAGAAATCCTCCGCTCTCATCGTCAAATTCTCTGACCCGAGGCATGCAAACGAGGCAATCATGAAAGGGACTATTTAGGCTAGCGATAGCCGGATGACTGTTCTATACGATAGGAACGCGCGGATTCGGTAATGCTTCAAATGTCAGCAATATAGACATAGGAATCGTTTGTTCGAATAAAACAACCTGCGGCCTCTATGCCAAAGGCCACGAGACCCGGTCTTGCGTACAGAGGTCTGCTACCGGTAGCCAGGGACGCAAATGCGCTGGGTGCGGCGAGGCGCACGCCGCCTGGTCGAGAGTTTGTACAAGGTACGTAACGGAGCAGGAGCGGGTGCAAACTGTAGCTCAATATCGGCAGTCCCTGTACCGCATCCCGCCCTATCTACAGGATTATCTTTTCGTGGGTAGCGATACGGAAACCTCTGGTCCGCCTAACAGCGAGGAGCGGGCTGCGGGATCTAGGGAATAGAGAGAAAGATGGACCCGGTCAATCAGCCGGCCAGTGGAACGGAATCACTCTACAGCAAGATTTCAAAAAGGATCTATACTGTTATACAGTTCGCAGGAACTTATCCCTGTGCAGCAAGAAGAGGCCCTGATAGACCTAAACCCGGAGATAGACATAGACCCTACCCCGTCCGAGACAGAACCGTCAATTGCCCAGCAAATCAACATGATCAGCGAACCGGAGACGCCCGCACCAGTGACCCCTGCCCCCAGGGGTCGTACCCTGAGCAAGAGGCGCCCCTGCAGCGTTACCTCCTTGTGGGAAACGAGGCGAAACGCTAGACACTAGGTAACGCAGGAAGCCGCCCTCTTTGCCATTTCGCCTGCTACAGGGGACATCCCTCCAGCGAAGAGGACCCGAAGCAAGCAGCCAACCTACCGAGAACAATCAATATCGACTAGCGATATCACTAGCGATAACGCAGTAACAGCCCTCCAAAAATCGCCGGAGGCATCTCTTATCCCTGCACCTACCCCCTCAGGGCATTCGATCACGATCGTTTTGGCTGAGGACAACACGCTTGCCCGTTTAGTATCAAGAAAATGTACTAGAGATCGTTACCATAAATAGGCTCCTACACGTGTTTCAATACAATGTAAATCGATCAAAGGATAGGGTAATGGCCTAGTTCCTCTGGGACCCTGCGGTCCTGGAGGCTGATATTATCTTTATACAAGAACCGTAAGACAACTCCTTTCAGGATTTAACCTATTATCCAGCTAAAGTAACATACCAGCTTCTATACCCGACACGGACGGATATAGGGGACGAGCGGGCACGCGTGTGTCTCTTTATTTCGCGACAAATTGACTCTAACACCTGGAAACATATACCCTATTCGAGGGACATTCAAGAGCTTGATCTGACTGATGCTGATGGCAAGCGGTTTCGCATCTTCAATATATATAATTGACCAGCCGAGGTTGGCACAAGCATTTTAGGCCTGGTCAGTAACCTTACTACTAACAATATTAATGATTACGTTCTCCTATTGGGGGACTTCAACCTTTACCACCCGGCCTGGGGCGGCGAGAATGCCGCCCGAGATACCTTTCCTAACTAATTACTTAACTTAAGCGATAGAAGGTACCTGAATCTCTAGCTAGAGCCGGGCACTACCGCTAGAGACGAAGCCAGAACGAAGACTACGATTGATCTGGTCCTCGGCTCGCAGGACCTGACCCCTAGGCTAATTACCTGTAAGATTACTAAAAAGATTTATGCAGATTCCGATTATCTACTTATACGGACCCTTATCGACATTTAAATCAAGATCCCGGAGGCGCAGCGGCGCCGCAACTGAAAAACATACAAAGTAAAAGATTTATAGGCTTTTATAGATGTAATTTATACAGTAAGGCCTTTTTAGTTAAGAATAAGTAACACATTGAACTCGCAATAGAATTCTTTATTGAAACGGTAAATTAAGGAATAGTAACATCTACCCCGTGGGCACGGCCCAGCAAGTGGGCGAACCCGTCTTTTATCTCGGAATGCTGAGAGATAATCAAGATCACTCATAGATTTAGGCGTACATATACTGAGACCTGTATAGCTATGGGCCTTACCGATCCCATTACGGGGCTGGCCTAGGACCGCTATGCGAAAGTCAGAAACCGCAAAGGAAAAGTGCTAGCGAGGGCCCTACGGCAGGGACACCGGACCTGGATCAGAAAGGTCACCGAGGCATGTGGCGCGTGGCCAGATAGGCCAGGAACCGGGACGCCTCCGAGGGACTGGTCCTAATACTGAAAATACCAGATAACGGCCTCGCAAAAACTGCAGAACAGAAAGTTAAAGTATTCCGGAAGATTTTCTTCCTTTATTTACTTCTTGCAGACCTTTCCGATATCCTTATAACTTCCCTACCTCGGCAATTTGGTTTCCCGGATCTTGCCGAACACGAGATATTGCGCTGCATCCGAAAGGCGCCTCCTAATAAGGCCCCCGGGCCCGACGGCATCCCTAATAAGGTCTAGCACTGGCTAAATGAGGTTCCCTCCTTTGTGAAAACACTAACAGGTATCTTTAATGTCTGTATCCGCCTCGGGCATAACCCCGGATACTTTTAGCAATTTACAACGGTTGTCCTCCGTAAGGCCGCGCCACGGGATTATCGAGTCGCTAAATCCTACCGGCCTATTGCTCTCTTAAATACACTCGGTAAGATTCTAGAGGCGGCTATCGCTACCCGCATAACCTACGCATTGAAGGAATATAGCCTACTGCTACGAGGGTACCTAGGGAGACGCAAGGGTATCTCTGTCAATCATCTAATTTAATTACTGATAGATGCTATCTTTGATAGCTGGGGCCGAGGCCAGAAGGTAAGTATGCTCCTGTTAGATATAGCAGGGGCCTTCGATAACGTCTCTTATACCCGGCTGTTGCACAACCTGAAGATGGCACGACTAGGGTACTTTACCGGGTAGTTAGAGTCATTCCTTTCAGACCGTCAGACCCGGTTCTAACTACCTGGTTACCTGAGCGGTATCATTTCTACCCCCACGAGGATCCCCCAGGGGTCCCTTATCTTCCCGATCTTTTTCCTTCTTTTCAATACGCCCCTTATTCGGGCACTAAAAATCAATACTGTTGAGAACATGCACATCCAGCTACCGCTCTCGGGAAGAACCCTGGCATTCGGCTGAATTGACGATACTTGTACGATCGCTCTTTCCGAGTCAGACGCAGCTAATCAGCGTCTACTGGAATAGGCACTCAATAAGGCTGCTGTATGGTCCTGACAGCATTCGTCTAGGTTTGCGCCGGATAAGTTCGAACTGATACATTTCCGGAACCCGATGGACCCCGATCCCGGGGCCGAGAGGGACACCCCCTGTGATTACACGGAACCATAGAAGGGAAAGGACCTATTGGATCATGAAAGTTTCGTATTGCCTAGTAATTTGTATGCAGAATCGAGGCTCAATAAAGGTCTGATCCTCTTGATTTAAAGGATCGAAACGAAGCTATTTAACATGCAATATGACTACGTGGCTTCTTTGAAATCGGCTTATCTTGAAGCCATAAAATGCTGTCAGAGTTGATCTAGACGGATGCGGCAAGGTGTTGAATCCTAACGGTAAAATTGCCCTATATTTGCTGACAGGACCTTACTAACGCTAACTGGGAGGACGGGAACGCTAGGGAGATTCCCGTTGAACCCCCGGGGCATGACCAGCTGCCAATAAAGTATCACGCAACGGGCCATGTCATTCGGCCAGTGGAACACGTTAAATACCTCAGAATCTGGCTCGATAAGACTCTCTCTTTTACTACCCACTCTACCAAGGCGGTAGCGAAGGCGAACGGAAACCTTAAAGCCCTACGAAATATCTCTGCGTCCACATAGGGTACGTCCCTGCTGAACATGCAGACTATATATCTGGCCGTAATAGTCCCGCAGATGCTCTACGGAGTTGCTGCATGGTATAGCCCTACCAGCGGGCGTACTAGGTATGCAAAACGGCAGAAGACTATCAACGAATTCGAACGAATCCAGACGCGGGCGGCAGTACTTATTAGTGGAGCATTCAGAAATACTGCTTCTGTAGCTTTAGGAATAGAGCTGTTTTTGCCTCCGGTCCGCCTGCACATGCAACAGATAATTGAGGAGACTGCAATCCGGATACAGACCGGACCGGTTATAGCCTATCCCGGGGAGTTAGTCAAGAAGAGGAATTAAGCAGAGATAAAACGGTTAGGGTAATCCCCCATAAAGGCGCTGAAGTAGAGGAAGGGGGGCCCCCTATAAACCGGAAGCCGAAATTTGACTACGTGGGAGTCCCGAAAGGCGCACGTGCTTGTCCCGTAGGAACTCCCATTTAATTGCGTGATCGAGGGAGCGGATAGCGCAGTCCAGGAACATGACAGGATTTGCTAGAAAAGCCGGAAGCAGATCTGGTACTCTGACAGTAACGGCTTTAACAGCCACGTAAAGGGCACTGCAGTCTCGATTCGGGCTGGGAAGGTCTGCAAGAAATACCTAGGAGCCGCGGCTGACTCCACTGTGTACGTAGTAGAGCTAGAGGGGGTCAAAATGGCCCTAAAATGGGCAGAGGCTGTCCCGATCACGGTCTATTCAGACAGTCAGGCGGCCATTCAAGCCGTGCAAAACCCTGACCGACCATCAGGCCAGTACGTACTAAAGGATATTTACGAGAGGATCAGGACCCTGAGAGGCAGGGGCCTGCAGCAGAGAGATATGGAACTGCGCTGGATCCCTGCGCATATCGGTATAGAAGGGAATGAACGAGCTGACGAAGCAGCCAAACGGGCCGCGATAAAGGAAATCGAATTGAACTCAGTAGGGCCGCGGGAGCTGGCCGCTCGGTCAATCACGAAACTCGCAGCTGCAGCCAAAACTGACGTCTGCCGGAGAATCCAGGCGCAGTAGATGAAGTGGTGAGAGCGACAACAGGTTAGAAAATCTACCAAACGGCCGATTCTGAAGCCGAATAAGAAGGTCTTAAGGATATACGAGGGCCTGAGCAAGCCCCAGACCTCTATAATTATTTAGATGCGCACTATGAGGATCGGATTGAGGCGTTTCCTCTTCAAGATAAAGCAGGTCGACTCCGACCGCTGCAGGTATGAATTAGGCTCTCAAACGCCTAAATACGTCCTTATGGAGTGCTCGCTGCATCTCGCCAGTCGGAGAATAATGATAGAACGCCTCGACTCTATCGAGGGACTGCGTGGGCGTATACAGGACTACGATGCAGTCATGAACCACCCGTAGGCGATACGCTACGTCGCCGATTTCATGTAACGAATAGGCCTCCTACAGCAGTTCCGATTCGCCACGTCTAAAGACGAGGAGGACGAGAAGGCCCCGGAACCCAGCACCCTCCTAGAGGGACTCGAACTAAACGAGGAAGACGATAGTTATATTGAACACTAAGAGCCAGAAAGTCTTACCTGGCTACGTGACGCACACAGGAACAGTGGATCCCACTGGAATACCACAGATAGAACGGAGTGGAAGGAGGGAACAGCGTCTAGGGGCGCAGTAGGCACGCGGCAGGCGTGTGACAGCCGGATTAGTTATGTTACTTTTTGATCTCTTTTGTCTACTGCACTGGGTTTATATGGCGTATGGGCTCGAGATTCTGCTTCATTCGGCGAAGCGCCTGCATAGCCTGTCGTTTCAATAGATAGGCTCTACTAGGTTAATAGAATTTTGGTTAATTGATTGATGATTGATAGAACTGGCCATCGCGCGGATCTACGGTGAGTTTCTGAACGACCAGCCCAAAGCAGTGAAGCGCTGGGAGAAGATCATGAACCTGTACCCGTCCTCCGAGGACGAGACAGCCATTGGGGTCGTGAAACTCGGAGCATCGTACGAGCTTGCTCGGGCGTACCTTTGCAACGCCTTCGATGCAGGGGTAGGCACCCCCGAAGCCGTTGCTATTGCCGCCAAGCTGGAAAAGCTCGCGAACACACAGGCCGCGACCGATTCGGTACTCTAGACGATTGTCAGCGCCCGTGCGATTTATCTGGGCGTGTACTACCGATTGGGTAAACAAACCGAAAAAGCGCAGGCGCAGTTCCGACCATCGATCAAGCGAGGAATCTAGATCCTCTCCGATGATGACCCGGAGAACGATGTTGATGGCCTTTGGGACTTGATGACCGCGCTGGTCGCAGCCGGTGACTCGAAGAACGTAACCGTGCTCGCGCACGCAATTTCCAATTTCGAGAAGAAAGACCCCGAGGATGACACTGCATGGAAGTGTGATGGACCGTGCCGGCGATCAGTGGCCAAAATCGATAGAATGTTGCTGTATCCGATCTGCATGGATACGGGGTTCTGTGCAGATTGTCTCAAGCTGTTGGAGGGAGAGACGATGGGCATTCAGAAGTGTAATCAGAAGCATGTTAAGGAGTTTTTGTATATTCCGGAGCGGACGAAAGAGTTTAACAAGGGGAAGATACTTGTTGATGGCGAGATAATAGAGTTTGATGCGTGAAGGGATCAGTTGAAGAAGGAGTGGTGCGTCTAATTTGTTATAGAAGGAGCGACCTAAATTAACGCTATAATACTTTCTGTTCGCTGCATTGATTTGGCATATACACATTTGTTATCTTGTTTTTTACTAACCTTTGCTTGGCCGATTTGCTCAACGCTTTTCGGTATAGATATATAATGAAGGGGAGATCGAACTCCAGATCGGCAAGATCCTTACAAAAGGCAATAAGGATCGTATATATACTTTTGTTAAGCACTTGGTACCTTACTCAGGACAGTCCGCACAAATCAAAGGCGAGAAATCCGGGCATAGGAGATACTTGGCTTTTTTTTGCCTAGACGCTCAGGAGCTGTTCGTGCCCTTTTCAATCCCTTTTTGCCGGGGAACCCAGCTATCGAGCATCTTGATCAAATCTTTATGTTAATATAACAAGGGCAGTAGGTAGGAGAGGAAGGCATACTCTGTTCTTAAGTTTCCGAGCTAACAGCTACCCGAATGGTCTAGGCACAAACGCGCGGTATATGTATATTTCTATATCTATATCTATATCCGTTCAGTCCTACATGTAACCCTTATTACGACGGTAGAATCCAATACTTCTGCTAATGCGCCTCCGTATTGGCCTCGCGAAACTTACTAATCCCCCCGGCAATCCCATCTCTATCTACCTCCTAATCGCTCCTCTCAACCCGATCAGGCCAGTTGTTCAGCACCTTGTCTATCTGTACCAAATGGCGGTTTGTGATCCTATCCACAGTCCCACTCTGATACAAGTATCCATGAGTATCGCGAGGCTTCGGGTCGTCAGCCCAATACCAGTCTAACCCGAACGGTTTCTCATTCGACTGCTGAGCCCATCCGGAATTCCCGATGCCAAAGGGTAACAGAAGTTGATATCCGTTGCTCTAGAAGTGTGGCCAACGCTCCACCACGAGATGGATATAGAATCCGGCAGCGATATTGTAGAGGTTAAAGCCCTGATCGCGCGGGACTGGCTGCTACTCTACGTCGTCGATCTAAAAGACCCGCAGAGGGCAGTTGCCAGGGCGCTGTCCGTAATGGTTATATAGCGATGTAACAAAGTCCGTGATAGGCTGGTGCTGGAATTCAGAGACGGTAGGGAATCGGATTCCCGGCGCGATGTACCGGAACCGGACTGTACAGCTGGAAATGGCCTTGAGGAACTGGTAGGCAAATGAGAAAGGGGGGAAGATATCCTGGTTTAAGAATGTTGCCGGATCATGTTATGGCAAATGCATGAGAGTAATAGAATCGGCTCTATACGGGATTTGAGATTTAATTAGGTTTACCAGATGCTTGAACGCAGCGGTTGCCCTTTCTAGCTCTATTTTCGTGTGATAGTGAATTATCCACTGGTCTATTACCCTACAACTGGGGTTGTCGAGTTTCACTAGTTTTGCCTGATCTTCGGAAATCGTCTGTACTTTTCCGTCATCGATCATGTCAAGATATGAATCTAATATAACCTCCAGAGGCATCCAGCCCCATGGGCGGCTAGTAATGGTACTGGTGTCATTATAATTCTCGATAAAGGTTACTTTTAAAGTCGTTTAGTCAAACCTAGTCAATCAGTAAGTAAACGCGCCTTGCCTTTAAGTCATTGGGATTGCCTCATCAGGGAGAAAGAAAACCATACACGATACCCTTATCATCGAGACCTCGAAAATGACTAGACTTATATAGCTTGATAAATCTTCCATTCTCATCCTTATCCTTATACAGATCTATACGATCCCGCAGGGCATCCGGAGACTTTAGCGCTCCAATATAGAGGAAAAGTACAGATCACTGAGGCAGTTCGTTCTTATCCCAAGCACGTTTCAGGAACCCGGTCAAGGACGGGTGGAGACCGTTGGCAACTTCCTCAGAAGGTGCCCTGGCCTCCCACCAGGTTAGGTACTTGGAGGGTATCTCCCTCCCACGGCCCTTAACGGCCCTGGTTAGGAGCTCGTTGTGCAGTGCTGCACAGCGCTCATAATCCATGATCCCGCGGCCGAGGTTACGGACCGGACTGGATTCGGTTATGCGGGGCCATCCGTCGGGGCAAGCTGGGGTTGATGAGGGCAAGTGATGCTCGGAGGCGGCTATAGGCCGTTTTCCGCCTAGACTTAGAACTCCAACAACGTCGAAGCCCTATCAAAATTTGCCTAGATATAGAGC